TTTGCCAATGCCTTCCCTAAGTTCAACATTCAGAGCGCGTGTAGAGGAGGAATAGAAGAGGCAAAGATAAAGGCAAAAACAGAAAACAAGAAGGGGGAGTTTCTAGATCTTTTTTATTATAGAGAAATTATTCTGTGGCATCCCTAAATCCCCTGAGGAAGGCTTCCTCAGCGTCTCCCCATAGAGGAATCTATTATACTACTAACTCCTACCTGAAAAAAATATTGAGGGAATCCGTTAATAGTAAAATAAAGAAGCCGAAATATCTGTATGATTGAACTATGAAGTAGAGTATAAATTGAGAGTACAAAGAGAGTTATATTCCTTAGGATAGTTTTATCTCATCCGCCTTTCTTTTCTTAGGGTCGGAGCCCTCTGCTACATTCCCAGGTACATCTTCTGTTATATCTATAGGGCCTTTACCATCTTTCCTAGCCTCCTCGCCCTCCAGATACTGGACGTTGATATCAGACATTTCACGTATGCGAGAACTCGCCTTTATAGTACTGATTAAGGCTTTGACTACGTCCTCTGGGGAGAGGCGTTGGTCCTTGGGGACGAGTTCCATCGGGGCATAGCGGACCTTGCTGATAGTATCATCCTGATTGAGAACCCATATACCGATATTAAAGTTCGGTACCGAACTGTCTCCAGTCACGTCCAGGGTATCGGTAAACATATCCCAATTCAGGGTGGTCACAAGGTCGGGGACAGCCTTAGTAAGGTTTTTGGCAAAGACGCCAGCATTGAAGCTGTCCGACACAATGTAATCGTAAATCTTGACCGTCCGGGTCTGCCCGACACGGCTTACCCGCCCGATGGCTTGCTGCTTGAGGGGGTCGGATGTGGGGGTATCAAAGAGGTGTACGTTCCGGCAGAGATCCTGAAGGTTAGAACCCGCTGCGTTAACGTAATAGGAGCATATTAAGACCATGCATTCATCCACTTTGGTTGTAAAATCTCGTACCAGCTCGACACGCTCCTTGGAGTTGAGTTCCGAGTGGAAGACCCGGCAGTCAATACGGGCGTGGTAAAGGGCAGCAGCGATAAAGAACTGCTAGGCAGGGATCGTGCACCAGACTACCGACTTTTCCTGTTGCAGGAAGACCTCCTGCTGGATTATAGACAGGAGGGCGCGTAACTTCGGGCTGCCGCGCAACAGGTACAGGAGGACGTCTTGATCGGTAAATTGCTCGGGAATATTATGCGTCACCGGGGCAGGGGCTGTAGTATCCTCGGTATGCTTTCGCATCAGGATCTGGTTTTCAACTTGTATCGCCTTCTTGATCAGTTGAGGACCGAGTGTGAGGCGCCGGGCCTGAGTGTCGAGGGATCGTACACTAACTTGCACTAGGAGGTGGTGGCAATACCTGAAGAACAGCCAGGTGGTAACCAGCGTGAGTTCTCGATACTTGGCCATGTTCCATATGATTTGGCCCTCGCGGGTCTGGACAAAGAGGTAGCGGCGGAATTGCTTCCACTATCGGTAATATTAGGTAGCTTTACGGGCACAGTAACAAACAAAAACCACTTGGTATTGGGAAGGAGGTATGTTATCGCCAATGCGTTTACCATTCGCAAACGGGATGCAGGAGGATAACGAGCGCCGGATTATCAGGTATTTCCATAGTTGGCGGAAGCGGAGGCCGCGGACCACACTATCCGGGCAGACGAGTTCGTCAGACGTTTTGAGGATGAATCGCTGGACCGCCTCATTCGTGAGGATCAGCTGGGCTTGGGGGTAGGTATCGGGGAGCGTAAACGGGTTGGTCTTGGGGTCTACGCCTATCCACAAGTCATCGTTTTTGGGTGGCAACAGGAATGGGAGTAAACCGGCCATATCGTTATAGGAATTGAAGATGGGGGTAGCGGTGACCAGGATGGTCCACTCAGGGTGGATCTACCGGGCAGCAGTCCATTGCGCCGTGTCCGGGTTCCGAAACGTATGGGCCTCGTCGGTGACCATCGTGTCGAACAGTCCCTGAAGGGATTTAGGCCACTCCGCCAGGGAGCCGTTGCCATATTCTTCCGCCCATGACTTGTACTCGGCGGGTCCATGTCGCTGCGCCAAGGTCTGATAACTGGTAATGATCACGGCATGATGTGCTTGCGGGCCAGTCATCCATGGGAGGTCGCCTGCCAGCTTGGGGATGACTTTGACGTCGACTGGGAGGTCTTCCCGCGCGTCTCTAAAGTACACAATGACCTTGAGCCGTTTGGTGACGGCCTTGATCTCAGCGGCCCATTGCCACACCAGGTGGGGGGGGCAGATAATGAGGGTGGGCTTGCCTTTCAGCGTTGTAGCCCGCTACAAGCAAACAGGTTAGTCAAAGATCAGGATGATAGGGAGGTGCTGGAGAAGCCTTCCTCAGCACCTACCCAGGGAAAAGCCAGAAAACGAATAGGGGTGGGGTCACTTACGTGCAGAATATACCCGGTAACCATCCAGGTTTTGCCAAGTCCAACCATATCGGCCAAGATGCACCCGGAGAGCAGTGGATTTTCGCGGAACTGTGCGATTGCATAGATGGCCACGGGCTGCCAAAAACGGAAGGACGTATTGATCCTTATCGCGGGATACTTAGGGACGTCTGGGTTGCTGATATTGAGCGCCTCGCAGGCCTCCTCGTGATTCTCGCGCTGGAGTTCGAGGTTGTCGAGCCAAGTCTGCTGCTCGCGAGCGATTTCGATGGATGCCGCGGTGACTTGAGACAGGGTTACCCGGCCGTCAGGCGTATCTTTATGGGCCTCCTGAATAGTGTCGGCGGTGTAGTGTGCCAATGTCAGCGTATCGACCTCTTGCCCGGTAGGATGATATATGGAGTAGGGCCCCGCGGTAACCATAAGGACCTTAAATGGTGTCATGGAGGTCTCATCCGCCTCGTCCTGCATGTTATCCTTATGGGGGAGCTTTGTGTTACCAGTATCCGAGGCATCTGGTGCCGGCTCCTCTGCTAGTTCCTCCTCGATGAGGCGCAGACACAGTTCGATCAAATGGAACTGCCAATAGGGCTCGCTGAGGTCGGGAGTCTGAGAGACGGCTTAAAGTGCCCGCTAGATTGCAGGTATCAGTTTATCTCTCCAATGGCGGAGACGAGCAACCGGCCCGGCCGGTGTAGGGGTATCGGGGGTCGGAGTGGATGATCGGCTTGCCAATGGGGGGGTACTGGCAGGGGCAGGGGCAGCGGAAACGGGAGTCGGGATTCCTGTAAGATTCTTGCTCTTAGCAGACGACCTCATGCTTCGGCTTGGTCTCGGCTGGGGGGGTCGGGTAGAACGCTTGCTTGGGACCCTTAGCTTGGAGGCCGGTTTCTCGGGGGCAGCGGGGGCAGCGGGTCCAGACGTGGGAGGTTCTGTGGAAGGCTTCCTCGGGTCCTTCTCCAGACCAGCGTTCTCGCTAGGTGGGGGGTGGGGGGTCTGGAGAGAAGCACGGATAAGGTCGCGCGTCTCTTTATCTATGCTGAGGAGGGCCATACCTTTTTCCACACGGGAAGCGGCAAATTCCTGTCGAATAATGCGGAGGATCGCCTATATCACCTTCTCTTTATGCTCCTGTGTCCAGGCTTTCTTGTAGAAAATCCCGTCCACGTTGCGCGTATTGACGTTAACCAGGGTAAGTAAACAAAAGGCAGTCCAGTCGGCCCGGTCCCAGTTGGTCTTGTCGGAAAAATGGTCGAGGTATTTGGTATTACCGCTGTTGGCCGCGGCATGGATACGGGCAATGATGGTAGTGAACGATTCACCTCGGTTCATGTTGTTGCCGCTAAATTGAGCGGGAAGGATAGCGTGCAGGTAACAGTATAGGAAATGGGGTCGGAATAGAATACCCTTGAGCCATTTCTTCAGTTCTTTTACGCTCGTAACGGTCTCTAGGGCAGTACAGATGCCTTTCAGGTTACTAATCTCGGTGAGGTCGAATCCGGCAAAGGTATTTTCCTGATCAATATCCTCCAGGGTGTCGTTGTCCGCGTTGATAATGTCATCCAGGCCGTCCTCGTCGGACGAGAATTGTAGGGTAGTCATCTGGAAGGTGCTGAGCTTGCCTTCCTAGAAGGTTAAGTGAGGTGCAGGGGAATGAGTTCGGAGAGAAGAGTTAGAAAGGAGAGAAGATCTAGAGGGAGAAGGGGGGGGAGAGGGGGTATTTATACCTCTTGGCGAAAAGGAAGGTATCCCCAGGACCTGCTATGCTGTCCGCATCGCTGCCATGGCGTGTGCCGGGAGTAGTGAATGCCGCGCTTTGTTGCCTGCGGGTGATTCCACTGGGGACGGCCCAGGCATGCATCACAAAGCGATGCACGTAGCCGGCTAAAGGGGATCCCCACCATCGCCTTGTGGCCTTTAGTAGGATCTCTCCGCTATCCCGCGTGCGATGACCTGGGTTCCTGGCCCTCGACCATACAAGGTTCTGGGGAAGGCTTCCTCAGGAGATCCCCGCCATGGCATGTGCCGGGAGTAGTGAATGGCGGGAGTAGTGAGTGCTGGGAGTAGTGCATAGCAGGAGTAGTGAATGCTGCGCTTTGTTGCCTGCGCATAATTCCACTGGAGACGGCCCAGGCATTCACTACAAAACGATGCACGTAGCCGGCTAAAGGGAATCCCACTATCGCCTTATGGCCTTTAGTAGGATCTCTCCGGCTAGCAGTAGAGGAGTACTCTGTAAGTGACTATCCTGTGTGTGATAACCTGGGTTCCTGATCCTTGACCATATCAGGTTCTGGGGAAGGTTTCCTCAGGAGATCCCCGTGAGGATAGTTGGGAATAGTTCCACGTCCATAAGGCTGTTTACTGCTGGCTGAGCGCGGTCGTAGGCTCCTGAGGCCGGGCCACGAAGATGCCGCAGCCTGGGTATCTGGTTCCCGGGTGGTCCGCTTGCTGGGGAGACCCTTGGTCGGCAGACACCTCTCCAGCGGCCCGCTGCACCCGGAAGATATATTCTCCCGCGCGGGTCAGGGACTGGGCAGGTACCGCGGTACCGATCAGGGACGGGAACTCACTCGGATCAGTTGATGGATGCTTGGCCCGGATGTGTGTCTGCAAGGCTCGACGGGAGAGGCGCAGCGCCGGGCAGCCGGGCCACTGACAGGGCAACGCCTCCCATTGGGGCAGCCTCGGGAAGGGGGCGACGGGGGGCTCCTGGGCCAGAAGATGGTGCCAGACGTCGAGAGGAGACTGGACCGCCAGGGACTGGATGGTCTGGCGGTCCGCCGCACTCAGCAGGGCATGGCTCGTGTGGTGCTCGATGTGCTGGCGCACCTGCGAAGGGTAGATGGCAGTCTGACATGTGATGCACACCAGCAGCTGCCATTCCGGGTAGAGTTGTAGGAAGGCCCAGGGCAGTGATTGGACCGCATGTGTCAACCGACCCGACAGAACGCGGGGCTTTTGTATTGGCTGGTATGGTAGGGAGATCTCTGGCGGAGTGTGGCTCTCGCAGTCTGAGAGACCTCGGAAAGGCACCGAGCGGAGGACGAGGGTGTGCCACAGTCGGGATGCTACGGCGAACTGCTCAATCCGGCCCGGCGTTAGGCCGAATGGCTGGCTGACGTCCACGGCATAGACCTGTTCGTTAATGTGGCTATAATGACCTGCCTGCGCAGCCAGGATATTACTGAGAGCCGCGGTGGCGATTCTCCAATCAGCTGGCGTTGCCTGCGAAGCGAGGTACTTTTTAGCAATAGCAATGGCGATATGTCGGTAGCTACAGGTAGTAATATCTTGCCCATAAAGGAAAGGCTGGGCGGTCTCTCGCATGAGGGCGGTAATCCTACCGGCCTGGGAACGGGGGGGCGTTGCCCCAGGTAAAGCGAAGAGATAGTCATCTATCGCGCTGGGCTGGACTTGACGGTAATGTAAGCGCGGCTGTCCGTTCTTCCGCAGCTGCTGGTAGAACAGCACAAGAAAGGGGCGGACGCGCAGCAGATACAGCACTACCAGCCGGCTGACTGAGGGGCACAGAAAGCGGGCTACATGCTGCGTAGTCTGAATGCGCACCTGCGACTTATGGTACTCGGTGATGAAAAGCACGTTGCCCTGGTGTAAGTACAGGTTCCGCGGTGTTATCGAGGTATTCCGCCACTTCAGCTGCAGCAGTTCGGGCTCCCGGCTTGACTGGCCCCACGTCAGTTGGATCAGGAGAGCAAGATAGTCGAGAAACCACTGAGCCTGGGTCCGATACGCCATAACGGTGCGCGGATCCTACCGATTACCCTGGCGGAGAGGGGCCATGCCCGCCGGCAGCGTCGTCTGGACTGCGAGCAACGGCGCATGGGTAAGCTGGAGCTGATTCGCCGGTATATCAAGAAAGCAGAAGCCGGCCCGATGCTCGCCTAGATTATCGACTAGCGTGGTAAGATCGATGGAAGGATAAACGCCGAGGAAAAGTCCGTGCTCAAGCGTCTGGGTTACCGACTGGAGGAGGGTCTCAATCCACCCACGGATATCGTCAAGATGAATCCCCCGGGGAGACCCGCGGTAGAATAGAGTCTGGTAATCTGGCGACCACAGTATATTCCCCGGACGAGCGGTATGACGGATGTGCTAACGGGCCCGATCGAGCAGCTCGAGAATGGCGTGAAGGGGGTAGAGACTCCCACGGACGGCGTATCGGGCTTGGATCGCCTGGGCCCGTTGGTACTGATTCCGGACCTCATGCCGGGGCCGAATGTCCTGCAGATAGTGGTACCGCCGGAGAGGGAGTGCATATTCGAGTAGCAGGACTCGGCTGACCCAGATCAGGGCGGAGAGCGAGGAAGAATACGAGTATGGCTCCTGGAAGGTGAGGGTGGAGGCCTGAATACTAAGTACGGCCGTAAACGCCATCAGATTAGCCGCAAATTTATCGCCGGTATGTTGGATGCTAGTCGTCGTAAGACAGCTCAGGCAGAAACTGAATAGACTTTCGTCGAGCCATCTCTGTCCCGCAGGTGGGAGGGCCGGTGGAGCCAGCCGCCCTGTATTATCGGTATGAGAGAAGCATTGGGCAGATTCCACTGTTGGAGGTAGGAGGTATTCCTCTTCCTCATCCTTATCTTGTTCTATGTCCTGCTTATTGTCGCTAGATACACTGCTGACCTCGCTAGCGGAATACCTGAGGAAGGCTTCCTCGGGGCTTTCCTCATGGTCGGTTGCTGGGAACTGGTCATTTATTTTAACCCTGTGCTGCTGACGGCCCTGTGGGGCACCCTGATTTTGCGGAAATGACGGCGGAATGTAAGAGTCCGGGGAAAGCTCCACTAAATGATCCGCTACGCTTGGCCGGCGGTAGACAGGGATGCAAACTGCGATCATGGTCTGGTATCGGGTCACCTGCCTTTTTATAACAGGCCTCTCCTCGGCATCAACTGGGTCGCAGGAGGATACTGATAGCGATCGTTTTCTTTGCCGAGCTGGTAGGCTATAAGATGTTACTGGCGGCTCAGGAGATGCCGTAGTAATTACCGGTGGCGGTACTGCTTGCGTAAATTTAACGGCGTCCGGCTGGCAGAGAAAACGTTCCAACGTCGTCCAGATCCGATGGAAGTACTCCTTTTGGCATAGATCCAGCGGGATCCCGAGATCTTGGAGCTGTCTGTTACCTGAAAACGGGGCGGCCCGGAAGGACCAATATAAAAAGTGCTTCCATATCTTGATGTATCTTTTCTCGGTAGCTGGCTGTAGCCGGTCTAACGCTCGCTTATATGGCTTACCGGCAATAGTGCTATGGAAGATCTGGCGGATCGACTCGTGGGTAATGTCCAGTGTGTCTAACGCCCGGGCCATGATGCGGTCAAACGAGGCCCCGATCATGTGGAGAATGGTAGTATAATAGCTGCTCTTCTCAGCCTGCCAGACACTCGCAATTGTAGGATCTTGCTGAAGGGTGTTGGGATGGCCCCGGAGCTTAACAAGCGTTTGAAGGAGCCGTCCCTCCAGATATCGAAGCCATCCGGTCTGGGCTAACCATGGAGTTATCGCTTCCTTTCTAGGGGGGATCATCCCCGTACGCGGAATTTCCCCTGGTCCAGATTTGATTGGTCGAATGGGGGGGGGCGTCTCAGGCTGGCAGGAGCTTATATCGGCATCATTCTCCGCTGGCGTCGGGGATAATGGGGGTGGAATCGGTAGGCACAGTCCATTGGGGGATGACTGTACAGAGGCAGGGGACGGATGTATTGGTTTTCCATCAGGATCAGGCGGTGCGACCGAGGACTGGGGACTCATGGGTCTCTGGGGACGCGTGGGCGCAGTCACCCAGTACCGACAATAGCGGGCATGGGTGAACCAACTTTGCCCCTGAACAGGGGTCCAGGCCAGTGGGCGAGGGCTCCCGACGGTATGCTCGATCCGGTGATATCGCTGGAGCCATTTCTTTGAGGCAGTAAGGAAGCTACAGTAGTCACACTGTAACAGGTTATGGATTGGCAGGCCAGGAATAGCGTCAGTACCATCAGCCAGCGGAAGAAAATCAGTATGATTTTTACGAAGGCGCGCGTCTTCTGGAATACATTGTAATTGGTGCTCTATCGCGGTACGGCTTTCAATCTGATGACAAGTACGTAAATGCCGCGATATTAGACGATTTGGGAGGGCACACTGGCAGTCATAACAGATAATACATTGATATTGACTGTTGTACCAGAGATATTGGAAAGCCGGTTCCATCTGGATGTATAGCAGGGTTTATTCCCCTAATATTATGCAGATCTTGATGGAGAGAAAATGATGCCTGCCAGGAGTAATATTATAGTATAGGGAGAGAGACTAAGTATCATTCATTCTATCAGGAACAGATGGAAGGATAGATATATTATTATACTAGACGTGACGTGGCGCGACGGACAGAACGCGACGGAACGCGACGCGACCTTACCTAGCACGACAAGAAAAAAGAAAAATCAATTATCAAGGATTAACTTTAGGGGAGGTCCTGTTACCCCACTCCGGATCCCCCCAGAGTTGGTCTAGCGCCGGGAGGCTTCACTATGGAGACCTGGGGGGGGATCCGGGGGCTCCTCTCTGATAGTGCAGCTTGTCCGGCTCCTGTGTTATAGTGCAGCTTGTTCTGCGTGAAGAAACTATTTATGTCTGCTATCTGTGGAAACGATGGATGTGTTGTATATTGGGTGGCCGATGTGGCCAACTATCTAAGATATCTAGCTTACTAAGTGATGACTAAGCGAGCTCGAACCCCAGGGCAGGCGGAAGGGTACGTCCCGATGTTCCAACACTATCTGTGGGTCACGTGACAGAGTCATGTGATCCAATATACCGGAAGGTTCCTGACACCTGTTGATAAATGGCAAAGATGCTCATTGCCCAATTCCGACAGGTCGATTTAATGTCCGTGGCTTTGATGGAACACTTGGAGTGGAGTCTGGCTCGGTGAAGACCGATCATGGTTATTTCCTAGATAATGATTTAACCTGCATTGACAGTTCGGCCTTCACAGCTTCTAAGCTTGAACTTGAGCGCTGCGACCCTCGGCAGCGTCAGCTGCTCGAGCACATGCCTGATCCTGTCCTGGAGCAAGGCTCGCTATAAAGATAAAGACGGGCGCCAGTAGCTAAGGTATACTGGCCACTATATTCACTCATTCAGTCCTTGATATATCTCAGCCATGGCTGTCGCATCCAAGGCTACCGTCTCCGACTCGGAGCCAAACCACACGTACGATGGCTCAGGCACCGAGGACGACCCGTTTGTGGTGGAATTCCACAAGGATGACCCGGGCAACCCTATGAGCTGGGGCGATGTTCAAAAATGGTTTATGACTATGATTGTTAGTTTCTCTGTCTTTGCTGTGACTTTTACTTCCTCCGCGTACTCGATTCCCGCCGGAAAAGTGTTTTAAGACTTTGATATTAGCACCGAGGTCTTTACCTTCGGGCTTTCGCTTTTTGTGTTAGGATTTGCGATTGGGCCCGCACTCTGGGGTCCGTTGGTGAGTCAATAATCCTGCGTCTACGTTGTACATTGGCTAATTATGTCCTGTCGCCAGTAAGTGTACCAGTACCAGTCGACGTATGCTAAGTTAGCCGCCACTAATAGTCAAGGTCTGAACTCTATGGAAGACAAGTCCTCTGGATCATCACGCACATCGCGGTGGTTGTCTTTCTCGTGGCTCAGCTGGTTGCCAAAACGTTGCTACATTGCTTATCCTACGCTTCTTTGCCGGCACCTTTGGGGATTGCCGCTTGTCAACTCCGGCGGCACCATCGCCGATATCTTCCTGCCGGCCCAGCCTGGCCTATCCCTCACTATCTACAGCGTCGCCCCTTTCCTTGGCCCGATATTTGGGCCTATTATCGGTTGATTCGTCTCTCAGGGCGCCGGGTGGCGTTGGGTCCAGCGTCTCTGCACCATATTCATTGGCGTTGTTGGCATCCTAGGCGTGATCTTCGTGCCCGAGACGTACGGTCCAGTCCTCCTCCAGCACCGTGCGAAGAGACTCGCCCTGGCAGATGGGAAAGCATACGTGAGCGTTCTGGAAAAGAGCCAGGGGACGAAGTAGACCCCAGGTGAAGTTTTCAAGCACGCCCTTTTCCGACCCTGGATCTTCCTCTTCCTTGAGCCCATCGTGCTGATCGCGTCCCTCTACATGGCCATCATCTACGGAACGGTGTACATGTTCATGGCGGCATGCCGATCGTCTATAATGAGCACCGCGGCTGGTCCGAGGGGGTCGGCGGCTTATCATCCCTGGGGATCATGGTCGGTATTATCTCGGACTCGTCTACGCAATCTTGGACAGCAACGGGCAATACACGAGGCTGTTCAAGGCATCCACGGCCGAGTCGCGCCTCCCCCCGGCGACCGAGGCTCGTCTTCCATCGGCCACCATCTGCGGGATTGCGCTTCCAATCGGGATGTTTGGGTTCGCGTGGACAAATTACCCCGGCATCCACTGGTCGGTCAGCATCATCCTCTCTGCACCGTTTGGATTTAGATCGTGTTTATCTTTATAGCGAGCTTTGCTCCAGTACAGGATCAGGCATGTGCTCTCATCCGGACGGAAGTACGTTTCATTGGTCAATCTTCACAATTCTCATCGACTCGTACACCATCTACGCGGCGGCGGCGATGCTTCGGTCCATTATCGGCACGGTCTTTCCACTACCCATCACGCAGATGTACCATAATCTGGCGACCCACTAGATAGATGTATAGATAGCTGCAAAATCCCAGAATTACATTCAAGAAGCAAAGAAATGCATAATTTGTGATAAGCTAACAAGAGCAAAGTGCGAGGTACTACTATACTCTATTTCCGTCGACTTTAGGAAACCCATTTACCGGTGGGGTATATTTGAAACTATTAGTTTGGGAATTGTCGATCTCTATTGCGGCGAACTAATAGTGGTTTCAAGCCCGACTTGTGCGTGGATCAGATGAGACTGAAAATTGTCCCATGTACTCCATCAATCCTCAGAAGCTTTGTCTCGGTCAACGCGCAACGACCGATATCTCAGAATATTGTGAAATAGCTTCTCGGATGGGATCCATTGATGTTTGACGAAGCCCAAATCCTAAAAAGGAAATGACGGTTTGGTGAACAATTTCAAATGCCCTGAGCCCGTCTAGAGTCCCAATCCTCTTTTGCATGGCCGGTATGTTTTGAACAGGCAGACCCAGGAGCTTGAATAAATAGGGCAAGTCGGAGAATGTGTAATGTTGAGCCTGGGCTAGTTCCAGCTCCAATCTCCAATCCCGCAGATTCGACCAGAACTCTGCCCATGACGGGTCTGTTGTCTGGGTTTTATTTTCGTGCCCGAACAGGAGAAATGAACCCCGAAGCCCTTCTTGAACCACGGGTCCAAACATTGACCCATCCAGATTCGCACCTGCAACAATCCGACGGTCCAAGCGTATAGCTTCCGCGGTGGCTGCGCCCCCGAGCGAGTGGCCGTACATCGCGACTCGCCGAGTCCTCAAGCCTGCAGATCGCACCCCGGGGAGTAGAGATGCTACGCCAACCTTGGTGCTCAGCTGATCCAGCACAAACATGACATCTCGAGCTCGGGTATCGACATCCAGCGGAATCTGCGCGTCACTGATATTTGCAGCAGTCACGACGCTTCCGTCCGGAAACTCTAAGAACTCGGTATCATAGGGGTGGTCAATAGACACCACGATGTACCCAGCGCTAGCCACAGATTGTGCAATTGCATTGTAAAACAGCCGCGTCGTGCCGAGAGCAGGTGAAAAAATCACCACTGGGAACGGAATGTGACGCCCTCTTGGCGACTCTGGGCATGACTGGAAATAGATAGATCGAAGTGACCCATTGGGAAATCCATATGTGCTGTATAGGTCGGAGTAGTATTTCGATGTTGCGGCGGGGAGGTAATCTCTCTTCTCAAGATCAACCCTGCAGTGAGTGGGGGCAAATATCGAAGTCATGACCTTGCGGGGTCCGTGATTGGGATCAAAGGGATCAATTCTAGTATGGTCGACCATGCTCGCCGTGTTGTAAAATACATCATATGGTCCAGGTGGGCTAGGAATCACCACTGCAGACACGAACATAGCCACAATTGGCAGCAGAAGAATAGTTTGATGCATAATCGATCACTAGAAGGCGCAGCTCCGGATAGAAATAGCGTAACAATGGAAATTTTTAAGATCTTGCTAAGGAGGCAGAAGATGAAAATTAAGAGATAATTAGGAAATCTCAACAACAATAGTCAGAGAAAAAATATCCCTGGTCTTTATATGTCTGGAGAGGACGAGGTGGAGTGGTAGATCAAGTGACAAATCTTCTTACTAGCAAAGCTCCCATATCCAAAAATACGAATGATAGGAAAGATCTCACTTCACACAACGCGTCTTACTTTCCCCAAATGGAATTAATAGGGCGTTAGTTGATCAGGCTCCAGTGCGCTGCCAAGAACCCAGTGTCGTGGATCCCTGTTGCGCGAGATTACTTCCGAATTGGGCTTAGCGTCATCGCGCATGGTTGGTGCAGTCCTGCAGCCTGGGTTATGGTCTCGAGCTTGTCAAACTAACCGCTGGTTTCCTAAGCCCCCTTTCAATTTTCAACCTGAACGCGACTGAGGGATTTTCTACAGTCAGACCAAGTCTCGCTCGAACATACCCATTTTCATCATAGTGGGAATCGGAGATACGCGCGGCTTATCTGTTTCTTAGAGATCTCAGGCTCATGTCCACCTCAACAACGTTGCGGGGGAGAGCGGTCGGCCCTCTGGACAAGCGAAGGCGAGCGTCGCGCTGCGTCGGCTGCGTTAAACGCCACATCAAGGTCTGGGATGGGAAGACTGTAATTTCCTGAGATCAGTACAGCTGATTCCTAGTAGTGTGAAGGGGGTTTTCCATGTGCTTATTGCATTCGACGGAATACGATCTGCGTTGCTCAACAGCAACCGGTAAACGATATGGCTATATTTGTCAACCAAACCCAGCGAGATGGTCCTGACAGAGGCTACCGAAGCTCTGATTTGAAAGGAATGGCTATTACCAATGGGCACAACTCCGGGATTCCCCAACTTGGTTTTATCGCGAGGGATAGGGATACCCGCCTTCTGGATTGTTTTGTCTCTTTCATCCAGCGGAATATGTTCACGACGAGCTTCGCATCAATAGTTCCAGACCTCTTGCCCCTGATTTCTACGTCCCCAGTACTATATCATGCTGTGATAGCGATTGGTGCTTTGGATGCGCATCGACAAAGCGCTGGGCGCGCATTACGGGGAGACACCCCACCCTACGTGGATGCCATGACCTCTTACCATAAATCAATGGGTATTTTGCGGTCATGTCTGGAAGAAAACAATGTGTTTCAAAGAGATGATATTCTCTGGGCCACATTTTTCCTAGGGCTGTTTGAGGTACGAATTTGTCAGGATATTATATGAGATGGATTGGATTCGTGTTTGACTGACATAATCCCCACATAGTTAGTCTCAGAGGATTCTGGTGAAGGCTGGATCAAGCATATGCTCTACGGAACATCAAGAATGCTTCAGCTCTCAGGACCAAGCGGCTGCATGCCTTCGCTCCGAAGGAAATTCTACAACCTGTTCCGTGTCCTTGAGGCCAGCCGCGCCCTACTCTATAATGAAGAAACAATCCTTTCTCAAGATATCTGGATCCGATTCCAAAAATGTCTGTCAAGAAATGCCACTCAATGGAAGCCCATGGAAGAGATTATATCCCTCATGATTCAGACCTCCGCCTTCAGCGTACGGTAAGTCGGTACTGACAAATGACCGACTTGTTCTGTTTTAACATCCCAATGACAGAGCCGGTACTATTATTCAGAAGATCCCCGAAGCAGACCGGTCCACAGATCCATCAGTTGCTCTGCTTGCCGCCGAAGGACTAAATGTCCAAGAGGCTATATATAATTGGCACAAGAAGACGTTGCTGCAGCTGCTCCAGGGCGATCCTAATGAATATTCAAAATTAGCTTTGCTGTATTATCACGCTCTGCTAATCTTCCTCTCAGGCCATTATGATTATTTTCCCTATTGGGACAAGACGCCAGCCCCGGTTTTATCCTGTGCTGAAATTTCTGAACACTTGATTATGATCCTAAACCTCTCGGCCGAGATTTTGCTCCGCACGAAGATTCCTGGAGTGATGCTGTTTTTCCCAGTAACCGTCGCAGGATCTCGAGCCCGGAACGTCGATCAACAATCCGAAGTACTGAATCTGCTCGAACGGGTCTTCTCTCAAGGGTTTGTGGTCGCAAACAGGGTACGTGATGGTTTGTTGGGACGGTGGGCCGAGAGGGATCGGAGAGAGACTATACATCCGGCCCCGTGAAATAATAACTACGCCTCAAATGTTCCCCGTGAATACTAGGGTACTACAATAATGTTCAGTAGTTCAGCCCACTGCCCTTCCTCAGGAATTTCCAAAGACACCATAGCTTCTTGCTGCTGGCTTCATTTCGGCTGATAGGTCCAAGTCATATTATCAGATTTTCCACAATCTACTGTAGCAACTAGGTGCTCATGGGTAACACTCAAGGTTGGTTGCGGATGTGACGGTCTACAAAGGAGCTGTCAACCGTATGTGACCGCTAGTCACATAGGAGACCTTCCTAGTCCGGACATCGGTGTTGATAACTACCGATCCCCGAGGATTATGCAGAGTTTTCTGTTATTTCCATGGTTCAAAAGTTATGTCTCTTCTAACTGCCTTTTTAGGCTAGATTGCTTATTATTCTTCATGTATTTAAACTACCGTTTGCAACTAGATTGAAAGAATCAGACCTTCATCATTCGATATTCCTATGGGTAACATTACTAGCAATTACGCCTAGAGAGACGGCCAACAGGAGCTTAGTAAAAGGCAAGTTTGTTTATGACTCGTAGTCAAGGAATTTTCCCATAGGGAGGAAAAGGCTATCTAGGAGAGAGAATCCAGGGACTCTATATACTGCCTGGAGCTTGCCTCAGGCAGGAATGCCTGCAGGATCCCTAGGAATGTTCCTGGATGCCTGCCGCAGAGGATCCCTTGATCCTCCGGAACGTTCTCCCCAAGCCCCCTGGCTTCAGGAGGTAACAATTCAACTGAGTTATATGATCATATTCAAATGAATGAAGGTCTTAATTCTTTCTAACTACACGACAAAGAAGCCGATATTTATGCAATTTCAGGGGCTTCATGGTCACCATAAATGAGCGGAATTGCACGATTTATCGTCATAAATCAATGCGGTTGCATGATCGGTCAAGCAAGGCGATGATATAAGCGGATTAGTCATCTACCGCGGCCACAATCCCTGACAAGAAACAGGCCGAGGAACTGCTCGACAAAACGTGTCTAACATTTTCTATTGCCTTGCTTGTCACGAACTGTGACCTGCCTCCAAAGACGTCCTTTCGCGATGCCCTATGACCTAACTATCCGATCGGGACTAGAGTCAGAGCTGTCCCACACATATCGTGATCAGCTCCTGAATAGCTTCACAACCTAGCTTAGCTTCTTCGTTCAATGCCTATCCTACATTCTTGCGATTCCCTATCGTCAGCGTAGCTGTTCGTAACAGCTGAGGTGGGAATGAGCACTAATTTAGTGTGCGTTATATCAAGTCGGAACAGTGAAGGTAACGGGGCCATGCATGGTGTGCAGATCCTACCTCCTTAAGCATCTCGATCATGACCAAGATGCAGGTGCCTTCATGCACGCAGGCAAAGAAGACCTTCACAGGTCCCTACCGTGATCAAAGGAACAAGTGTTTCACTGATTGAATATGCACCTACGGCTATGGTTCTTGAGTCTGGAAGATTGGCATTACCTAACAGCGTGGTCAACCCACTTCAGCTGAAGCCTGAGGAGGCCATGACTTTCTACTTTTGCATCTTCCCCGCCATCGATCAGCATGGCTGACATTAGCCTCTTGCGCAATGTAACCTTGTTATACCTCAGCCTGGGCCTCGCCCACTCGGTCCCCCCAAAGGCAAAAATCAGATCTGCATAATGAAGCAGCCTCGAATAATTCACCAAGAAACATGTCTTAATATAGCTATCACTTAGGTCAGCAGCCCTACCCTCTTCGGGGGTTGGTCTGCTTCACACATACGATAATTTTAAGTCAAACGATAAATTTGAAGCCTTTTGACCTCCTACTCACCACTATAATCCATAACGTATTACAGCCAGGATTACTCGTAAACTTTTAAATCATATTTTCAGTATAAACATACAAGCATAAAAATAGACAACAATCTAGCTAATGTAATCTAGAAATAACTAGAGAAGCCAGTGCGGGCTTGGTAAGTAATTAGTGAATATTTAAATATTTTAGAGTATGTATAGTTAGAGCGGATACAAAACACTTACATACAATAAAAAACAGCAGTACCTGCACCCGGCAAACGGACAGAACTCATAGCAAGATAAGTTTACTTATGGACTACTACCTAACACTTCTTTCTCTCGATTTCTCGCCTCCCAATAGAACGATCCATGCTCACAATTCGCCTTCATACACCCTAGTTTCTCCGCCACGGGCACGCCACGAACTTACTGTCACTAGTCCGATGGAACATGGCGCCACAGTACCTGTCAAGTCAGGGTCAGCGTAAATCAACCAACTTTCCGCCGCCTGGTAACAAACAAGCCGTGACCCAAACATCAAGGAAAAAGGGAACATACAGCGTATCAGTGCCATCAAAGGCCACGACTACGCGCCACCTGTCTGCATTTCTCTCCCCATTCCAGGTAGTCAGATGCTCAAGCGGAAACTCCTTCAGGGTCTTGCCGTTGCACTGCGGCTCGAAGTTGATCATCGGATCGCCGTTGTTGTAAAATGTGTGCGGGTACATTCCTTGTTTTGGGAGGCCTATTAATGGCGTTATTAGGCTCGGTTGAGGGTGATAGAGGGTAGGAGTGAGATACCAATTGGTTTACCCCTGTGCTGGTAGGCAGCGTCGGCGGCGTTATGGTTGTCTTGTTTGTTGAAGTCACGGCTGTCTGACGTCCTGTTAGCTGGTCTGGATGTGTCTGGGAAAGTAGGAGGATATAGTATAGTAAGTACCGCATTTGAAATCCTTGAATTCCTTAGGAAATTTGACGGCCGCGTTGCCAAGTCCGGCGAGGAGGGACGCTGCGAGAAGAGAAGAGAATTTCATGGTGTTTGCTTTTCTTTGCTTTACTTTGCGTGCTGAGTTGAAAGTGAAGGACTATAATCATGGACTGGGAGTGGTTGGGTTATTTATACTGATAACTATGGACAAAAGTCCATCCAAACTATGTACTGTACATTCCAGCTACGTTGCCAGGAAGGGGCTGTCTTGCACAGATCGTGCTTGCATCAATAGTGTCTGCAATTTTCAGCTCCGCCAAGGAACGCAGTACATTCAGCTTGTCGGCATTATCCGAGAATGCGGTGTGGTCCAATACATGCTCCATGCATACTCAACACTGACAGCTCGGCTGCACTAGTTGCCAGGAAACGTCTCGTGATCATTGAGACATTTATCGCTCCTACCGAGGAGATGAGGAGAATAAGGTGGGGATGGACATATGATCTGAGAAGTCAAATCCTACTAGTTTCAACAGAAAGTACTACTAGCCAAGACACTTGATCTGCATCAGCTGTACAGTAACCCCGCAGTTTCCTGCCGTCCCTAGTAGAGCAGATCAGTAAAAATTTCTACACTACACTATATGCAGATCCTAGGGCCTAGCGAATACTGGATACATATGATGGCAGTTGCCTGGCTGCCTGCCTTGACGGCAGCCACTGGGGAAAATTGGGGTCTCGCTAGTCCTTGATAATGAGGCCGGCCAGCTCTAGCTCGGCCAGGGGCTTTCAGCTGCTATGGACTTTCAGCTTGACATTGGCTTTAGCTACCATGGGACTTCAGCCAGCCTGACAGCCGAAGATACAACGCAACCAAGCAGAAAGGCTACGACGATGCACCGGATATCCGGCAGATCCGAGTCTGGCATACTTGTAAGTAGGCTGCGTCACTATCCGCATTATCGTACGATAGTTATCGATCGATCGTATCCAAGTGCCGATAACGATAGATTTTCACTATCGATTATCCGCAGCGGATACGATACGATAATTTTTTTGACCTCAGCGGATATCATACGATATCCGTCGGATCATAAATATTATAAACAGCCCAAGACTCGTGATCTAGTGAAGCCTGCATAGATTATGCAGTTTTTCTGGTATTTTTTGTGTATCTGCGTGGTATAGCATGATTAAAAAATCGAGGACTTTAGGTACAGTTTCATTATTTAATATTTAGCAACGTATACACTCTTTGATATTAATATAAAGGTACCCTGAGAGGCTCTAAATTCAGCTAGTTTATATAATTTTGACTATTTACATCAGATTTTTTTCTATCTCAAAACCATCCGGTATCTTTGGCCTCTTCCGGATCCTCCTCGATCGCCCCTGAGTAGCCTCCTCAGTTAGCATTTCAGGAAGAGAAAGGCAATTATCATCACTGTCTTGAGATTCGATAGCTTCATGTGACCTCTTACTCTGTGTTATAGACTGTGCAAAATATGTTTTGTTCTCTAAATCACTCTCTGGTTCATCTAGTAGCTTCTCAGTTTGGTATCTACCCTCTTCCTCATCGTCACTAATAGGATCAATGTTATTCAGTGATAGAGAAGGCTTCTATGACTCATTAAAGATAGCAGTTTCTCCTTCTAAAGTATACTCCTTAATCAGATCAAGCTCATTTTGCTGGAGATCAAACTTGGAAGAGAAGAAATGAAGTATAAGCTCTTTGATTGTTTCAGGTTTGAGCTTGCCTCGGCAATAGTGACAGATATCGTAAACACAATTAAAGAGCCGTTCAACACCAGTACCGCTTGCAGGAATAGAGAGAATATCCCGAGCTAGTGCTGCAAGTACTGGATATTCTTGCTCATGCTCTTTCCAGAAGAGACGAGGGTTTCCTCTTGTAAGGCCTGTAATATTGTAAACTAAAATCTAGGCATAACTACAGAGATATAAACCTTTTGAAAGATATTAGGTAATCTTATCCACTGGCTGATCTACCTCGGGTTGGAGGGCTGTTTGTGAATCTATAATAAAAGCGAGATCATCATCAGGATCGTTTTGAGAGGCTTTGGGCTCTGTTACATTGATCTAAGGAAGAATACGCTGCTTGTAGCGTTCAAATTCGGCTTGTAACTTGTCCCGATAGATCTTCATGAAGTCAGCCTGTTTACCATTTACATGAGTCTCTTGCCAATCTTCATTATCAAAGTAGCGGAACTTCTTAGATGGGCAAAGGATAGTAACAATTGTATAAACTGCTCTATATGATTCAGTGTCAGTAGCTGTATAATACTTTTTTAGCTTAGCTTTGGCTGCACGTAATGCCTGAAGCATTCTAATCTTCTAGAGAACACTTTTTCGCTCAAGCTTTTCTTCAGCTGCATCAAGATGATTGAAGAGTTTGTTATAGATACTGAACACAGAATAAACTGTTATATCACGGGTTTTTGATAGTACATTTGTCATATCAAAGAATGGCTTTGTGATAAGAAGAAGATAGTCCACTTGACGCCATTCTTCTGCAGAGAGCTTGAAATGGGAATAGTAATGTGTAATACAGTATAGATCAAATACTCGCTGTAATCGTTTGGTACGATCGAGCATTAGAAACGTTGAATTCCAGCGTGTGCGTACATCCTGGATTGGCAGAAGTCTGATGGATATTATTTGAAGAGCCTGAAAAGTGTTACGTCGTTGAGGACTAGCATTAATAAATACAGCAAGCTCTCGGATCTAAATTGAGGATTAGTTATTAGAATATAGTAGTATATATTAGGAAAGAACATACCTTCTTTAACGTATTTGTGATATTACCTGATGATTGTTCTGAGGAAGACTAAATTGATTTTGTTCGTAATTCTGGCCACTCTGATTCCGTTTCGGCATTCTTTGGATTGGCTCTGATCTTCTCAAGAAGATCGTGTAGGCTTAGCTGTATAACATGTACAATACAGGGAATGCGGAATATTGGAGTATTACCAAATGCCAGAGGCCCAGCTAGCTCTTGAATAGCTTGAATCATCTTTGCATTGTTAGATGCATTATCGGTTGTGATTGAAAGCACTCGATTGGTAATCTGGTGTTTCTTGAAGATGCGTAAAATAGTTTCACTGAGATGAACCCCTGTATGTGATCCAGGCTGGTGTTCAAAGCCAAGAAGAACCTCACGATAGTTCCAATCTTTATCAATAAAATAGCCAGTAATAGCCATAAAGGCCTGAGAGAATGGGGACGTCCAGCAATCAAGTGCAATAGAGAGAGAGCTTCCTGTAGAAAGCTTACTGAGTACGTTTTTCTGTTGTTGTTCAACCTGACTCTCTAATAGTCGCCTGGTAGTACTTGCGAAAGGGATATATAGTTCGGAATCAGCATATCTTGTATATTGCAAAAGATCTTTGAATGCGGAATGCTCAGTTATCCGAAATGGTAAACGAGTAATTGTAATAAACTGGAGGATCTTATGTTGAAAGATATTTTGGTCAAAATTGAGGCTCTTTTGCTGAGGCTAAAGAGATATTAATAACGATATATATTCATTCAAGGGGAGACATACCATATTCTGAAGTAGCTTATCGATACTTTGCTTCGAAGTCTTTTGAAACTGTGGCTTAGTACATTGAGCACTTGTCAGGTGATTCTTTATAGGTAAAGGGCCAGAGCGTTTGTATTCAGGATGAATAACTACTGCAAGATATCGTTTGCACATAACCTTTGGCTCGCCCGTCTTTGAATGTGCAACCTGATCGAATGAGCTCCAAGCTGCAGATCTCTTTTAGTCACTATCTCAGTTGATTGTTCTCTGCAGGTCTTTTTTCTGGCCGAATTCAGTGGTTAACCACCATTCAACAAATTGGGTACGAGAGGTATCCATTGCTGAATTAGTCTTGTCCCCGTTATATAGAATATAATGTTGTTGTAGTGGTTTACCGACACGCTGGAGAGAAGTAGGGGGTAGAGTATATCGAGGTAAAGAAAGAATTTCGAAAACAGAGTTTGAACGTGTCACGAATTGACTGCTTATCGCGTCATCTGGAAAATCATCAGATTGTAGGAGTTCTGGGTCAATAAATAAATTAGTATAATGTGACATTCCATATTGGCTCCCACTATCTTGTGAGTATGACATGGTGGGCTATAGGTAAACGAATCATACTAAGTAAGAATAGTAGAATTGAAGAGACTTACAGGTGATCTGTAGAGTAGTGATATAGGTAAACAGTACTTTGTAAACTCGACGTGTTAAATCAATTATTGAGATTGATTGGATAGATAGTAAGAAAAGTGGAGATTCTATAAAATAATCAGACGATAATCAGACGATAATCGTCCGATATCTATTGGATATCGGCTGATATCTAACACTATCCAGAATTACTCAAAAAAACTAAGTCAACTCGATTAAGTTTTCTAACACGATTTTCTCAACATTTTTGTATGTACATATAATATATAATGTAGATCTCTAATAAGCTTAAGCTCTAGTGATTCTTTTGTACCTATTTTGATTCTATTTCAGCCTGTATTTACCATAAAAAAATAACGATCAATGTTTGCGAACAGGAATACTTACTTTGCTCTGTGTCAAATATATATTTCTTTCTCAATACCATCGATAATTTGATAATTCTAGATTGCTTCCTTACCATTACGTACAATTGGTTAAAAAAAGATATATATAAAGCTTCTGAGGTCAATTAATAATGAATACAATCTCAATTTGTAATATTTCACAAAGACTATCAAGCAAGATAACGAGTACGATCGTTATAACCATACCATTCAGGTTTCAGGTATAGAATCCGGCTTTATCAGCAGCATAACTGTCACCTGATCGGCTAGAACAGGTTAAATTAGCGAGATTTATGCTCATGCCGATAATCTGCAGATATATACGATCGATAGTCGATAATACTTCATTATCGCTATCGGCAAGTTGCCGATAGTCGATAACGACCTATTATCGGCAATCCGCAATTTGCGGATACCGATAATGAAACATTATCGGTATCGTACGATATGCCGCAGCCTACTTGTAAGCGTTCATCCGTGATAGATGCCTTCGATGTGCCCTGCAGCTGATCGTCCGGGCCGGACAAGAGTGCAACTATGCGCTATTTGTACACACATGACGTTCCACAGGGCCGCACAGGTGGCGATCGCGGTTCACCATATTATTATGACATCTCTTGGCATTCAGCATCCAGGTTCGGATAATATCGGAAGGAAGGTAGATAATTGCAACATGCGAAGCAACTCTATACAGATCTCGAGCTAGTGGGCGCTAAATTAACGTGCGTTATCTCGATTAGGAATAGCTGGACCAGCTATAGTACAGTAGATGGGGTGTCGATCAAGAAGAGATGGATCTGTTCATGCACAAACCCCTCTTTTAGTATATATACATATGAATGGCCGTCTATCTTAATAGTCTGGACAGGGATTACCCGAGAACATGTGAACACGCCACCCTGTATAATAGAGTATGTGGAACAAGGAGCATGCTAATAGGTTCTTGCGAAACCAAGGCGGTTCAGCCTGAATGACTGGACTAATATTTAGTGTAAGCAAGTACTGTACACATCATAATCGAGAGGACTGCTAGGCGGCCTTCCCTCTAATAACCTTACCACCATACCTGAATCATAAGTGGCCTCGACATTGCTGCTATCTTTACCCGTACATATTCAACGATAGACAGATGCACCACTTGATCCCAAATACTTGGCTGAGTTGGCTGTCATAAGCCCAAGTAGTGTATTGGATTGATTACTCTGGTGTCTAGTCTGTCTCTCTTGGCAACATGTCGGCTCCACTGCCACAGTCAACCCTGGTCGTTGATGTTCTTGTGGGTGGCTGTGCAAGGACCTAGCCAGAACGGCCCATGGGGTTACATTGATGATCGACAAATGCGAGCATGGGTCGGCGCCCTGCGGGGGAAGCGGTCTCTACTGGGTATGATTGTTAGTGGCTGGCTGAGGCCAAATGTTCTAGGAAGTTACGATTGGCCGGTGTTATTCTGCCCCAGACATTTCCTAATAAAGATAAGGCACTCCAGTGGGATAATTCGAATGTTGTAAAATTACCCTATCAGAACCACCCGGACTAGTCCGTACTAGAGCATTTGTTCCGCTGATCACTGTGGCGGCACTAATATGCGTCAGTAGTATTCCGGAGAGGTAGCGGAATGGCTTGGAAAATTGCGAATATGCAGGCCAGGGATTGTATGCGATGTTACCCTACTCTGATCGGCAGCCGTGTTCTAGTAAGCTGAATTCGTTGATAATGGTTTACAAGCGTGGCTGGCTGAGCATGAATCCTAGCACTTTTAGGTCGACATGTGAATATGGCGAACAGCGACATCGTCGGGAACAATCAGCCACGACCAGGAGTCGCTTGTGGGTAAGAAGTTATATAACCCTCCTAGTTCCTCTCCCAGAGGGTGCTTGTTCAAAGCACAGCACTATCCTTTGCCAACGTTAACCTGAAGTGATAACAGCAGTGATTCTCAAATCGCCATGGCTCAATCTGATCCCAAAGCAACGGCTCTCTTGCATGTGTCCTTGGTCGACAAGGCCACTGAAGCAATCAAACAGTTGATTATCGTCAGTCTAGAAGATGCAAGCATTAAAGGAGTCGACACCCTTGGTGACATCCGCAAACTTCTCGCCGAACATCGTGCGTTAAATGTTAGGCAGTATGTAATAAACAAATGACCTGCCGCGTTATTCTGTTTAACTCCGGTACTAGGCAACAATATTCATTTTGCATCCCGAGTGGCGCGAAAGCCACGGACTCTTTGAAGTGGTCCAAATACAAACAGTTGCTGAAGGTAAGTGGATCGCTGCCAATGTTTACCGGATGCTGACAAGCGGGTAGACAGAAGACCCACCTAAGTTAGAAGTATACCTCTTGCAGACCAAGTTGGAGGGTGGTATTGATGATACCACAAAGGAGTTCCTTAATCAAAAGCTTGATGCTGCGTTGACTGTAAGATAGCTACTTATTTGCGCCGCAGCTGTTGCTGATTTCCATATAGAAGGAACCCAGTGAAGCAAACAAGGCGCAAATCAAGGAGCTTGTAAGTGCTTATGTGGCAAGCGCCTACACTGCGACTCCTGGGGGAAAGATCAGGTAAGGGCTGAATCTTACTTAACTACCAACGTTTCAGACCACTGGAATGATGGCTAATTCAACGCGAAACAGCCACCCAGCAGAGCTGGCCGACCGAGATTGGGACATCGTTCTGCGAACGACCAGCTTGTTACATGGATATTCTATTGCCACGACCGGAGACAAGAACAGTAGTATACTACTGGGAATAGAGCGAGTTACCCGACCTGGTTTGTACCCCCCAGAGTGAACATCACCTAGTTCATCTGCTGACGCAGAAATCCAGCCTTTGTGATAAAGGAGAGGGAGATGAGCCTCTATGAGGGATTCATAGATAGCAAGAAACCACAGGTATATGGAAACTGCAGCAAACATACTTCGGATGGATAACTTACAGTATGGTCTAGGGAGGCCCTCACGCTATTAGAACCCGGATCCCTCTTTTCAACGTTACAGATGGCTCAAGCGTGCATGTTTTTGAGACCAAAAACGAGGTGGCAACTGAATTAGCACGAAGTGCATTTTCTCAAACCGATGTGGAAACAGCGCTGTGAGCCATACCCCAGAGGCAATCGTCTGGCACGATCCATATAGCAGAGCTGACATTTTTTTTAGTGGCGGTGGTGCGGCAGGATTCAGTGCTGCTGTAAAGGCAAGTCTCAGTGTGCAGGATAAACAAGCAGTCGAAAATGCAAAAAAGTCTACGCAAAGCCAGATCCACATTTCTTACAATGTGAGAATTCCCTAGTCCCCAAGCCCGTGCCCTACTTTGCCGCAAGAATTGACCGTTCCAGTTCCCTCGTGTCGTGGTATATCTGGACAAAGACAGCCTAGAGCTGACAGACGAGTGCAAAACCGATCTCCGGGCATGTGTGCCAGCTGGGACGGCAGAGCTGGATACGGAGAAGGTTCAAGAGCTTTTCAAAAAATACGGTAGGCACCGACCGCATATTCGGCGGAATAATATGATATGAAACTAACGTAGGCCACAATAGGTCATTTTCTCCCGACAAGAGTTGAGCTTGGCGGTCGACTCCATTCCACCGAGCAGCTAACGCAGGACAACAAATCCGATGCAGCCAGTGTGTCCCATGCCTTAAAGGTTGCCGCGAGTCTATCGTTTTCCTCGCCGTATGTGCAGGCGTCTGCGAGTGCCAGCCACGAACACTTGGAGGAGTCCAAAAGTCAAGCTCAGGCAAGCAGCCTCTCTAAATCAATTTGCTGGGAGGCGGACGGAGGCGACACTTTGTTATGCAACAAGTAAGTTCTCGCATCTCTCATGGGTACTTCCGGGGCTAATTGGAATAACCGCTACAGTCCTCCAGCTTGGTGCTCCACGGTGGGATCACATTATAACTGGCGGGTAATGAAGGTAGGCGGTCCTTTTCTAAAGTGATCCCAAATTTGAGTATTCGGCTCTGATTGTCTCCAAAGCAAGGAAACCTTGTCCCAATGATTTCCTTGATTTCCGCCTTGTTGGAAAAGGAAAGCGATATGGAGAACATCAAGACAGCCTTGCAGAAGGTCGCAAACGGCCAAGACCAGACAATCGTGCATAATCAAGCATCTTCTCAAGTGCAGCCGTCTCAGGGACTTGTACCCTATGTGGATGGGGCAGAGAACACTATTAGCAAGCCAGGGAATGCAGGAGAATCGAAACTCGATGGCGAATACTACGATGAGGTGGAGTCAACAACATATTTTCACCTGAAGTATCTCAAGAAGGATAAGCATGATGAGGACAAATATCTTTGGGTCAATTGGCAAGAGTACTGGGATTCAGGTAAGTCTGAGAGCTGCATAATCCACACACACAGAGCTGATTATCTGTGATTTGTGACCTTAGACTGGCCGGATAGCTTCCGTGATTTGGATGGACGAGAGGAAATCGTGGAGGATATTAAGCGCCACCAGGCAAAGTACGCTGATGACTTTAAGCGAGCTATGGAAAGCTCCCCCCAAAAATGGCCGGCAGGGTTTATCTCTTATTTGGCTGGAGATCGGCAAAGAATGGGGGTTGTGCCAAAGCCGCCGCCAAAGTACCCGGTGGATAGACCACACCCCGGCCTACGACCTGAACTGCCTTTTGTCACTACCGTTCGGGGCCTTCCCAATGATGTCAACAAGGTAAGTGTGGAAGGGAAAGCTACATTGCGTATTCTGACAAGGAACAGTTACACTATAACACGGCTTACACTTTGAAGATTGGGGACTGTCCAGTGTGTGCAAACGACGCTGCACCGGGCTTTTACCACAGCAGGTACTTGTTCAGGCAACAGACCGCGGGCTTCCCACTTTATCCGACACCGTTAATGTTTCAAAAGTCTGATGGCTCCTCTGGCACCGGCGTGATAAGAAATGGCGACAAGGTCACCCTCCATGTTTTGTCCAGTAAGAAAGATGCTACGGGGAAAGTCGTATATAACGATGATGGAGGAGTTGGGAAAATGCTCAAAAATGCGGTTGGCGTAGACCCGTTCGCAATTACAGTCCCTCTCGAGTTTACCTTGGAGTATCAATGAGGTTGTTTGCATTGCTGCTTTCTATTTGCTTTTCCTTGGAGATGTTCAACACATCTTGCTTTTCTGAGGCTTTGGTTTCTGCGCTGCAGCTCTATGTTCAATCAACTTTGAATCAAGAAACTGCTATTCCTTACTGGCTACTGCTTATCTATTTTCCTTCCCCAAGTCGAATTTTATCAGATTGGAAAAATTGTGGTAGCCTGCTTCATGAGTAGTGATCTTGTTATTTTTTGTCCGTGTGAAGTAGTACTGTAGTGTTCTTCCTCAGGCTGGTACATGGCGTTGGGGATCGAGAATACAGACAAGAAACCGCATTTTGAAGATGCGCCTTAGACCGCTGTAGAGGGCTTTCTGCGGTTAAAGCGGCCCATTACCGGGGGGAAATAGTTAGTTTAACCAATATATTTCCTATTGCTAGGTACCAATACGAAGCCTTCGATACCCCTCCGTTTAATTTACTGTTCCCTGAGCCTGCCGCCATGCTGCAGGGGTTATTTCGAAAACGGCAATTCCTCCTCCTCTCTAGGAAAGGGTAGCTTATCCTCCGGAATCGTGGCTTTCATAAGTGAATTATCCGGAGACGTGTAAAAGACGGATATCCTGCCAGATTGAGGGGTTGAAGCGACTCTCGCCGAAACCGTTCCAGACGGAGAGCCTGGCGCCCTGGGTCTTACTACACTAGAAGACTAGTTCCTGCGTACTGTAGTTAACCAGCCAGCAACTGAGTCTATCGCCCAAGTTATATCCATTATACCGCGAGACTAACAGTCTTCTAAATATTAGTTACTAATAATTTTACTCTACTACTAGACGTTCACTACATATGGAGACTAAACTAGCATCTAGAATTTTAGTAAATATAGTAAATCTTTATTTTATTAGTTTTATTCATTTCCACGGAATTTATAGATAGTATAGGAGAATAATATGCCTAGTATATCTGTAGCTATAAATTAAAAGCTGTATTCTGGATTAAAGAGATTATTTTAATAGAAAACTATACTGCTTTACCCGTAAAGGGAACTCTTCCGAGACTAGAAACCGCCCATCATATATAAACTTAGAGGCCAAACTATGTGTAATATTAATGTATTTGAGTAGTAAGAATCTTAAAAACTAGTTTAGATTATCTAAGGTCTATAAAATCTCCCTCGAATTATCACTGAAATTGCTAGGCTGTGCCGTCTATCTACCCTGTACTCATCATCAACTTGAACCTATTTCCCAGATCACTCCCTTATACCTTTGCCCTAATAACCGATGGTGACCTTTTAAGCCAGGTATCGTCACTTGAACTGTTTCCAAGGGGCCAGTTCTTCAGATATGTCACGAATTCGGTTTTGTAAACCCTAAACCCCCTTTTTACGCAACAGAAAGCTCTTCTTTCTTTACCCCTTTAGCACCCCAGCCACGGACACCGTTAGCCCTCATACGATATCTTTATTTAATATACAGCCTGCAAATCATCCTTTACCGAAGAAATCCCCTGTTGTAGTGCTACAAAATGACCTATTGCCTTCAGGAGGTAGATTACCCGGCTAAACGTCGTCACCATTGCCGACATTAATTTAGTCAGAGAGAATTCAGTGAGTCTAACTGCGAAAACTGAAGAAATCTCTGGGGCTGCAAAATCTGAAAAGCCCGACGAACGTATTTCGGGAGGGCCAGGTTACATCAGTCAGTTAGATCCAGCAATATTAGAGATATTAAAATCTTATACTTGTTACGGACTGTGACCTGCCTCCGAAGACCTTCCTCGCGATACCCTATAACCTAACTCCCCGATACGGACTAGCGTCAGAGCTGTCACACATATCGCAACCAGCTCCTGAATAGCTTCATAACTTAGCTTAGTTTCCTCGTCAAATGCATACCCTACATTCTCGCGATTCCCTATCGTCAGTGTAGCCGTTCGTCACAATACTGCGATAACATCCGAACTTCTTACCTATCACTCTCAAGGAAACGACTCACCCGACGAATGTGTCTCAGGCTCTAGAGATCTTAGAAATATACAATCTGGTACTGAAAAACCTAGGAAAGAGAGTAACATCGAAAACTAGAGGTTTTATAGATTCTATCGGACGAATATATCTAGACTCCTGTAATGAGGTCAAGGGTGCCGGCCTGAAGGCAGAATGCGGCTCATAGAGAGAAGCCGGCTGTACTAGTAACTAGGCCAAAGGATAACTATTATGCTAACAGACTTTGTCTTGGATTTTAAAGGAGATCCTTAAGGTACTATAGCTACTAAAGGATCTATAGGATCTATAGTGGCTTATACAACAGACTGGTATTTTTTTTAGCAGGAGTAAAGTACCGATCTTAGCAAAAATGAGTAAGGTACTATAGCCACTAAAGGGTGTATAGGATCTATAAGGTTTATAGTATTTTAAACGTGGGATTTGCTTATTTCGGCAGGAGCATAGTTGCGATCGTAAAATAGATGCTGAAAGTACTGTAACTATCAAAAGATTTGTAAGATCTAAAGGATATCTAGAATCTAGAGCAAAGTAGAATTCGATAAAAGACGCGTTATGTCTAGTAGCCCGCGCAACCTCCCGCCGGTTTCTGTGACTTCCTGAAATCAGGGAACTTCCTGGATTGACTTCCTGAGCCAACGAACTTCCCGGTATGGAGAAACCTTCCTGGATATAGTCCTGCCTGAGGTTCCGCCTCAGGCAGTACATAGAGGCCCTAGATCCTCGCTTCTAGATAGCCTTTCCTCTCCATGGGAAAATTCCTTGACTACGAGTTAGAAACAAACTTGTCTTATATTAAGCTCCTTTGTAGACCGTCACAGTTTCGTTGTCGTTTAAGTTTTGCAGCCTCTCGTTCCTCTGATAAGGCGTACTTTGGTAGACGACCACGTTTTCGGATAATAAATATAATTGTATCTAGATATAGATATTGCCAAGGTAAAAAGAGGTAGTAACTGATCAAACTGGATAAACAAAAGATATTGATGCCCTAGGAGCATCTGGCTGGTCCGTATAAAGTCTACGCGGATATCCCGAACTTAAATTAATATAATAAAAAGACGATCGTATTAGCGCTATCTAAACAGACTTCTAAGCTTAAAGAGAAAATAAACGAAAAGAAGACGCGGGCAAATGTATACATATAAATTAGCAAAATACAGGTAAATAATCAAGCAAACTAGTCAAACGATACAAATAAAATTAGTACCTTTTTAGTTAACCTCCAAGCCGTCATATAAGGGAGAAGATCGGCGTCAAGTTTCTCTGGCCCTGTATCATTGATCAAATTCAGTATTGCATTTGTTAGCTGCAGCTAACTGCTGCCGAACCCGCTGTTAACAGACTTTATAGGTATCCCGTTCTGCTGCGGATCTATATTTGCATGGCCATTCTCGTTTCTTGATCGGTTATTAGATAGCCAATGTATTTGCATATAAACTGGGTATTCTGCTACATGCAGATGTCTCTGTTGCAGGCATAGGCTGAAAATGAGAATGCCGTAAAGATCTGTAGCCTGTTTTATATATGAATGAGTACTGTCGTGCGATCTAAAAAGTCGGAATAAACTGTAAAGCTAGACATTTATGGGTAATTTTCTTTGGACTCGGTACTACTGTAAGCTAAATAAAGAAATCTCTATAGCCCTATATAATCTGCTGTTGCAGTGTCATTAATATCTGTTCCGTCTGGGTATATCTTTTAGGCACACATTTAGGCTCAATGCTAGGCCTCTCGGGTAAGATATGCATTGAAAGAGCTATACGATAAAATCTAGAAATACTTATACGGAAATTGATATTATAAGTTCTATATCAGTCGGACCTAGGCTAGATCCAAAAGTTTCCAGATCGGAAATTTAATAATTTTTAAACAGAAAACGTAACTGATTACTTATATTATAAACTTTAGTTTAATATATTTTACGTAAAAGATTTTACTGCACTACAGCGAAGGGACTAGCGATAAAAGAAATTCTACTTTTCAGATCTTGATCTGATTCAGATATAACATTAGATAATGTTTGCTGATCTTGATAATTGACTATCTAAGTCTGCCAGCAGCTGCAGTCCCAGTCAAGATATTTAGGAAGTAATTCTGGATACTCTGGTCGCCAGTGATATCTAGCCCAGTATCAGTCCGGAGACGAGACATCTGTTACCAAACTATATAGTTCAGATTAAATATTAACGAAGAACTATCGGTAAATTCTCTGTTTAGTATTCGATATTAACAAATCCGAAAACAAATAAGGCAATATTTAATAATATATAAAAAGATACCGATAAAGCCAGGATATAAATACATGTCGTAATATAGTAGTAAAAAGAACTTTTAATCTCTTACAGATTTGCTGATATAGAACATGAAATGGTTTATTTTCTTAAAAATCTCGTTACTACAAATTATGGTAACCGAATAATGTATTAGCAATTGCACGAGGAATTTGATAAAATAACCAATTTCCTGAAACACGGGCTAGTCCATCTGGTAGCACGGCAGAGAGGCCTGTATAAAAAAACTAAATTAAATTATCCAGAATATTAATATAATTATTAAGATAGATATTTTGCTGGATAAATCGTAAAATATCAAGTCTTATCTGTGACGGTCTACAAAGGAGCTTAATATAAGAAAAGTTTGTTTCTGACTCGTAGTCAAGGAATTTTCCCATGGAGAGGAAAGGCTATCTAGGAGCGAGGATCTAGGGCCTCTATGTACTGCCTGAGATTCCGCCTCAGGCAGGACTATATCCAGGAAGGTTTCTCCATACCGGGAAGTTCGTTGGCTCAGGAAGTCAATCCAGGAAGTTCCCTGATTTCAGGAAGTCACATTAACGGAGTTAAGAGGCAGAATAGAACTGAATGCTATAAATAGTTATTGCTGATAAATTTACTAAGCCCAGTATACTGTCGATATCAAATAATATTTGAGATAGAACAGACTGAGTAGATTCAGCATAAAAACAGATTTGTTTTGGCTTGCTGTTATGTTACTATATATTGGTTTTACAAAATAATTCCTGCTATTCTTTAAAGCTAGACGATAGCCTGTATTCGCAAGACTGCTGAGATATAAAGTCCGGCTTATTAAGTGTATAAGATACGTTATTCAGGCGCAGTTCATTAAGAGTATAATAATTTGTCGGCCTTATATCTTGAATATATATTCTTAAAGAGTTATTATGCTTTTCGGGACCACATCTATAGATATTAGTCAGAAATTACAGAGTTACCTTCTCTGTAGTTTACTCTAAATCAGACTCGAGACAAGAAGTGAGATTGCTTTTCTCTTTTATATAGGACTCTAGCAGTTAAGATATAGTCTCTTGTTTTTTGCCATCCAGCGGATCTAACTTATCTGAAATTTGTTACTGACAGGTAGACCCTATATTTAGTTCATCCGATAATTCAGGGTCATTACATTCGAGATAAAGATCTCTTGCTATAGAACCACAAGAAGAACGTAAATCAAGTAACATATCTGAATATCCAGATAAGGCCGTTTCAGTAAAGAGATTGAGATTGGTAGATTTTACAGGATTACTGCCTATATTTGGTATTTCCGAGTGCCGTAGCTGTTCCTTGCAGCGAGCTCGATATCGTTTGACTCAACGAGCATTGAGTGCACGACGGTAAAGAATACTAGTATTATTCTGCTTATCATTGGTGAAACGGAATTGTGATAAATTGTCTATAGTTACATTGTGGTTTGTTATCTGTTAGAGAATCAGTTATGGTATTATCCCTAGAAGTGCCTATTCTATTCTAACGTTAATCCAGAATAAGAAATCGTTACGTTACATTAACCCGAGATAAGAAATCGTTACGCTCTTGGCAAATACTACAAATTATGACGAGTTTGACAGCAAAGTACATTATTAACTTATACTAAAATGATATATTATAGATAAAGAAACCTTAAGAAAGAGCTCATAAAGACGTCCGATTGATGTTACTCTGTAAAATTGCCTTTATCGTCCCAATTTCTAAGTTGGGATATAGTCATGGAGCAGTCAGCATCAGACACGCTGCCACCGAGAAGGGAAAACGATCACCAGATTGAGCTCACTGATAAGAATACGCTGGGGTATAGTCCCTTATATCGGTACTCTGCAAAGGAGCTGGAAGCGATCAAAACCTATCTAGTAAAGAACTTACATAAAGGCTTTATCGTTTCTAGTGCTGCCCCGTTCGGCTCCCCCGTACTGATGGCTGCGAAGCCAGGAGGAAGCTTACGGTTCTGCGTGGACTACCGGAAGTTGAACTCGATTACCAAGAAGAACCGCTACCCTCTGCCCCTGATGGACGAGCTGCTGGATCGGCTAGGCCGCGCAAAGATCTTTACTAAGTTCGATATTAGGCAGGGCTTTTACCGTATACGAATGCACCCTGATTCGGTAGATTTGATCACGTTCCGCACCAAGTACGGATCCTATAAATACCAAGTCTTGCCCTTTGGTTTAACCAATGGGCCTGCAGCCTTCCAACAGCTGATGAATGACATCTTTATTGATCTGATCGACAAGTACGTGGCTGTATATGTAAACGATATCCTGATCTTCAGTGAGGACGAGCTTGAACACGAGGCCCACGTCTAGGAGGTACTAAAGCGGCTCCGCGCTGCAGGCCTCCAGGCCGCTATTCACAAGTGCGAATTTAACGTGAAAAGAACTAAGTTCTTGGGCTTCATCTTGACCCCAAATGGCATTGAGGTTGACCCCGAGAAGGTTGCAGTGATACTAACTGGCAGGTTCCCACTACAGTTAGGGGAGTTCAGTCGTTTCTCGGGTTCTGCAACTTCTATCGACGCTTTATAGAGGCCTACAGTAGGATTGCCAGACCACTGTATGCCTTAACAAAGAAGCTGGCATCCTTTGAATGGACCCCTGGCTACCAGGAAGCCTTTGAGCAGCTGAAGAAGTACCTGACTTCGGTGCCTCTCCTACGGCACCACGACCTAACCCTCCCGTCTAGGATTGAAACGGATGCCTCTGACGGGGTAATTGCAGGCATATTCTCTCAGTTATTCGAGGTTAGGTGGCACCCGATTGCCTACTTCTTTAGGAATATGCTCGGTACTGAGCGCAACTACGATATTCATGTAAGGAGCTCTTGGCCATAGTCCGAGCTCTAGAGCTCTGGAGAACGGAACTTGAAAGGTTACAAACTACTGAACGAATAAAGATCTGGACTGATTATAGGGCTCTTAAATACTTTATAATTACGAAGAAACTAAACGGGCGACAGGCCCGGTGGGCAGAGATTCTTTCAAGGTTCCATTTTCTGATCAAGTTCAGGCCCGGGCTGAAGAATATGGCTGCTGACGCCCTATCAAGACCTGAGGGGAGTCCTTCGGACCTAGATTTAAAGAACCAGGCTCTCCTAAGGCTATAGTGGTTGGAAGAGGGTGTTCTGCTTCCGCAGGCCACTGAGCAGAAACTATCTCCTATAGCAGCATTACTCGCCCCCGTAGAACTAGATGACGTTCAGTTGATGGACCGCCTTCTGCAGGCTAATCGCACTGCGGCTGACCTTGACGAAGAAAAGGCTGCTGCTGCTGATGCTGCAGAATAATCAGATTGGTCCCTGCAGAATGGGCTTCTTCTTTTCCAGAATAAGCTCGTGGTCCCTGAAGAGGGCGACCTTCGCACCCGATTACTTGATATAATCTACCGACAGCCCTCTACTGCGCACCCAGGACGAACCAAAACAGAACCTCTGGTAAAGAATCGATACTGGTGGCCAGCGTGACGCCATGATGTAAAGCGCTATGTAGCCAACTGCCTAATATATAATCGAACTATCACTAGAAGAAATCTATTCCCGGGGCTACTTTAACCTCTCGATATCCCGAACCGCCTTTGGGAGCACATCTCTATGGACTTCTGCTCCTGCCCGAAGGACAAACGCGGTTTCGATAAAGCCTGCGTGATCGTGGACCGCTTGACGAAGCGGGTGATCTCGATTCTCTGTCATAAGAATGTGTCGGCAATGGATATGGCTCAGCTCTTTCTCGAATATATATATCGATAGGTGGGACTGCCAGAGTCAATCCTTTCGGACCGTAGAGACCAGTTCGTCTCTGTTTTCTAGGAGGAACTCTGCCTGCGGCTGAGGATCAAGCGCAAACTAACCCCAGGGCAGAAGCCCTCCACGAATGGCTATACAGAGATCGTTAATCAATATCTTGCCCAAAAGCTCCGTTCTTTTGTAAATTACTATTAAGATAACTGGTCAGAGCTGCTGCCGGCTATAGATTTCGCCTACGCCGTCCTCGAATATGAGTCAACCGGGTTATCTCCCTTCCAGGTTGAGCGTGGCTACGAACCCCGGGTCTCCTTTGACTGGGTCTCGCCCTCGAAGCCTCGGGATAGACCTCATGATCAAGCTGAAGCTCGCCAGACTGCTCGCAATTTAGAACAGATCTGGGACTACGCTAAGGGTCAAATTGAACTAGCTCAGGTAAAGATGAAACGGCAAGCCGATAAGCATCGCAGACCCGTGGACTTTAAGGCCGAGGACTTGGTCTACGTAACTACTAAAGACTGGGAATTAGGCCGCCCGAGCCGCAAGTTCGGCGACCAATGGGCTGGCCCGTACGAGATTATTGAACAGATTGGACATGCCTTTAAGCTTCGCCTGTCTCCTACACTCCAAGTCCACCCCGTTTTCGCGCCAGAGAAGCTCCGAAAAGTGACCGATTTGGCGCCTATGCCGGGTCAAATTCGCGATCCAGAGCCCCCGATTGAGATACAAGGCGAGTCTGAATAGTTTGTAGATAAAATTTTTGCTTCTCGCATGTATAATAAAGAGCTGCGCTACCGCGTGCAGTGGGAAGGGTATCCTCCCGACCCTGCGTGGTATCCTGCCTCCAATTTCCGTAACGCCCCGCTCAAGTTGCAGGAATTTCATGATCAATATCCTGAGAAGCCTGGTCCGCCTCGGCGCCTGGCTAACTGGCTCGCTGCTGCAGCTAACGACGAATTTCTCGACGAACACGATGATGACGATTTACCTGTTTAAGCTTGTTTTGCAAGGGCTGGGGACCAGCCCTTTCAAAAAGGGGGGGTATTGTTACCTCCCGGGCCAAGGACTTCCCGATACGAACTTCCTGATATGGAGGACCCTCAGGTAGTATATAGGGGATAGATCCTCCCTCATAGATAGCCTTTCTTCTCCATGGGAAAATTCCTTGACTACGAGTCATAAACAAACTAGTCTTTTACTAGGCTCCTTTGTAGACCGTCACAAATCATTGATACCTAGATAGTTATAAATTTCTGAGTTAGACGAGAGTAAGTTGTAATCTATTCTGTAATTTGCCATAGCTAAGGGCGATAAATTGAGACGGCTACAAATTACGCCAGTAACTTAGATATTTTGCATATTAATTATGCATATCTGGGGGTCAAATGGGCCGGCCCATGCCCAGGTCTACTGGTACATTTGATAAGAACGCGGCTGCGGCGTGCTGCAGACCCTGTCTTTTTTTTTCTGTAAGTCCGCTTTCTGCTAGTGGAATCGAAGTAGAAAACATGACTTACCATTATTTATGGAGTCAGCAACATCATGAATACAAAACAAAGCCAAGACGTGTCTAGTGTACGGTTTTTTCAAGGATGTATCTATCTGTGGAGAATTGTGATAGATTGGAGCGCAGAAATTAACGCAAGGCCCCGTTCCGGAAGAATGTCGTTAAGGGTTGGTCTCTGCTGCTTGTCGGAGCTCAAACTGGGTAATCACTTATGGGGTCAATCAACCTATTCTTGTTTCGAAAAAGTCTACTGTCTATGTACCCACGAAGGGTACTTCGCGCATTTGACTTTCTAGCGCCCGAGGAACCCTGTGGGTCCTGATAGCCAATCGGCTGCCCGAATGCGTATACGAACTCGAACTTCCTTTTCTGTCATGTGGAAGTTCACACGGATTGGCAAGATCAACAGTTCTTCCCAAAACCCGAACTTGAGTTGCTCGGATTATTTCTTGTGGACCCAGTCAGGGATTTACTTACATAAAATGTCCAAGTGCATCTTCCCAATCAATTGAACTGTCGTCTATCTCTGCGGTACTTCTGACCCATTGATCTTGTTTCTATCCCCCAACCCTCTTCAACATGACGGATAAAAAAGGATATCAAGCTTGGCCTGCTGGCCCTCCCTCTTATCTTCAGGCCCAGTGTTCACCTGGTCAAGATCTTGCACAAAATCCTGATTGGAACTATTCCCTGTTCGATTGCTTTACGCCTGGATCTATCTGTGAGCGTCGACCGTGCCTTTTAAATACTGCTTTTCCCTCCAGGGCTTCTGAAGCTGACTGTAAGAGTTTGACGGATAGGTTTGACCAGTTGTTGCCTTCCTTGTTTGACATTCGGAAAGACCCAAGCCCGAGTCAAGAACCCAACCCTTGTCAATTTCAGCTACTGCAACTCTGATGTGCGTAAACACACGTCCCGCCTAGCTCCTAGATCTTATCTACATCATTCAGTTCTTATGCTAACGAGAGATTAAACAGTGCGGCCTTTTTACCTGCCTCGGCTTCGTGTGGTCACACTGGATATTGCAGACGATTCGCCGAAGTGAGCTGCGCGAACAATTCGGGATCAAGGGCAATTGTTGCGGGGACTGTTGTACAGTATTCTGCTGTTCCTGCTGCGCAATTATTCAAGAGGAAAAGGAAGCTGAGCTTCGGACACGTCCTGCTTGTCAAGCTGCGTACCAGGCCGTCCCAGGGATGGCTTATCCTCAATGAGCCACCGTACTATTAGGATTTGTAAAGCTCGTCCGTTTCAACCATTTCTCACTTCAGCCAGCTTCTGCACAAACTTTTAATTCAAAAGGAACCCGGCTCACATTGTTTACCAATAAATGGTAGTAACACCACCATTCACCGTTCTTGCCTCACCTATCCCCCAGAGAAGATGAGCGTGAGTTCTGCAAAATTAGCGTCTGATTTCCCAATGAGCTTGAACGGTGGATGTTTCCAGAGTATTACACATCAAGCCAATCATGTTTGGTTCCTTCATGATCTTTAGATAATGACTTTGTACCTACAATAATGACAGGACGACGTCGAGTTTGTGCATCATGGATCTGTAGTTAGGCTTAATTGGAGGATAACTTGTCTCCTGTTTACGTCACCCACCATACCACATACTACATTTTCACCACCAAAAGTTAACCGCGGTTTAACTGCGGTTAACCTCGAATTTGCGCTGATGGTGATAGTTATCAAATCTTATGGCCATTACCGCAGATGCGGTTATGCCGCAGCCTACTAGCAGCAGTTTCAATCACAGCAACTGGAGTAAGGCCAGTAGTTTCAGCCACTTCAGCTGATAGCATCTCCGGGTTAACAGGGACTATAGAGTATTGTCTTGCACTAAGCTGGCCGGCCTTTCTCGGTATATTTGTTACTCGGTAGGAGATATAGCGGGAGCTGCGCTCGATCTGGCAGGTATCGAAGAAGGTAGAGATAGTCTCTTTCTGTGCCTCTAGGGCTGCAAGAGTTTCAGAGGATGAAGGTAGGAGGGCAAATCTAGTCTTACTGAGCACGTAATGGTCGAGTTGTCACTCAGGCGCCAGTGCCATTTGGGTGGGAAATTCACCGTGACCCGAATGTAAATTCTAGTGAAGTGCTTAAGCTCAGAGGAATGGTGGAGTTCGATCAGTCCGAGCTGTACGAGGCCTAAGCCATAGAAAGAATGCAAATGAATGAAGTAATACTCTATCTAAAACCTAGCCTAGAGTACAGAGATACTTGAGTGCTTGAATGTTTGAAGAGGATTGTGGCCTCTGCAAAATATGAGCCTCGGACGGACTAATGTTGTTCCCGGTTTCCGAGCTAATTACATCACATCATCTAGCCCCAAAAACTGCCGCTAATTACCGCCTCAACCAGTCGATGACTGCCATGGTCGTCGCCGAATTTTACCGTTTTCGAGTCCAATTTCATCGCTACGACCTGGCAGACACGAATGAAGTCATTGTGCGTCCCTTGCGCACCTACGAACGTTCCTTGTTGGTTGAGTGACTGAAGTTCCCCTGTCTTATGATGAATCTAAAGGCGGACGTTTATCTGGCGAGGTGCTCTCGAAAGTCCCATAGGAAATCCCGTCTTGGCTGTCTGAACTGCAAAGGTCGCAGAATCAAGGTATGCCTGTTCTCCGTTAAGAGGAGACTTGATTTGAATATCCGCAAGCATGTGGGGAATATGAGTCCTATTAAACTAACAGTTTGTCAGTGTGATGAGGCAAAACCTCAATGTGGTCATTGCCTTCGGCACTCTATTGTCTGTGACTACAGTTTGCAGGCGCAAACTCAATCGCGAGTGCAAGGAGAAGCTCCACGTGGTGATTCGCAAGAAAGCATCGCATCAGACTCAGCGTCGTCAGGATTGGAAAATCAGTACCGCTTTATATCCGCCTCCACAACAAATTTCAAACCCCCCAAACGGAAACATAAAAGGCAGTCTCAATTATACGACACTGTTACTCTGAGTACAGCTATCTCCGAATCATCATGTACCACCATACCTGAGCGGCCTTTTCAGTTTAGCGGGGCAGACATGGAATTGTTTCATCACTACATGACATCCACTTCCATGACGCTGGCGGAGGACGAGGCAGGTCGGCAAATGATGCAATCAACACTTCCTCAGCTTGGTTTTAAATTCAACCATGTCCTGCGTTTGCTTTTAGCTTTCTCTGGCTACCATATTGCTCACCTGAAAAGACAGCAGCAAAAACAGCAGGAGCAGGAGCTCGTATCACTTCAAGAATCTCCGGATGAGTCAATTATCACGCAGGCAGATCGGCATTACACAATCGCTCTATCCCAAGTCAGCACTAGCATTTCCACGCTAAACGAAACGACTTGCCATGCCATGTATGCAAGTGCAGTGTTTATTTGCTTTTGCTCCTTCGCAAAAGGGCCACAAGTCGGGCAATATCTTGGCTTCAGTGAAACCGGCAATGCGGAATGGATGACCCTACTAGGGGGAGTTCGATCCATTGTTCAATACTCTCGGGACACGCTCTCGGTGGATCTTATTCCGTCCGACAACTCGAATCTGACTTTAGATCAGCATCTACACGAGCCTTCTGAGGATCAGGGGCGTCATGACTCGGGGTGGAAAAGTTGCCTTCAGCAGCTCCGGGAAGTGCTTATTCAGGAATTACCGGTTACCGAATCTCGCCATCCGATCTATCTAGGGGTATTAGATGGCCTTGCTTCATCATTCAACAAAGTCTATGGCGCCGGGTCCCTGAGCAGAGGGGACAAATGGGCACAAATTTTCCGCTGGCTCTATACACTCCCTGCGGTATTTTCATCGGATCTCCAAGAGCATACACCGCTTGCTCTGCTTCTGTTTTCCCCTTTTGTGGTCTTATTGAAAGAGCTGGATTCTTATTGGTTTGTATGCGGATGGCCCGAGCACATAGTGGGTGGCATTTGTCGTTTCTTGAATTTACAGCAACGTCAATGGATGAAATGGCAAATGGATCAGGTGGGATGGAATCCGTTGGACGTACCCGAAAGCTGCCAGTAAGATCTGGTTCTCGCCAGCTTTTGTCATTCCCCTATATCTCTCAGAAGTTTCAAACAGGTCTTCTGCTTCCGATATCCACTGATATGCTCAAAGCATGATCCCTGCTATCGGAGTCATTGCCTGCGCTCGAGTCCTCGAAGTTCAGTCTCCCGTGCAGTCTACCTGTCATGCAGTTGGCGTATGGGAGAAAGGACTGAATAGCAATGTGACCCGCCAATCTGTCCACTGGCGGCCGTACGGAATGGGTGTCGCTGTCGCAAATCTGTGAGAGTAAGATGGAAGATCAGCTTATGCACTGTAAGTGAGGTCAGACCCTGTGAGAGAGATCTTCCTCCTGACTGTCTCTCATATTAGGCCTGAATTGCTCTTCAACTGTCTGCAATCGCTTGTTGTTCCCTCTTGTGGGTCGAAATCCCGTCGACGCCTGTGACAGTACCGTTTGCAAAAAGGCCAGCAGCGAAACACCCCGCAGTATCTAGAGGCTTCAGCTGTAATGACTACTGAGAGTCTTTCGAGCGTGACAACCATAGAAATGGATTATTTACCTTACCGAAATACCGGGAGAAGACTTCCTACTTTAAGATGTAGAGTAGTATGCGCTTATACACGGATAGATTAATTAGGTATTAATATGTACAATGTACAGAAGATCCCAGTTCCAGGCCTAAGCAAGAGACAACCGGCGACATCAGATACAGGCATTCTCGAAATTGCCTTGACCAAAACACACTGAGAATCTCTTTTCTGGACCCACTGCCAAGGCCTTAGCGCAGTTAATTCATGGAGCAGACCACACTAAGTTGAGGGCCGCCGTAAATCGCCGCTTGGCACAGTACAGTGACCATCAAGGCCATCAAGGCTTATCGCCTAACAGTCAAAGCGCAGGGTGCAAACTTACAAGAGAAGGGTCAAGGAAAATGGAGTGGTTACTTACCACTAAGAATCCTTCGGATCCACTCACTTCGCATTTTGTACGTACTTTGTATGCGTTCCGCAGGACTCGGCAATATCAATCCCGAAGTCCCGATTCCACTAGCGAGACCTACTCAACGAGGCCATCGCACAGATAGAGTTGCTTCTTCAATCAATAAATCATACATTCATTTTTCTACTATTGATTCCATTACTCCTATTCGCTAAGGTGTATACTAGTCAGTACATAGAATTCTAGCTGTTCACAGGAAGATACAATAACATACAAGTTGTATTTTACAGTTGTCCTCAACTAAGTGTGGTCCGCTCAATGAATGATCTGCGCTAATGCCTTGGCAGTGGGACCAGAAAAGAGATTCTCAGTGTGTTTTGGTTAAGGCGATTTCGAGAATGCCTGTATCATCCGGCATAGGAGTGTGTCTAGAGATGGTATGAAAATCATAAGACGCCCGAACCAAATAAGGCTTGCCAGCCAGAATAGGCTTCTATCCATACCCAAAGTTCATGAGCACTTAATCCCACATGCAAGAGAGAGGGAGGTCAAGATCAAGGAAGCAAAGGAGAAAAGAAGCATCATATCCTTAGTAGGAGTTCGGGCAAGATGACTATTTCCAAAAAGAAAAACGACCCGGGAAAGTAAGTATGCTATTATGGCCAAATGGCAGACCTGTTTCTGTTAGCGAGACTTGTGATTGATATTCGAGAGAGCGAAAGGGTTGCTACTTACAATGGCTAATATCATCAGTGGTTTGTGCTCCCTGGGGATAAAGTGTACCCCCAAGACTATTACAAATGTTAGGACTGGTGGAATTGACATGGTTAAGCCAAATTCTGGCTCGATGAAGTGGACATCAATTAAGTCATAATGCAGAACGAAGCAGACGATGAAGAAGGCGCCTAATTTGACGAGGACCACATATACTGTAACTAAATTAGCAGCTAAAAGCACAAGTAAAGATCACGCACTTACTTCGTAGGCAAGGTATCGAGCTCTTATACATGAATCACCCTACACACTTCGGTAGATGGACCAGGCATACTGTTTGTGCAGTTGGAAGGCCAACCCCTAGATTCCGAGGGTGGAAAGCCCAATGAAGATCGGAACTGCACGTTGAGGGCTTCAGATTTGCGGCCAGATGTTTCTACTGATGTCTACCACCGGTATATCATACATGGCCCGCTGTTTAGGCATGGAATCGCAGAAGCCCTTCATGGCCGGATACTGCATGGCCGCGAAGGCCATGGCGAAAACATTACTGACGCAGGTGGCGAATAGTAGGATGTTGTTCTTGTGACGCATAGCGTCGACAGAGAGTAAGAATTCATAGGTGCAGGCAAACCATATGATTGCAGCGTCAACAGGGACGATGTATGAGGGGGTGACTTGAATGGCCTGTGGGCGCATCCATAGTTGCCATTCCACAAGGATAAAGCTGTAGTCCTGTTAGACAAGTCCCAGGCCTCCACGGGCGCTGAGACTCACATTTCAATGGTGAAAATAATGATTGCCTGGGTAGCCATCAACCCACCGAGGATCCATTCATTGGTGCTTCTGGATGTATACATGTTTAACCGTAGACGTTGGATGCAGATTTATAGGCAATTTGAGCTCTCATATGTCTTAAAATATCCTCTAAGTGGCGTTCCTTTTTCCTCTCTGCGGATTTTCGACCAGACAAGTGCGACCAGTAGTTCTTCACACCTGGCCAATCATAGACAATGATTTCTTGCTGAAGACCCCGAAAGTGGGGAAATGTCCCGGAACTAGTTTTAGCAGGGGCTAGTTAGTTAACTATACATTTTTAGAAATCTTGAAAAGCTAATGACCAATCAACGCCATTGAGTTTCCCCACTGTTAGACGGTGGACCAAACATTGAAAATTGGAAGTGGATTGGCCATACATCTGTCGCGCTGGAAAAACATAGTATTTCAGTAGTCTGTCCGGAACTCACGAGTTGCACATATTTAAACTACTTCGGGTAGCCATACCCCGAAGATACCTCGAGACCCACATTTCTGATCCCATATATGTGAATTATAGTGTGTAGATGGTATTGCTCTAACAAAGCCTTTGAAGGGTAAGTACCAGTGCATTGGTGATCCTCAATGAGCCCTGGAAAAGGAAATGTACTAATAGGTCTATGAGCCCCCTAGAGGGCTATGCAGACTGTCCAGCTACACAGACAGTTAGCATTCCGACACGGGATGCAGTGGAGGCCGAAGAGCACGAGAATACGCAAGCCATCGGGTTTGAGCCGACTCGACCGGCGTCGGCGTTTGTTGAAGTGCCGGTGGAAGCGGAGGCCGAAGCGCCGACTGGCCGAGTGCAACCTCACCGGGGCAAGTTAAGATCCTATAGACATAGAGATTTCCCACTCTTTTCTCAAGATCCCTAATCTGCGCGACGGCTTTATACGCGGTTGCATCTGTTGTTTAACCTTCACGTGTGTTACAAGCGCAACTTACTGGAATAAAACCCCTGATTGCTGGGTACCCGCTCCGCTGGTCGAAACCAAGCAAGGTGCGTACCTAGTCTGCAATAAGACGCACTCGAGCGTCACGCCGAATCCGCAACACTTGAGGCGACAATATGGGTGTCCCCGCATTGTTCCGATGGCTCTCCAACAAGTACCCGAAGATCATCTCCCCGGTGATCGAGGAGCTGCCCCATGAAGTTGATGGAGCAGAGGTTTCGGTCGACACTACTCGCCCCAACCCCAACGGTGAGGAAATGGATAATCTATACCTAGATATGAACGGCATTGTCCATCCGTGTACCCATCCCGAGGGAAAGCCCCCGCCAGCCAACGAGCAGGAGATGATGCTGGAGATCTTCAAGTATACTAATCGAGTGGTCAACATGGTCCGGCCGAGAAAACTACTTATGATCGCCATGGGTAGGATTTTCTTGATGGAAGGGTTCTGTTTAGCGACCTTAAAGCTGACATGTCATTATTCTGTACACAGATGGTGTTGCACCCAGAGCAAAGATGAACGAGCAGCGCGGGCGCCGTTTCCGCTCCGCACGGGAATACAAGGAAAATAGCAAGAAGAAGGAAGACCTCCAGAAACTACTCGCCAAGCAGCAAGGCAAGAAGATCAGTGACGAGGTCATCAAGGAGCAAGTCATTCAGAAAACATGGGACAGCAACGTTATTACGCCAGGAACTCCGTTCATGGATATTCTCGCCGCCTCATTACGCTACTGGATTGCCTACAAGCTCAACACCGACCCTTCCTGGGAGAAGGTGACATGTTTGACTTTTGTATTACCCTCTACCGTGCATCTGTATACTAACATGCTTAGATGAAAATCATCATATCGGATGCAACAGTTCCCGGAGAAGGAGAGCACAAGATTATGGAATTTGTGCGATCCCAGCGCGCATCGCCAGAGCACAACCCGAATACCCGCCATGTGATGTATGGTCTTGTTAGTCTACTAAGAGCAAGTGGCGAGCTACAAACAAATAACTGACCTTGACTTGGTACAGGATGCGGATCTTATCATGCTAGGTCTTGCCACCCATGAGCCTCACTTCCGGATTTTGCGCGAGGATGTCTTCCACCAGGAATCGAAACCGCAGACATGCGGGCTGTGTGGCCAAGCCGGACATAAAGCTGAGAAGTGTGTTGGCCGTGCGATGAAGGACAACGGAGAGCTCGATGAGAAGCAGAACGAAACTCGCCCAAAACCGTTCATCTGGCTCCACGTCTCGGTTCTGAGAGATTATCTGACTGTTGAATTGCATGTTCCGCAACAGCCGTTTCCGTTTGACCTAGAAAGGGCGTTGGATGACTGGATTTTCATGTGTTTTTTTGTTGGAAATGATTTCTTGCGTCAGCTCCCGTGCCTAGATGTTCGTGAAAACGGTGTCGATACATTGATCGCTATCTGGCGCGACAATATTCCAGTCATGGGGGGTTATTTGACCGAAGATGGAAATTTGGCTTTGCAACGAGCCCAAATTATCTTACAAGCGTTGGCTAAGCAGGAAGATGTGATTTTCCGACGCCGTAAGCAGATGGAAGAAAGAAAAGTGGCCAACGAAAGGCGACGAAAGGAACAGGAACGGGCTCGCAATGACGAGCGTGCCCTGATGTGGAGCCGGAGTTCCTCAGTTCATGGCTCTCCTAACAACAATCGATCACGCCGTCGTGGTATTGGTCAAGCTGCCCCGACCGTTGAAGAACTGATCAAACCCAGCCGGGGATTCCTGTCCAAGGAGACGAGAGAGATGACTCACAGCATGCTGACCAACCGCGAGGCCGTCTACCGTGCTAACTTGGAGAACAAGAGTGCCCCTGTATTTAAGAGCAGGCTCACGAAGGGCACACAAGGGGAATTGGCGGCTGAAGAAGCTTCAAATGCCACAATTTCTTCTGAGCAAACCTTCCCATCTGCTCTCGGGAAGAGAAAGGCTGATACGGCAGAGGAGAAGGAATTAACGGAACCCGGCACTCTACGCACGGCGTCATCTGTCGTTCTTCCCGTGTCTCATGTAAAGTACAAGGCGGATGAAACGTTGGAAGACACCGTTAAGCTCTGGGAGCCGGGATATGCGGATCGGTACTACGAGCAAAAATTTGGTGTTGATCCTGCAGATCATGAGTTCCGCCACAAAGTTGCGCGCGCTTATGCCGAAGGTCTTGCCTGGGTTCTCCTCTATTATTTTCAGGGCTGCCCTTCGTGGAACTGGTATTACCCGTACCACTACGCTCCCTTTGCGGCGGACTTTGTCGATATTGGTGGCATGGAAATCACGTTCGACACAGGTAAGCCGTTCAAGCCATTTGAACTACTGATGGGAGTTTTGCCAGCGTCGTCCAAGCATGCGCTGCCGGAAGCTTTTCATGATTTGATGACCGACCCAAACAGCGAGATCATCGATTTCTACCCCGAGGATTTCGCTTTAGATTTGAACGGCAAGAAGTTTGTATGGCAGGGTGTAATCCTACTTCCCTTCATCGATGAGAAGCGTCTATTGGCTGCCATGGAGAAGAGGTATCCACTCCTCACGGAGGATGAACGGAGTCGCAACACGCATGGTCAAGAGGTGCTATTACTATCGGGTCAACACCCACTCTATCAAGACCTTGTCGCCAATTTCTATTCCAAAAAGCCGGGTCCATCCGTGTACAAGCTCGATATGCGTACGAGTGAGGGCCTCGGTGGTGTGGTTGAGCGTAATGAGACCTATATACCTCATTGCTCGCTGGTCTCTCCTCTTGAGGGCCACGGCATGCCCAGCCTCAATGACGATCGCGCCCTAACGTAAGCCAAACTTCCATTTCCCAGCGTCAATATGTGTGCTAATAGCAAGGTCAGTGTAAACTACAAAATTCCCAAATTCTCACATATCCACAGGTCTATGTTACTGCGGGGTGTGAAGTTTGCCAGATCGATATTGAACGCAGAAGACATTCGCGCGATTAAGGACCGGACTCAACATTCTGGTCGGCCACTCGCCAGTGCACCACTTAACGGCAGAGGACGAGGGGCCCGCATGGAGTACGCATCAGACCAGCCGAATGCGGTCGCCGCGCATCGTGATCCGCGCTTCATGTCCGGGCCGCACACTGGTTTATCCGTGACGTCTTCCAGATGGCTTCCTCAGGGGCCCAGCTCTGGCGACTACTTTCGGCGACCAACTCCGCCGCCACGCGCGGGCTTATCTCATCAACACCAACCTCACCACGGTTACCAGGGCCAACAGGGCCGCCAGAGCCGCCAATGTCACCAGGGTCACCAGCATGGGGACTATTACGGGGAACAGAGTCAGCGCCACCACGGCCAACACGTACCCCACAGTGGCCACCATGATCTTGGCGGAGGCGGAGGTGACTACGGGAAGTAGCTTTGGCTGCCAGAAGCGCGATAGTTACTCTACTGGTCACCGTGTGATGGCTACAGGCGCTATTAATAGAGGTAACCTACTTCTTTGGATCCTCACATCGGATCTTGCGTCTATCAGCACCTTTAGGGTTTGAATTAAGTGGTGGATAGGTAAACGGCGTTCGGCGTTGTGAAAATGTCAAATCTGTAATATGGGCTTCCTTCTGATATGGCCTTTGTTCTCTGGTAGTTCTATATTTCAATCTAGACGTAGCTACGGCTGATTAGGGCTGGGCACGAATAAAGACCTAGCGTATTTGTATTCGCAGGGTCCACCAAGTCCAAATTCATATTCGTTAGGTTTCTGGGAGCTGTAAGAAATGGATTGGTAACTTACTACTAGTGCAAGACGATTACAGATAAAGTTTAAAACCCCCTCTCCTTTTTGCATGATATTCAGCCACCCCATTATGCCATCTACTACTTCACGGGTATGTTGAACGTGATTTATAGTATATAGGTAGCTGTAGGGCCTCTGCGGCCTTTTACTCCATCCGCAATATGTTAGCTTCCTGCAAAGTATTACTGTTGGGGATTTTGTACCCCTAGCATGTTTAACTTGAAGTCGCTTGGAGCAATTTTGACGACTCTGTCGTTACTCTTACATCTTCTCCGCTGCATCTTTCTCTGCCCTACTATTCTCTCAGCTGGTCTCATTCCGAGAATTAACCTCGCGCTATCCATTTCGACATGCCCACTACTCGTTGCCCAGTCGGTTCTCATTTTGATTGAGGTTAAAGCATCTGCTACAGCAAACCTCGTTGCTACAGTTGGCGTCCTTGTCTCCATACAGGGGGTTATTGTATTCTCCACCACGAGAACAAAACCGGGTTTTGCGAGGGGGTCTGATCTCGTCACAGATTGTTCAAGACTATCTCCATCTACATCCTACCCTCCAACCTCACCAACTAAAGATATTATGTTTCCTGTTTGCTGGTACTTCCAAAGTAGCAAAACCTACCTTCTGCATTATTGGGACCCTGATGTGCTCGCCAACCCGCCCTCTTTTCATTTTGTTCGTCTCTTTCGACTATATGGGTATAGCTTTGTTACATTGGTGGCTAGTGCGATACACAATCCCTGGTCTCCAGCTACGTTCAAAAGTCAAGCGTCTGCCATGGTTTCTCTCTGGTATAGCCTCAATCAGTTGCCTGATTACCACAGGAGCTTCTGTGTTCAATTGTTGGCCCTTGCCGGCCGGGGTAAGTTCATCTGACTTTCATTATTTTTACCCAAACGCTAATTAAGAGCAAGGTACAGTAGCAGGGTTTCCATGCAGCGTTCGTTCTCCGTCCATGATTCCGGCCGTGATAGCCCTCAATAAATGCACCTGTGTATGTTCACAGAGTTTACAAAAAAACCGTGTCCCCCGACCCCAACTCCCGCATTGCTATCTGATCAGCGAATGCACTAAAGACCTTTCGAACCCAGCATCTCCATTTTTCCTTCCCAGCCAAAGAAACCTAAATTTTACTTTCATTGTTACCCACGCATCCTTTTCGTCACATCTACATCCGCCATGAGGTTCAAGATACGTAGAATCAAACGCAGATAATCCGTGGAAACATCAGAACGTTACACTTTGTCGACAATGTGTCTTGAACCCCACCCAGTTTCACAATTGACCGCAAGTACAAGATAAATATAGTCACGTGCAAAATTTGTTGCCCGGGCATCCCCAATGCCTGACAAGAACCAGTTCAGTTGCCCAAGGAGCAGGGGTGAGCATTAAACCGTCCGGTACAAAGACGGGGGAGACAGCTGCCAATCTCCCGTTTTCAATATTACGTGTAACGTATATACTCTGCACGAGAATTAATACGCGCTCTTAAAATGAGGCGTATACAAATAGATAGACAGAAACAACATACGGTTGAGATTAATAACAATGAGGGAAGAAAAACGCGATGAGTTTTCTTGTTTCTCTTTGCTCCCTTCGTTAATAACTGTACACCACCCAGTACGGCGGACTTTCGGGTTGACTCTGCCATAGTTAGTTAACGCGTCTAAAAATGCCGACAAAGCGTTATGGCAGAGTCAACCCAAAAGTCCGCCGTAACCCAGGCAACACGTGACGGAAAGACTGACTATGAATTGTTGCGAGATCCACCACAGGCGTTGTGCTCCAGCCGAATTGACTCAGAGCCACAGAGCCTTTTGCCACCAAAGACACCTCTTGTTGGCTGTATCATCTCTCTGCACCTTGATATTGGCCACGTCAGCGCCGATACCAAGCATGGTGGCATTTTGACCTTGCTTCGGGAAAACCGGCAGTCCAGGCCCATTTGGATTTCCTGTGGCAATGAAGTTGGTGATATAACCCTGCATTATTTTCGCAATAGGGGCCACCATATGTGACAACCCCGTGGAGTTGTCTGTTGCTTCGCCATTCCAGTAGGTATACGAGACATCTTGGCTGTGGAGAGCCGGCGGGACTTGGAATTCGTAGTTGTAGGTCTCATTGTTGAAGGCACGGGCGAGATAATTGGTGTTGCAAATAAATATTTCCTCATTCACCATAGCGATAGTCCGATTAATGCCCGAGCTGTATCTTGCGCTAATCATTGGGTCGCTGAAGTTAGCCGGGTAGAGTATATTCACGATGTAGTCGACAACAGACGAATCAGTGCCGGGGAAGAGAGCTCGAAGTGCAGCAGTATCGTTGGCCCATGGTGGCACAAACGAAGGGCCTTCGTTCTTATTGTGACCCACCATGACGCTAACGTCATGCGAAAAACCCCCATTGAGAAGAGAGATGCCCGGAAGAGCAGGTACAAAGAGACCATCAACGACTGGACCCCATACATAGCTACTGTAGGAAGCATTGCCAACTTGCCAAGCATTAGCATTGATGAGAGCCTCGGAGCTCAGTCGTCGTGCTTCCTCAATTGTGCTGACATTCAACAGAGACAGGAAGGTCTGGGTATTGTTCTCTTGCTTGAACTGCGAGACCGTCGGTGTCAGACCCGGCGACTGGATAATGGCGCGCTGAAAGGGCGAGGGCTTAATACCACCGTAGGCGGTAATTTGGTGCATAATGCTGCCACCACCGGCCGACTCGCCCATCACAGTGACTTGATTGGGATCACCACCGAAGCGATGAATATGCTTCTTTACCCACTCCAAAGCCAGACGTTGATCATACAGGCCTGCATTTGACACGCCACCCATGCCCTGGAGTGTCGGTCCTGCAAGCCATCCGAAGGCCCCAAGTCTGTAGTTCATGGCAACGTGGATAATACCTGGGGTATTATTAATTTGACTCGCCTTTATCAGTCCGGCAGGATTATTGTTTTTGCTGCCCAAGGTGTAGGCTCCTCCGTAAATCCTAACAAGTATTAGTCAGAAAATCTCGGATCAAGCGGCGAATGAATCTTACCAGACGACGACTGGAGCTCCTCTGCCACTAGAGCCGTTGAAAACCTGCTTAGGTACCGTCACATCAAGAAACAGACAATCTTCCGACACCCCAGCCCCGCCGTTGAGTTCAGACACCAAGCCGGGCAAGATCTCTGGGGCCAACTCGGCGAGGGCAGTGTAGTTAAAACTGGAAAGATTGTTTGCCACATAAGTCTTGGCGAACGAGTTCGAAATCACGCCCCAAGCTGGTCCCGCTTGTGGGCAAATGTAGGATTCGTTGCCAGTTTGGACAACGGGGTTGCGACCAGTTGGTGGAACAGGCGCTGCGAAGCGCAAGTCGCCTAGTGGAGGCTGAGCATACCGAATATTGGTGAAGCGGTAAAGTTGGCCAGTTTCCTATAAAAAGATTAATGATTTTTTTTTTTAAAAAAAAAAAGACAGTCCCGGAATTACTTACGTTGTAAGAGAGAGCCTGATGTATTTCATATCCCAAATCAACTTTCGGGAGTGTCTGCTCAGCCGTAGAAAGCTGAAGCAGCAAAGCCGCAATTGTAGAAACAGACGTGAACAAAATCTTCATCTCGAAGGTACCATGATTTCTAGAATCAGTCAGTCTATCCAGCTTCCTTTTATAGGTGACTTCCCCTGATAGTGAATGCTAAGCCTTCGTAGGAACTATAGAACCTTCGTAATAATTACCAATTGAAGATATATTGCCGAAAAAGGTCCACCTCGATGCCTTATGATACTCCTTTCTGCCATCTAGCATGATCTAGTTTCAAATAGTTTGTAAGAGCCGCCCTTTCCAAGGTTGGCGTACCTGATATCATGTTAAGGGGTGGATCTTTAAAGAGCGACGGCCTGGTTGGCCAGCTTTAACTTTTAGTTCGTAAACTATACCCAGAGCGGCTAAAGCACTGGCGATCCTTTGCGAATGAGGCACCTTGGCGTTCAGCCTTGCCACTGTTTTCCTTCCGAACCTTGTCTCCAACGCCGGAGTAGCCACTTCTTGGAACTATATGGTGAATATCTCAGACCGCGGTTTCCAAAATAGGCTGGTAAATCACTCAATGGATCATTTCGTATCCCTGCTCTTCAAAATGAGCGACAACGTAGTTCCAGTAAATACGAAGCGCTTACTCAATCCGAATACGGACAAGTCGCCAGCATATTTTGATGTCTCAGAGGCAGATACTCGCAAATTTTCATATCAAAATGGCTAGAACCTTCACAATTGATCATTTCTCTTCGATTTTAAGTGGACCCGGAACTATTCTCCCTCTATTCACCTCCCACACGCCGCCACGGGCCTCTCGCAGCATCAACACTAGCAAGCTGCTCCTCCCGAATACTAGCATACCCCGATGATGCACCAAGACGGGGGGTGCCCTCTCCCTCCACGCTATCGTGAGAACGATTGGAATTACTCTTTATTCGAGTGCTTTTCGCCAGGAGACGTTTGTATGTAGGAATTTTTCATGGGCAATATTACCCTTTAATTCTTTTCGATGCTTATTCGTATAACAAGTCTAATTGGATGTTGCTTTCCTTATGTGACGTATTAAGAAGACACGGCTCGAATGAGGGACCTATCGCTGAGAAACTTCATCTTCAACGGCGATGTAAGTTCCAACTCAATATAGGAGACATTTAAGACCACGCTGACTTCTGTTGCCAGTGCCTCATGTGGCCTTGTCTTGGTTTCGGATTCCTTGACTGAACAGTTCAGACTGCAAGGCGATCGGAGCCGAGGAGACGTTTGGTATCGAAGTTCTTGCTGTGAAGATTGTAGGGCTGTGTTCTTCTGCTCCCATTGTACAGGCACAGTCATCCAAGAAGAAAAAGAAGCTACTTCGATTGGGTGATGCACAGGGTGGGTACAATCTGACCCAGCAGATGGTATATCCATAGCCATGAAGACCCTCGTTTCCTCCTTTTTCCTTTTTGAAATAAACGCAGGGATTGGCCCATCTTGGACCTACCTGCTGGGAGTGTATAACAACTTTGTATATGCACGACTGATTGTGTTTCAGATCACTCAATACCGACAATTTCCATCGGCCAGACTATTGACGGCCTCCATAATGGATGGAGGTTGTGCCAAACGGATAGTAAGACTCTGCGGCCCCAGCCTTTGAGCCACCAGATGTCGTTGAAGTAATGCAAGGCCACGGAGTAATAGGCCAAGATAACCAAAGCAATTGGGCATTGGTCCCTTATCAGACGACGATATTCTTCTGGTAATTTCAACCCCCATTCCACGACGACAGACAGATTGCTCCTATCAACATGAAGCTTGTGTAATACAAGTCTCAGTAAGTGAATAGCGACCTTGCATGAGTCCATTTCCGAGGTAATGCTAGACTCGCCAGTGGTGGTTACTAGATCTTCAAGTCGATCCAGAGCTGTCTTCCCGGGATGAAGCGGAGTAGGGGCTGGATGATGCTTCTGCATTCTACGAATGAATGATGCGAGATCCAGATGCTTGCTGGCTTCTGTTAGGACGATAAACCAATTTTTGGCAAGGCCGAATACTTGAAATAGCTCATCCACAGGTGCAATGGTAAAGTCGCGAGGCTGGGCCCGACCACTGGCAAAACATATGATCGTGATGAGGCTTGAAAAGGTAATAGTAGCTGGAGCATTGGTCGCGTTGATATCACTGATCACATGGCGGAACCTTTCCAAGCCATAATTATGATGTCGGATTGCATTCTGAACGAGCGTCGTTCGCAAAGGCATTGCACTATGAACCGCCAAGTGAAAGGCCGATAGGGCCATCATGCCGTGTAATAGAAAATCATGAGCTTTTGCCGCATTTGTAGTGATAAGTTGGCTGCTCCGAAGGGATGCTTCATCAACAGTGACCGTGTAGATCGTTGAGAGAAACCAATTGTTAATCAATTGCACGCCCTCACAGCTGATATTGAGGCGAGGTACAGCTGAAGCAATATCATCCAGGGGATTTCTTGCATTTAATGGCGTAAGCGTGTTTTCAGTCCGAAACTGGACATGATCGTTGATCACGCCCGGAAAAACAGGAACAAGAGCATGGACAGCTGATACTGGAGCCCATTTGATCCCATCTGAAGACTGATAATTGCAAATCTGACCAAGACGAACACAATTGTTGCACGCAGGGTGTTGTTCATCACACTATAACTTCCTTTATTAGCACTTGTCGAGTTGAAATCGCGAAAACGAAGTTCGATAAATCGCACCTTCACCCGCCTTCGTTTGCAACGATCGCATCCATGGTGCGATTTGGGATGGCTACGTCGCAAAGGCATGAATACGCAACCAAGGCCCCACGGTCGGGGAGATTTGGCTTGGTAGGTGGTTATTGTGGGCACACCTGGCCTGGTGAGTTCGAAATAACGTTAATGAAAGTAAGAAGTTCTCTGATGAGATATAATTAGCTCGGAGGCCGGGAACAACATTACCTAATCCGTCCGAGGCTCATATTTTGCAGAGGCCACGATCCTCTTCAACACCTAAGCACTCAAGTATTCCTGTACTCTAGGCTACGTTTTAGATAGAGTATTACTCCATTCATTTGCATTCTCCTTATAGCTAGGTCTCGTACAGCTCGGACCGATCGAACTCCTACCATCCCTCTGAGCTAAACCACTTCAAAAGGCGTCGACTGACGCCGAAAGTGGCAGTCATTTGGTAAACCCAAATTGTTTAGGTATACGGAATTCCGTCCTTTCCAATTATTAAGCGCCTCTTCCTTTTTTCATTTGTTTTCACCTCCCTCTCGCTCTTGAGATTCCCTCGTTACCATGCCTATCACCCTTGATGACATCAACTTTTACCGTCGACCCCTCCCCGCTAAACCTCGTTCGTCTGCTTCTCCTACCTTCGGTTGGAAGCCGTACCAGCCTCCAGCTCCAAATCCCCCTCCGTCCCTGTCACCTCCGCTCCCTCGTAAGCCCTGACGACTTACGCCCGTGACTGTTCCTTGGAGCAGTACCATGGACTTTTCGCAGCCATTTCATACTCCGCCGGCGAAATACGGCGACATGAATGCAACGGCGCTTCCTAATGAATTCGGTATCAAAATCGAAACGATCTCGATAGAGAAAGGCAGCACGAAAGTGGGTGAGGATGATTCGGCTATATAGTTTAGAGGGGAGTTTCAAAGCAGAAATGCCGTTGGCGTATCCCCAAGCCAGTACGCGTTTTCAGCGTTCGGTATGTAGGGCACATTTGGTACCAATCTCCCTGTTCACGAGCTAATAACATCTCTCATATCCAGTGACAGAGCCAGCACAAAGTCAACCCAGGGCCAGTGGTGGCCACGTAGCCCTGTATCGTCAGCCGTCCGTTGAACAGTCCACCATCCAGTAGCAATCAGATCCATGGGCATTCCCGTGCATAGAGACTTCCTGTTCTCCAGGCCCACCACTTGACCCACCGGGCTTGTCAGGGGTAGCGACCTACCATTTGGAGTCGCATAATGAGAGTACTCTTACTCGTTTGGCCAATACACAGGTGATTCCGCCAACGCCAAGCGTTCCTTGTGGCTCCGACTATCGCTCACCCCCGGTAGATGCTCCATATAATTCACTCCGCCCTGGTGACTCTTGGACTGGGAATGATTGGTGCAACAGAACAGGTGCCGGGGATTCCGGGGGCGGTGCCGCACTTCACCAAGATCAATTGGAAAACCTTCAAGACGCGGCGACTACCACCCAGAGTGTCCAAACCGACAAACTACATGCCCACGAGACAGAAACGGAGAGGCCCTATGAGCGTGGTCGAGCACATGCCTCCTGCCCATCCAGGCAGCCAACGAGCTCTGATAGGAACCCAAAAGTCCCATCGCGACCTTCGCGCTCTCTCCGCTCCCGCACAAACCCGAAATCGAGCAGAATAGAGCGATTGCCGTCTGTTTCCGTGGTCATACCCGTCCATCCACTAGGCAGATTGACTACAACTACCACTCAATCCCATATCACCCGAAGGCGACGTCGTCTTCAGGGTACTGATGACCGCAGTGATGATCATGATTCGGCAGTGCATGAGCTGTGCCAGGGTCGTCCTGCAACGACCAGCAGGTCTAATAATGAGGTGGAACAAAATCTGCCGAAGAAATACAAGACAACCAGACCGAAAAAGACAACGGGCGCCAAATCGAACTGGATCGAAGACGCTGTTGGAGGTTGTCCGTAGTCGCCCCAGAAATCATCAGATGATGGATTTGCCGTCACTCCAACTGAAGCGAAAGAGGTTTCGGTCGGGGTGTTTTCCGTATTCAACCTTACGGTCCTCGCTATGCGTATTTCATGGCTTTCCTTCCGGATACCGTTCGACATCCGTCGAAACCTTCGTCGGAATTGCTACTTGAGAAGCCATTACGTTCTGATAGCCGTGGTCCAAGGGAACAATCGCGGCCTCGACTTGTTGTCGGCAAGACAAGTCACAAGCGAGTTCCTTTTTCACCGGCAGAGACCCGGTTGTTGGTCGAGTTGAGAAGCCAGCGCAAGATGCCCTACCGGGACATCGCGGTGAGATTCAAAACCGGAGCACGGCATCTCTTCAGGTTCATTACTATAAGAAACGTAGTGGAGCTATGGATAATATTTGAAACCTCCCACGAAACGGGCGGCGCGGCTTAGACATGCCCATCAATCGAGTGCACGTGCCGAGACCCGCCCCGCACCACCGCCAACCTTGGGAGTATGAGAAGTGTCTTGTATTTATGGGGAAATTCTGCAATCCAAATCGATACTTCTGTACCACCCGATAGGCGTGCACTGGACTGTTTCCTGCTTACCTTTGCGGTGAGAACGAGGTCTATATTGCTTTTAATCATTGACCGGTTCCCCAAAGGCTACGTGCGCGGTGGTATGTTATATGAAGGAGCCCTTAGACCGCAGCTCTGTGTACGGAGTGTGCTGCGTCAAAAACAATAGTTGAAGTTCTGGAATGAGAAGAGCTTAAAGGGGCATGTCACATAGTGTTGTACGAGGAACTCAGTTCCAGTACATCTTGTGTATGTTAATCATGTGCAACGGTGGGGTCTCTTGACATTGATGCGATTCGTGGTGTACCAATCGCAGCTGTTTATACTCTGTAAATTTTATTCCCGGGGCTCTTCTGATACCTTATAAAACTTGTTATCACATATTGAGACCGCCCTGGTCATTAAACAAGACAGAATCCATCACCGGCAATAAGCCAATACCATCACTTTCTCTTTGAAATGGCTTCCAATAGTACCTATTACACGGCTAGGTCACCAATCAGTAGTAGCCTCCGGGGTGGGCGCCATTAGAGCCGACACAGGCACCGCTGAGGGAGCCTGGGGAATGTTCGCCTCAGCCACGCCTGTTGGTCGAGATTTCATCGCACCACCACCCAGCGAAACCAAACTGACTGGGGGGATGTACCATAGCCGAGAGCATGCTGTCCACCGCGGATCAATCTGGGTCATCACCCCTTCCGGGATGCCCATCCACGGGAGATAATCGTTGCGGACCATGTCACAGGCCCTTCCTCCTACTGAGCATTGAGCGCCCCCGCTGTACTGCTCCCAGGGAATCAGAGGCATGGTATAATTCCCGACCACATGGGGTTGGAACTCCGCGAAGTTGAATGGATACGGCGTGCCGGTAATTGGATACTTTGCATTCCGATGGCCTCGATAGGAAGTCACGGAGTCGGGATGGATGGAAACAATCACATCTTCATGGTCAGCGCCACAGGAGCCACCGGGGTCCCTTCGATTGTTACCGCGAGCGTAGATACTGGTGAAAGATACGTAGACGCTAGGCGAAGTAAAGGTATGGCCGTCGACGATCGCCGTGTTGGGGCCGTCGCCTGTGGGCGTGGCGGCGATTGTGCTTCCGTTCTGCAGACAGAGGTCGCCACTAGTGGTGGACACAGGCCAGTAGAAGAGAGTGGCCGTGCCAGGCAGGTAATGGCAGTTGGTGCACGGATCTTGCTCGGTTCGGGTAGATGGACAGTTTACCGGTCGAATCGGGCTGTTCGTGTCTCCTGGTATCTCAGCTGTCGCCGACTCCGCATATGCGTTAAATCGGCTATAGTAGGTCTGCCAGATGGGGATGCAGTCTTGGGCATTGAGCTGACAGGTAGGAGAAGGGGAGGGCGACCGATAGATGGGGGTCGTCCAGGTACTGCTTATCATAGCCGTGCTGCAGGGCCCCGTACCCGGCCAGTAACTTGTGAGATACTCTAGAGGACCCAGAGCACGTGGGATACCATCGCAGGCCGTAGTGACTGGGCCGGTATGCGGATCGCCCGGACCCTCCGGCCAGACCTGCTTAGTGCAAGCCCCGGTGCTGCTGGGATAGGTTTCAGTGATGGTAGATGTAGAAGTTGCGCCCATGTCAATCAGCTTATTTGCTCGTTTTTTGTACTCGACCCATTGGGCGTTGCAGGTTACCGCAGAAGCCCCGCCACCAGTCGTCGGGCCATAAAAATAGTCGGTCGACGTTGGCCAGAAAATCGTGGTGTTACATGTTATTAACCACTGGCTACTCACAGACGAGGTACATATGGGGTACAGTGTAGTTAAAGGCACGCTCGTGCTGATATCCCTGAATTGTACACCTGTGTAGGCTTGGTTTAGTGTCTGCAATACAACATGAGAATGAGACGAAGAACATACCAGACGTCGCAGAAACTCCAATGACTAGGAGAAATATTCCTTCATACAGCATTTTAGGCGGTAAGGCCATGGGCCGGAGGCCCAGACAAGGTGAAGAGACAGGTTGCATTCACGGAGCTGTGACAGTAGCGGTTTTATGTACTTCTCGCTGCTTGCCTCCATGTCAACACCCCAAGCACCACGCCCCAACTACCTACCCATATACTGCATGGATCATGCCAGGATTAGATGCAATGTAACCCTATTGCAGGCACCATAAATGCAGTGGCTGGGCAAAGGTAAGATATTTCTCTAGGTGATATGCCTGTAATTTTCTTGTCCACAGAATGGGGAAGCATTTGCCGACGGAAATGCATCCTCGCAAGTGGCTAGGTTCTGGTGAGAGGGGGAAACAGGGCCGAGACCTCGTTATTCCGCAGTGCCCCGTTTCCTACACTAGATACTAGCATCACTAGTAATTCTCCGAGAATTATTTACGGTCGCCTTACCGCGCCGACAATAGATGTCACCGGTATTTGGTGAAGCTGAGATATCCAAACTACATTTTATTATGGCAAGAAACCCCCCAAGACAATTTCGTCATAGATTTCCCTCTTAAACACTCCATGTCACAATGGTACGAATTCAATGTTTGACACATGGCTATCACACACGAACATAGGGTATGAAAAACAAGCCTTCTTCTCGGGACCAGAATTGAAAGCCCTTCAAACTAGTACACACGCTCATCTTTGGCTGGATAGTAAGTCAACTCAGCCGACAGCTCATGTCCTTCTTGCTGATCAAAGGTAATCCCAACCCATCGGAGATTGGCAGTGCGTGACATGAATCCATTCCCGTATTCCTTGCAAAGTCTCCCCCCGCTGTAGTATTCCGGAAGCATCTTCGCGGCCGTGTCGCCGTCCTGCAAGTTCACCTGCACATCGCACCACGGGCTGTAATTGTGGATGCCCAGAATAACGGTGAAGATGTCGCCAGAGGTGGATACAAAGCGAAGAATCCCGGAGGTACCGCTGCCTCCCATGTGCAACACATGCTGGCCGTCTTGCTCTTCCCACGTGCCTCCGTTGGCATAGTACCAGCAGGTCTTTTCGACAACATTGAGGGAATCGGGGGTGCCGTTTTTAACGCTGAGACGGATCGTGTAGGCCATTTTTGCGCTACTGGTGTTAGCATACTCTGAACGGAAAGTAAATTTTGGCGTCGGCGACATACATGTACACTGATAGGGTGACACTAACAAGGGTAGAATGATAAGAAAAGTCGCTGCTGTTTAATGTGGAAAGGCTTTTCTGGCTCAGCTTGTCGGGCTATATGGAATGAATATGCGATGGGAGCAGGAAGTTCAGTGCCTATATAACAGGTAGTAGATGGTAGACAGGCGTACACAGACGTATGCCCCTCATCGGCTATTGTTGACGCCTATGGTTTTATTTCGTATTCGTGTTGATGCGCGCAAGCCACTGAAGACCCTAGCAAATGTTTGTGTTGCAGGAGCTCCGCGCCATGCTTCTAGTGCTGACGGATACATTAGTGCCGTGATGAACGATAGGTGAGTGAAGTCAGGCATGACCACTGCTACGGGCCTGGATCTCACTATGTTGCAGGAAACAGACGACCCGGAGCTGAACCCCGCCAGCCACTCAGGCAAGCCAGGTCGGCTGAGGTGAAACAGGCTTTGTCTTGACCTGACGAAGATTTGTCTTTTGACAATTGATATGCAATGTCTATTACGGCCATTTATTAGGTACGAGTATGCGTCTGTGTTGGGAACATCTTGGTCCGCTACCTAGTCATTCTTCATCCGTTTAGACTCCATCTTGCCTAGACCTGGGCATGGGCTGGCCTATTATTTTTGCCAGTGCCCCCTGTATTTACATAATTAATATGCAAAAGATTTATCTTTTAAGTGTTATGTATTCCGGTACCAATTATTTTTCTAGGACCAACTTCTGCGGTGACAAGGACCCCGCCGACTCTTGAAAAGTATCGACACCGATTTTTGACTCGGGTATTGTCATTTTCTAGCTTCAGCGTGTCCGAACAATTCAATTAATAGGACATGATCCTGGGTAATTGAGACATATACATATACATTGAAATCGTGAATGCAAAAATAAAAGCATCGTTCTTCCCGTGAATCGGCGATAGAATTAGCTGCACACAAGCATTGCATTTACGATACCTTCAACATATAACTAATGACAGGTCCTCTATTGTGCAAAGTACAGGGAAAGCACAAAGGCCTGTTAAAAAAGTCATCGTACCAGATATTGGCGAAACAACCTTTGGTATCCCGCGGAGATGCACATTCGTCCGGCATCAAAAACCCCGACTCGGTTGTTATAGTATCTCATGTTCCCCGGCACATATCATATCACGAGGAGTAGGCTCGGGCGCTCCCACGGGTGGACCCGCTATTATTACAATTACAAAATTTTTACTGAATGTGATTCGTGTATCCTTTCCCAGAAGAGACTACCCAATCTTGGCACCATGGACTTTGATTGAGTCGAAGATAACATAGGATAGCATAGAATTGCGGAAATACTGTAGAAAGTGACAGGTAACAAGCATGCTGCCGCTTCTAGGCATCCAAGCACATTACACATCTCTGCCCTCCCCCCCCTTTTTTTTCTTCCGTTTTCTTCCCTCTTTTCCTCTTTTCATTCATCTCTCTTTCGTCGACTTATCTCTATTCCCCATCTCTCATCTTCTGCCCAAAATTCCATTTATCAAAATCATGTCCAGCTCCGGCAAAGGATACTCGTACACCGGCTCTGGCACCAACAGCCAGGTAAGCGACATCCCCCAGCCTATACATCCCACTACACTAACTCCCCCAAGGCAACCACTAATTCACTACGGCCCTGGCGTGTCCAATTCCAACAGCTACCACTACTCAAACAGGTAGATCCATATGTGTTGTCGCATAAGAAATCGCTAACAGCCGACCGTCTACAGTAACGGCTCCTATTACTATTCCAATCCTAATAGCAGCACCTACTACAATGATGGGAAGGAGGGATTTACTTATACTCATTTGGAAGGGGGGGTGGAGATAAGCGGTAGACTGCAACTTGGTTGGTCCAGGTCTGATGGCAGAATGGATTTGAGGCTAGTACCGCATGTAAACAGAGTATGGGTTTTAACGGAATAGTAAACAGTCTAGTCCTCACGTTGTCACTTGGTTGCAACACCTGACTGCTTAAGACCGATAATCTTGGTCGATGGATGAATCAATAGGCAACCTGATTTCTTCGTCAGACCCCGTACCAAACCGCTAACAAAAAGGGCGAAATCGGCTGCCGCTCGGTCGCCGACCAAATAAGAATGGAGTCCGTAAGAATATAGTGGGTCAAATTAAGGATTTTATTCCAGACTTATTTAGTATTTCAACTGTTAGGACCCACAGCATTTGAATTAAATGGCAGTAAGTGCCAAACATAAAGTGTATCAATCCGACAGCCGATGTGGTTCTGTCATGATCTGATCCCGTAGGATATTCTTGGGCTACCATCCACATTGGCAGTGGTCCCATGGTCTGGATTGTGAGGCTCAGATCAATAATAGAAATGCCTAGGGTTATCTTCGATCTTGTTGAGACCCCTGTCTCATTATTAATATAGAGACCTTGGTCCTCAATCGGCTTTTCCAGAGTTCCTGCGTTCACTCGAGCTCTTGCCTGGGGGTTCCATAGGGGGCTATGTAGGTTAAAATCCCCTACTAATAGGCATCTTCCTTCTAGAATTCGGTTTCAGTTAATATCCTCTATCGTTCTTTTTCGTCGCACGCTGATCCCTTGCCAGCAGTGGTTCTTGCCAATCAAGTTATCATAGGATTTGACTATCCGGGTTTTTCGAGACTTTTTGGCTCTATCTAGCTCCCAGATATCTAGGGCTATCAGATAAGGATGGTTTATTAGGTCCGTGCGGGCCTCTATCACCAGACTATTAAGAAGATCTCGGCGGACAGCAATTGCCACTCCCTGCTTCTTGCGTTCCCCAGCCTCTGGCCAGTAGGTTTCATATGCCCCGTGTCGAAAGTCTGTATCGACATAGGGCTCCTGTAGGCATACTAGGCCTACCCCTAGCTCTAGCCCTACTTCTAGTGCCGCAATTGTGACTGCGTATGTCTTGCGGCAGTTTTACTGTATTACCAGCATTAGAAGCTATTCGGTTCTGTAGTAGGGCCCCGGGGGATCCTATACTCTTCCATATCTATATCATTTCTGCGGCTGGCTGTTGTGGTTTGCATCAACTAGGTTTCTCTTCCCATCGGGGTTCGCGGGCTGGCCGGTACTGAGCTGCGTCTTATCTGCCTATGCTGTTTGTTTTTGATACCCACTTCAAAAGCCGGGCTCTGTGGGCGTTAGCTGGCTTGAGCATAATATTATTTCGGGTTATCCTTTTAATCTCTTCTATCCTTTTCCTATTTTTTGGCTGCTCGTTTAGCTGGGCAGTTTTCTGTAGTGGCCATATGCGGGCCCTGGCAGTTTCCGCATTTCGCTGGTATATGCTGGCAGACGATTCCTGGTCTTGCTGTACAGTCTACTACCTTGTATATATGCTCGGCTCCTTCGTGAGGGCCCGCACATAGAAAAAAAACATGGTTTTTGATCTTTACAGGCTTTAAAGCCTCGATGACCCAGATAACAGCATCGGGGGCAGACCGTATCTGGTCCTATCTCCCAGTACTGCTCTACTCGGTATCGGGTTCCACTAAAGCGGATTCCATTAGTAAGGAGCTTGCGACCTTTTTCTAAGGATCCTACAGTAATTACTATTGTAGATCCCTTTTGATCTTTAAACTCCTTGGGGCTTCTAAGCCATGTAGGATCTCGTTTTAACTGAAAAGCAGTTCCCAGCTCAATCTCTTCCCGGGCTAGGCTCAGCCCGCAGCTCATATATCGTTTGACTGGGACTCCATGGATCTTCATCGGGTACCATTGCTCCGGAAGTCCCATTGAGACTACTGTTGGATCAGCTTGACGTGCTGCTTTTACTAGCAGGTCTCGATAGCTTAGTGGTGTTGATCCAGTAGATCCTTTTTCTAGTAGAATACTGATTGCCCCAATATTGGTATAACCAGTATCAACTACTCACATAAAGCTTGGAAAGCCTGCGTTTGCAAGTGCCCGGTTGATTTCAAGAATCATATCTTCTCTTTCAGCTCTTGGAGCTACTATTCCGTTTTCTCTGCGGAATAGTAGTCTTTAGGGTTCTTTAGGGTTCTTTAGGGCTGTTTTTCACTGGTTTGATATTCCCTAACCTTGGCTGTTCTGGCTATTTTTGTAGTTACTTTTTCTTTTTCTTGGTAACTTCCTGCCATTTTTGGCATCCTGGTTTGGTTGCCAGTAAAGCTGCTAGATCTGCGTATGCTGTCTTCTTTTCAGCTTAAGTAGCTTGATTGCTAGCAAGCTTCTGATTTGAATGCTGGGCTGATGCAGCCTGCTTTTCGTTTTGAGGTATTATTATTTGTTGGACTGTTGTAAGCTCTGACAGGAGCTTGCTGATCTCTATTTCTAAGAGATAGATACGCTCGAGATAAATGTTTTCCCGGACTTGTTAGGCGTTCCAGCTGTTTAGCTCTTCTGCCAGTTGCGATCGTATCTGTTTCCGGCCTTCCTGTTAGGTCAGCTCGAGAGCTCCTTCTAAGGCATTTATTTGCTTGATCGACTTCTGCATAGATCTATCTCCATTTACTGGCTCTCTTTGTAGAGCTTTCCGTCGCTTAGTTGCGTTGTGCGTTTCGCTTGCTCGGCTGGATGCCCCGCTTGAGCTCCTGGTTTCTGGCGGTCCCTGGCTCTCCGATTGGATTAAAGAGGGTTGCTTAGCTGATTCAAGGTTTTATTAGGCTGTATATAGCCCTGAGAGCGTCGGTAGCTCTGTGTTGGAGTGTCTGGTGCCCCCGGGATCTCTGGGGGTTGGGAGGCCACGTATCTCGCTCGCGGAGTTGACGTGCGAAGCACCACCACCATGGGGTTCTGGGCCCTCCATGGCGGCTCATTGGGGCATAGAGGCCTCTGCAGTTCGAATGACACTAGAAAAAGACGTGTTTTCAATGGTTGCTGATTTTGATGTTCCGGCTCGAGATCCCCCAGAGTCAATCAGGTAGCATTATTGATTAGGGTTTCAGGCTTGGCTTATTAGGCGATATCTGGACTGTTAACCAAGGATTTGAATAGTGTTTTCGTTAAGCACCTCTATCTTCGGTATCATGTTTCTCTTTTGGTTAGTCTAGTTCAACGTCGAAAAAAGTTTGCCGTCGTTAACCGTGTGGGTTGTCGACTTTGACGGTCGCCTTCAAAATCAAACCACGAAGCCCATCGTGAGCCGCACTGTCCTGACAGTGGTGGAGAAGTTAATACAATCATTTGATACTGACCGTCCGGGATTGTGATCGTGACTGTCAGTTGCTTCATATACAGGCTCCAATACGGAGCCACCAGGGATCTCCTTGTATATCAGGTGTCGACTATATTCGGATCACACTTAAATTTCCGCACCACGGATGTAGTATCAATTAATGTAATCTTTCGGAGAGCCGAGATCAAGATCGATATGAGATCAGTCTGAGAATCTCCGGCATGGCGGAGCTGACACTAGAGGGCTTTTATTTATCCTTGATAGAAAATGACAGATCTCTATTCGTATATCATAATACATGCTCTTCCTACAAAGTTCTATAGCACATATATCATTAAGGGATAATGCTCCGAACAGTCAATTCTCACCCATCAATACGGGCTCCCCAGAACACCTTGCAGTAGCTCTCAGGCAGTGAAAGAGGAGAGCATTTCCCTGAAGGGGTGAGTATGACAGATTAGGTGGTACATATATTCGACGTTGGACTAGAGCTGACAGACCCTGCATGCTTGGCGGCGCTTGTGATTCTCATACAGGTCACAGAGCAGAACTACCCGCATCTCTTCCTTTTATCGATTTGGGATAATAGACTATCTGTGGGCCAGCGAGCAAATCAGGTGTCGAATATCTCACTCGGAATGATGTAGGGGGTTTTCACGATAAATACTGGGATTATCGTCAAGTCCGAGTACCGAGTATGGCATACTGCAGCAGGAACTACGTCACCTACACCTGGCCTGAGAACCTTAGCTGTATGTTCTCTCTGACTCACTCACCGTTCCTATGAACAGATGCCGATATTAAGGTGCAGACGTCTTCATTAGCAACGACGGTTACTTGTATGACAGAGACGGTGAGTTTAATGATTTCTTTATTGGTGGGTGAGAGAAAGGTACTGACGTAGACTGCAGGTCGCCAGCTCTCCAATGGTGCTCACATCTGTTAAATTATGATGATCTTTTGACAGGTTGGGAGTGTGAAGGGGAATAAGATCAGTACATTTCACAAAATCAGATCGCGAATGTTATTGCTCTGCCAATGCGATGTTGTGGCTTATCATGATTTTCTCCAATGTCATAGTAATGAGCTCTATACCGCTAGTTCAGCGGTCTTTCAATTGAGGGAGTATATCCCGAAAATCATGGTGAATTATAACATGTACTTATCATCTTCAACTATCCCATTTAGATCATAATTTGCCCCATTAACACTACACCATCTAGCTTGGACAACACAACTATATCAGATCTACCTGTCCACCCCCGCAAGGCTGACCAAATCCCCACAATATAGATAAATAGGGCTCTAATATTTTGTAAGGCAATGTAGTCTTTCAGTTTGAAGGCTTCTTATTTGAGTTTTAGCAGCCGTGTTCCTGACTTCTAGAATCATATACAGGATATAAAAGGAGATAGTCTAGGATAAGATCTATGGTTTTAACGAAAAGTCACGAGTGATCTATAGTATCTAGAACACAGTAACCCCCCACCCCCCTCGAAAGATCCTATATATTCCACTCTTGAATACCCCCAAGTACATTCGGCCATAGGGTATGGAAAACAGGGCTTCCCGCCCGCTCAGCCGTACTTAAGCCACATGCCGGGAGGTTAGTAGTTGGGTGGTTGACCATCAGGGAATTCCTTCTGTGGTATGTTTTTTTGGTGAATGAGTAAATAGTACCCATTGTATTTACCTTTCTTTCTTTACGCTGTTATTCGATACACTCTGTTTAAATTGGCGGCGCTGAGGCCTGTGTTGGCCGCAGTACGCAAAAAGGAACAGAACTGTGCTCGCACGAAAAAGAATCAATTATATGGGTTCATGAATTAAAGCCACCGGTATTCTGTTCAACGAAACCCTGTAAAGGCGTCGCGTAGATCGAATTCCTTCAGTGTAGTGTGCAGTCGTGGAACCCACCGGTATTGAGAGTTCTGACTGTGCTTTAGCGCCGCCTGAATAAGGTACCAACAGCTCGGGAGAAGTAATGGCTGGTAGTAGCGCAAATATCGATTACCATATCGTCCGCCGTATCTAGGGCCGCTAGGGGACTGTCTAGAGTGTAGTAGCCACTACTTGAAGGATCTTTTTTGGTATGTTGTTCGAGGAGATGTCCGTGGAGAAGAAATGGTGCACTTGATTTTCAGCCATGGCAGGACAGAACACGTCCAAGTTTTCGCCGCAGTGCTAATGCATCACGATGGTCAGAAAGGACAGGAGTGTTTGATCACACTCGCCCAGATGGTCTTGTTTTCTCGGTCAGATCCGCTGTGGATACTATTCCCCGTAGCACATCTACTAGGAGCCACGCCGCTTGGGCGGCGCGCCCGAACGGGCCAACCTCGATCGAGCGCAGGTCTTGGACTGCGACCATTTGGGCCGGGTACCAGTGACCTCAGTAGCTCATCCAAGAACTCCAATTCACACAGAAACGTTCTATATGGAGCTGTGTCAGCCCCTGTTCTTTTTTACGCAAACTCAGAGAACAGAAGCGAGTAGAGGCTAATTATGCACGCACCGCTCACAGATACGGATTCCCCACCAGGTGTTGATCTCCTCCTTTTCTTCAGCCATGTCTAGCCGCATCTGGTCGATGGTGGTCGGCGAGGGTTGGGATCGTAGCTGGGCCGCATACACCATGCGGACATAGATTCCAATCGTCACAAATGCCTGCTCATGGCCATGAGCGTATTCGTAGACCGACAGTAAGATGCCAGTCTGAAAGAGACGGGTGGTAGGCGCACAGAGGACCTGTGCCTGTACCTGTGCCATCAGGGATTTCGTCGCTAAGTAGAGCATCCTCTCATTCATATGGCGGGCTGGTTGTAGACTCAAGTCACAGTGCTCTGCGTGCGTAAGCAACCCTATACATAACAAGAGAAGAGCAAACTCGGACTGGGGATTGAACCAGAAGGATAGAAGGCGTGTTTGGATTGCCCGCCGGCCGATGATGGGACAGAAACTGTGGAAACTGCCGAAGTAGCGGGCGCTGGTTTCATCGAGATACATCCCCGTTGAGCCTGGACGCATAATGTAGACTCAGTTGGTAGAGTCAATACGCTATCGAGGGTGCGCGGGTTGGACATGGGATTATCGGATCGACCAGGAGAGGAGGTAGGAACTGCATCTCGAATTGACCGACCGGCCGTCACCATTGTTGCTTGTGATGCCAAGACCGAGGGTAAGTTCAGGGATGCTAGTACCCCTAGTTATCTGATATTCCTATTTTTCAAGTCTCGTAAAGATTTTTGGCATGAGCGAGGAAGTAGAAGCAAAGAAGAAAATTTATTGAGATCTCAGTTGCTACAAGAACTTGCTGGCTTCAAACCTCGTCTTATGTTATTCTCGAGATCGTCCTCCTCAGTGACACTGATTATCGCATGTCTATAGAGCCCCCGCACTACAACCGCCAAGACAGGCAGTCAAGGCTGTCGATCCATGATCCCTGTTACACCGTCGTCATCTCAGCGTTGTCGCCCAACTCACAAAATCAGCCAGCAATTTCGTTGTTCACTTCCAGTAGCCTGGCGTCCTGAAAAATATTCGATAGGTTCAACATGCTCGACACAAGCAACTCTATCGCTCTAACAGCCTTTACTGTCTCCTTGATTGCCTTGACCGTGACCCTTCTCCAGCTCCTCCAGCAGTACTTTGCAACAGCTCAGGGCTACAACCGGTGCTCAAGACAGTTCATCGGCAACTGGTCTCGATTCCGGCACCGACATTATCTCTGGCGGGAGTTCCGGTTTGAGGTCACATTCGTGAGACCGTATATTTATCTTGGAAATCCCAAATCATCTCAACCCATTTTGAATGCTGTGGATTCGTCGGCGATATGGCTCAACCTCTTTCCGTTCCTCCAAAGAGACCGGGAATGGCGGGAGCAGTATCTGAGAAAGTCCTTGGGCGTAAGTGAGCTAGCAGAGGAATTCACTGATGCGCGCACGCATGCCTCTTGGACTCTTTTCCTGAAGCATTTGCAAGAATACAACCAAGTTGCTACCAGGCGAATGCCTTATTCAACTTCCAGTCTATCACCTCCTCCCTCTCCTCCTCCGGCATCAACCTACGGCATTTGCATCAAGTTTGAGCCCTGCATATGGGATGACCTCCCCGGAAACACCGGCCAACTGACAGGTTCAGTTTCCCTCCGCGACCTAACCGTCTTGACTCGTTTTCTCGGCCTCGCCTGGTCAGATGGTCCATTCCCGGGTACCCAAGGACCGGCATCGGCAGAGGAGGAAAGCAAACCAACTACCAGCTACCCTTCTCGAGGCAATCTCCAAGCCTCAGGAAACACCCTCACCCTCGCCGAAAGATCCACCCCCTTACTCCGATACGAGCAGCAAGACACCACCCCGCCACGGTTGCGACACCTCTCACGGAGGGAGACCTTCATCATCCATTCCGGGACGGTAGCAATGTTCTACGGGCGAATCATTCCGGACTCAGTTCTTTTCCCATCTCCGGCCTTCTCCCAACCATTCATTTTAGACGGTAACGATGACCGGGTGTGGAAGAACCTCTCCCACACCATGTGGCTCCCCCTCCCACCGAGACGAAACCTCGTCAACATCCTCCCAGCCTTGTGCTCCACCATCCTCAGCCAAAGAGATCTTTACCCTGTGCGCGTGCCGAAACCGCACCGGTATCTCCTGGGCCCGTTCACTAGGCCCAGGATTGCGATGATCTTCAAGCGTGGCGTGGAAGATATACAAACCCAGGGGTCTTCGCGTATCGTAGACGGGATCCTAGAGGCTATCAACGAGCTAGAGCAGATTTCTCGACCATCACAGCAGCACTCACCTCCTCCTCCTCCCTCTACCGTAACAACAACCACCCCCACCCGCATCCCAGACTACTGGAAACTTTCCCAAGGCACCCACCCCGCCTGGGCCACCGATTTAGAATCGAATAACCCCGAAGCCGTAATCTTCTACTCCAGGGTCCACCACTGGCTAAAATGGATCCAGCACGAACTAAGCCAATTCCTCCATCGAGAAGACAATCACATCGGACTCTACACCTTCTTCCACTGGGATCTAATCTCCTCTTTTGTCGAGTTCATCGTCGCCACCGAAGACGGTGAAGCAGACACTGAACACGCCGAGGAAGGCTTCTCCTCCTCTGAAGCAGGAGGAACCTTCACAACAAAGAAGCAGCAGCAGCAACCATACAGTAAAATGCCGCAGACAAAATTAAACGACAAGATAGACTACCAGACCAAAAAGAACACCTTCTTAACCTGGCGCCGAAACATGAAAGTCCTTTTCGACCATTTCCCTACCATCGAGGACCATGTCCGTAAACGCGGAAAACGACGCGCCGAAATGCACGTGAATGGACACGGAGACGGGAAGAGCCTAAATCTGGGAGACCCGTTTGATATAGTGAATTCTTGTGAAGGGATGGTGGGGTATAGTAAAGCAAATTCCGAGGAGATCCGGGATGCGGTTCTGGGGTTGGTGTTTCGGGCAATGTGTTGGTTTGTTTACCCCCTTCTTTTGTTTTTTAAGTGATATTTATGAGAAAGGCTGGATAGAGTGGGTGTGTATGTGCGTTTGTGTGTGTGTGTGTGTGTGTGTGTGTGTGTGTGTGTACTAACAAGAATACTACTCCAGGCATCGGTGTCATTATATGAATCCGGATGATCAGGAGCCATTTCAGTCCGAATTTTATGGGAATATTCGGCAGGTGAGTATTGAGTAGATAGTCTGCAACTCCTGTCATAAGCCACCAAGAGATACAAAAGTATCTTCTTCGTGGACCCCGTAAAGTTGAAAAATTAAGCCTGTATTTAGAGAAAGGTATTGAAAGTGTGTAACATGACTCTTAAGAATGACTTTCCAAAAGAAAAAAAGATAAACGAGAAAAGTAATTTCCGGTAATTTGAGGGGGGGACAACCAACTTACCTTTCCCATTTAGTTTGTATAGACCAAAAACCAACACAGCGAGCCAGTTAGTATAAGTATCTAAGTACAGTACACGGTGGCCAGCATCATCAATGCTATAGAAAACAAAAATAAAACCAGTGTCTAAAGCGCCTGGACCATTGAATACAGCGATAATATCTGTAGCAGGCACAAGCTATAGGTAATATAGAACTTGGATTATATTTTGACTTAAATCAATATCCTTTATGGAGATCATCATCCCCTGAGAATCGCTGGAGGTAATGTATCGCTTGCGCTCCTAGGGAACTATCATAACATGCCTGAAGTATCGCCCTACCTATACATATTGCCGAAAAGGCCTTCCAATTACCGCCGAGACGACCCAAGGAAAATCCAAAGAAGCTGCTGCACATCCAAAACATTGAGATCCTCCTCCAAGGGTAATACGGTCTCTATCATCAGGAGCGACTCCGCATCCGGGAACAGTTGATGCAGACTTACCGTTCCGGCAGCGCTCGTCGCGGGGGAAACCGTCGGGTCGCGGACCAGACTCAACAGGCAGCCCACGACAACTAGCATGTCCGTTTCATGGCGGTCATTCTCATAGCAACTGGCTCCATCGATCACACACACTACCGTCCGATCCGATGGCAGTTGTCGGATAAGCCACTGGAGCACATTGCCGAGTGCGGTGATGTCCTAGTGCTCCACCGCCTCCATGTTTGGATCCCATGCGTTGAAGATCGCGGTCCGGAAGTGCCGTTCAAGTAGTTGGTAGAACAGAATTTGGAGGATCGCTCGCCCTTCTGTATGTTTATCTTCGCCGTCGACGTGTTGGGTGCAGAAGAAGGTAAGAGCGAGATAGTGACTCCGCTGGTTGACGCTCAGGGTGAGGTAGGCGTACGCTAGCGAGATGGCGAGGGTTGCTTTTGGCGGAGTCTATGCGCGCATTTCCTTGGACTACTAGTTCGGTGGATGATGGCGAGGTGAGCCAGCGGTGGTGCTTTTCGGTGCGGATAATATTCTTGGCGTTGCTGCGGTAGTGAAGCGGGATTGAGTCACTGGTAGGGGTGTAACGAATACGAATATTCGACGGTTTCGATGTCGAATATTCGTATAATGGTATTCGATCATGATAAGGGTGTCGAATATCGTATTCGACTTTTTATTCGAGCTAGATCAGATGTCGAATATCGTATTCGAGTGTATTCGACCTGAATAGGGGCGTCGAATATCATATTCGTCAAATAATCGAATATTCGGTCAAATATCTTAATTTCCTAAATAGGCTAGTGAATCTCTAAAATAAGTTAGTGTATTAAAAAAAATTTCCAGTTAGGATATCGAAAGCTTCATATTCATGATTTTGGGATAGATTTATCACTTTATCACTTTATCAAACCTTTATGAAAAATTGTGAGAATGCAAACCAGAGGTATTAAAATTCATTTCTTTGCTTTAAATGATGGTTTAGATCCTACTTCTGAAGCAAGTCAGGCAACTGATTATTCTCAATCATTCAATGATGCAATTGATCCTCTATTGAGTATAAAAAATCTGTTAAATCAATCCTATACCCAGTCTTAGGAGTTTCAGTTACTTTTATCTAAATCAGTTACTCCTTCAGTAGTTAAATTTATTACGTTAGACCTTTCTTTTTTTGTAATACCCTATTCTTCCGTCCGCTCTCTATCAAATCGATCGCAACCAACTATACCGAATACAATCAACAATCAGGGACAGAAAGGCTGGTTTTGGTTATATTTCAATCAATATAAAGTTAACAGATATTGGCTGAAAAATAGCAAGAAAAGAATGATAAGAGATCTTGATATACGCTGTTCATTGAATAATCCTTTAACAGATCAAAAATGTCTTTGGAAAACTTCTAATTCAAAACGTCATTGCTCTACAACCAATATAATACAGTATCTTGAGAAAAAATATGATCTTCGCCCTCCACATCGCGAATCGCGTCAAAAATAACCCATAATACGATCACACTTGAAGCAGAAGCCACTTGAGACAAAATCTATATAAGAACAAATCGAGTCAAATATATTCCGCTAGATTATTATAGAAAAACTACCCTTTATAGCTCTTGAATCTGAAGCTTTTAAATCAATTTTTGTTAATATTCCTGGATTCACCTTTCCATCATTTTTTCGACAAGTTTTAAAGGGTCGATTAAGCAGAAATTTAATCTGTAACGCGATCAATTGAAGGAAGATTTAAATACTTTATACAAAATATTTGTTTTATCACTTGATCTCTGGACCAGCAAGAATAATATCCCAATTTTAGGCATAATTGGTCATTGGCTCACTGAGTCTTTTGAATATAGAGAAAGAGTTCTTGAATTCAAAGATCTGCCTGATCTATATAGTGGAAAGAATCTCACTTCCGCAATTAAAGATTCTCTTATTGAGCTTGATATTGAATGCAAGGTAATTGCAATTGTGACGGTCTACAAAGGAGCTTAATATAAGACAAGTTTGTTTCTGACTTGTAGTCAAGGAATTTTCCCATGGAGAGGAAAGGCTATCTAGGAGCGAGGATCTAGGGCCTCTATGTACTACCTGAGGTTCCGCCTCAGGCAGGACTATATCCAGGAAGGTTTCTCCATACCGGGAAGTTCGTTGGCTCAGGAAGTCAATCCAGGAAGTTCCCTGATTTCAGGAAGTCACAGCAATTACTAGTAATAATGCCAGTAATAATAAGAAAATGAGCTTGCTATTGTCTTAACGCTTAGAAGAAAAACATAGAGATAATGTCTTATTTCGTGATCTAGATCATTTTATTCGATGTCTCGCCCATATTTTGAATCTGATTGTTAAGGATATTCTTTGCTGCTTGAAGACTGAGACTATCCAAGAGGCTGATACAATTTGCAATAGTTTCCGGGAAGAAGAGGATGAGATACAAGAACCTTTGGCAAAGCTTCGTATTCTAGCTCTTTGGATACAGCGGAGTCCTTTTCAACGTCATGCATGGCAGGAAACATGCGAGGCATTCAATAAATTATCTAAAATGATTCAATATGATGTTTACACGCGCTAGAATTCTAATTTTCGCATATTGAATGATGCCAGACAAGCAAGAGTTCAGATTGATCGATTTACTGCAATATCCAATGATTTTCCTTGTTTAAGATCAGCAAAATAATCTTGAAATTATAATAAAAAAATGAAGCTATTCACAAGTTCGCAACTCAACAACTGTTGAACTGAGCCACTTAATATGGGATATATATATATATATATACAGTATAGTGCATATATGTGGCTATAAAGAAATACAGATATCAAAGATTTCCCCACAAGATCAGCCAATTAGAGATAGTTTTTAGTCATATAAGCGAACATCAAATATGTCGAATATCTTCGAATAATGTATTTGACTTTTTATTCGAGCTAGATCAGATGTCGAATATATCGGCCGACGTCGAATATTCGTTACACCCCTAGCGCTGGCAGACTTTCTGACGATGGAGAGTGACTGCGACTGGGTAATTTCTACGTCCTATGATTCAAGGGCATGCATTTAATTCCGCTTCCCTGCATATGATTGAGACCATTAGACAATTCTCCTGCTACATCTCAGAATTGGGTGGTGTCTCAGAAAGTGAGGTTACATCATATAGATGTCATTGAACCTCGAAATACCCCCCATCTCCGTGGCAGGCTTCCGCAAGTCTTCTTTGAAGGGCCATTCGCCAATACTTGCTAGAGTTCGTGCTTAGCGTTGCACCCCAATCGTCAACTCTTAATAATTGACAAGTGTTATGAGTAACGAGACTTCTTCCTGTACAGGGATCACATTCCTCACCCCGACGAAGTACACGAGTGAGTACTGCCGCCTCTCTGAATATCGACAACCATGAGCAGCTGCTACCCACAGGTAGCCGGTGAGCTGCACTCTGGTCCTCGTATGGTGGATAACACCATTTCCGACATTATTGCACTTGGAGGCGGTTACCGAGAATACAACCAAGAACTCCTTTTCTATTTCCTGCCGGAGATAAGGCGCATTGCGGAAGCGGTCCTGGCCGACCCAGAATGTGCGGAGGAATGTGAATTGCTGGGCATCACAAGACAATGTTATCGGCAGGCAATGGCATCGGACGGCGCCCTAAACTGTGCTCGCTACTTCTGCCCCTTTAATGAATCCACTGCAGATCGAGCTTCCGCTCAAAGTGCTGAGCGCACGGAGATCGTGGAGCATGGGATAGCTCTCAACATTGAATCTCTTCGAGTGGGTTTGCATTCCATTGGGAGGCAGGAAACAGAGGGCCGACAAAGAACCCAGCAGATGTGGATTGGACTCTGGACGGAGATACTGAGAAACAGCCCCGGGCCAATCTTATTCGATCCGCCTGCGAGTCCGCTTTTCAGTTCGTTCGACTTTCACTTGGATGAAATACCCCGTTACCTGTTTCGAACTTTCGATCCGAAGAGCTTTGGGAGGAGTAATGAGGAGGTGATGGCTTCCCCAGCGAGTGAAAGTCGGACAGTGAATAGCAGGATTGACATACTGAGCCAGGACGGGGACTATGCAATGTCCGTGGTGGACCGGCATATGAACCCGTGGAGAGTGAAGGATTACGCGAGTCAACAACCCGACAACCTTGTGTCTTGGACGTCGTCCTTGCTATATGCCATACAGTATGCGTTCTACCGGCGCTATCACCACGGCTGCACCGCGAAGAATGTCAAAATCTGCGTGGTGGATACTCAAGACTTCACTCGAGGGCAATTCATCCATGCTAAACGACTCCTGCAGGCGTATTATGGTCTCGTCAAGCGGGCTGATTTGCGGCAATATTTCGACCTTCGTCTTCTCGTCTACATCTACCAAAATGGGGAGTACCTGTCGCAGGGTCTAATCAATCATAGGGGACGATCGCGAGTGATTTCGCTAGCCCAGTTGGAAGAGTCAGGATTGTATTCGCTATATCCAGAGTTTGCAGATGGACATCGACACACGAAATGGGCCGTCACGACGGCATACCTTCGCCAGCTATGGACAGTTGAACAGATAACAACCTACGAAGAGATTAAAAGGGCGATAAAGTTGGCTCGTAACTGCTTCGCAGGCTTTCGCGTGTTAGATATCGTCGTCATCCTTCTCTGTTTCAAAGAGCGTTTCATTGAGCGGCGCGTTACTGGTGAGACCCCTTTAATGCAGACTAACATATGTAATGCCTTTCTCACCCGCTATCAGCAGATAATGATCTCGTTTCGGATCTCGAGCCACTCGTGCCTGAATGGGGACGGAAGCCACAGGAGGTTCAGCAATACCTCATAGCCTCCCAAGTACTACAGTCTCTACCACGGATTGCCATCGGCGACGCCTTAGAGGAAACGGACGAGAAGATACTCCAGGCACTTTGTAGCTGTTTTCAGGTACATGCATACCTGTAGATGCCATCGCAACATTATAATTGCGAGGCTGGGACCATGCAACGAACAGGTACGTACCACAGAGCACCTCCGGGGCACTACACTTCTTCCCGCGGAAAAATAAGCCGGGTGTGGGCGGCAAGGCGACGACAATGCATACGAGTATCTATTTGATTGTACGGAGAGTTGAGTCCCAAGTGGCATCAGATTCGCCGGAAGACAGCTGTTGATACATGCACTACGCCTTAGCCCTGTCTCTGATGATCGGCAGTAGACAAAAGTCCACCAGTTCAAGCTCACATTCAAATAATCAATCATCATACCCAATTCGAATGAGCAAACACAGTAAAGGGTCAAAATCCGGGCAGTAGGGTGTTAGTTCTGCGACGGAGGCAGCCAGTCCCACTCCTTCTCAAGAATCCGCCGCATCGTCGCGTTGTGCCCGGCAGTACGCCGCAAATAGAACAAATGGCGGGGTCCTCCACGAGAGCACGATAACGAATCCACCAAATGAACCGACCTGCACGCTCGTACCACAGGGCCAGCAGTAACAAGGCCACGGGATCTCTGGCTCGCAGCCACTGGACAAAGCAGGGCTGCATGCGTGATATAAAGACTAGCGCATGAGACTGAGCCAGGCATATGTCCACGCATTCGACAGAAAGCCGGTGGAGGAATTTAAAGGCTTCACGATAGGGATTCATATCAACCAGTGGGGCCAGTGAGGAATTGAGGGAAGACTGCAGGCCGCAGAGACGGTAGAGACCCAACAACGCTTCATCACCCGATAGGATGGATAGCGGGCGAGGATCGCGGAGACAGCCGCGTACGTCCGATTCATTTGGGCGAGGTGCGTACATGAGCCTGTACTGCTCTGACATATCATGGAAAAGACTCTCAGGTCGCAGGGGGTTTGTAAGCTTCCAGAGTGCCGTTTTGGTCAGATTCAGACAAAGCCAGCTCGGCTCGACCTGCTTCAGCGGCCAACAGTCCTCGGTGGTCGTCGCGGGGACCGACTTGACGGCGAGAATGCCGAGGAATGTGGCGGTGGCCTAGATGGTATCGCGGTCTTCGGGCTGTATGGGGCTGGACAGTCGCCGACTGAATAGAGCGCTGGTAATGGAGACATGGTACAGCTCCCGGGTGCCCGGGGCAGTCGGCCGCTGGCGATTCAAGTATCTGTCATGGATTTCTGTAAACGCGAGAGTGGCATGCATGAGGTATGGGCTCTATAGTCCAGCTGATCAGCTATCATAGTTGCGCGTTAATCGCGGGCTGCGAATTCACTTACCCCATGGCCGGTTGGAGTAATGGCTGCGGAGGCACGTTGATGACGGTTGTGATCGAGCGGCCTCGAAACCGCTCAAGTCTAGCCAGGCATTGCTTGTCTAATTCGCAGGTCGAGATACCATCCGTCGCCACCAGGGGCGGCATTTTGAGCTCCTGGGTGAGCTGCAGGTCCGGCGAAGGAACGACGTCGTAGTAGCAGACCACCCCGTACGAGCGACACTTGACGCATTCGGGCTTCGTTTCATCACACTGCGGACCGGACTCGTCAGCTCTCTGTGCTTACATACCGGGAAGACGGCGAGATTACCTTGACTCGCCATAGTTTGCAATTCCGACAGCCCTGGCGAGACTTGCGATGGGCGCGACGCTGTCGCCTCCAGGGCGACTGATCATCCGAGCTGACAAGCTTCATTGTCGTTGAAGAGTGACTCGCGGGATTCTGTTCGACAGAAGTGGCTGGCCCCGCGAGATGGATGGAGAGGAAACCATGACGGCACCACACCGTCATCATTGCTTCACTCCGTCAAGGCGATCGGGATCAAATGCTCGGTGATCTCCAGTTCCCCCGTCGTCTCGTGCATATATCGTGCACAGACAAGTCTTCCCTCGCCCACTCGCTCTGTCACCGCCATAATGACGACGCAGAATCGAGCGGCTTCGGGCACGTCCTCAAATGTCAGCCTGGTCGAATGCTCCTGCCTGGTCGCAGATCTCGCTGCTACTTCCTCCAGCCGGCTGACCTCGTGCACAAAATGCCCCATCAGGGCAGGCTCCCACATGCCTTCTTGGCATGGATACCGTGAGAGTAACGAGATAGCTCGCCGTCGGATCTCGGACCGGCGACACTTGATCGCCGTGAGATAGAGAGATGGAATCAGACCGGAGTCAACCACAAAGGTGGGTCCCGTTGAATGGACTGCATCGCCGATCAACAAGCTACAGAGATCGACGATGCGATGAAATGTGGGAGCAAATTGGTCGCAATAGGTTTCGCGGTCGTTGTGACAGGTGGTAAGCTGAAGAAAGACGGAATGGAATCGAATTTCCAGAAACATGCTAGACTGAGCGTCTTCGGGGCTATTCGGTGTCAGATGCTGGAAGGAAGCCAGCCAATGGGCCAAATTCTTTTCGAGGGTCTTCATATTGGCAAACAAGGCTGCATGCTGGGATTGGCGGACCATCCTAATACTAGCAAATTCCATGCAACACCGCCAGGCTGCGTCGCGTGGAGGATCGCGACAGAATTCCCTACTGAGGGCCAGCAGGTCCCCACGGATATGGTGGGCCGTGCTGGTGAGGCAATCTATAAAGTGTCGAGCTTCGACGAGGTCGATGAACTTGGGGGGCAAGGGGCGCTCCGGTCCGAGAGCGTCCAGGGCTGAAGCTATTCGGTAGGCCGGGGCTCGCTCGCCGAACGCAGTGGAATCCACGTCTAGTCGCACTAAGATTTCCGTAATCTGCTCCACCCCCGTCGGTCGTTCTCGGGTGACGAGGAGGCACCGGTGCTCTCCGTTACTGACTCGGCGAACTTGGCTGGGGATGCTGGCCAGAACACGTAGACCATTCTGCAGATGCAATAACACCCCTAGTCGGTTCCCCTGCAGCATCTCCAGACATACGAACAGGAGACAGGCTACCAGCGCGATTTCGGGATTCTGCCGGTCGTGCTCAAACCGATCGAGTCGCTCGCGCAGCTGACGGATTGCTTTGACATACTGTGACAGGGCAAAGCTGTGATGCGACTCCATGCAAGCCGGTAAGCGTAGCGACGGACTCTGGCCGCGCGTGCTGCGATGCATGGCTCCCACGCCAACCGCTGCATGCATCACCGCGGCCTCTCGATGAGCCATAGGCAGAATCATCTGTTTCCAGATCGCAGAGACAAACCATCCCGTCGCTTCCCGACTCGTATGGTCACGGAAGTAGACAAAACCCTGAGCCTCGGCATGGCTGAGACGGGGGAAACAGCCCACCGCCGCGCACGGGGCCGGGGACGAGTATGCCCTCGGAATCAATGGACGCTTCGCGTGTCCGGCCGAACAGACCACGTATCCGTCGCATTTTCTGCCCGTCGATGAGCATCGGTTGCAGACGGGTCGTGCTTCGTCACACTTGACTCTTCGGATCCTGGAGCACTGTCAGCAGGACTCCTCATTTACCAGCAGATTAGGGGAAATGCTGTACTGACCGACACGTCTTGCATCCAGTTTTCGATCTAGCACCGTTTGGTCTAATCATGATTCCCAGGTGATGGCGGAGAGCAGGTAGGGGGGAGAGGACCGTTGGTTAATGGCGAAAGGGGCAAACATAACTATGAGTCAGTCGCCATAGCCGGCGCTAACGTTCCCTTCTTGGCCGGAGATTAGCTCTGCCTTTTAACGCAAGATCTTGCTCGCCTCATTGGCCGACGAGCGAGCAGTCCAATCAGAGAGCGAGTTTGTCAAATGTCGTGTTGGTTTGTAGATCAAAGGGCTGATTGACACAAGCTAGGGCACGGCCTGAACTGGCAGCAGGGAGAGGGAGTACAAAACGCCAGTCAAACTTCCCAAGATCCTGATCGTCTCTCGCTACCATCGACTCAGTTTCCTGTGTATTTCTGCCGTCGGCATGCCTGTTCCCATTCAAATCATCCATATCCACTATCGTGGCAAGCTTCTCAACCTCCTCGACTCGGACAACCAGACGCCTCTCTACCGCGTCAAAGTAGGGTCGCATTCGCCACAGATGGAGCTGTTCCGTGTCGAGCACAACCATCTGCCCTCTGAATCTCAGGGCACGCCCTTCTCTACCTCATCTGTCCTCCCAATTTGTACCGCGACCTTCAAGATCGTTAGCCTGCAAGTGAAACTCAAGGTACGCGGCCAAGAGGTCCAGCTCGAGCGCGAGAGTCTCCTCACGCGAACCTACAACTTCCACAGCTCCGTGGCTAACGTGGATTTGACGTGGACGGCCGACGGAGCCCTGACCGGCGACTACCAGCTGAGCGTCGCCCACGGTGGCGTCGTTGCGCGTTTCCGAAACAGGCTGTTTTCCAACCAGGAAGTTGGGACGTTTGAACTAGTGGGCGATATCGAGGACAGATTTCTAGATGAGATCGTCATCAGCGGGCTGGCGATGCTGGCGATGGTCCAGAGTCTGAATCTCGCTGGCATGGTCTTAGTGGGAGGAATAATTAATTGAATGCCCGCTCGGCCAAGTGCTTGGTTTTTCAAGCTATCATGTGATGTTCTCAGGATCTATATGCTGTTTAGTATATCCTGTTTAGTTAATTGAACTTGCTTTCCGGTCTTGTAAGCTCCGCCATCTCCGTCATGGTGACTGAACCATGACACTAGGCCCCTCTTTGGGTGTGACAATCGAGGCCTGCTATCCGCTCTGCTTTATTTCATTGCAAATCGCAGACTTTCGAAATGGCAACGTAGGGTCTCTTCCACGGCGTTACGCATACGAAGGCCTCTTCTGCAATCTGTGCGGCGGCATAATCGGAGGTCAGAATGAATTCCTGGCTTGTAGTCCGTGGTCTACAATGGTCCTTGATGCGAATGAGGACTGGCACAGACAAGTGAGCATACAGGGATTTGCGGAAGGACGGCCCAGCGACCTGACGAGTCTGTATTTCTCGCTACCCTGGATGTGGAACCGCTTTTACAGGGCCAGTAAAGACCCCTTTCCCACTCTACCAGAATGGCGCCCCGCTCTAAGAACGGATACTGGCAGTTATGCATATCAAATGGGGATTGGATCAGCAATTTAAGTTGACCAGGGTGGGAATGGTGACGCCTTGCAACGTAGAGATGGTTCGACTACCCATCGACTACGACGATATGGTACTAGGGGACCCAAAGATCGCCCCACGGCGCCACGACGAGGCTTATCTAGAACCACGGAGCCATAGACACAACTACGACAACCCTCGACTCAATCCCATCGCCTACCTCATGCACGAGCGATGCTGGGCGTTGATGACCCGCATTCTCGACGTCGGTCTAATCACCGCGCATTTGAGAGAATTCCGTCAAGCTCTGTGGCAGACTCGACAGACCATTAACATGTTTTTGCCGCTCAAGTACCATGAAGAACCGTGGTGGCCTAACTGGCGTCGCATCTATGGAGACCAATCTTTCATTCCTACCGGAATTTGGAGGCAAGGTTCACGAAGCCTCTCGAGTGCACAGATACAGTGTATTCCTTGCGCGACCCCTGGAAGGTCCCCGAGATCTGGACAGCCATCGATCGCGAGAAGAAGCGATGGCTTTCCGAAAAAGCGAGGAGTGAATCCAAGAAGGGAGGGGCGAGGCCAAGCAAGCGGGTTGCTGTCCAGCCAACGATTCCTCTCACGCAGAAGCAACGAGTCTTGCGACCAATCTGGCGAAGCGTTGCCGCCGTTGTTCTACTTCCTCCAGAGTTGACCATGGTTATTGTTGGAACAATATTGTCAACCAGGCCAGAGAGGTGGAGTATCCTGACCTAATCCACATACCGCACAGCACCTTGCTTGGCCTAGACTTGGCCTACCATTCCAAATGGCATACCAAGGGATCAGGAATGCATAGGTGTAAACAAGTGGAACTATAAATAGCTAGGCAGATTGTAGTTTAGAAATGACACTTCACTTTTACCCACCGAGCATATAACTACATTCCGTTGAATCGATAGGATATCTGCTTAGGGCAATGACCAAGTCAACTGACAGTTATCATCGAGTACCTGCGCACGCCCAGAGAGGTGCGTCTTCTGATGTGGGTTTTTCCGCGCTGGGCTTATTCTCTCCCTGTTTTATGCTAGCGTCGGCTGTTTATCCACGCGATGATCTTGGAATACGAGCAGGATCAAATTCTGGGACCCGATGAATGTCACTGGCGGCGGTTATTCTACTATACTGATCATATCACATCCATCTCACATGGCCTGCGCAATCGGCAGCACATCTTGACCATATTGAAGACAACTAACATTGCTTTCTTGGGCCGCATTGAGGGCAGGTCACCCTGGCGAGGTAAACGTGAGACTTGGGCACCAGAAGGTTTGCGGTGATTGTTTATCTAGCATTAGCTACAACAGGTTACTGTGACATGGGAAATTGATTGAATTCACCTCTCTATGCCCGGGGTATTCCAACCTCGCCAAGAAGGGGTTATGAATGAATAAGGAACAATTCATCAAACGCTAACAATGAATACATTCGTCAACATGCAGGGGACGTTACACGGAGTTGCTATTGTCGGCGCAAGACCAGACAGTTGATCCCCCGGCGGCGTTGTAACTGTTGATTATGGTGACAATGGACGCATACGTGCCGCACACAGTAAGGAACGAGCCCAATAATACTACAAGCACGCTCCAGCACACCAGAAACGTAAGTTTCGGCGTTCTGTGTGCTCTAAATATACCCCAGTTGTCGTAGAGCCACATGCAACCCATGGGCTGGAAAGCCATCAGGGTTCCGAGTAATGCACCGACGAGAGCGACGAGGTCGTCAAAGACTGGGATGGCGCTGGCGATGATATAAGCGGCCACGGTGATGCCAAACGTGCACGTCAGCCAAGTGCCCCAGTGAGTCATGGTGTTCGCCGTGAGGTGCCGCGAACCACGCAGGATGGTCACGAAGATATACTTCCCCGGAAGCTGAGCGGCGGTGAGTAGGCAGGCCATCTCAATTCGGGGTCAAGGGGGACAAGACTAACATGAACCACCAGCATCGTGGTCACAAGCAAGCCAGGCAACGCGAACCCATAGCAAATCTTCTTCATCAGCACTCCGGCCGAGCCTAGAGCAGGCGAGGCGAGATACGATCCGCAGTAACAGTATACAACACAGCCGATTGCAATGTAGACGGCAACAACGGTCCCCTGGCAAATCAGCAGGGCGCGCGTATAGTACCGCGGGTCACGCATTTCGGAAATGATTGGAAAGAAGGCAGGAGTGCCGGTGAAAGCGAAAACCAGTCGACAGACGGCCGAAATTGTCTCTACAAAAGTTCCATTGCCGACAAGCTTATAGTCCGAAACCCAGGGAATGTCCTTGGGTGCCGCAGACGGGCGATCTTGAGCGCCTACCGAGATGGTCAAGATGATAACTACGGATGGAGGTTAACGGTCGCAGCTAGGGATTTAGAGAACAATTGGCAAAGCACCTACTGGATGTTAAGATGCATATTAGTCCGACCCACGCCAGCCAGGACAGGCGGCCCAGTGTCCGAATACTCCCAAGGCCAAAGCCCACGATGGCAACGATGACGGTGAAGATGGCGGTGCACGCTCCATGGGACGAGACGGCGTTCAGTCCTATCGAAGCGCTCAGAATACCGGATGCGGCCACGAATGTCCAATCTGTTCTCATGCTCGAGTATCAGCATGCGTTTTTCCCGGGGAGGATCCGAGGCTGGCAACGTACAAAGGCAAAAAGCAACACCAAAGACCACCCGGCCGATCTGGCCAAACATCAGGCCCCCGGCATCGTCGATCCCGTAGACCTCACGATGCTGAAGTTTGAAGACACCGATGATATAGTCCGACCAGGTCGTGGTGATGGCGATGCCACATAGCGTGATAATGCCGGGCACAATCCCCAACGTGTCGAAGGCGCTGGGGATTGAGAGCACGCCGAGTCCAATTTGCGTTTTCATCATGAGAGCAACCGTTCCCAACCACCCGACCTATTTGAATCAATGGTGTTGCATGTTAGTATGGTGTCGGCTAGGCCTGAAGGGCCTGTGCAGGGAAACGCGTACATCACGATAATTGGGGCCATCCTCCGTGATTTCTCCGAAGACGGCATCGTGGACATAGGTGGGATCCTCCCGGACTTCACCGACCTGCATCGGCAGGGAAGAGGATGGGGACTCTTCATCTGACTTGGTCTTATTCATCGTGCGCGTCCTGGGGAAGGAGACAACAACGGAACCTGTCTTAGACCGATTCGGGGACAGTGGGGAGTTATAAGGGCCTCGCGGCCCCTCAGTCTTCCTCTCATCTACAATGGACTATGATATAACACGCTGGCTCCCAACTGGAATTGCTGCCATTCGGCACCCGGTGGCTATGATGTCCTCACACTTTCAATTCCTGTTTGTCAACCATTGGACCTGCCCCTATCTCCACCGACCCATTCAGCGGGGATAGGATAACAGGTGGAAACCGGGGTAGCGCGAGCGAATTTCCCCATCTATCATGGCATCATTCGGGAGGCCTCCCGGTGGTCGTCGCCAGGGTTGATAATGTTATCAGGCGCTTTCTCAGTGATCGGCTCGGGAAGCCATCCGCGCCCCAGCCTTCTCCAGAGGCGCGGGGGAGGGTCATGGATGGCCCGGTGTGAGGTCCTGGAGAAAGGTGCAGCACCCCATTGGTCTTTCCTGGGGGCTCCATACCTTTGTGACGCAAGTTTCGTAGAGAGAACGAGGCCTACTTACGCTAGATGCGCGTGCTATCATATATAGAGTCCCCGACGAATAGATGAAGATCCGCTCGGCAGCGCTTCCGACTTCCCCATATCTGGGGTTGGCATACACTCAGAATAACAGCACACGCGCGGGGAGGCACTCTGTCCTCGCTGACTTTTCGTCAGCGCCAATTTTTCTCTGTCATCGTTTTACTGGCAACAAGACTAGGTCGTCTCTTGTCCGAGGACCGCAGGGCGGAAGCACCGGGAGCCCCTCCTATCACCAGACACACTCTCGGCCAGACCCATTGTTTCGTATCCTCGCTACCTGGTCCTAGAGATCGTACAGGGCTCATAGAGTGTTGCTATCGGCTTCACACGAGATATCCCTGCATCTGACTCCCGCTCAATACCTGCTGTGATGTCGCTCCGGGGAAAGAATGCCATCGTGACGGGGGCTCTCGCGGGATTGGCAAGGGTATCGCTCTCGAACTCGCCCGTCGGGGTGCCAATATTATTCTTACCTATCAAAGTTCACGCAGTCAGGCCGACGAGGCTGTGGCTCAGGTGCAAGGCATTGGGGTCGACGCCATCGCAGTGGAAGCCAGAGGAGCCGATCCGGCGGCGCCGGCGACGGTGGTGAGCGCCGCGGTGGCTCGATGGCGGCACATCGATATTATAGTCAACAATGCGGGCACCTGGGAGGATTACAACTTCAAGGATATGACGTACGAGCCCTGGGAGCGGCAGTTGCACGCCAACGTGCGATTCCCCACCTTTCTGATCCAACAGGCCACCCGTCATTCGGCCCGGCGCCGCGCATCGTGAACTTCACCATCTATGCACGAGACTACATGCCGGTTGCCTGGCCTACGTGGGATGCAAGGGGCCATTGCGCTAGCACGAGAGCTCGGCCACAAATACAACGCCACCCTGAATTGCATTAGCCCGGGTCCCATTGGCACTGAGCTCTGGGCACAAAGTACTCAGGATCCCGAAATGTCAAAAGCGTGGCAGTCGAGCATTCAAAGCACCCCTGCTGCCCCTCAAGTCGGTGAAGTTGACGATATCGCGCAGATCGTGGCTTTTCTTTCGGAGGAGAGCAGTCGATGGGTCACCGGCATGGTTGTGAGCGCCAACGGGGGTTTGATGTTCGACTAAGGACTTGCTCAATTTACTCGGTTTGGTCCAATGATTGGATCCCACGCGCCATCCGCGATGTGTCGCTCAAATTTATGACTTTCTAGAGCCTTATAGATCTCTGTTTCTGCCATAAATCAAGACCGTTTCTACAACACTCTCAGTGGAACAGTGAACAGCTTCAATTCTATTTATGCTCGGGCTCTTCTGATACATGCCACTGATCTCCACCCCGGAATCCTTGGGGGAAAGGGCCTGTCGGGTCTAATACCATTTGCTTGAACCCCGTAATCCATGCACTCCCCTTCACTGTTGGCAACACTGCGTCGTATCCGCCGATACGAGTCGTGCCTCGAATATGGCACTGAAAGGAGCTGTCGATGATACTGCGGTAATCTAATTTTTCACCGACAGCCAGCTGGCCTCGGGCATACAGAACGGCCATTCTTGCTGAGCTACCGGTGCCACAGGGACAACGATCGAACCGCCCTGGAAACACCACCACCGTTTTAACCGCCACCTTCTTTCCCTCGGAATTCTCCTGTAGCGGTTCAGTAAGCTCCAACGGATTTGGGGGTTTTCCGGGTGAACGGGGGTGAACGAGCGCTGGACGGCTTGCTTGATTTTCTCTCCCACTTCGATCAGCTTGAGACCGTTCTGGTTGGATATGCGAAGTCCCACAGAGGCCGCATCGACGATGGCATAGATCATGCCACCCCAGGCAACATCAGACGGTTCCCACCCCGGGCACGTCCACCGGATAGTCCAGGGCAAAGACGAAGGACGGAACGTTATCAAATGCGACGGCCTTGCACTTGCCATTCTCACAGTCCGCCGTGAAGGAGACCGGACCGGCTGCCGTGTCCAGTAGAATCGTAGTTACCGGCTCTTCCATCTTCACCATACCCGTCTCGAGCAAGACGGTGGCGGTGCAGATCGTGTTTCCGCCGGACATAGGGGGGTATTCCTCGCTTTCCATGATGAGGAAGCCAGCGTCGGCTCGGGGATCACACGGGGGCAGGACGAGATTCATGCACATGGCCGGACGTCCCCGCGGCTCGTTGAGCATCTGCTGGCGAATGTGGTCTGCTCGATCTCGAAAGTAGACCAGTTTTTCGTACATGGTGGAGCAGCCCGGGGGATTGAGCACGCCGCCGACGATGACATCGCCTACCTCGCCGGCACAGTGGCAGCCCACGACGGTGATCAATTGGATGAAATGCATGGTGGTGTATCGGATTGGCGGGAAACTAATTGAACTCCGAAATATGGCTATATTCTGGCTTTGCTATCTATGCCATAACAGCATCCGCCTGGTTTAAATCACTGTCTACAGTCACTGTCCACCGGCCAGATATGTGCGTCAGATGGCACACGGCCCAAGTATCCGTAAGTTCCAGCATTCAGATAGGCCCTTATAGTCGATGAGTTTGGAGTCTTTCGACTAGTTTCATTCTCCTCCATCGGTAAGCCTGCCGGTCTGGTCAGCCCGCACTCTGGCCCCTGAGCCGTAGGTACATACATACATGCATCTGAAGCTTAGCTCACCGGCACGGCCAGTATCCGACCTGATATCTCCCGTACGACTCGTCCGTCGGCTTCTGGGCTACGTTAAGAGTCGCAAACATCGGGTAATCGTCGTATCAAAATTGCATATCTTAGATCCGCATGCATCTGGGAAAAAAATTCACCCTGCTAAGTTAGTCGCTATTCGCTTATCTACCGTAAACCGCGGAGATCCCGGAGATATCTGGCAGTGTACATCTATCATTTTCCTTGCCAGTTTCATATCTTTGCCCTTCATTTTGGATGACACTACCGCCTTTTCATCTTGAAATTACGAATGCTTTCTCTATTCGAGGCGTCTAATGTGGAAGATGTTAACCGGACAGCCCATTTCCTATATACGCAAGTGGACAGCTGCCTGGGAAACTATCCCTTTTTAAAAATGTGGTCTTCCTTGGTAAATTAAAAAGAGAATTTTGGAGAATTCGAGCTAGAATATATTGAAGAATATTACCCAGTCGGGACTGACGGTGTGTTCAATTTTTTTAATTGATTTTTACTGCATTTTTAAACGATTCAGCATGGAATTATGAGCTGTACGGGCTCCCTAAGGTTGTGGGTATTCTATCTGATTATTTCCCAAATTCTGCTGAGAAGCCTGAGGTTGCTAACCCGCCTTCTTAGATAGGAAACACGCTGTTTATTTAAGATCTTCCGCAGTTTACCTGTCACGAATTACATATTGGGCACTTTGTCCTTCCCCTTATAGGGACGACATCCTTGTTCAACTGCGGCTTCATTGCCCTTGTTAAAGCTGGCGCCACGAACGGAATACCAGGACATGAATTTGGGCCATTTCAACTACTACTTTTACATTAGGGTTTAGGTCTTATATCCACCAAGGCCGCACTAAATATAGAACGTGAGTTGTTGGCGATCAAGCGAAACGTCTTTCCCTCGAACGGGAGCATCATGCCTCCTAGTGACACCTTTTGTGCTACTGGGGCGGATTCCCAATCATGTATCCTCTGAATGAACAACATTGATCACTCGGCCAGCCATGTAGATGTCCACTGTGACCAACTTCAATCCACGCAATACTTCCACTCAAGTACCAGTTCAACTGCCCTCTGATCGTCGACTCTTCAAACGTGTTTCATGCCAGTGAAGCAACCGAGGCGATTGGTTGAAAAAAGACATACCGCAACGGCATGAAGCACTAAACATTGAATTTTCGGGTTAATGGATTTCTCTTATGATGTATTTATTTACCATCGGCAACCAGTCTCTATCATCATTGCCACCTCATCTTTAGTTCGAACATGCCAATCATACACGCTTATCTACACAGCAATCGTATATCTAAGGCCACAAAAGAGGCCATCTTCTGCGGACAGTGCGATGGCCCTCAGCTTAACGATGGTGATTGACAAAGTGAACTTTCCGGAAAGACAATGTTTGCTTTGCTTGCCATGGTCGTGCTGCTTATTTGGCATGTTCCAGTATTGCAAGCTCCTAGTCCGCTGAAGAAAACCACTAATTCTATATCACGATAAGGGCAAGCTCCATCATTGCAGCAACATTAACTCTGTCTACTTCCTTCAACATGGTCCTATAAAAGCCTTCATATGTTCTTCTCCACTCGTTCCTCTGTGCCCATTCATTCACCCAATACCTCGGTCTCTAGTAACACTGTTCGCCCTTCAATACAACATGAACCAACATTCGATCCCTGTTTGGGTCATTGTTCACGTTCGACGCGAGTGGACCTCCCGGCTGAACTTCTACACCCTTGTGTTGCAGGCCCTGGCCGAGGATCTTTTTGAAATCGAGACACGTCCGAATTCTATTATTCCTGGACGTGTCACTGGGTATATCATTCCAGTCCGAGCAAATGGGACCACCTCGATCAGCCGGCAACGTAGCCAATTTCGAAAAATGGCAGAAAGTATAGTTTACGAATACTACCAGCAAGCTCGAGATGAAGAGTATCGACAGCGTCATCCGTCGAACTCGTCTCATGAGCCGGCGGGGGAATATCAGGCGTACCGGCCCTCCAATGGCTGGAGATAGGTGCTGTCAGATGCATTCCATTCATCGTTTGCTGGTTCGTCTATCAGTTCCGCTTTTGCGAATGCATGGAAATGTTAGCTGATTTTCTGCACTACTTGTACATGTCATTTTGGGCAATTATATTGAATTCAATCGCACTCCTCGTCGTGTATTTTGTACGAATTGATTATTTTTTCTCTCAGTAGACTCGTAAGTCATCCATTCATAATCGTAGGTCAGAAATAGTACCATCGGTCGAAGCTACTGCGATGCAGTACTCTCGTGTGCCACTTCCTGGAACTTCGCGGTAGATAGGCCACCGGTCCTTTGATTTGATAGACTGAATCAGCCGGGTGGTTTACTGTTTCACGCCCGCCGATAGTCTCCGCAAGCGAATGCCAGTGTAGAGGAGATGCCCGGGTCGGGAAGTATTTCAGAGACTGCATATATACAGTCCCTTGCGTTCAGGTCGGGTCAAGTTCGATCATCACTACGCACTTTCCTGAAACCATACGGAACTTGAACTGATCTTCCAATCCTGCCATCAGTATAATTCAGCCATCCCTATGCGTCGAAAATTCAAAATGCCTCAATGCCAATGTGCCATGGTCCACTGCCCCGTGGACTCGGAGTACACAAACCAAGTCGATCTGTTCAGGAAATCACTATTGAGCATTCCGACGGACGAACACCCCAATGGACAGGCCGGTGATGGTCGCATCGCTAAAGTCCTGCCTAGAGGAGAGAAAACCAACGATGACTACTGTTGATTGTGGCAGTGAGATGTGAGATTCCTGCAGAAGCCAAAATCCACGATCATGGCCTGCAGCGCGTCGCGTTCAGGGAGGCCCGTCGAGCTATCACCAAAATGTTGAACGAAGCCGTGGTGCAGGAAGAAGAGGCCGCCGAGCGAGTCATGCATGAGAAACTTGCTTCTGCTATTGCCGACTTTTGGTGAAAGGTTGGTATTCTCTGTCCTACTGGAAGGTAGCCAACAGCTCGATGACTGGAATAGCGTAGGGACAGGGGCAACTTAATGATATCCATTTCCAAAAGCTTTCGCCTCCAAGTAACCTTGTAAGCAAACGTTATTCTTTTTCAACCTGCCGCCATCAAACACGAGGAAATTTCGAGACAACTCGTCCCAGCGAACTACTGGAAGGAACCCCGATGTTGGTCCTCGATTGCGGCGGGCGTGTTCTCGTAGGCCTGGCGGCAACCCTGAACTCCTAATATTTACATAAAGTACAAATATCCCATCGGGACGCCCTTTGGAGGATTCCAGATTATTCCCTACTCTTAGTACTTCCGTTTGATTCCGTTGGTCGACTTCAGGACCAGTGGCTGAGCACATCCATTCCCAGCCTAGTAGTAAATCTGGCAGGCAGTTCAGATCATTGTGCGTACTGGAGAGACCAGTATTCAGATGCAGCGATGTGTTTAAGTCGTCCCGGGGCTCAGGCCATTCATTCATGTACTTCGGCAGGTCTCGTGATGGGCCAGCCCTATCCCTGGATTCTCTCTGTCTCATTCATGTTCCCCTCAATCCTTCGCACCCTCTTTATTGACTCGCATCCACAATGATCTTCGCTACTTGCTTCGGCATGCTCAAGAAAGGCGAATGGGACGCATCCAGACTGACGGTCGAAATGTCGCCCATGCCACCTGCCATGGCCTTCTGGGCAAAAAGCGGGATGGCGTTGTCTTGCTCCGTGAAAACGTATGTGCACGGGATATCCTTCCATGGCTCATAGCTATTGGGGATCTCGAAGGAGGTGGCCGTGTGCGGTCGCAGTTGGGAGATCCAGTGACTCTGGGTCTCTGGAGGGAGATCATTGTAGAAGACACGTGCCGGATTCGACACATGTGGGTCGTTTACCACCACTTGGTCGCCCTGACAGTAGCGATCGTTAGACAATTTTTATTCCGTATCTCCCAGATTTGATTCCTAACCGACCTTGTATTCCCACCAGGGAGGCGCCACGCCTCCGACCGCTTGCAGCAGCGACGCTTGTGCCGGTATAGCGAAGGCACCGAGATAGAGCACCCTCGCGATTCCTCCCTGCTGAGCGACGGCCTGTCGCTGGGCAAGACCCAGCCCCTGGGCAGCCCCCGAGGCCACGACGCCGCCGTAGGAATGAGCGACGAGCGTGATCTGCTTCCCCTCGTCGGCCAAGCGAGCGAGAACGGCGTGCAAATGAGCGACGTCGTGCGTCAAGTTCTTCGGCGGCTGGCAATCCTCCACGGAGGGATTGGCTACGGCTACCGATGCTACGCCCAGGGCATGCAGCTCCTGGCGCAATTGATCGAAACAGGTGGGCAGGTGCCAGGCCCCCGGCACCAGGACGACAGTCGAGCTCATAGTCCGAGTTGGAGCGGGTGTACTCAGTAAATGGAACGATCGCTAGCGTTCGAGGGGCGAAAGTGAGGAATCGGCTGCTCTTATCACCAGTTCACCAGTCACCCGCGAACGCATCTCCACCGTGGGTCCGTCGGGTGGGCCAGGAGGGGGACTTGCTTTGCAACTCGTCTCGCTGGTTTTGGGCGAAGTCAAACGTGTCAGCAAGCTTTCTACCAATTGTCGGAGGCCTGCGGAACTTTCGTCTTCGCCGATGGGTCGCCAGGCTCGCCGTCCTGTCCGGGTCGTCAGCTCGCTAGATCAATTTATTTGGCGGAACTAGTTCGACTCCTCCCCATTAGATCTCCATCTATGCAGACGCGACGAGGCTTCATTGGCCAGGTCGCGATACTTAATCTAATTTACTACGGAAATTGCGCGGCTCGAGAATCAGCCGGTCGAATAAGAGAGGGGGAAGCAGAGAAAAATTGGAGAAAACCAGATTGAAAAAACCAACAGGGGCCAAACATACGATTCGAGGCTCAGCTTGCAGATCGGACTTTGGCCCCGCCCAGGCTGTCATCACTCTCTCTGCCATCCCCTGTCAACGGCAGGAACCAGACGGCCATGCCCTCCTCTTATCTTTGCAAGGGTCTCTCATCATTTCATAGACCGCGTCCGGGGTGAGGGTATCAAGAACGTCAGTTGTCCGCCGACCGAGATGTCTGCCGGACGTGCCAGCCAGCAATCGGAGAATCGCGGTGCTTCGATCGCCATGACGGTGGTGGCAGTTACGTTTGTGCTTCTGCGCTTCGTCTCCCGATGCGTCCGCGGTACACCCTACGGGGCAGACGACTATATACTTGTGTTAGCCATGGTTCACACCCTTTCCTGCCCGTGAAGCCATCTGTCTGATCGCTGACCGAGGACTCTAGATCTTTGCCTTTGCGGTTTTGGGCATCAATCTAACAAGTGTGTTTTCGCGTCGTTCCAACACTTGATCGGACAAGCAGACTGACCGCCCGATAGTGGTTCACCACGGCCTGGGCCTGCATAGGGACGAACTGCCGCCGCAGAATGTCGTGTTTCTCAGCAAGGTATGCTCCTCCGGTCTGCAACTGCACGGGCGGGCACTCACGAAGAGCGCAGCTCCTGATGTGCATGGAGTGTGTCTACTGCACGAACGTGGGCATAATCAAGCTGTCCATTCTGGCCATGTACCGACGCATCTTCATCGACAAGGCGACGCGCGCGGCAACCCTGATCCTGGGGATCATCACCATCTCCTGGGTCATTGCCATCCTCTGCGTCTCGATCTTCCAATGCACCCCCATCGCCAAGGCGTGGAATCCCGCGCTTCCGGGTCATTGCATCAACGTCAAGGGCTCGTTTATGGGCAATGCGGTCCCGAACATCCTGACGGACGCCGCCATTCTCAGTTTGCCGGCTCATCAGGTGTGGAAGCTGCATGCGTCGCTCACCAAGCGACTGGCCGTCATAGGGATTTTCCTGCTAGGCAGCTTGTAAGTCTCGCGGTCCCGGTAGAGTGGTGTGCAGGATGGGGCTAATTCCGTCAGCGTTGTCTTCTCGAGCATCTACCGATTCGTCACGCTGTTCCATTTCCAGCCCAGCGATATGAGCTGTACGTCTGATCTCTCCGGTGCATCGACCTCGCCCGGGACTCGCTAACTCGCACGGATCTAGGGACCCTCTGCGCAACGAATACCTGGTCGGTGATCGAGGTCTGCTCCGGCATCAGCTCCGCCTGTTTTCCGACACTGCGGCCGCTCCTGCAATTGGTGTCGGACCGCTTCAGCACCACCCACGCCAGTCGATCGCAGAGCCAGGGGCGGATGGGCGAGAGTGGGTTCGAGTCGCGGCCCCCACGGTCGGGGCAGCGGGCGCGAAACTGGACGGAGGAAACGACGACCCATCTGGACTTCAAGGAGGGCGACGAGGTGCCCCTGAGGAGCATCGTGGCGACACGAGCCTTCTCCGTTCATTCGGCTCGTCGTTCGGCTCGTTCCCCGAGTGTTTGACAGGGCCACGGACGGTTCATGCGTTACGAGGGAGACGGAAAATGCAAACAATGCAATGCAATCAAACAGTCCCGACAGGACAAACAGGCCAAACAGACCAAACAGATCAAACAGTCGCTGAGTCATTTAAGTCACCTGACCGCGTAGATAGCCTCTCGTCCATCCGGAGTACGGGGTTCGGAGTCTGTAGTCGATGTAGATCGATGTCTTTTAGTGGTTCTGCTTGGCTACAATCCCCGTCAACAGCTGTCGAGGTCATTTCGTGGCGGCTCTCCGTATACCCTGGGTGGACTAACAATGCTTCCCCGGCAACCCCCAGTATATATCTCTCCGTTGATCTCTCAGTAGCGCAATGACCCCCACCATGACAGTTTACGGGGCTCGAATGACATCAATGCAGCGGAAAAGCCTGATCCTAGGGAGTATGTTTCCTGCTGAACGAGAAACAAAATTGGATCGTGGAGTGTCAATCAAGGTAAGTCCGTTGCCTGTCAATGCAACTCCGTACACTGACTAGGATCAGGATCAGAATCCATCCTCGCACAATGCTTGCCACCCCGGACTATCCCGTTTCAGGGAAAGCTCCTGGGGACAACTCTACTTTGCCTGCTGCCGCCTGTTCGCCATCAAAAGAATTCCTACGACCCAGAATGCGGACGAGGACACGGACGGGATGCTGGACCTGTCGCGACGCCGGTTACAAGTGCGATGAACAAAAACCATTCTGTGGCCGCTGCCTGCGACTCAAGATTCCATGCCAGGGCTACGGCATTCGCTGTCGATGGCGAGCGGTGCGCCCGCAAGTATCGACTTCCCAGCACCGGCCGGTCGCAGTAGATTCCTCGCCATCTCCGTCCCTGGGCTCGGGGCCATCCCTCCTACCCATAGATACTCTGTCGAAACGAGACAGTCGGCTTCTGCATTATTGGACGGCCAACCTGTCAGGCCTCTTGTCCGCGTCGGGCGGACCGAGCGAGAGCAATCCGTTTGTCGTTCACCTGGGCGCCATGCTGCTCGCGCCCGGCGCCTTGCAGTCGGTCGTTTTGTCCATGGCGGCGACCCATCTAGCGCGTCTAACCGACGACACCTCGCTGCAGGTGGTGGCAGACCGGCACCAGCAGGCGGCCCTGAATCGGCTGCGAACTCTTGTCGGCGACCCTGTCCAGAGTCGGTCGCAGGCGACCTTGGCGGCGGTGCTGATGATGCTGGTTTCTACGCGGCTGTTCGCCGATGAGGAAGATACGACGCCCTGCCTTGTAAACCATCTGCAAGGGGCGAGTGCTATGATCGGCCAGCGTTTGAACGGCCATGCACCTGCTCCGTTGACCCCCACAGAGCGATTTCTGCTCAGCCTATTTTCCTACCATGACATCCTGTCGTCCGTCTCTCGTGGCGCGCGGCCCTTATGGGAATCCACCTCCGAGTTCTCGGCCGTCGAAGATATCGCTTGTACGCATCGCATCACTGCAGTCCTTCACCTTGTCGCTCGTATCAGTCAGCTTCAGCAACTCAAGACGGCGGATGCGAATCAGCCGGGCTGTTCGTTTCACGTCACGGCTGCTGCTATCGAGATCTCCTTGCAAGGGCTAGGTCCCCTGTCATCCGGGGATACCCGCGACAACAGCTGGGAGAGAGCGATCGAGTCTACGGTGCAAGCGTATCGACACGCCGCCTTTATTTACTTGTACCGCGTGTGGTTCGATGTAGGAGCCCCGAGTCCGACCACCCTGGAGCATGTCGAGCAATGCTTGTCTGCATTGGAGGAAGTGCCTGCCACGTCGCCTTTGGTGTCGGCCCACGGGTGGCCGCTGTTTACTGCGGGCTGCGAGTCAATTCTACCGTCCCAGAGGGACTTGGTTCGAGCCCGTTTCGACCAGATGTATGCCACACGCCACTTCCCTTCCCTGCGGCGCATCAAGGGGGACATGGAGGAGGTTTGGGCTCGCAAGGACGCCGAACAACGCATCGCAGGGCTGGACGGCATGGCGAAGGTGGACTGCATCCAGGTGATTCTACGTCGGCGAGGAAGGGAGGTCAACTTTACATGAGGCCTGGTCCGCAGAGCGCGACGATTCGATACAAGAAAACAAAGATCTTTGACTGGCTGGTATGATTCTAGGTAGTTATGGGTCAGGGCAACAGTGAGAAATCGTGATCATGCGCCCCTTTCAAGTAGTCATAGCCATCCTCCACCCATTCAACGCAGGGGAAGACCCGGCCAAAGTTGACTTTGTCCCGTAAGCTCTTGGGTAGTACCAGATTCTGCTCGTTGCGATACCAATTGGCAAACTGGATCGTCACCAACATGACGCGTGGGTCGTCCGTGAGGTTCGGCATGCCCGCATGCCACAGACGAAAGTCGCGGATGATCAGCGACCCCTTGGGCAGACCGGGCTGCACGGGGGGACTGACTTTTCGTCGCGCCTCGAGCAACTCGCTTTTGACTTGCTTATGCTTCACACTGCGATCCAACACGTTTCGGTCAGTGTCGATGTGGCTGCCGAGCCAGACCTCCGTGGCACCGTTCTCGGGCGACGTATCCACCAGGTTGATGTTCACGCAAAAGGCAAACGGCATGCGTGGCATGTCAAAGTCGATATCGATGTGCACCGGCTGTCGGTCGGTGGCCTTGAACGCAGTGTTGGCGCTGTAGAATCGCAGTCGAGGGTCGGGGCCGATCATGCCCTCGATCACGGCAGTGGCAAAGGGGTTGGCGACCACGTCCTCGAAGATATACTCGGCCTCGCAGACGGGCTCCTGCTGGATATTGCCCGTGTGCGCACCGAAGTTGCGATGCGTCTCGGCACGAGCGTAGAGCTGCTTCGCCTCGGGCACCATCCGCTCGTTTAGTCGATCGAGATGATCCGGGTCCACCGCATTCTTCAGCACGACGATGCCATCCCGATGTAGCGCCTCGAGAGATTGTTGAAGATTGTGCGAGCCGATGGTCTTGGACGCGAGTTCTGCGGGAGTGAGCTCGATCAAGGTGATGCGAGGGCCGGTAGGTTCAAGCATGATGATTGATTGACTAGCAATTCAAATATAACGGAGCTAGAAGAGAACGGGCACTGCGCATCTCTTCCGAGTGAATCGATTTGAATTGGCCTTCTTATATCTCCCTTCGGCTGATCGACGCCGTCTGGATCTTCCACCTTGCAGCCAGAGGAGCGACGCATCCATGGATCTGATTCAATCGGCCATTGGCGTCGTATCGACCGAACTAGATGCGGGGAGACAGAGGGCCAAGGCGTTAACGCCGTCCCTAGCCCTGCGCGACTGTTAAACTTGCCTGTTCAGGATAAGTCGGGAATCCTTTGCGATGGCCAAGGATGATAAACCGCCTCTCTCCGACTGGACAAGCTTATCGGGCTCCAGTCTGGGGTACATACTATCTGTCTATCTAGGATTGACCATCAACTGTCTCTCGCCTCGGGCTTTGTCGTTATGTGCTCGACTAGGCATGGCCAGCGACCGGGTATTTAAGTCTCTTTATGGCCGGGGAATGGCAGTCTTGCTTTCTGTCTGAATCATGTTGATCGGCCCCTTCACCATGGAATCCAAAGACCAGAAGGATATGACCGCGGTCCACTCCAAACCTGCGTCCGCTTCGATCACCGAGGAGGCCGAGAAAAGCCTTCAATTCACGGAATACGAGCACTCTCTCGGTTTCTGGGATGCGATGGGTTTTTACTGGCCGGCCGTGGCGTGGTCAATGTTCATTAACTTGGTATGTCTCTGCTGTGCCTACTGTACCGGCCAGTTTTAGTGTGATGCTGACTCGGTTTCAAGGCCACTATCCTAAAAGGCATGGTAAGTATTCAAATGATTTCCTGCCACTTCTCGTCGACAGGTCTAATAGGCCCTTCCAGGACGGCGGCATTGTTGGTTCCCTGGTCGGCTTGGAGCCCTTTAAGAGGACATTTGGCTACGAGTATAGGGGCAAATACGTTGTGCCAGCACGCTGGGTATCGGCGTACAATTATGCCAACCCCTTGGGAGGCATCGTCGGAGCGCTTCTGTCCGGGTGGGCCTATGATCGCCTGGGTCCCCGTCTCATGATGACTATTTGTTCGTCTCTCTCGATCGCGATCCTGTTTATTCAATTCTTTAGTCACACCTCCCCTCAGCTGTTTATCGGCGAGCTGCTAAATGGCATTACCATCGCATTCTACCCTATCTGCGCGTCAGCCTACGTCGGCGAAGTGACACCGCTGTCTCTGCGTGGCTTTGCTGCCTCCATGACCAACCTCGGCTTTGTCATCGGCCAGCTCATCGCGTCGGGAATCCTCAAAGGGACCGATGGTTTGGATAACAGCTTTGCCTACCGCATTCCCATTTCCACCCAATGGATCCTCCCCGTCGTTATCTTGGCCTTCATTTACTTCTGCCCCGATCCCCCCTTCTGGCTTTGCAAAAAGGGCCGATACGAGGCCGCTGAGAAGTCTCTGCGACGGTTGGCGACACCTGGCGTCGACGTGAGCCTCAAGCTGGCGCACATCAGAGAGACTCTACGGCTAGAGGACCTTTTCCAGCAGAGAACGGGGAAGCTGAACTATCTGACCTGCTTCCGGGGCCCCAATATTCGTCGTCTGGTCATCTGCGTCATGGCCTACGACATGCAGGCCTTCACGGGCAACATTCTCTTTATCAACTACGCCGTCTATTTCTTTGAGATGGCCGGGCTGAACAACTCCAACGCCTTCTCCATGAACGTCGGTCTGACGGCCATCGGCTTTCTCGGTACCTGCATTGCCTGGCCGCTACTCTCGTACATAGGCCGCCGGACGGCTTATATCTGGGGTTGCGCCGGGCTAACGGTGGCGCTCTTTGTCATCGGCGCGCTCGACCTGGCCCCCCGAACGGAGACCTCCGCCCCTGTCTGGGCCCAATGCGCTCTCATCCTCGCCTGTAATTTTGTCTACGACCTAACCGTCGGCCCGTTCTGCTTCGTTCTGCTGGCCGAGGTCTCGTCGGCCAAGTTACGCAGCGTGACCATCGCCCTGGCCACGGTGACGTGTCACATCATGTCGCTGGTGTTCTCGGTCGTTATCCCGTATGCTATGAATGAGGACGAGGGGAATTGGCGCGGGAAGCTGGGGTTCCTCTTCTCTGGTCTGAGTCTGCTATGCACACTGTATTGCTTTTTATGTCTCCCGGAGACAAGGGGACGGACGTTCGAGGAACTGGATATTCTCTTCGAGAGGAAGGTATCCAGTCGGAAATTCAAGGGCTACGTCGTCGATATTGCGGAGCTCGCCGGGGGGCCTCGAGATGCGTAGCTTCGCTTGTTGCTGCGAGCAAGTATTGAGGACCACGAAGAAAGGAGTCGGGAGTCCCGGAACTTAGAAGCCCCGGAAATGGACAATAGATCATGAAGAGTCAAGTTCACCTGCCATTTACTATATACTCAAAGTTGTAGACGTTCTTTTGGGGAATCACGTCAATCCCGGCGTGTCTGCAATGCGGAACACATATTTCACCGCGGACGCCTTGTTGTCCTTCAGGTCCTGGAGAGCATCTCGGACCCCGTGCAATCCTCCAGGTCGCACCTCGTACGGATGACCCGAGAACGCAAGTGCTTCTCCCTGTAAGCCGAGCTGCAGCTCTCGCGAGAACCAGCGAGAGAAGATGTAGGCAAGTTCCCGGCAATCGTTCCCTCCAGCGGCTTCGTGGGCAGAGGAGACCCAGGTGTTCGTCGCCACCCCCGGGGAAACATCTCGCTCGCCCCCAAGGACGGCATTGACATTACCCCCGGGCGCAAGAACAGACTTCAGGATCTGCGTAGTTTGATCTTGGACGATGGTGTCCAAGACATGCTTCAACCCCTTTCCGCGGAGAGCGTCGCGGATGCCCTGGATGGTTTGCTCGGAGCCGTTGCGGTAGTCGACGATAGTGTCGCCCTTGCTCCGGTCGAGTAATGGCTCAATGTACGAGGCGCCATTGCCCGCCACGGCAATGATAGGGTGCACATTACTCCGTCGCAAGAGTTTGATGGCGAAGGCGCCGACCGCCGTGCTTCCGCCATAAATAACGCAGGGAATGGCCTCTTCCGCGGGCTTCCAGGGAAATGGCAGCGCCAGATGATGATAAAGAGCGATCACTGCCGTCAGTCCGGCCAACGGGATGGTCGCCGCCTCTGCGAAGAGTCAGTCTGTGAGTCCTCGAAATCTCCCAGGAATGCCAGACCTTCGAATGAGATTTCCTTGGGCAAATGGAACGTCGTGTGGCTGTAGGCAATGGCATACTCGGCGTAGGATCCGCCGACAGCAATCATTTCGTGGAAGGCACCGACGCGGTCGCCAGGCTAATCAATTAGCTGCAAGTTTCACGATGGCGAAAAGGTCGAACGTGCCTTGAACTCGTAAACATTCTTGCCGACCTTCTCCACGATCCCGGCAATATCATCTCCTTGGTTAACCCCCTCACTCAATCGAGGATACAGCTGAAGAATGGGACTGTTGGGATCCGCTGCAAGGTCTGGGCATTTCCAGTCTTTAGGATTGGAGCCGCTGACGACTACCTTGATGAGGACCTGGTCGTCGTTGGGTTCGGGGATTGGGCTGTCGACGATTTTCGCCGTCGGGCCGGCAAGATTGATGACTTCTTTCATCGTCCACGCCGATTATAATATGAGTTGCGTTGAGTGATGTAGGTCACCAGGAGCAAACCAGGGTTTTCAATCCTTCCAGAAGTTCAATTCGTGATTTTTTCAGCTCCTCAACAACAGCATGAGGGCAGATTGGTAATCATCGATGGTCATGACGTCAAGTTGTGCCTCGAACCTGGGCATAAGATGGACGCGGTGGGTACATTCAAGCCTCGAGACGAGCTCGGTGGAGACTGCATAATTCATCATGAAGTCAATGCATTTTAGTCAGCACTCCTTGCATTCTCCGCCATGATATCTCTCTGAATCAGTATAAAACGAGGTAGTGTCGGGTTGAGCCATGGCTAATCTTGCACAGTCTCGTTGACTCCCATTGACTACAGCTCAGCCTTACTCAAGCATTTGGCAGGCGTTGAGAACATTGTCAATCTGCAGGCTCTGTCTAAGTCCGACAAGAATCCGGTGTAGAAATTTTAAGATGGCACTGACCCTCTGTCTTGGGTGCCCATGATCGATACTCCGTGAGTGTGAGGTCTATCACCATCTTCAAGGGCTCGGATGGACTTGTGCCACCTTTCCCGTAGCCGGCGCCGGTACATTGAGTCGGTGAATTGGAGAATGGCTTCTGCACCATTGGTGTGGGCACGCCACGACTTTGCCCGAGTAAATGTTCCAAGGGCTCGGATGGTGTGCAAATGAGGACGTTTTATTCGCGCCAGAGCTTGACTCAAGAACCTGAGGAGGAAGCCGCCGATCATCGATTCTGGCATAATCTGGTTGATATTTCCACGCAGAGAATAGAGCAATGAGTAGCTGCAATGACGGTCGTCGCGTGTTTGAGTGCTGGACAATGGGTGACTTGGGACAACCTGGTGACAGATTATGTCGCTAATCCGACCAGGGCTTGATAAAAGGATGCTTGATGAACAAAGGATTCCAGAAATCTGATCTGAGTGAGAGCGAGAGCGCATGTCGAGTTGTGCGAACGAGAGGCGATCGGAGACAAGGCCGAGGATGCGGGGGAATGTTATCAACTCGCTCAAGAACCAGTCAATTCACTGGATTATCCGATCAACAAGCTAATTTCCGGGCCAAACCGCGGGTCTCATGGATGATAAGCCGGTCTCCTCAACTTACCTGATCGAGATTAGTTGGCTGCGATCCCTCGAGATAAAGACAAAGGAATCAGAACAGTCGCCATATAAGAGACATCGTGCTTTGCAGGGGAGCTGTCTCTCTCTTGTCGTCAATCCAAAATTCCCATAATGCTGGCATTATATGTCCTGCCTCTTGTCGCTGTGCTTTGCTTAGTCGTGCGCACTCTGCGGGTGCATCGCAGCGGAGTGCCCGGCCCGTGGTATACGAAGCTGACCAGTGTGGTGTTGAAAGGGCATGAATTCGCTGGCCACCGTCGCCTCTGGATCCATGAATTGCACGAGGTCTACGGCCCGGTAGTTCGTTTGGCCCCGAACGAGATTTCTTTTGCCAACCTAGACGGCGTCAAGGAGATTTACCAAAGTGGCGGGAGTGGCTATGATAAGACGGAATTCTACGATCTTTTCCAACAGTATAGCCATCGGTATGTGCGCTACCTTTCACCAGGGTACAGGGGAGGGGGGGCTGACATAGATACTAGAACCATGTTCTCAACCCTGAATAAGCACGATGTTAGCCACCATGTCCTGTCGCATCACACACTAACAGTTCGGATGGCTAACAGAACTGTAGCATTCTCAGCGGCGCAGACTATTTGCCGATCGCTACGCCATGACCAACATCCTGAGCTCCCCCGTGGTGGATGGGATTCGACAGCGTGCAGCGAATGTCGTCGGAAAATGTCGAGCGTCAATGGGCGGTCACCTGGATGTCTACGTGAGTGAGCATCGTCATGGCTGCGAGTTAGCGATTTGCATAGCTGACGCAATTCCAGACAACGCTGCATTGCTACGCACTAGACTGCGCTTCCCACTTTCTATTCAATCCCAGGGGTACCAACACGCTGGATGACCCCGAAGACTACGTCTTGATGGAAGAACTCTCTTATCATGACAGCCTGAAACGTAAGATCCTAGGGCAGATGGCGCGTTACCACAGCGGCTAAAAGAACATGCCTTCTAGAGAGAATTATTCAACGATACTGGCCTGGACTTAATAAGATTCTCACCTTCTATCATCCCAGGAAGATGCTTCTGTCGCAGGAATTCGTGCTTGACCGGGCATGCAACTCCCAATCGCATGACTCCTCACTCCTGGCAAAACTACGGAGCAAATCTGCGGGCCTAACTCGCATTCAAATGGCCGCAGAATGCATGGACCACATGGCTGCCGGCATCGAGACCACCGGCGACAGTCTCTGTTTCTTGATGCATGAACTGTCGCTACCTCGCTCACAGCATGTCCAGCAGCTGCTTCGCGAGGAGTCTCTTCAAAATCCCGATGCCAAAGTCGACGAGTTACCGTATTTGGATGCCGTGGTGAAAGAGGGACTCAGGCTATTTGCTCCTATCCCGATGAGTCTTCCCCGATACGTGCCTGAGAGCGGTAGAGCAATTGGAGGATATTCACTTCCCGCGGGCTCGATTGTCAGCTGTCAGGCGTACTCTCTGCACCGACTCAACCACGATGTCTATCCGCGCCCGGAAAAGTTTCTCCCCGAGAGATGGCTGGAGGCACAAGGCGAATTGGAGCGAAATCGATTATTCTTTGCGTTTGCCGCTGGCGGTCGAGGCTGTATTGGCAGGAAGTACGTCTCACTAAACCTTGCTCTTTCTCTGCAGTCCGAAATCCAAGATCTGGTGCTAACCACTTGCCAGTCTCGCCGTGGTGGAAATGAAGACACTGTTGCGCGAAATCTACAGCAAATTCACCACCACAGTTTCGTCGGAGATGAAGGGCGATATGTCAATCGATGATCAGATAATTGCCTCACGTCCAAAGGATCAGACCTGTCTGCTTGTTTTCCGTGAAGTAGCAGCTTCAGCTGAAAGCCAACATCTCCTTTGATGGAAAGGCCTCAATCTGGAACTGGTGTGGAAATGCTAAATGAAACGCTGATATTCAGCACGGCAGACAGTACGCCAATGGTTTTGTGAAGACAAGAGTCTGGGACTCTGGAGCGAGGAATAATCTATTGTTGTGGACATTCCAAGATCATGTTGCCCTTGAAATTGATTGCGAAGACTGCTAGTGTCCCCAAATCTGGTGCGGAGAAGCAAACAGCCAAGGCGGGTGTTTCTCCGTGCGAAATAAAGAAGCATCCGAAGTCACATAAATATTTATTTGGGCTCCACTGGCTCAGGAATTGAACGCCAGCCATTGACACGAACTTTCGCAATGTTACTCAGTCTTTCTACAGTTTTTTCCATTGGCCTCCTGGCCATGGGCGTAGTGGCCCGTCCAAAGGCCGCTCCTCGAGGGTTTGTAACAACTTCTGGCACCAAGTTCAAATTGGACGGCAAGGACTTCTACTTTGCAGGTAGCAATGCATATTACTTCCCATTCAATAATGTGCGTGTCTGGTTGGGCTCCATAATGACGCTGTCATTCCAAGCCAAGGTCGCTAATGGAGCACATAGAACCAAAAGGATGTCGAACTTGGCCTCGCAGCTGCCAAGGACGCCGGGCTGAAGGTATTCCGCACATGGGGATTCAACGACAAGAACCGCACGCACGTCGACGGGGGCCTTCCAGACTACGGTGGAGAAGGAGCCGGAGACACGGAGATTGTATTCCAGTGGTGGGAGAATGGCAATTCCACCATCAACCTCGATCCTTTCGACAAAGTGGTCTATGCTGCGAAGAAAACCGGCATCAAGCTGATTGTCGCGCTCACCAACAACTGGGCTGACTACGGAGGCATGGATGTCTACACGGTCAACCTGGGTGGCCGATACCACGATGATGTGAACCGCCCTCCTTGCCATTTGCCAGCGGCGAGCTGACTCTATCCCAGTTTTATCGCCTGCCCCAAATAAAAGCCGCGTACAAGAGATACGTTAAGGAGATTGTGACCCGCTACAAGAATTCGGACGTGATCATGGCCTGGGAGCTGGCCAACGAGCCTCGTTGCGGCGCCGACGGGGTACGCAACTTGCCGGCCAGTGACGAGTGCAGTCCGGAGCTCCTGACGGGATGGATTGACGAGATGAGCACGTACATCAAAAAGCTAGACCCATACCACCTAGTCACTTGGGGCGGAGAAGGGGGCTTCAACCGTGACTCGGACGACTGGGCATACAACGGTTCCGACGGAGGGGATTTCGACGCTGAACTGGACCTCAAAAATATCGATTTCGGAACGTTCCACTCCTATCCCGACTGGTGGACCAAGACGGTGGCGTGGACCGACCAGTGGATTCGGGATCATGCGCAATCGATGCGTAAGGCGAACAAGCCGGTTGTTCACGAAGAATACGGTAAGTCTGGCTTCATATCGAGGCCATTCACTGACCGAGGCTGACTCGACCGGAAATAAACAGGGTGGCTTACCCCGGATGCACGCAAGCAAAATCTGGGAACCGTTTCGAACATTACTCGCCTCGAGGCTGTCGGCGGATGGCAGGGCATAAGCGTCGAGGAGAAGATGTCCGACATGTTCTGGCAGTACGGATACTCTAGCTATTCCTATGGGCGTAATCATGACGACGGCTTCACCATCTTCCTTGACGAGTTCGTGTCTCCACCTGGTATTCTGTTACTACTCATTGATGCTGACCATCCATTCTTTGTAGCTCGGAAGCGAAGAAGCTTGTTTACGAGCATGCCAAGCAGGTCAAAAAGCTGAATCGGTGATCGATACAGTGACGCTTTGCCAGAATGTCGTCAGTGCATTGAGGTGGAGAATGCGCTTGGAGACTGCATTCTAGGTAGCAGATGACATTTTTTGTACGTCGAAGGACGAAGGTTCATGCTACTGAATTGCCTTCTCCTGGAATCTATAGGCCGGTAGAGTGAAATGCATCAAAGGCTCTGGGGCTCTGCCAGCATAGTAAACACTTGGCCTCCAGGCCACAGATAGTCCGATGCTTTCCCTACGCACGACATGGTAGAATAAACAAGGCGAAAGCGCCCAGTGACGCCAGTTTCAAGGAATCATGAGGGCTGGTCCCAGGTGCGACAGACGGGTTCCCTTTGCCATTGCTGCCGGGCACATTATTGACATCGGAAACTCCACTACCAGACCTTTCGTCGTCGAGGGTCATTTGAAGTTTTTGAGAGGACTAGATCATGATACCCCGCGAGCTAAACAATGATCTGCTGGAGGCTGGGCGTGGGGTTACAGGAGTAGATCGTGTAAACATCGCGGCCCAACATAACTCGGACGAATTTGGGACCTGACTTGGTTCTGTCTGAAGTTCGTACAGAAGTGGTTTCGACATGCCGGCGATGTCCAGTATGCTATGCAACCCGGCATCGGTTCCAACAACGCGCAGTCGCAGTCGCAGTTGCATGAGCCTGCCGCCTTGAAGACATGCTAGTATTTCAAAAAGACACTCTCGTTCGGTAGCAAAGGCAGGACACTCAAACCATCATATTTCAGTACTATGATGGCTGATGAGCCTTTAGAAGGAGGGAGAGATGCTGCATAAAAAAGGGATTCTAAGTCCACGAGGTTTACTCGCAGATATCCCATCCCACCAGTTCAGGCGTTCGCAGAGTGGAGCGAAATGCCGACGAGCGACGCCTCCGATTCATACCGGATGCAACTCCACCACGAGCTTCGTATTCAGGGATGCAGCAGCCCAATGGCATCGTTTGCTAAGCGATTGCCAAGCCCACGTTTTTTTACTCCTATTTAATCATTGCTTTTTCGGGGCTCATGTTATGCCACCATGAAGGTCGATGCCAGGCTCAACCACCACGTGCAATGTGCAGAGGCCGGCTTTGGAGACAGAGCACAGCTACTATCTCAATGTAGGTACCGGGTAAAGAATGCAGATTGGTCCAAGCTATCTGCCAAGTTCCGAAGGAAGCAGGATTAACCGGGCATGAACCTGAAGACATATCGACGAGGCGGATTGCCACAGAAAAGCAAGAAACAGCCTTGTGAGTTGAATACCTGGCCGTGAGTTCTACGCCACCAGGCAGACAGTCCCCTGTTATCCGCGCCTTCGAGGCAGATTGCAGGAGTGCGGAAAGGGCTGAGTTGCATTGGCGTGCTATGAGTGGGCAAACCCAGACCTCGTGCAACGCCTGCTTGCGTGATTGCCCAGTCCACGCACAGAGTCCGCTTGCTAACTGAAAACGGACCAAATATACCTCTGCGATATGCAAGAGCCAAAAGACGGGCTATATAAGATGCGCGAAGCTCCGTTCAGCCCTGAGCGCAGAATTTGGCGTATATCGTTGTATTCGGCACTCATCAAGTGCGCCGTCAAAGAATCGCCAGGATGAGTGACGAAACGGATTTTAAAAGTGATCTGTACAAAGTCTCCGTATCTCCGTTTGTCCTGGAGCGTAACGGGGAGTACGACAACGCCATCGTTGCATACCGCAATGCGACCGAAATATTAGGCGTGCTGGTCAAGAAGCTGAAGAAATCGACGGCCCCAAAGGTCAATCGCAAGATGTTCGAGCGACAAATTAAGGTGCACAGCGAGCGATTGGAATACCTCGAGGGTTTAAAAGCCAAGGGAAGCTTCGAAAATATCATATTACCGCCCACTGTGCTGGATGCGATGGCGGAAATGGAAGCACCGCAAGGCTCCAGGACGTTGACCCTGGTCAGTCCATTCCGAAACAAGACACGAGTCTCCGCTGACCCGCTTGCAGGATCGGAAAGAGCTCCATGAATACTCCAAGGGGCTTGGGAAAGAGGAGACGCCCCAGGCCAGCACGGCTCCCGCCCATCTTCAAGCGCTTCTCAACCCGAATTCCGATCAAATCCCCCTTTTCAGCCCCACGCTGGATCCCTCTACGCCGCCGATCACTTACCGTATAACGCACTCCTCGGAGCTGGTCGCCCGAGGCATGCAGTCACACTGGTATTTCGTCAAGGACGCCAGCAACACTCACGTTCTCTACGGGTTGCAAGTCGTGTGGAGTGATAGCGTGCCAATCGTCAACGCGGTCCTTCGTCGCGCCGGGGAGTTCCTGCCAGGCATGGGATCCGTCGGAGTGCGCCTCCGCAAAACGCCCGGCGGCAGCTTTCGCATCGAGACTACGACCCTGCCGGACATCGGGGCCATCACGGAGACCCCGGACGGGGCGATGCGTCGGAAGGATTGGTCTCCGCGACGATTCACCTACGGCGGGCGAAACTTTGTGTGGAAGAGCGGAGAGAAGGGTCTTTTCGGGTCGATTGTCTGGGAGACGCTCCACGAGACCAAGCGAGTGTGGGCCAAGGAAGGCAGCAAGACCGGCAAGATGGAGGACGAGACGGTCGGACCGAGGCTCTGCTGGGGAGAGAAGAAAGGAGGCAACGGGACGGACCACACCATCTGCATGGCTCCTGGTCTGGACATGTATTTCCGAGAGCATTTGCTAGCCGTCCAGCTAGCCAGACTAGGGAGGCAAAGCTATCCTCCTCATAAGGACACGTCCGGCGTGGAGGCGGTCGGGGCAGGGTTTGCACAGGTCGGCTTTCTGGAAGCAATTTCTTAACCTTCCGGCGACCATCGGGGATGCTTGAGGAATGTTATCTCATAATTCTGGCTGTCAGCCTGAATGCGTAAACAATCGGCCAATTCGGCGTGGCAGAGCTCTGTATCTGGGTGGAAGAAGGCATTCGTAGCCGGCGTAATCTCGGACCTGAAGACACGTGCGGGAGGTTAGCAAGCAACGGAGCTGGACAGTAGAGAGGGAATCATCTCCTGCCGTTGAAGGAGCCATGGGTCATTGTATGTATATCAAAGCATCTTGAAGAGGATGAAGCCGAGGAAGGCGAGAGGAAGGGGAGGATGAGGGGCCGTCCCCAAGGGGAAGGCGGTCAGGGGTCGATATCCGTCTCCAATCGGGACTAGTCTCGTCCCTCCTCGTGACGATCTCCTTCGGCCTTTTCCTTTTTTACTCCGTACTTACTTTCTTCACTGCTTCTGGATCCATCAGGGATATTTCCAAATGGCTATTTTCATATTATTATTCCTGAGCTAGACATTTTCCTTTCGCTGTACTCCCCAGGCACCCACAATGTTATGTCCGTCATCATCATCATCATCAAGAACACTAAATACCTTACAAGAGGTGGGATCATCCTTCGACTATCAAAACATATATGTGGCAGAAATATGTGGGTCTACCGAAGAAGTGATTATTCAACCGAGTTAACTAGTTAACTAACTAACTATAATCAACCCATCCCTGGTTACTGAGGAGGGTCCTTGAATTCCTCCCAGATACCCACTCCCGTATATTGCGTTTGATTGACGATGCCGCCCGACAGGTTTCCAAGCCAACGATGGTACGTGGTTCCTGGCGCGATTGTGACGCGGTTCCTCACCGTCACACGCAAGGGTCCGTCTGCCAGCTCTATCGCCACGGTGAATCCGTCGGGAAAAGAAGCGTTCGTGGCCGAAGTAGAAAACCACGGATGAACCTGTATGGCCTCCGTCGCGCAGGAGTTCTGCAAGGCATCGCCATCTTTGGCCACGTACCCACTCACATACTCGCGCCCACTCGGATGCAATACGTCCAACCACACCAAAGAATAGGGGCCCAGGCGACCATGGCCCCAATACCAGGTCTTGACGTGACGGCCGAGGGGCTGGTCGCCCCAGTTCTTATCGTGGTAGCCGATTCCCGTGAACTGAATATCGGTGCCATTAATCGTGAACGAGGCCGCGGCATTGGCATCCGGCATGGCATTCGCCCATCCCACATGAGGTGAGACGAGGAGGTTTTGGCCAGGCTGGTTCGGTCCACAAGGGTAATGGGCTGGCGCATTCTGCACAATCATCAGACTCCTCGATGTTTTCTTTTCACATAGCGTCACTGGCTTCACCTACCGATGCCAACGAAAGCGTTCCATTCAACCCTAGCACCGGCGCGTTGACATGAACTGTATAGCTGCTGAGGTCGAAAGACCCAAAGAAACTGAACCCCGTGCTCGTCCAGACACCAGATGCCCCCTGGCCATCGGTAGAGACTGTGATCTCGCCGTCGCGATCGGGCAGGTTTGGGATGGGGTAATACTGCGGAATTCCGTCCTCCCCGGTGATGAACAAATTGACCGATGCCGAGGAGCCTTCCAGGACATAAGGGTTTCCTCCCGGGGTGGATCGGTAGAGAACTAGGACGACCGACGCATTGCTGGTAGAAGACACGGCGTCAAAGTACCACCAGTCGTAGGTCGAGCCGTTCAATGGGCCTACCTTGGGACCGTCGAAGACATCGTCGGAGATATACTGAACGGGGACCTCCCCATTGAAAACCTCGTTGGAAAAATCGTAGAATTTGGCCTGCGTCGTGCCTACGAGCGCTGCCGCGACGGCTGGGATGAATCGCATTCTACCCGCTGGGGTCTGAGTTGACGAGGCAAGAGAATCGTCGGGGGGGTCTTCACGCGAGGAAAGCTAGATGCTGACGATTAGACTGTCTCATCTGACCCTTTTTAACTCCACTGTCGGATCATTCTGACTACGCCACTCCCGTGAAACCCACCATTCAGGCCTGCCTAAAAGAGAGTTCCCCTGGGGAACTCGAGAGAGAATAAGCAGCAGCAGATATTGTCATTGGCGGGGCATCTACCGAGTCGACCCTTGGCTCGCCATAACCAAAAACAAAACGACACCCTCAGACAGAGACAGGGACTTGTTTTTCTTTCCTTGTTCGTTTTTGGATCCGTTTGCTAGTATTCCACCTGTTCGGCGGGTTCTTGTAAGAGTAAGACCTTCTACACACTATCCTCCTGCGGCAATGGTTGATCATGGGGCTTGTCCCTTTAAACTTGGATTGATTGGATTAATCATTACGGTCAGACTAACTCTAGAGTTTAATTATTGCATCATTGCAGTCTCAATCGGGTTTCGTGCAGGGCTGGTTCCCAGACCTTTACCCGTTGAGATGGAGGACCACGATTGGTGGCTGGGTATAGCCCGAGTCTATTTATGTTTGTTTCGCTTTCCCTGCGACGTGTTGTTGAGGTACACCTCGATCTGAAAAAGGCAATCAATATTGGAAGTAAGTCATTGTAACGGGGGGTTGGAAGACTCACCGTGTTGGTCATTTTATGCTCAACGTCCTTGCAGCAAAGACAGGCAATAATGCCCACAATACCGAACGCCATGGAGACCATTGCCACCACACTATGTACCAGTCAGCGGCTGGGTACTCGGAACTGTGATCCCCGGATTAGGAAGTAAACTTACAAGACGGCCTTGCAAGTAGCATGTTTATTGGCGTCGACTGCGGCCGCTGCCACCGTGGCCCCGAAGGACTGAACCAATGTAGACGGAGAAGAAGACATTGCCGTCAGTAGATCGGGCACTTTCGACTCGTTTAGGCCTGCAGCAGTGACAGCAGCTGGAACCAGCTTCTGAGTCCACTCGGACAGACTGTTAGTAAAGACGGTGTTGTAGACCGTGGTGGCCACTGTTCAGCCGCGTTAGCACAATTTGATCGAGACCCCATATTGATCGGCGAGACGGCGAGACTTACCTGCGCCGGCAGCAAAGCGAATGGCACCTGAGATACCACCGCTGACGCCCAGGTTCTTATGCTCCACCCCCATCTGCGTGATCGCGATACTCAGGTAAATTCCCCAGCCGAATCCGGCTTGAGATAGAAACATGAAAGCGATCATGGTGCCCTTGTTGTCAGGCGTGGCCATTCCCAACAGGGAACCAAACAGAACCATGATGAATACAGATCCAGTCAACTGCCATTGCCAATTCTGAAGCTTCCGTCCAAGGACGGACAGAAGAAAGGCACCGAAAGCAATTGCCAACCCCTGGGGTAGAGTCAACACGATGGCGTACTTCCAGTCAAGACCGCCGTTGGTGTACAGCACAGTCGTCATCTGTGGCCAGAGAATGCTTGAAGAGTAGTAGAACATGTTGACCACACCCAGGGCAACGGCAGGGGCCGTGAAGTCTCGTCCGTAAGAGCTGGTGAAAACGTATGTCGGCGTCAAGGGGAACTTCAGGTTGGCGAAGGTCTCCCAGAGCGCGAAGCTAATCAAGACGACAAACCCGACGACAAGACAAGCCACCACATGCGCATCGTTAGAATCGTAGACACCTGCCCACACGATTCCTAGCAGCAGAGGTACAATTCCGCCAATAAACAGCACGGCACCTGGAGGGCCATGATTCGTTAGCGGCGAAGACAGAGCTTGAACAGCGAACAAACATACCGACATAATCAAGTGACTTGAACGCCTCGCTGTAGGAAACGCCGATTCTGCTCACAATCAGTTAGGACAGGTGCGCGTTAGGGTTACCCGATGGATAGGGTCAGCGTACGGATGGGCCGGTGGGAAGTACAACAGCAACAATCCCACGAAAGAAAGACCCTGGAAGATGGCAACGGCCCAGAAGTTCCAGGCCCAGGTGCCAAACTCGTAGCCAAAACGAGCCGTGACGGGCGCCACAATGACCGCGATGTACACGGTGAAGTCGGCAATAACGACCCCAATGTGTCGCCACTTGTTCGGGAGAAGCTCGGGCAGGGCAAATGCGGCCATCTATCATGATTGCAGGACGCACTGTCAGCGGGATCGTCCTTGATATTCTGAATGGGAGCAAGTATATACCTGGCAATTGGCTGCCCCGAAGCCCGAGACGGCGAAACCGGCGATGATTTGGTTGGTGTTTTTCGCCGACGCCACAATAATATGACCGACAGTGCAGACCTGGGCAGACGTCAATTGAAATGGCCTCGTCGATCACCCCGGTTGGCCTACTTACCAAGTTACCTCCGACTAGGAACCATCGTCGACCAAGCAGGTCCGTATTAGAACCACTGCACGAGGTCAGCGTCATTGAGCGCATTTCAATCAGCAGGGGCTAAACCGACAAGATCATAAAAGAGCAGGTGATGGCAATGGTCCAGGCCTATACCATATACAGTCCATGGTCGTGGTCAGTTGCAATTTCCGTGCAGTAGACACAATGAGTGTTCAAAGACCTACCGGAACATACCACATGTACCCCGAAGGATTTCCCAAGTCCGCGGAAACCGAGGTGCCGATGGCAGACATCGTCGGCACGGGCCAGAATGATAAACCATATCCGCACGAAAGAATCTATGACGCCGGGGTTAGGCTCGAGGCGTGAACAGACGAAGGGGTTGCGTAGAGAAGAGCATACACAAGAGACGAGCCAAGTCTTCAGCGTCACAACGGGCTCGACATCGTCCTGTCCCTCGCCGGCAATGCTTGTCTCGACAGTCGTTTCTGACTGGGGCAATGCGTCTTGCGCTGGAAGACTCCCGCCCTTTTCCATTTCTGCCGCCATTTTTTCCGGCTCAGAACACGGGTTGAGAGAATTGTCGTCGAGGGTGATTGCGACCTCCGGGGTTAAGAGAGGGAAGGATGTGAGCAGGGGTACCCAGGCCAGAGGACTCTTGTTAGTCTTAACAATCCATCCGCTAGCCGACATCGAGCGGCCAATGCGCTACACCTTGTCGGCAAGTCATCTGCATTTTTCCCATGGTCACGGCCGGTAATGCGGAAAAATCAAACCATAATCGAAGAGGATTGACTCGAACTAGTGCCATCAAGGCAAACTGTCCAAGAAACTAAGACCTGGTGGCGTCTGGCCTGGGCCCCCACTGCGGAACGCAATGGCAAGATCAATCAGCCGTTGAATCAGGCCCTGCGTTTGTTCGGAGCAATGCAGCTCCCGGCTGATTAGACCTGCATGGCGGTGGAGGCCCCCAGAAAAATGTACGTGCCTTCTCCCTAAGTCATTATCACTCCTACTTCTCCCCAATTCTACACATCTTGAGTCGTACGAAGTCCATTCTACGTTGCCAACATGGTATCGAAGATACCCGAGCAGAGCACCCGAGTTGCCATTGTGATAGGCGCCACGGTAAGATCGCTGCCCCCATCTCAATGATCGGTACAATTGCTCCTGACCCCGGAAATTTGCGGTAGTCGGGCATTGGCGTCGACCTGTCCAAAGACCTCTATGCACGCGGCTGGACGGTAGCCTGCATTGGACGCCGTGAGGAGGCCGGCCATGAGTTGGTGAAGAGCCTTGGGGAGAGAGCACGCTTCTTCCGCGCAGACATGAGCAACTATCAGAGTCTGGCATCCATGTATCAACAGGTGTTCCAACTCTACGGCAGACTCGATGCCGTGTGTGCCAATGCCGGCGTCGTCGACTCCTCTTCGATCTATCAATTGACTCGCCGCGGAGCAGGGGTCAACGAGATTCCCCCGGAGCCAGACCTATCGTGCACAGACATCAACTACAAGGGTGTCATTTATGCGACCGTGTTAGCGACGCACTTCATGCGACACAACAAACCTCACCCCGGCGGTCGGATCGTGGTGACCGGCAGCATTGGCGGCATTTTCCCACACCAATCCTATCCAGAGTACTGTGGCACGAAGGCGGCCGTGGACCAATTCGTGCGCGGTGCCGCACCACTGCTGAAAGCAAAAGATGACATCTACCTCAACTGCGTCTTACCAGGAATCGTCGCGACCCCGATCGTCCCCCCAGAAATGATCAAGGCGGTTTCTGCGGAGTGGTGAGCACTCCTGACTTCCTCATACTCTGTGAAAAGCCTAGACAAGCTAACGTGGAGCACGGCGATATAGCTTAACCCCCGTCCAGACAATCCTGGACGCATATCAGGTCTTTCTGGAGGATGACACGGGCATGGCAGGGGAGCTGCTGGAATGCTCAGCCGACAAGACAATTTTCTACCCACTCCCACCCTTGGGCAATGGCCATGTCACAAAGCGAGCGGTCACCGTGTGGGAGCCCCTGTTCCGCGCAATGCACGGCGAGGATTCCCAACTCCCGGATGCCATTCCGTAAAAGAAAAAAGGGAAGAAGAAAAGAATCCGAGAACTACGGAGCATTGAGATAGTTTAGTGGCCTCGATGCACCCCCTTTTATTAGCTCAACAGTCAACACGTAAGGCCTCCGTCCGCGAACCAATCCTGTCGAATATTACGCAGTAAATACGACAAATTGTGGACACCACAAGGGAAAAAAATAACCGTTAGCCAGGAATCGGCATTCACATTGGCGGGACTTCTGTGACAGCTTCTGCATTCCGTCAGGAGTTAAATTTTAAACCCACCGGCCTGCAGCCCGCGAGCCAGAAGGGTAACATTGGCGACGGAGGAAGGGGCCTAAGAGATTAGAGGCATGAATTCGGGCTTTTGCCCACCTCTAGGAAATCGTACGATTCCTTCCGATGCTAGTCTGTGGAGATGAAGGAGGGTCTTTGTCCAGTGTCAGACTTGGCGCTCCACAGCGGTTGGGTCTCGCGTGTCCAATGTGAACGCTGACCAGCGCGAGGCTCAGCGTCAGAACTTAAAATGCAGAGATAAGACTCAGGATGTAAAATTGGCCCGGCTTGGGCCGCTGAAAGCATCCAGCGACCCACCGGGCAATGGACGTTACTCAATTCTCATTTCCTAGAGTCTCATGTCAAGCGTCGGCCTGGCGCTAGCCCAACCCTAAGACTGCCGATCTTTTGGTCGCTCGCCCTGCCAGTGTCGGTGATCCTTGCGCTACTGGTCTTCTTATGCATTAGTCGCATTCCCTCGGTCAACTCTCGCGCCCAAATCCCGGTCAAAGTCCGAAACAGCCAAGGACCCTAGGGAGTTTCCGCACGAGTTGAGCCATGATCACCACTACTGACGCTGTGTCTGCCTGCCTGGGACGGGATTGCTCTGTTCCTTTATCCTTTTGCCCACTGCTATTGGGTAGTATGGTTCATCCGGCGTCCCGTCAAGGGTGGACTGATCCTTCGAAGCATCAATCGTTGAATGTCGACTCTGCCGGAGCATTGGTAATTGAACCAAAGGATTCCATAGACTCCATCACGTTTTTGATAGTTTATGCACCTCATGGTGCTTCGGGGTCATGCCGCCATGCGTCAATTGTTGGTATCTAATGAACAATACTTCGTAAATGATGTTATGGAGTAATCCTTAGTTACCCCGTACTCCGTACGACCGTGTGGGTAGTAAATCATGATGGGTCTCTCTTCCCAAGTCTTAAGACCTCTCAACCACTGAGGACTGCCCCCACCTGATTCTCCAGCTCGGTGGCTCCCATTACCTCCTTCATCTCACTGTCGCAAAACTCAGGCTGCTCGCGGAAGTAGTAATTCGACCCGGATAGCTCCACCGCTCGACCAACCGCGCAAGAGACACGAATATCAGCGGTATCGACCATCTCCCCGCCATCGATCAACAGAGTCACTATCTCAGCAATCCTCTCCACAGGGATGAATCGGTCTTCCGGGAAGCCGGACCACCCTTGCGCATCAACCAGGTTCGTTTTCACGATTCCGGGACAGATGGCATTGACCCGGATGCCGTCCTGGGCGAACGGGCGGGCCACGGATCTCATGAAGCCCAGGACGCCGTCTGGTGGACAAAGAAAAGATTGCGGTCAGATGGCAAATGTGAAGGCACGAGCTGCAGGGAATAAAGCACGTACGTTTGGACGCCGTGTAAATGGGCGAATAGTGCGAAGGATAGAGTCCGCCACAGCTGGAGGTCATGACCAGGGAGGTCCCCTTGCCGCCATGAGGGGACAGGCGGAAGTAATGGGCGGCGAGCACAGTCGTGTAGATCACTCCGTTCAGATTCACCTGGATGGTACGCAGATCCGGCTCCGCGACGCCTCCAGATGGCCCGGTAGAGGTCTCGTAGAAGTTGGTCCGCTCGATGACGCCCGCGTTGGCAAACACAAAGTCCAAGCGGTTGCCACTACTGGAGAAGATGCTGTCAAATGTACGAGCTAGAGTGCCGTAGTTGCTTATGTCGGCCTGGTGGAAGAAGGTATTGGGCAACTCTTTGGCCGCCTGGGAGCCCCGTTCCTCGCTGATATCGAGAAGGTGTATTTTCCAATCGCCCCTTTGAGCCAGGGCACTGGCAACTGCCAGGCCCATGCCACTCGCTATTCGCCTCCCCCTTTATGTTAGCTTGTTCCTTCATGATGTGCCGGAGACAAAATTGCCTGTCAGGGAGGAATGGGGGGAGAAATAGAAGGGCGACTAACCTCCGCCAGTGATGACAGCAACTTGCATTTTCTTTGGATGGGATGCTTGTGGGAAATCAATTAATACTTATCTACTTCGTCCCTGGGATTAGGACAGGTTACTCGTGGACGTTAAATCTTACGATGCACGATGTATACCTGACGCGGCCTCGGGCATGGTTCTTTGTTCTTCCTACTCCGTACTACTGACCGGCTCCCCTGCCCGGCACATTCTAGGCAGTGGAGCTATCAGTGATTAAACTGGTGTCATTCCAACCTAGACAAATCTTTCCTATCCACATGGGCTGCTTCGCGAACCCCTGGTCCTAATTCTAAGCCGTCGAGTCGACTATTTCTGTTTCCGCATCGAGTAGCTGAAACGCTTATGGGCCCTGGAGGATTCGACAGGACATACCTAGTTAGCCAGCTGGCTCCACCCAGCTACGTAGTTGACGGCACGGAGGACACAATCGGTGACCATGGTGACCAGGGAAACTTTTTCTATTTCCTTTTTGTACAAGCCTGGTGTTGTACGGTGCTAGCACCGTCGCGCTGCTCCACCCAGTCTTCATCATTCATACGGAGTAGGCATCATGAAATGAAGCGGATGCCAGCCGTCCGCTAAAATCCGGAATAAAGTGTAACAAATCAAAATTTCACAGCAGCACATGAAAGAAAGGGTTCTACTATTGCCAATGGGGTCTCAAACCAAAACCTCCCTAAGAGATCTGCACGGTCCGCCCAAGGAATTGGGATATGTTATTTTTGACAGTCGCCCTAATTCTCCTCGATCCGATCTTTTAACGGGTTGGTCGCGCTGCAAACCCTAATCCTGCATCATTTACCTGGTATTTAGCAACTCCCTCGCGCCACGCTGGTTCTCCAGAAGAGGTTTTCCGGCCAGAAGTCGAACCCTGGGTGCAGACAACGCCCATCCTTGTAACGACCGACGACCTGCAGGAACGCCTGGGAAAGGGGGTTCTGGAATCCCTCCACAGTGTCTTTTGCTACGGGATTAAGCATCTGCTGCTTTTAAATTTTCCGCCATGGCCGCGGACAGCTTGACAATCGAGACGTTCACCGAGTATGCACTTGGCATGTGCTTTCTCCTTCTGCGACTTTACGCCAGGATCAAATATGTCGGCATCCGGTCCTTGGGGATGAGCGACGCCCTTGCGATCATGGCAATGGTATGTTACATATCACCCCCACGAGTTGGGGCTTTTTTGACTTGCTGACGTCGCTTCCTATAGATCTTTTGGACGATGCAAACCGTCATTATCCATCTCCTCAGTATGAGAAACAGCATCCCCCTGTCGTGGCGAGAAACCTTCATTAACGAACTCCAGATATCTTCGGTAATAACATCGGGCTTAACGAGCAGACCGCCATGATGGTACCTGATTCCAAGGTACCTGACATGATCCTCGGGTCTAAGCTCGCGTTCATGAACTGGATGTGGTACCTATCCTACATCTGGTGTCTCAAAGGAGTACTCTTATGTCTTTACCATAAGATGACGTATGATGCCTGTTCTCGTGTCGTTACTCCAAGCCCATTGCCCGCTAACGTGTATTGGTCTCTCCAGCGACGGAACCTCGTGGCATCGTTTGGTTCATGCGGCTTCGATCTTCTGTGTCATCACTTGGTTAGCATGTATGCTGACGCATATCTGCGTCTGTACCCCCATCCCACGAAACTGGCAGATCAAGCCCTATGCAGGAGGTAATGGTCCCCAATTCCTCGATTTTCGGCCGTCGAATTAACATAAGCCACTCAGATAATTGCACGCTTCGGTCGCCCAACTATATAGTGATCGCGGTCCTCAACGTGGCGTAGGATATCCACACGCATCATACAGGATGACCTGAGATATGCTAACCTGTCGCAGGTCCGATCTTGTGTGTCTCATTATTCCCATTCCCGTCCTGGCTAAGCTTCAAATTCCTTTTGGGCGCAAGCTAGTCCTCGTCGTGTTGTTCTCTTCCGGCCTGTTTATCATGATCTGTACCATCCTGCGAGCCTACTACTCGTTGAAGAGTATCTCGACGCTCTCAATCGCTCTCGGCTGGGCCGATCGCGAGTGCTTCGTCGCCGCCATGGTCGCATCGCTACCAGGAATCAAACCGCTCTTCCGAAACACTGGCTGGTTCGGCTCGACGAACCGTGGCAAGTCTTCCGGCAAGCCGACCGGTGCTTATGCGTCGTTCGGGTCCAAATTCCCCGGCACCAACAAGACGTTCGTCTCGTCCTTCGGCAAAGATACTGATCGCTTCGAGTTGATCGAGCGCCAGGAGAAGTCCATGGGGACGCAGCAGTCCTCTGCCGGTGACAGCGTCGAGCAAATCCTGCCCCCGGGCCAGCCGCAGGATCCTCATCGAATCACCGTGACGAGAGAATATATTCTTGAAGAAGATCGGGCCAGTCCAGCCCGGGGGCATAGATAGGCTGCTTCTCGACCGCGCAGTTTCTCTCTTGTCTACTACAATAATGCGGGCGCTTATCAGTGGCTCATATACTAATGTGATGTTGAATTGCGACGAGACGTCGTTGTGGTTCAAACTGTCCATGCACGGTCTTTCTTTTCTTTTGTTCTTACATCTATAATCATGATATCAATGAATGTAAAAGTCTCGATTTGAGCTTCCAAACCTTTGGCTCCTTCAAGACACGCACCGGCAAATTCATGCTGAGCGGAAACTGCTTCCCACGCCAGAACGAATCCACTGTCGTTGGGGAAATCATTCGCCTTTGGCTTTCTGTGTTTTGTATGCGCTAAAGTATAAGAATGGGTAGAGAGTCTCCGGAAGGAGCGTCAGGACAATAATCCCCACGCTCCACGGTGACGCCACATATCCCCAGTTCTGTGGTACGTTCAAGTAACGCCAAATAAAGACCCCATATGCAGTGAAGCATCCCAGGTACCGAGTTATCCTAACATGCATCAGTTATAGTCTGTTAATCTTCCAGTCCCACCGAAACTTACCACATTTCCAAAGAATGTCCTCGCGTGTCGCGGTTCTTCCAGAGAGAATACACGCACGTCCACCCGATCGGAAACTGAAGCAAGATCCCCGTCCAGTACGCCGTGACCTGTTCGCGTTCGTCGGGGTACAGTCCAGCCAGCATTTTCAATCCTAGAACTGCAATGGCACAGCCAAAGACCATGTTGCGCGCCAGCGACCACCGTTGATGAGACGTATGTGCATGTCGGATAGCGATGGTGGCGAAGGCGACGTCCATTTCAAACCAGATCAAGAACGCCACCTTTTCTAAAGATGTCGAGGTCGTGGTGAACGCATAGAAGAACTCATATGCCATTGTTAGGCAGCTGATTTTATTTCTCGTCAGCGTCAAGGAGCCGACCGGGTGCCACTCAACCTACAGGAACTGGATTCCCCCAACACTGGAACCCGGATAGGTCTTGTCGCGATATGTCCGAATCATACAGAAGAAATAGCACAGTGCATACAGCACGCCGCAGGAAATGATCAACCCATCTTGCACGAACAGATAACTCTCGGGGGGGTCGAAGCGCAGGTCCGCCGGTTGCACAATGAGATGACGAACACTACGCGCCAGCTCGAATGTCGACATGGCGACCGTGGTTATTGCAATTTCAGTTGAGCTTTCTATCGCTGGGCAAAAGGAATCGAGAGACAGGAAGAGTGAGTTGTTGGCGGGGAACAGGTGGTGAACTGTATCCACGGATTCGGCTGGTCGCGGAGAAATCCCACGATGACGTCAGCTGCTCTCGTGGGGGTTTCTTCAGCACATCTTATTTGCTGTTCCTCTGCACTGCTGCCTGCTCGCCAAGCAGCTTTGTTGCCCGATCGCGCTCGATAATTAGAACTCTCCTGCCACGGTCGGCGCGGAAGGAGCTATACTCATTGAGGGCCCCCTACATATTTCTATCTACTCGGTGACTCTCCAGCTTCTCATGACCTGTTACACTGCCAGGTTCGATGTTGGTGGAAACTTGGCCGATTGCACTCGTTTCAAGCCCTCTAACTTCTCCAGCTTTGATCGCGTCTTGGTAATTTCGTGGTCCAATTCATCGGTCGAGGCAACTTGATATCGCAAGCGTAGAATCCCCGCCGAAATCAGAACCAGACCAAAGGCCACGAGAGGCGACCACTGGCCGACCTGCTGGATATTCTCTTGCGGTGGTCCGTCGTTGCGGATATACCATTCGATCCAGACCACGAATGCGATCGCCGTGAAAGGGCTGGCCACGACGCTCAGTCCGAAAGCGATCAGATAGACGATATCAATAATTGGGAATATCCAACGTCGTAAGGAATGCGGGCTGAACAGTCGGTATACGCGTAGGGCTTTCGCGAGACAGAACTGGGAGTCCGTTTGTGCCAACATCCGTCGGACTTCGATCAGCGACTGTCGAAGATCTTGCTTGATACCCGAGTATATGGATTTCCTTTCCTTCCAGATTACGGACATGTGAAGCGACGGGATTCGCGATGGATAGGCGAGGAATTGAAAGGTCATCAGGGCAAAGTTGAGGCCTACCGAGATCGCGATCAGGGCATAGATGTAGCTCTTCGAGTAGGTGACCTTGTTCCAAAGACCGCGCTGCGACGTGTCACTCAGCCCGTCCACGGCCACGCTGGCCTGGAGAGCGGTCGCTTTTCGCAGGACCTGGGTGGTGTTGAAGCACGGATAAAAGCAGACACTCTCTAGTTCTTGCAGGAGTGAATCGTTTCTGAACAGGCTCCAGACGGTTTCGTTCCACGTAGATGCCCATAGCTTGGGTTGCCAGCCATCGCTGGAGATCATGTCGGCCGGCGGGAACAATGGATTGCAGAACATGTACTGCTTGGGCGTTCTCTCCAGGGTCGGCCAGTAGACGAGGGCGCAGATGGTGCCCGCCAGCATCATCAGGTTCCACAGAAAGATCACCACGTACTTGGAGCGCTTGTATTGCAGACTGCGAGACCAGCACTGCAGGGGTAGAAAGACCAGATACCCCGTCACCACGATGGCCAGCACCGCGTCACCGTCCAGGTCCTGGGTGGATGGACGAAGGGGCAACCACGTCTGGTTCGTCACTATCGATGGGAAATAGTCGATCAGAGGCGTGCTATTCGACACGGAGGGAATCGAGATTGTCGTCGCCTCGGGGACACGCTTGCGACTAGCCACCAAGATGAAAGCCTGGATGGCCGCCGTTCCGGCATACGTCGCTGCCGTCCCTAGAAAGACGTCCGCCAGCCATCCCCGCCACCGCGTCGCGCAGGAGACGAAGAGAAGCGCATAATACAGATATCGGGGACAGCTGTTGTACACGGTGCTGATGGGATAGGTGCAGAGCGTTTCCTGTGCCACAAACAAGGGCAAACTCTCGTTAGTGGCCATCGACAGCCTCGCAGGGTTGGCGCGGTAAACAAAGATGTGAGAGATCTCAGGCAGTTCATTCCGTTCTGTACGATGCCTCGCGATCGGAATCGCTGACGTTATCGACTCCAGGCAGCCGAATTGCCACCGGTCAATGTGACCCGATCGCAGGTTCCATGGTAACGGGAGAAGGTTGACTTGTCCATGGACCCAAGATTGTCTTCCGTCAATCTTTGTTGTCGGTCGACTTCTCGTATAGAACTGTGGACAATGGAGACTGGGGATGATGAATGGTGGACGATGAATTGTTCGAGACTCTCGGCCATGACGTCAGCTGACATGTCAGGTGATCGATATATATGCGCGCATTGCATAAGATGATGTGTCAGCTATGCAGAGCTGCTTGTGCTCCTCCTCCGTCATCCACGACTATCTTCTTTCTTCTATCTTCTTTCTTCTATCTTCCACCTTCTTGGACTCGCAGGGCACGCCACTTGGAATCCATCCAGTATTCACGATATCCAACTTTGTTCATGGTTAGCTTTTCATCCTCTGGATACACAGTCAAGATCCATGGTATTTCCTCGTATAAATGACGGAGCAAAAAAAGTTGGCCGGACCAAAAGGCCCAGATTTAACTTGCTTTTTCACCCCCTCTTGTGCTGTCAAAATGTCGATTTTCCAGCCTGCTTCTATCCGCAGGAATGAGGTCTGTCACCCTCCTCCCTGTGAGATTCATCAACTCCAGTCTTCCGAAAAGGATGGAAATCGGACGCCTGTCCCTCGCAAAAGAAAGGCAAAAATAACCGTGCCCCCTTCGGTGTGCAGTTTCCCATACGCGAGTCAGTAAGTCGACCCCAACGCGTCGGTGTTTGGAGTTGGGACTTTTGGCGTTCTGTTCGGACGATCAGCGGAGTCGCAGTCCACGATCGTCGGTGTCACTGTCATCACGTTCACTTTGGGAGAATTCTTCGCACCACAGGAGGGCTGTAGGCGTTCTCGAATCTCGGCGCATAAGGAATATGTACTTTGTAGGACTCCGGTGGAAGACAAATAAGATGAATGGGCAAATCTCACTGCATGGTGATTTGATTTTTCTCGCAGAAGATCAATCAAACTATCTTGCAGTCGCATATGATTTTATACCGATATTCCCCAGGGGACCGCAACCTGCTCCCCCGTCGCCACTCTTCTGAAGCGGTGGATGGGTCCGCAAAAACCCGATGCCGCTAAGAGCCGTCATGGGTCACTGCTTTCACCGTCAAACTCGACTATCAACATCGCTCTAACGAGAAGCGACCCAGTCGGCTAGAGCCCATTGTTGACTGGACAGATTGGCGGGAAAACGGGAAAGTGTTCCTATGCGAACGCGATCTAACTATAGAACAGCCAATCTTTGGGTCACTCCGTAGGCCGGGATGCATCTTGACGATCGCGATAAGCGGAACAAGTACAAAGGCAGCGAGACCGAGTGTCCTTGATTTTTTCAGGGGCTTGCGCTCTCCCGAACAGGGCGCAACCTGTTTATTCCCACGTTCTGGGGAACCATTCCGATGACCAAATATGACTTGTTCGCTCATGGATTCCCGGTAACTTGACTCCGAATCGAGGCGTGGGCAATAAATAAAAGGAGAAGAGGCAGAAGAAAAAAAGTCTCCTTCTCGGGTTGTCAGGAGAAACAACCCGACAGGCATTGCGGTCCTGAGACAGGATCAACAACTTGGTCGGCATGTGAGCGCTTTCTTTCTTTCCTTTCGAGCCGGACCTGCCGCAGTGCAAGAACATTCATAGGGAGAGTTTGGCAATACTGGATAGAAGGCCCTATAAGCGGTTCTTCATGATTAGGGCGAAATCTCCGCGTCGTAGGCCTGAAACATCCTTTACTCCTTACGGAATGGATTGCTGGTCATGCAGTTCGCCACTATGTCCTGTGCTGGCGTGAGATTATCGCCGCCTTAGAATAACTCAAATTCCATGGAAGACAGTTAGACCGCCGCTTGCCTTCTTGATCAGTCGTGTTCTATCGATCTCTCGCCGTTGGCCCATTTTCACCGAAGAAGGCCGGGATAAATTTGATATATCATATTGCCAACACCCAGATCGAATGTGGTGGAGATTGCCATGGGCATTGTCCATCGTCACGCTAGCCTTGGCTCAGTGTATCACATTTGCCTCTCAGTCTAGCCCACAGGCGGTCGATCTACTAGCGATTGGAGAAAAATAGTCGGAAAGCCCACCACTTTATGGAAAAACGAGTTTGTTCATCCTTGTCCTCTCCGCCAGATCCAGGGAACTAGATGTATTCCGTACTCAGTATATCCCCAGGGGAGGGGGGTTCGATCTATCCAAATGGGTTGGTACCGAGATTCCAAATGCACGGATGCCCACATTGGCATATATAGGCCCTGTTCACCGACCGGCCACTGGGTTTTGCTTCGTTCGCTGAACCTACTGTGCGGTTGCTTGGACCCCATGGGAATCAGTCATTGAATGAGGAGGGGATTAACTCACTAGTCGATTCTAATTATCGCTCAGTCGCACTCTCCTTAATTCACCTATTCCTCCTGGATAAACAAGCCTTGTACTCTGTGGGGTGGCTGCGATGGCATCGGATTCGCAAGGGCCGGTGGTAGCCGGCATTGCCGTGGGATTCCTCGCATTGACTATCATCGTTTTGTCGCTACGGATGTTTTCCCGCGTTGTTGTCCTGGGAAAGATGGGAATTGATGATTGTAAGTTGCTTCTACCTTGACATACCGCCGAGTACATGCGAACACATCGCGATTAGACCTCATTATCGGTGCCTGCGTAAGACCGACCTACCCATAATTGAATAAGGAGCGACTGAACATTTCTTAGCTTTTCTCGTGGTCATTCTCGGCGGTTACCGTTGTTGGTATGTCCTCTCGTTCCAGGTTTGCTTGCAAATTTTATAAACTGACTAGAAGCATAGCGGTCAAGAACGGATTGGGATCCCACCTTGAAGATGTTGACCCTAGTCATCTCGAAACCTACGCTTTTGTATGCCTTCACAGCCCACTCTTTGGAAGGGCGACGTTCTAACCATAAAACAGGTCGTTTGGTTAAGCTCGATGTTTTATTTGAGCACTCTGGGCTTTATCAAGTCTTCCGTATGCGTGTTCTACACTCGCCTGGGGGATCGATACCTCACGCGACTGTCCTTGGTGATGCTGGTGGTGGTGGTCGCGCAGGCGCTTTCTTTCGTCTTGACGGCTGCGTTCCAGTGCAATCCTATTCCCAAGGCATGGAGCACGGCATTGCCAGGAAAATGCGTCCAAATTAATGTCTTCTACTTGGCCAACACCGCCCTCAACATTCTCACCGACCTCCTGTCTTACTCCTTACCCGCGCGAATCATTTTCCGACTGCAGATGCCGATGAAACAGAAGATTGCATTGGCGTTTATTCTGTGTTTGGGACTGTTGTAAGTATTTCCATCTTTCGTGCAGCAAGAGAGAGTCTAACAGCCCGTGCCCAAAGCGCCTGCGTATCCTCCATTATCCGGATCACCTACATTCCCGCCATGCTCACCTCGCCTGATACCACCCACGCCATTAGCGATGCCATGTGCTGGTCCGTGATCGAAATCAACGTCGGCATCTTCGCGTCGTCCATTCCCTCCTTCAAAGCCATCACTTCGCGCTTCCTTCCCCGGCTCGTCGGCGAATACTCTTCGGGCAAAGGATACTACTGGCCGGGAAACAGCAAGAAGTACGGGTCGGGCTTCTCGAAAGTGCGCGATCAGAGGATTGCGCTCGACAATATGCCAGGCAAGCACCCCGACGGAGAACATACAGCCGGCACGGAAATCCACGAGCCATTTGGGAACAGTACCAGTAAGGAGCGGATTATTATTCCCGAGGGCCGGATCTACACTCGGACAGACATTGAGACGAGCGTGGAAGAATGTCCGACGGCCGGGTCGCCTCGTTCAGCACATGGGGCGCGTTTCTATCCGTAGGATGGTGCAGCCAGAGCTCACTTGGTTATGGCTGCCTGTCGGCTAGGTCAGATCTCTTGTACAATTTTTTCCGAGATTATAAATAGAATAGAAAGTCGCATTTCTGACGCGCGTTTCTCCCTGGCAAGGTTGATGAGCCCAAATCTGATGCCTACGTACTCGGTCTTTCACTTGTCCTGACGCAATTCTTTCTGTTCAGCTCAAATTGCAGGACCAGGGTTTCTCGATTATGTCTAAGCCCCTTCTCTTGCATACTACTATTCTCTTTGTTATCCTGTCAACTCAAATCATATCTCAGCGCGATCGAGGCGGTCGCCTTTGGATGAGAATTCGTCAGGCCAAGATCGCTCAGGGTGAACTGCATTCGGGATTCCCCATGAATCCCAATGACGGAAATCAAGGTATTTTCCCTCAGGCAACTCTCCAAACGCTCACCTAGTGTGTTGAGAGCAAAGCGATGCCCAGCCGACTAAATGCCACAGTGCAGTCTAACGACCACGCATGGGAGAAGCAGGAGATTTTTGCCTTGCTACTGCGACCGCTATAGAAGAACAATGGCTCCTAGATTGCTTGTTTACATGATTATAACTCCGAATGCCTGTAATTTTGTCGATGATCTGTCAACACTTGTGTTCATCTAGTCAGGGCATTTGCTCACAGATCCACTCATTCTGTGTCCGTTGGTATGCCTCACAAGTCTAGATCCCACTCCTCGAGAAGGCAGCATGACCAGCGACGATCCTCGCCAGGTCAGATTTCGGGGGCGATTCCCCCGAGGCAACTCCACAGCCCCGCCTCCACAGCGGGTGGAAAATGAGGGGATCCAAGCCAACTTTATCTCCAGCTTCTGTCCTGCTCGGACTTCCTCCGACTCCACTTCGTATAAATGAGCTCTTCTTCGACCTGAGTCACCGTCTATTGAGTCAACGGTGTCGCAAAGATGTCCAAACCAGCCGAGGAATTCATTGAGTACCAGACGAACCCGGAGAAACTCGAAGGACTAGGCCAGGATGCCTTGTACCAGGCGTATGCGTCCAAGAGTGCCGACTGGCATAAGCGGATGACGCGCCAGTTACTACGCAAGGTGGACTTGCACCTGCTGCCCTTTTTGATTCTGATGTATCTTTTGAACTTTCTCGATCGGAAGTGAGTTTCTTTTCTGGATGTGTGAATGAAGATGTCGCTGACCATCACAGCAATCTGTCCCAGGCTCGGCTCGGTACGCTAGAAGAAGATTTAGGCATGAAGGGGACAGATTATAACCTCGCAACCAGCATCTTGTTTGTCGGATATCTCCTGATGCAACTGCCGTCGAACCTGCTGTTGACCCGCGTGCGACCGTCGTTGTTCCTAGGAATCGCCATGGGCATTTGGGGGGCCATATCGGCGTGTCAGGCGGCCACTCAGTCCTTCGCCGGTCTGGTGGTCTCGCGCTTCTTTCTCGGCTTCGTTGAGGCCCCATTCTTTCCGGGGGCGGTCATGTTGATGTGAGTCGCTGTCCAGATTATCTCAAGAGCGCATAGTGACTAGTGAACTAGGTCGAGTTGGTATACCAGACAAGAGGTAAAATCGCCCTCACCACTGGAATCCAAATCATGCCCGCTTATTCAAGTAGTTGAGTCATCGTATCGCCTGGTTTTATGCCGGTAGCTCTCTCGCCAACGCCTTCGGCGGATTGATTGGAGCGGGAGTGCTGGGGAATTTGCACGATGCGCATGGGATCGCCGGATGGCGTTGGCTCTTCATCATCGAGGGTACTATCACGGTCGGGATATCGATTGCTGCAGCGTGGGTCTTTTCCTTTCTTCCACTTGGCCCCGCTGATTGAACTCATCAGCTTCATGCTCCCCAACTATCCTGCTACCACGTCGTGGCTTGATGCCAGCGAGCAGTCTTATGCACAATGGCGTCTGGTTGCCGATGCCGGTGAAGCTGACGACACAAACACCGGTTCGATGAAGGAAGCCTTGTATCTGGTATTCACGGACAAACGCATCTACCTGTTCATCCTGCTGCAACACACCTCGTTGCTCTCGCAGAACTTCCAATATTTCTTCCCGACGATTGTGCAGACCCTGGGGTATGACAATATCATCACTCTGCTGATCACCGCACCTGTATGGATCGCTACATTCCTGGTCTCGCTTGTTGTCACCTGGACCTCGGGTCGATCGAACGATCGTGGGATCCATGTTATCGCGCTTATGATGGTCAGTGTGATCGGATGTATAATTTGCACGGCGACCACGAATATTGGGGCCAAGTTCTTTGGCATGTTCCTGTACGTTGCTCCATTCCATTATTCCCGCTTTCACTGCTGTGAACACCACCTAATTTCACGTTAGAATGCCAATGGGCGCTGTGTCGGCCTACCAAATCATCATCGCATGGGTCGCCAACTCATTCCCCCGACCGTTGGTCAAGCGTTCGGCCGCCATCGCCATCGCCAATATGCTGGGTAACACGGCGTCGATCTATGGTAGCTACATGTGGCCGTCCTCTTCCGGGCCACGGTACATTCCCGGGGGAGGCGCTACCGCCGCCGTCGCATTTCTGGTGGCCGTGTTGGCGTTCGTGATCCGGATGGTACATGCACGTATGAATCGGAAACTGGATGATGAGGAGGGTCCCGAGATAGAAGGTGTGGATGTTAGCGAAAAACCGTTGCGGTTTAGATATATACTTTAGATCAATTCTTTAGACAGGTGGGATATGCGAAGAATGCAAGATGGAGCTTTTTCCAGAGTCAAAATAGGGTTCCTGAATAGAATAGCACATCGCTCAGAGATCCGAATGCCCATTGACTCCTGAATCCTTGGTTCATGATTGAGAACAGTGTACTACTCCGTAGGGGCTCCCTGGCAGTCCCGTGACCGGGCCGGGGACGGAACATCTTATCTGATTATCTCATCTGATAAGAGACCCGCTCGCGTGGTGCGCCAATCACGGCTTCACGAGGGAAGGCCCCCAAAGTCTCCACCGATCAGGTCAGAGGGCAGTGGGACGTCCCATAATAGGCTGCAACGGGCCACAATTTCTTGTGCCCGGCACACATCCGAGAATCTCCCTCGTGTCATGTCATTTCCCATCGTTCACCCCGCCAACACCTTGACCCTGTCAAGATCTAACTACTTGTTCACGGCTGTGGCGGGATGAACTGAAAGGGCTGGACGCAGAAACAATCCACTTCCCATTTTCACTGGAGAGCCGACCTGTTCCGTATCATGAGTTTCATGATGAGGGCCTTGCGCCGCAGGTCCCAGCAGCCCTGGACTTGGATCGTCAGGACAGTGCGTGACTATGCTACCGGGACAGACCCACGCGATGATTACGAGCCGATTCTGGGATCACTGCCAGACGAGGAGACAGAAAGACAGGCACACGGAGTGGCAGAGATCGAGGCATTGGCCACGGTCTGGTCGACGAGAACGCTATACACAGGATATGCTCTGTATGGAACTGCAGCCCACGCCATGTGGTACCGAGAGCTAACCAGTCCAGGGTCTTTCTCATCTTCTTCGTCAATTCCTTTCAGCAGGAGACAACCGGCAGTTTGTCGCCATACGCCTTTTCCGCCTTTACCAATCATTCCCTCATTTCCACCACTAATGTTTTGACTAGCATCGTCGGCGGAGTTGGTCGGCTGCCCATCGCCATGATGATTGATATTTGGGGACGACCGGAGGGCTTCGGGTTGACCGTGGTACTATGCACCATTGGTATTCCTCCTTCCTACTGGATCATGCCTTCCTCCGCTAACTCGGTGCAGGTCTCATGCTCATGGCAGCCTGTCGGAATATCGAAACCTACGTAGCAGCTCAGGTATGTTTCTGGCTCAAATACTGAGTTGGATCTAATTGATAATTAGATTATTTACTGGCTGGGCTACAATGGAATGGACTACGTCCTCCATGTATTCTTGTCCGATACTACCGACCTTGTGAACCGAGCCTTTGTCTACGGAGTAGCCGGGACCCCTTATATCGTGACAACATTTCTTGGTCCCGCTGCTGCCCAACAGTTTTACTCCCAAGGAGCCTTATGGTGGGGATTCGGCATCTTCGCTATCGTGACTCCAATCGTGTCTGCTCCCCTTTTGGGCCTTCTTTGGAGTGCACGGCGCAAGGCACGAGTGGCCGGGCTGATTCGAAAGGAAGTGAGTGGGCGCACTTGGCTTCAGTCTGTCCAACATTATTTTACCCAGTTCGACAGTGAGTACTTTTCAGAAAGCTATGTAATTTCAGAAACGTGTTCTGACAAACGCAGCGATTGGGTTGATCTTGATTACGGGGGCCTTTGTCCTGATACTACTGCCCTTGACTCTGGCCTCGTCTCACGATAGCATGTGGAACTCCTCCCTGGCCGATCGATGGAGGTCTCCGGAAATTATTGCCATGTTGTTCATCGGATGCGCCTGTATTATCGGCTTCGTATACTGGGAACGCTTCGGCGCCACAGTCTGTTTTGTGCCGTTTAGTCGTCTCAAGGACAGAACTCTTCTTGGTGCTTGTCTTCTCTCGGCGACCATGTTTGCGAGCTTCTAGTAATTTCCTTCACTTACCTCTCCTGAACGTGATAGATAAAGCTAACTAAGCTAGCTCATGGGATCTATACCTTTCCTCTTATCTACAGGTGGTATTCAACACCAGCATAAGAGACACAGGCTATATCTACAACATTTATACGATCGGGACCTGTTTCTGGTCCGTCCCGTTGGGATTGTATGTTTCCAAACGAATTAGCACTATATCATATTAACGATTCTTAGGTTTATCCGACAAGTTGGTCGCCTGAAATGGATCGCCCTCGCTGCGATGCCACTGACCTTCCTTGGAACCGGTCTCATGCTCCACTTTCGATCTCCAGACAGTCACATCGGGTCTGTGATTATGTGCGAGGTATTTAAAGCCATCTCAGGCGGCACCTTGGTCATCTGCCAACAAATGGCTGCCATGGCTACTGGAGGACACGAGACAATCGCTGTCTCGTTTGCCCTGGTCGGATTATTCTCGAAGATCGGGTCCGGCGTCGGGTCGGCCATCTCCGGTGCTATCTGGACGAGCACGGTGCCTCACTACCTGCGGGAGGCCCTACCGGCAGACAAAAAGCACATGGCGGCCGAACTGTACGGATCCATTGCCACGGTGTTGTCCTACCCGATCGGAACTCCCGAGCGAGACGCGACCATATACGCGTACGGCGTCGCTCAGAAACGAATGCTAGTAGCTGGGCTCTCGATCCTCCCGGCTGCCGTGTTCGCGATCCTGATGTGGGAGGATATTCGGTTGAAGAAGACGAGGCAAGTCAGAGGGAATGTGTTCTAATTTCCATCGTCGCAGCTGTTTTGATAACGGTTCTTGCATGTCGAGTGCCCCTCGGAGGAAGCCATATTGTGATACCTGGTCGAAAGAGAAGATTTTAATCGCCGATTTGAGTTCCTTGTGTATAGTCAATCGCATCTGCTACGTTATCGCCATCATCATCTTCCTTCATTTCATTTGTACCAGTCTTGTCTGCACCCGGGAGACCGAGGTGCAAAGTAACGGGCTGTAGCAAGGCCGGTAGCGTCTGGTCCAACTTGTCGATAAGCAGAGGAAGAAATCTCGCTCGACCGCCGGGCAAGCGTTCCACCAGCGACGATAGATGCTTCAAGTAATCCTGGGGGCCTAACTCAAAGCCTGAGGAGCGCAGTCCTGCGGAGGAGAGACAAGCCATGACGTCTATGAGGGTACACGCAACTTCAAAGATTTTCTCAATCTACTTGGGTTAGCAATACCGAAAAGATCAATAGGGAGGATATTCTACCAGGCCAATCCCGTGGGTTTCCATGCTCTCCCGCGATAGCTTCCACGTTGCCACCGCCAGATCCCTTGCGATCTGCAGCGGGTAGCGGAAGTCTAGGCTCGGATGAGTCGGTGTGCTCGACAGATATCCGGCCGTCGTTGCCATCTGCCACACGACGGTGCGCAGCCACTGTTGGGATACGCGCAGGTCGGCCAAGACAACGTCGGGGAGATCCGGGTCGGCAGGCACTGCACGCTGGAGATGTTCTTCCAGAGCGATCAGGGCGTCTCGTGATGAGATAACCTCGGAACCATTCCAATCATCTAGAAATGACGTGTTAAAGGGACGGTAAAGGTCCGCAAGACAAGCAAATCCGCGACTAAAGGGATCGGAGCAAGCGGAGAGGATTGGACTGTCCGCGGTTATTTGCAGCGTTATGGGTCGGTGGCGACGAAGAGCGTGTGCCCTGTGTATGGTCAGAATATGATTTCATTCAGAGGCGAAGTTATGGCTACCGTTCAGATACCAACAGGAGCCAGAAGACCTGATTTGCGAACGATGACAAGCCATCCTCATTGACAACGTCCGGCGAGTCCATGACATCGGCCGTGTAGAGCGTCGTAGCCTCGCGGAGGAAATAGTAAGCTTGTCGCTGATGGCCCAGACCGATGTGACAGCCGTACAACAGGAAGGCAACGGTTATCCCCAGCTGGATCGGTGCAGCAAAGAGGTCCAAATGGCGACGAGCGACCGTGGCCTCCTCCAGCAGGGCGCAGGCCAGCTCCGATGAAGACGCCTGGGCGGAGCGATGCCCGGTTTGGATCAGGACGAATGCGCAAAAGGCCACCACAAGGCAATATGAGGGCCCAGATTCGTCCATTCGATCCAAATGCTCCTGGAAGACGTCGGGGTGTAGGACGGGCACAGTGCCGAGCATGCGCGCGAAGAAATAATCGGCGCAATGCTGGACAAAGCCGCGATCCAACAGGTCCGGATTCTTCTTCCATTCTCCGGGCGCACTGGCCGGACGAGGACTCTGAGGGGGCAATGAAACCGGACTCTCATCAAGTCTCTGCAACTCGCTCAGCACGTTGGCCGTTGCGCCTTGTCGCCCTTTCTTCCGCTGGATTCCGGACGAGCGACAGGCCAGCCCGACCGATCGACACGGGCTGCAGGGCCGATGAGCGGTGCATTTGACTTTGCGCCGACGACAGGCGTCACAGGCGGGCTGGAGAGATCGAGGCATTGAAGTCGCCTACTCGATTAGCGAATGCATGTCAACTTGTCAAGGTAGTTCATTGTCTCGGAGCGCGGGAAGACGGGGGTTTGGAAAAATTAGCGACCATTTAGTCCCGATTTCTCTCCGTGGAATCCCCTCAAAGTGTCTTTCCTGGGCTAATTTGATTTCAGCATTCTAAACCTTTTTGTCCGATTCAATGTCAGAAAAGCTAAACGAATATGCAACATATCTCATGATTCGAGATGCCATGCCGCTTCAAGATCTATGAGCCACAGCGCACCGTAGGCTTGCGAAGAGCGAGATTCTATTATAGTCAGGCTGTCACCAGTATTCTTGGCGGTTATGGTGATATGCAGCCTGTTCATCTTGGGATACTTCCATTTCTCAATGCCTGAGGCTATACGGTTTTCTCTCTTAAGGATCATTGTGGTCAATAAACAATCCATAAATAGCCACTTGGACAGTGAGATACGTCTTATGAGGACTTCGTGCACCGTAGGCAAAGAATACTAACTTTCCTGTCGCGATTCACGAACCCAAAGAACCGACCCACGTCCCACAGTTTAGCATTCTGAACCAGGTATTTTTCTAGTTTACATTGTACTCTCATCACTAAATCACCGCACCAAAACGGCCCCCACAAACGCCAGCCATGCGGGCGCATCAGCGAGCAGCATGCGAACGCGATGGTAGCCCAACCACGCCTCCATCTCGCGTGTCGGTTCGCGCTCGCCCTCTCGATCTTCCACGATGCGCTGAATGCGAGGGGCCACCCACGGCACAAACAATAAATGAGAGACGGCCCCAACCAGTCCGGCCCAGTAGAAGGTCGTGCGTGACAGGGGCAAGGGGCGCGGTCGAGGTCCGCTCGTGAGAAGGTTGGCCACCGCAGAGCTGATGCTCGTCAGGTTCAACACCAGCACAAGCGAAACTCCGCGCGGAAAGACGTAGTCATACCATCGGGGCAGCATGGAGTCGCCCTTTTGGCGTAGTTCGGGCTGGACCCAGGCGCTGTTATGGATAAGTTCGCCGGTGGCGCAAACAAGCGTGCCGGTGCTGCTGGCAAGGGGGATAACGCGCAGCAGAGCTAAGGGATCAAAGATGAGGCCGAATGCCATGCTTGATTGTTTAAAAGGAATGAAATTAGATTTGAACTGTATAGGGGGGGGAAGAGGATCGTGGCTCCCTCAATATTCTTAAATATTCGATCTCACTCCGGACGAACCCAACACGCGTCATACGATCGTGGCAGTGGCTACTAGTGCTGACGCCGAAGCGATCCACCTCACTCTGCGCGATCCTTTCCGTGATCCTCTCGCACTTCCACCTCCATCCCTTCGTACGGGTCCACGGCCGTCTGGGAGAACTTCCGCGCCGACACCCCTTGCGTAAACAAAACATCCATCTCCTCGTAGGTGCGGCCCTTGGGTTCAGGGACACGAAAGAATGACCAACACAGGCAGACCAGACAGGTTCCCGCCCAGAAATAGGCACATCGAGCACCCCAATCCCACGCGGTCTGGTTGAGCTGGTAGTTCGTCAACACGTTGACCACAATGTTACTGACGTTGTATACCACGCGCGCCAGAACGATGGTTTTGGCCTTGAGGCGCGTTGAAGACAACTCCGATACGAGCGAATAGGTCACCGGTCCAATGGTGAGGTCGTAGCAGACCGTGAAAACAATCAGCATCGCTCCGATCGCCCATTTGGCCGCGCTGTTGGCCTCCGGCGCGAAGGACAGGCTACCGGTAATGAGCAGCAGCACCACCAGAGTTGCCAGTCCGGCCAGATGCAGAGTACGTCGGCCAGCGACCGACATCAAGAACCACGAGCCTATGGTGCCAAGCACGCCGAGCCCATATTGGGCCAGCGACAGGTTGAACGACTGCACGGGCGGAAGTCCAGCCTGCACGCAGAAGTAGGCAAAGTATCCCATCAGATTCTGTCCGCAGAGGGTCTGCACCAGCCACACGCCACAGACCACCTCGGTGCGTCGCAGGTTGACGCCGCGGAAGCAGTCGGTGTATCGGGTGCCCTCCGTCAGGGACTTCTCCAGCTCGTTCGTGTGTTGGATCATGGCGATGGTAGCGTCGACGTCGAAAGACGGGTCCTTTGACGAAGTCAAACGTCGCAATGCCTTCTTGGCCCCGTCAATTTGACCGCGCCGGACGTGCCACCAGGGAGACTCCGGGGCAAACAGACAGCCGATAAGAATGGGCAATGGCCAGGCCCACTGCACGGCGAAGGGGATGCGATATGACCACTGATCCTCGCGCTGGATGGATCCCCGATTGACTCCCACCGCAACAAATTGCCCGATCACCCAGCACATGTTGATGAAGGTGGTCAGGTAGGGTCGCAACACGACGGGACACACCTCCGAGGCATACGCCGCCGGCAGGGTTTGGAAGATGCCCCAGGGTATACCAGCCAGAATCTCGGCAGCGAGCAGCATTTTAACGTTCACAGCGAAGAAAAAAATGAAAATCACCCCGTTGATCGCCATGAGGGCGCAGACCATAGTCCACCGGTATCCCAGTCGCTCAGAGATAAGACCGTTGATCAGCAGACCGATGACCTCGCCGACTCGCGCCCCGTTGGAGAGAGCTGATTGCCAGGAGGCCGGTACTGTCCACGAACCGTCGGGCGCGAGATAGCCGAACTTTTGATTAAACGCCGGCGAGGCGTACATCGATCCCAGCAGGGCCAGGTCGTACCCTTCCATGATAAGAGTGGTGGACAAAAGGACCGACCAGCCGACAGCCTTGGGATACAGACGGATGGCCTGCCATAAGGTCATGGACTGTTCTTGCCGGGCAGCCTGCTTGCCGTGCACCAGCGAGGATTTATGCGCGCCATCGTGTGCCGTTTCGGAGGTCATTGCGAAGGGAGGGAGGAGAGTACTAGGTGTGTGACGCACATTCTTCATGCGACCGATTGGGGAGGAAGAGGCAATACTTATGCCTGCAGGACTGACCCGGACAAAAATATCTTCCCCCGCAAGAAAAAAGACGAGGGGAGAATCCGGGGATGCGCCACTCCAATCGGATTCTTAACGGCGTCGAGTCGGCGTCGAGTCGGAGGCAAGACGGAGACAAGACGGAGGCAAGAAGACGGCGCCTGTCCGGAGTCTGGCGGGGGATCGGCATTCCCGAGCATTCCCTACATTTAAAACGTGCCAGAGCGTACGGACGAGCGTTCTCTGTTCTGTCAACTCGGTCAATTCGGTGAGAATGGGGTCCTACGCTGAGTCTGCTGTCCCAACTGGGCAGAACAATTGGTGGAAAGAAGCTACGGTGTACCAAGTACGATCAACCCGGTTACTCTCAATGGCATCCCTTCTAATATCCTGCATCCCTTCTAATATCCTCAGGTTTATCCGGCTTCATTCAAGGACTCAAATGGTGATGGCTGGGGTGACATTCCCGGGGTCATCGAGAAGATCCCCTACCTTCACTCGCTGGGAGTCGACGTCGTCTGGCTGTCTCCCATGTATGACTCGCCCATGCTCGACATGGGCTACGACGTTTCCGACTACGAGAAGGTGCTGCCTGCCTACGGTACCGTCGAGGACGTAGAAAAGCTCGTCCAAGCCTGCCATGAGCGCGGCATGAAACTCCTGCTGGACCTCGTCATCAACCACACCAGCGATCAGCACCGGTGGTTCCAAGAGAGTCGCAGCAGCAAGGACAGCGAGAAACGCGACTGGTATTTCTGGCGACCGCCACGATATGATGCGAACGGCAATCGCCAGCCTCCGTCGAACTATCGCGGGTACTTTGCAGGGAGTACATGTTCGTGGCAAGCATTCCCAGATTGAAAATCGATAGCGCTGACACGAGCTAGGGACCTGGGACGAGCACACGCAGGAATATTATTTGCATCTGTATGCCAAGGAGCAGCCAGACCTGAACTGGGACAACGAAGCCACGCGGAAGGCCATCTACGACAGCGCCATCCGCTTCTGGCTGGACAAGGGCATCGACGGGTTCCGCGTGGACACAGTCAACAAGTACAGCAAACATACCGATTTCCCCGACGCCCCCATCACCGATCCCAACAGCGACATCCAGCCTGCCGTGTGGATGTGGTGCAACGGGCCGCGCATCCACGAGTTCATCCGCGAGATGCACGACGACGTGTTGCAGCCCTACGGGGACGTGGTGACGATCGGCGAGCTGGCCAACACGCCGAATCCCCGCGACGTCCTGGACTATGTTGGGGCCTCTGCAAAGGAGCTGAGTATGGTCTTTCACCTCGATATAGGACACATCGGCATGGGCAGCCTGGAAGACAAGTACATATTTCACCCCTGGAAGTTAACCCAAATTAAAACGATCGTGTCCAAGTGGCAATCGTTTATCGAAGGTACCGATGGCTGGACCACCGCTTTTTGCGAAAACCATGACAATGGGCGATCCGTATCGCGGTTTTGCAACGATGCGCCCGAGCATCGTGCTCGTTCCGCCACGATGCTGGCGATTATGATGATTGCCATGACCGGCACGCTCTTCCTCTATCAGGGTCAAGAGATCGGCATGATCAACGCACCCCGCGACTGGTCTGTGGAGGAATACAAGGACATCGAGGGGAGAGGATATTATCAAGAGGCCGAGGGAAATCCCACGCGCCAACCTCAGATCATGGAGGGATTGCGCATTCTTGCCCGCGACCACGCGCGTCTGCCCATGCAGTGGGATGCTTCACCACATGCAGGGTTCACAACGGGGAAACCATGGATGCGACCACACGATCTTTATCCAGAAATCAATGTACAGCGCCAGCAGGACGACCCCGACAGTGTACTTTCCTTCTGGAAGAAAGTGCTGCAACTTCGCAAGGAGTATCGGGATCTCTTCATTCATGGATCGTTTGAGACGGTGGACTTCGACAATCAGCATACATTCTGCTTCGTCAAGTCGAGGGGTGAGAAGAAAGCACTCGTCACTCTGAATTTCAGCGACTCAAGGCAACCATTGGAGCCATCAATAACGGGAATGAAGTTGTTGGTGAGTAACTACGCAGACAGAGATTCGGCTCTGTCAGGCATCTCGTCGGAGTTCCTTCAGCCATATGAAGGTAGAATCTACATCAGCTTCTAGGTGGGGTATGATTCAATGATTATGGTACTCGTGTCTCGCCGAATGATACCGTTTTCAATATAGCCTCTGCAAATCAAATACGAGGGCTCATTAAATTTAAGCGATGTAACATACTTTTTTCAGAAAGCAGATCTGCCCCCACGGCTATTTTTATCCGTAACTAATTTATTAAGGGGTCGCTTCGTAATAGCGGCGCCAGGGGCCGTCTGCAGTTCAGCTACCTACCTTCAGAGTCTGCATCGTGAAAGTGGAAGGGTAGGTATCCGGATTAGATCGTAGTTCGTGCTGTGTAGTTATCCAACGAGGTAGAAACCTCATACAGACTTCCTCCACAGTATTGTCCGAACTTTGGAGGTCTCATGGATCAGCCTCGTCTCATTGTCTCCAATATCGACACCTCGTGTTTACCGACTTGGCAGCGCTGCAGATTGGCCGACCCTCCAAGATTATCTTTGTAAGTTCAGGAACGGGCGATCCTTACGCCTTGTGGCACTGATCATCTATGCTTTGCACCAATGGTCTCTTGGGTCTCGAAGAGGTGGGCAAAGAGAAAGCCAGAGTCAGCCGAAGATCGAGGGTCCTTCGTGATTCTGCACCCTGCGCAGCTTATGTCGAACCGCCTCTGATTGAACACCAAGCTTCGTATTCAGGATGGTATCTTGTTCCGACTCGCTTTAGTCTCAGTCTCAACTGCAGGGTTTAGATTGACGTAATGCATGGTTGGGTTGACGGTGGTTCTCCTGAATGCGCGGGAAATATCTTTTGCGAAACATATATAGATCCTCTTCCGACTCCCAGAGTATTCTTTTTGTTCACTATACCGAAAAATAATCTCTCTCAATGTTCATCACTATGAGATTTAGCACTATCGCCGTTGCCGCGACACTCTCCGGTCTGGCCCAAGCCAGCCCCAGTCCCAAGCTGGTCACTCGTGCCGATACTGTACAGGGTTTTGACATCTCAAACCATCAAAGCTCGGTCGACTTCGCGTCCGCATACAAAGACGGCGCTCGTTTCGTCTATATCAAGGTTGGATCATCATCGCGTCTACCATGACCCGTCTAACAGAGACTTCAGGCCAGCGAAGGCACCGGGTTCAAAGACCCAGCCTTCAGCTCCCACTATCAAGGCGCTACTGAGGCCAAATTCCTCCGCGGAGGCTACCATTTCGCTCTACCTGACAAGTCTTCCGCTTCGGAGCAAGTGAAATACTTCACCTCCAACGGTGGTGGCTGGACAAAAGACGGCATCACGCTACCCGGTATGCTCGACATCGAATACAATCCGTACGGCGCGACCTGCTACGGTCTCACCCACTCGGCCATGGTCGCCTGGGTGAAGGAGTTCATCGAGACATACCACGATGAAGTCGGCGTGTACCCTTTGTTGTATACCACCCTGGACTGGTGGACGCAGTGCACTGGCAACGCGCCTGGCCTCGGCGACAAGACTCCACTGGTTCTCGCGGCGTATAGCAGCTCGGCACCGTCGAACATCCCCGGCGACTGGCCCACCTACACCATCTGGCAGAACTCCGACAGTTATAAGTACGGCGGCGACTCGGATATTTTCAATGGGTCGGAGGAGCAGTTGAAGAAGATTGCGCGCGCGGATTAGGCGGGTTCTTTGGGTTCGATGTACTCCGCAAGATATTCTGGGTCGTTTGAAATCGGTGGAGATGAGGCTGTTCTATGCTTGAGATCTAGAATCTATCAGGAGTGGAAATTCATGGATCATATCCGATGCGAAACCCTTGAGATTTAATCCAAAGAAAAAGAAAAGGGCGGGTATCCCGGCTAAAGCGCGACGCAAGGGACAGGGGCAACAGTGTAACAATAGTTAATCTTCGCCGTTGCACCGCTAGTCCCAGCAATAATTGGTGGAACCAAATCTAGTTCTTTTCGTGTGACTCCAGTCGCCACAATCACAGACAGTTAGTAGCCCCTGAGCAGATAGCTTTTCGTCCCTGATTGCTGCAAGATACCAGACATGAGACAGAGGGTGTCCTCGCGTCCTGCAGGAACAAAAGAAAGCACACTTGCACATAGAAATATGTCATGTCATCGAGATCCCACTGCAAGGAGGTTCTGTCTTGAGGTCTTTCCAAGCGAGATGGGAATAATAGAACTCTTCAACTCAACTGACACAAATTCTCTCTCTCCAGAGATGTTCGCATCTATCGCGGACTTCTCTCCTGGAGGGACCATTCAGATCCATTTCCAACCCATCCTAGACTCCCACAGGTCACCCTGCGCCAAGATCGGCCGATTTCCTGCAGGAATCCAGCGAGGGAGGCATGGATGACCTGTCACTCGTGCAGGAGCCTGGCCATGACCGGTTTTTGCCCAGAAAAGGAGCGGTCAGCCGAGATCTCCCAGACCTTCGACTTGAGGCTGCCTCTGCCGTTGGGCTCGACTTGGCATGGCGTGATAATCATGATTAACTAGCATGACAGCATTCAACTGGTCGCCAGGACAGGGTTGGGATTGGCACTGGGGCTGCGACCCCGTTTACTCCGAAGCCAAGAGGGCCAGTTGTGGCTGATGAATTGGCTGGTGATTAGCATGCTTTAGGCTTAGGCAGCGGTTGGAAATCACCCGATCAGGCTGAGATGTAACTATAGAGAGGGGCTTGGGGAAATGAATCAAGGTCGAATTTCAAATCGTGGGTGAGATTCAAACGACGTGAGCCACAGGGGAGGGAGCAGTGATATGCGCTACAGAAACTGACCATAATCCATAATAATAATCAACTCCTGAGATGCAAGAGAAAAGGGGGGATAAGGCACTCAGGCATCTAGGCACGGTCGCACGATGAGTCAGCCGGCACATGAGCAGCTGCCCCTTTGGGAAGGCAGCCCTAATGCCTTCAGGTTATTTTGTCCATTCAGTCCTTCATTCAAGAGGGCCCTGGCTGGCAAGACCAACCGTCAGCCCGCTCTCCAAGTATAATGGGAGTGATCAGTGACCTCCAGATGACCTCATCCTCCACTACTCTCTCGCCCTGATCCACCCACGATCCGGAGATCAAGGGATGCGGATCGCTCCACCAACTAGCACCGCCAAGATAAGCCCAACTGTCTCCTTTACGGTGTAGTTTTCCCCTTGGGTGCCGTGCGTTGCGGGGTTTGCCGTCTCCAAGACCGGCTGCAAGAAGATGCCAAGTGCCATGGCAGTGAATGATACTGTGCGGGGATTTATCATCGTTTGCCCTGCGTGCCGAGGCGCTCACGATGGGTCTAGCAGATAAATAGAGTGCATGCTGCCCGATGCCCCTACTGACCCCTTTTTACTGTCCCTTTGTCTTTCTGTGTGTATCTTTATGTGCGGCAGTGCACTCTGTAAACGCTCGGCAGTTCAAACTATCAACTAGTTGACTGCTACCCACACGATGCATTGGTTAGCTCTCTACATCTTTTCCTTCTGGCTCGCCCTTGGTGCGTCGGCTCTGAATACAACCGTGCCCTATAAGCTAAAGACTCCTCCTCTCGATACCCCCTGGACGGAGGATGTTGGCACTGAGCCCTGGCCGGAGTATCCGCGCCCGCAATTGCAACGGACCAAATGGCAGAATCTGAACGGCTTGTGGCAGTATCGCAGAGCTGCGAATGTGGATGCAGTGGGTAGTCCTCCTTTTGGACAGGCTCTCGATAACGAGGTTTTGATCCCCTCCTGCCTGGAGAGTGCACTGTCTGGTCAGTTATACTTGTTGATTCCGCCGTTGCCCGTAAGCAGAGACTAATTCTCGCACAGGCATTCAAGGCAAAAATACCTTCTATTCCTGGTTCACTCGAAAGTTCAACGTGCCCGACTCCTGGAGTGGTGAGCATGTACTGCTGCATTTTGGCGCTGTTGACTACGAAGCCACTGTTTTCGTCAATGGCAAACAAGCGGGTTTCCACCGGGGCGGATACTTTCATTTCTCAGTCGATGTTACCACTCACATCAAGTTCGACGGTGAAAATGAACTGTGCGTCAAACTCTCCAGGCTGATGCCCTTTAAAAGCGTCTGACATTCGCTAACCATCGCAGATTGGTTTTTGTGCACGACCCCACCGATCAACAAGGGCACGTCATCCCCATGGGCAAGCAGACCCTGAATCCTTCGCACATTTTCTACACGCCCTGCAGCGGCATCTGGCAGAGTGTCTGGATTGAGCCGGCCCCGGCGAACCATATCGTGCGGTTGGACCTGGACGCGAACATGGACGGTCAAGGTGAGTCAACTTCATAAGGGAAATGCTTACTTGCATGCATGCTGATGGTGCCATCAGTCAACGTCACCGTGCACAGCGCCACCGGTAATGCCACCGCTGTCAGGATCGCCGTGCACGAGGGCGACGACAAGCTGACCTTCCACCGCGGTACCTCCGACAAGCCGTTCCAATTCGAGGTGGGCGATGTCGAGCTGTGGAGTCCGGACTCGCCAACGCTGTATAACGTCACCGTGCAGATGGGCAAGGACATAATCACCAGCTACACAGGCTTTCGCACCATCTCCAAGGGCAAGGTCAACGGCGTCTGGCGACCCCTAATAAACGGCGAGTTCACCTTCATGTTTGGCACTCTCGACCAGGGGTACTGGCCGGACGGACTGTACACTCCTCCTAATCGCGAAGCGATGGTGTACGATCTAGAAGTGCTGAAGGGTTTGGGATTTAATATGCTGCGAAAGCACGTGAGTTAACCAGGAGACCTAACGTCTCGTTGAAGCTGACGGGAGCCAGATCAAAATTGAATCCGAACTCTTCTATCGCGCATGCGATGAGATTGGTATCCTGGTTATTCAGGATATGCCCTCTCCTCGTCCCCTGCAGTCAACCACCGACGCCGCCTGCCAGAGCGTCACCATCCTTCCGTACGGGGCGGCTCAGCAGGAGTTCACCCGGCAGTTGGAGCTGATGGTGAACCAATTCAAGAGTCATCCTAGCATTGTCACCTGGGTGAGTTTGTTAGTTGGCTTTGCTTTATTCGAGCAGGTCTAATATGAAGTAGGTCATTTACAACGAGGGCTGGGGCCAACTCATTGAGGGATATCCTGAGTTTGCCCTCACTGAGCGTGTCAAGCAGTTGGATCCCAATCGTCTTGTCATTGCTACCTCCGGTTGGATTGATCACGGTGCTGGCGACTTCAGCGTAAGTATTGAATCTCTCTAAAGTCATAGGATTACTGCTCACCGGTTCAGGACAACCATCATTATGCCAATCCTCAATGTGGAACTCCTTTCTACTCTTTGCAGTCTCGGCCGTATGATCCCAGTCGCATCGCTTTTCAAGGCGAGTTCGGTGGTATCGGCTCTAACGTCTCTATTGAGAAGTGAGTACCCAACGCCTTTTCTACTCCATCCGATCGCTGCCATGACTAACTTCCCCTTGCAGCCTCTGGAACAACCAGAAGGCCATCAACTCTATCAACGAGACGTACGAGATTGACGAGACCCTCGACGCATGGAACTATCGCAGCCACCTTCTGCTGTCCGAGCTGCAGGATCAAGTGCGCCGGTTTGACTGCAGCGGAGGTGTATGGACGCAGACCACCGACGTCGAGGGCGAAGTCAACGGACTGATGACTTACGACCGGCGGGTCAAGCGTGTGGACGAGGAGCAGTGGAAAGCCGATATTCAGAGGCTTTATGATGCAGCGGAGAAGCGGAGAAACGCGTCCATGATTGAGTAAACGAGGCATCTTTAGTGGTTACTATTCTTCTGTCGGAATTCGACACATTGGATATAGGTACATATTAGTTAATGATACCATTTTTATGTTCGGTGAACAGGCAGCCATTTTAAGCAAAGTGATCTGGAAGTCGGGAGTGATGGGCTGGGTGTGATGTATCACATTCACCAGGGTGTGAGCCATCCCTACCATTTGACTAACCACCTTCATTCCCCTCACCCTTGGACTGAATAGTGAATCCACACCTCCAATCATTTATCCCTCAGCTTATGATCGACTTTCGATTTTAGAGAAGTCTGAATAGGCCAACTAACCGAAATACGAGCGCCATGACTCTCGCTCAGATCACGAACTCCTACCATTCGAGCTATCCACGCCACGGCATTTCCGCCTTGAGTCTAAAGAAGCTAATTCCCAACAATCACCATTTATCCACTCTCGAACTCACGGTCGGTGGTTAAGATATGCTTCATAAGCAGGACAAGGAATCTAACTTGGGTCGCGATGATCTGGCGGATGGCAGTGGATTCCCCGGCTTCAGCTTTCGCAGTGAGTTCATTCCCACGCCTATGACGGTGAGCTGAGTGCCGATGGGAATTATGGTGCTAAGAAAAAAAAAACAGTATCACAGAGAGACTAGGCAATTCGCCTTGACACCCTCGAAGACCTCACTATTTAATCGAGACCGGTCCATCCCCTCGGATACCACCTTCGGCGCTGATGGGTCTTCACAAAGGGGCTTTTCCATGGATCGTGGATCGTGCTGGGGATCTTGACAGGCTGACTTTCAGATCGGAAGTCGTATGACCTGCCTCGTATGAACGACCTTGACGAATTGACTGGGAAGATTGCATGGGTAGCGTTTAGATTGTTCCTATATCATTCTAGAATGGCTGATCGGTCGCGTCTCCTTGATCCTAGACTTGTTCATCTCTGTCTGGTAGGCTTGGCAGTTCAGGGCCTGACGCGCAGTTTGACGGTATCCTGTTGGAAACTACTTGGATAATGAATATCTGGAGATTATTTGCTTGGTTACAACAATGGCGAAATATTATGATGTGGGATAATCATTGCTGAGCCTGGCTACGTGTCTTCACCGAACTAATTTTGAACAATTGTGGAATATATACCGCGTCTCGGGGTCTGTTCATTCTTTTTGCGGGTTGAAATCGGAAAGGCACTTCATGGTCAGGATGTTGTGATCCTCATTAACTCTATCTGTTCAGCATGAACGCCCATCAGTCCGGTATGATTTTGCGATTTTCGAGATATGCCCCTTTTCGGGTAATCTCTTCACTGGTGGTCATACGCTTTCTCTGATAAGCAGGTTACCAGTTAGATCCTTCGGTCTTGGGGCTTATTGAACTTCAAGCCCATATTCAGAAGGTTCAATTCAGATAATGGGTGCAAATGAAGAGGCAGGGGTTGTTTATTGTTCGTAGTCGACCGGGACATTTCTAGGGGGCGGTATTCAAGATCCTTTCCTTCAAACTTTTCAAACTATTATCCTTGGGGCCTTGCTCTTAACCGTCGTAGGTTTGAAAGCCTGAAAATTCGCTTGAAAAATATTCTGAGACATCAACGATCAACATGTCACTAGAAGACAATTAGCTTCGCGGAAATTATAAATATCTAACTTTGCATGAAAGAGAAACAATAGCAATCCTAGGCGAGGCATTCCAAATATATGGTACGCAACGATCTTTGGCCCTAGCACTTCGGTAATCGGATAATTTGCACGGAGCTGCCAAGATTTTGAGAGATTTGATCCTAGGAGATTGAATTGGGATCGCCAGAGGGGCCAGACAGACGACCGATAGATCTCACGTCATATAAACCCTTACAGCGAAAGCAGCCGCGAAGGCTTCACGAATTCCCTATGGAGGGGCTATTTTGGCCACGCGGTGAGCTTTCGGGAGTGCGTTTCTCAAGGTACTCGACGAGGAGGGTGGAATCCTAGTAAGATCAGCAGGTCCCATGGAGCGATGTAGGGTCCGTCCGAATAGACACGTGGTGGTGGTTATTCGAATAACAAGTCGGATGTCAAAATCCTTTCAAGACTGAGAGCCAAGGAGTGCACGTTATTCCTCAGACAACGCCATCATTGAACCTAAAACCGTGTGTGTGAAGACTAATCTCCCCTTCCTATTAACTAAATTGTTCTAGTCGCCAATGCTCTAAACGGTCCCCAAGAAGGCCGGCGACGCTCTGAACAATCTACTAACGCGAGTGGCTGACGCCACTTACCCAAGCCCAGGACGAAGCGAGTACTATGCTGGAACGATCGGAAGATAATTCAGATATGTCGGACTCTCGGTCAGCCCATTGACCATGGATTTGTTTCCCCGAATTAATCAGCTTGAATGTAACGCCCACAACCACGCGATGCAACTTCACCGCGGCATAGCCGTGTCGGGGAAGGATCAACGCCGCGCCCTAAATCCCCGCAGGAATGGCCAACAAGTCCGGAGTGCAGCCCGGGGGTGGAGAGGTCCATGCGGGGGTGTCCATCGAATCAGTCTCTCGATCGAGCCCTCGTCGTTCCCCAGATTGGTGGAATCATGGCGGCATGACTCGTCCAATGCGACAATTAACTTCCTGGCGTGAGTCAAGCACCGGTGGCGGTCGCCATGAGGTGGGAGGCGTCGATAGGTTCGCGGCGACTTCAACCCGAGAAGGAATGCCCAGGATGAGGATCCATCTGGGTTTCTATGCAACGCGTCAGGAGAGGAGGTGATTTCCTCGAGTCACGATGTGAGCTGATGGCCCGAGACGGAGGGGAATGCTGTCTGTCGCATGGCCCTCCCCAGATCCAACCAACACGTATATAACCCGATCTCCCAGCGTTTCCCCACCTCGTGTCTCCTGTTCTCCGTGCCCCGTTCCCTTTCCTTTTTCTTTGGCTTTTTTCTTTGGCTGTCCCAGACATTGTGGCCAAGCCATGCTTATTGGCAACATCTACGTGATCGCCGGCGTCGCCGTGGTCGGCGGCGCCCTCTTCGGCTTCGATATCTCGTCCATGTCAGCTCAGTTGAACGAGAACTCATACAAATGCTACTTCAATCAGGGCCCCGAGGGGCCTCCCTTCAACGAGAATGAAAACTGCTCTGGTCCCGAGTCTCTCGTCCAGGGAGGTATCACAGCCGCCATGGCCGCGGGCTCTTGGCTCGGCGCTCTCATCTCCGGTTTCTTGTCTGACCGCATTGGTCGCAAATCCTCCATCATGGTCGGTTGTATCATCTGGTTAGCATTTATCACCCCCACCTAAGCTTGTCTTCGTACTGACAGAGGGAGGGTCATCGGCTCGGCCATCATGTGCGCGTCGCAGAACATCGGCCAGTTGGTCGCATCCCGTGTGATCAATGGTCTTGCGGTCGGTATTGAGTCTGCTCAGGTGCCTGTGTACATTAGTGAAATGGCACCGCCTTCCAAGCGAGGCCGACTCGTGGGTATCCAGCAGTAAGTCCACCTTTGGGCGATCCTCCTACCTCCTTTCCCCGGATCTCAGGCAGTTTCTTCGCAAAGAATGCTCCTTTCTAACCACGGGGCTCCTGTCCGTAACGTCGCAGGTGGGCGATCACGTGGGGTATCCTTATCATGTTCTAGTAAGTCCCATCCAGCCTAAGGATGTGCAGGTATACTGACCGAACGTGTGCAGCATCTCCTACGGCTGCTCCTACATCGGCGAGCGCACCTCCTGGGGATACAATCCTGCTGCTTGGCGGGTTCCGTGGGCGCTCCAGATGGTCCCGGCCATCTTCCTGTTCTGCGGTATGATGGTCCTGCCGGAATCGCCTCGATGGCTGGCGCGCAAAGACCGCTGGGAAGAATGTCATCGCGTGTTGGCTCTGGTGCATGCCAAGGGCGATATGAACCATCCGTTCATCGCGCTCGAGTTGGAGGATATTCGAGGAATGTGCGAGCTGGAGAGTCGCTTTAAGAACGTCACGTACTTTGATCTCTTCAAGCCGGATATGATTAACCGCACCACGATCGGCCTGTTCACGCAGATCTGGTCTCAGCTGACTGGAATGAATGTTATGAGTACGTCCATTTGGCTCGCTTTAACTCCAGCGATTCTCGTTTTAACTCCAGCGATTCTCGTTTTTTTCACTTCCCTGCAATGCTGACAAAGGCCGAAAGTGTACTACATCACCTACGTGTTTGCAATGGCCGGTTACTCTGGCGATGCCAATCTTCTTGCCTCCTCGATCCAATACATAATTAACGTGTTTATGACACTGCCGGCCCTGATCTGGATCGACAAATGGGGTCGACGTCCGACGTTGCTCGTCGGCGCCGTCTTCATGGCGACGTTCATGTACGCCAACGGGGCTATCATGGCCGTCCACGGCGAGGTGGTGGAAGGCGGCATCGACGGCGTTGCCCAGCAATCCATGCGTCTGTCCGGCGGTGCCGCGAAGGGTCTCATCGCATGCACCTACCTGTTCGTCGCCTCGTATGCCCCAAGCTGGGGCCCTGCGTCGTGGGTGTATCCTCCCGAGCTGTTCCCTCTGCGTCTGCGAAGCAAGGGCGTAGCACTGGCAACGTCGGGCAACTGGGCGTTCAACACGGCGCTGGGGTTGTTCACGCCGCCAGCCTTTGCCAACATCCGGTGGCAGACATACATCATCTTCGGGGTGTTCAATACCGCCATGTTCATTCACGTGTTCTTCATGTTCCCGGAGACGGCAGGCAAGACGCTGGAAGAGACGGAGGCGATGTTCGAGGATCCCCACGGCATCCGGTATATCGGGACGCCGGCATGGAAGACTCGCATCACTACACAGCGCGTCCAGCAGCTAGAGAGGGGCGATATGGACGCGAAGGGACAGCCGCATGGGGAGAATTCGCCGCCTGCGACGACCGAGCCAGAGGTGACACAGAACGACAAGTCTCTGGCATAGTTTGTGAATATTGTAGGAGTTCCAGTCATGGACGCTCGGTATCTGGTGAGTTGGAGAAAGTAATTCATACGTGTCATTTGATGGGGAGAGAGAGGAAGGAAATGTGGTTGACGAGCGCATCAACCCGAATGAACAGTAATAGTCGTTCCGTAGCTCATTTTGAAATTCAAGAGGTTCATAAGTGCCACTGTAATACAACGCATGTAGTAGAGATGGACAATATCCGATTGATTTGGCCAAGTCAATGAAGATGCGGGAGAGTGAAAGAGCAAAAGGGCGAACCGATAGATAGTACGGAGTAGACCGCCGTTGTCACCGCCGGAGACCACTCGGCAGAACAATCCCCTGATCTAGTTATGCATTATTCTGCCACTGACTCAGCCGGGGGATAATTAACTAGTTAACTAGGTGTTAGTTAACTAACTATTCACTGACAGACAGACAGACTAGGCTACGTACTTCCCTTCATTCATTCCTTCCTTCCGTCCTCTCTCTCTCCTTCTCATCGACTCAAGACACTCAAGACGCTACCACCCTCCTTGCCCAACTTCTGGTCGGTTATAAATTCGATCTGCGCTCGAACCGTCTGCAACTCGGCCATGTCCTCCCGCGTGATCCTCCATCCTTGGACCTGGGCCTGATTCAGGAACTGCATCAGCATGATACTATCCGCGAAGGTCGTGACCGGAGCTTCGGGGTCAATGTCTTCTTCGGCTAAACCGGTCACCGTCGCCCAAGAGCCCGTGATCTCCTTCGTCAGGTCGCTTGACAGGCGCACCTTTTTGAGGGTCGTTAAATGTCGAATATGACCCAACGCCAATTCCTTCAGCGATTTCCTCTGAACCTTTCCAGTCGCCGTCGTTGGAAAGCTATCCCGACTCAGGTCGGTTCGTATGTCCAGAATCAGAGTTGGAGAGAAAGCACGGCCCAGTCGATTCGCTACGACGGCTTGAAGCCTTTTCACCGGGACGATGCCTGGCATTCTCCGTCGCACGATGGCAACGGGCACTTCGCCGGCCACGGGGTCCGGAACTCCCACCACGGCGGCATCGTCGATTTCTGGGATCGTCAAAAGGCACTCTTCGATTGCTAAAGGTGAGATGTTCTCTCCTCCGCGGATAATGATATCATCACACCTCCCGAAAACGTAGACGTGACCGTCGCTGTTAATGATTCCTTGATCCCCCATCGCCTTCCATTTCTTTCCACTTTCCTCAAAAAAGTCCGAGCTCTTGTCTTCGTCGGTACCAAGGTATCCCTCGATCACTCCGAGTCCTCCCTGGTGTATTTCCCCGGGTTGCCCGCGGGGCAGGGGTGTTCGCGATCCCGGCTCACATACGCGCACATCGGCTTCTTCCGAGTCTACCTTGGCGATCGGGACGGGATGGCCGGTCATATTAACACACCCTTCGTCGAGCTGGTGAAGCGGAGCCACCACGGCTTCGGTTGCCCCATACCCCACAAATATCATCTGCGGCTGCAGCATCTTGGCAGTCACCAAAGCCTCCACCGTTATGACAGCGCCCCCAATGATTATTGCGTACGGTCCAGAACCTTGCCTCTCTCCTGCCTTCGAGACCTGCAATCTTAATGCTTGCAACATCGATGGGACGCAGGGAAGGTGAACCTTTCGATTTGATGCCACTATTTTCAACGTGGCCTGGGGATCGAACGTGCGGCTGGGGACGATCAGCCTACCCGCGGCCAGCCAAAATGCCAGGTTCAGGAAGATGCCGAAGATATGGAAGTTAGGAAGTTGCTGGCACAGCGAAGATTCGGCATCGATTCGCAAAGGCTGGCAGACCTGTGCGGCGGCACGCAGCGTGATGGACGTGTGAGGACATAGCTTCGGCAATGCTGTGGTACCGCTCGTGGCTAGGATCAAGATGGTATCGCCCGGCTCTAGGTCAATTTTCTCGATGCTCACCTCCGATTCCTCCATCTCAGCTCCTACCATGACGCTTCCTAAGGTCCTCCAGTTAGCAGGCAGCAGTTCATCCTCCGCAAGCGACGAGACCAGATACGCGGAGACCGGCAGCGGCTTTCCTTCTTTGGTCAATGTCTCGTCGACTTGTCGGGCAATCTCCACGGTCCCCACGAATATGGCAGCAGCGTCGATGCTTCGCAGGAGATGGGACACAATGGCGGGCTGTCCGAGGACCCTCGGGTCCAGCGGTACAAACCGGCATCCCATGCGCACGCTGGTCCAGAAAAGGAGCGCCCATTCGGCCTGGTTGTTTAGGAAAGTCGCGATGCGACTGCCGGGTTGGACTCCGTCGCCTCGCAAGCGTGAGGCAAGTTGAGTACTGCCACGTCGAAGGTCTGAGAAGGTCCAGCTCACGGGCTGCGGGCTAGTCGAGGGACTCTTGACACCAAGACCCAGATGATCCGTTTGGCCGGGCGACTGTACCGCCACGTGACCCGGATACCTGGCCTCGACTGCCTCGAGGAGCCGGCCCAGAGCCTTGGGTTGGACAGTGTCACTAGTCATCGTCGATGCGGGAATCAGTTGGAAACAGACACAGTTATTACGGAGACACTCAAGGTCGGGAGGAGATGAGGGGCAAAGGGCATCATGTCGGGGCGCCTTGGCGTGCAACCAGCAAGGACCGGGAGTTTCCTTGGTCCCTACGGCGCTCGTATGGTCGCATTGGCAATCGGGTGGTTCCCTGATCTTTCCGTGACATCTACCAGGTGAGACTCGGAACCGAGCGTGCTCACCTGGAAGCGCTAGCAGCCTGGTAAGCTTAGGTGAGTTAGTTCCTAGGAACATCGTCACTCCCGGTCTAGAGTCATGATTTTCGTCATACTCGAGACTGGGTGGTGAAGCGGGTTTCTATGTGTGGGCATTGTTGTTCTAACCCTCCGTTTACTGTGTCATAGGGGATATTTGGACTGCTATCTTGTTTTTCACCCCACGGTAGGCACCTCGGCAGCACAGGACTCCTCCGGAGAAGTAACAGCAGCAGCTGAACGTCAGCACTAGAGCAGCACTTGCAGGTCTCTAGGGTGAAGCCTTGAAGATCCGTGCGACCATTAGCCCAAGGCCGGATTGGTGCGCCTGGGGTCAGGTGATTCTTCATATATCCGGGGATCTATGTTTGGACTCGTATTCGTCCGGGAAGGGAGTGACCACTGTTGCCATGACTAACAAGCTATTTAAACCGTCAGTACATCGTACTCGACCTCTACACCACGGTCTTGTGCGTAGGTGTACAGATCGATCCTCAGTATAGAGATCGACCGGCTATGGCCCTTCGACCCCGTCCGGCTGTAGATCAGGGTCAACCGGGACCCTGGGACCCTCGCGTGGGAGCGCACTAAAGCAGGGTAACAGAGTCCATTTCATAGGGCCCATGTTAGTATGTATCTGCAATTATTATTAGGATTCACCTATCATTAAATTGTTCTTTATTTATTTCTTTCTTTACTGACGGATCCCAGTCCCCTGAAACAAAGAGGGCTCACTCCACCCGTCCCTGGACAAAAACTGAAAACCCTGACGGGGACAGCCATGGAACGGGCAGCAGCCCAGGGCGAACCGTCCGACGGCAGAGCGTGAAAGGAAAAAGGATGTTCTGGAATCCGCTCAGTCCGTGGACGATGGCCGCTAGCCCGATCGGGCCACCCAGTCCAGCCGGTGCGACGCGACGCTAACCCAGTTGGGACGCCGGGCGTTACTCAAACGGCATGGTGCGCGGATCTGCAGCCAATGATCGGGGCAGATGCCGCAGTGGGTCCGGGTCCCCGGCGATCATTGGCTGCTCCTCTCTGCAGCGGTGCGGACGGTTGCCAATGAGGGGTCAGCAGAGGGCGCCCGAAAGGGGGAAGCGCCGCCCGAGAGGGAAGTGGCCGGGACGATCGCAGCGTCGTGCGTCGTCACCTTTTCCTCTCTCTGGCTCGCACTGCCTTGATTCTCTCACTCGCAGCCTCTTCTGGCACTCTCGGGCTGTCAACTCCAACTCCAGTCTACTTCGGTGGCTTCGCGGCTGGTCCTTGCGCGCGTCTGTTCCTGGCCATTTTCCCTCTCCTCCTCTTCTTCCTCTTCTTCTTCCTCCCCCATGGCTTTCGTCCGTCATGCCCGCTGCGTTGCTCCCTTCTAATCCTTGCCGCCGGTCCATAACCATGCTCCCTGGCGTCATCCTCGCCCAGCGTCCCGATTGTTGCCGCCGTGGGTGATGCCGCCGTGCTTGGCTCCCTATCACCGCCGTCTGTCCCCGGGGCTCGCCCCTCAAGCATGTCCAGAAATCCGTGGAAGAAACTGCGCGACCTCTGGCGACCCGTTATCGGTAAGCATTCGTCTGTCTGTCTCTCTTTCCCGCCGGAGCCCACGCTGACTCGCCGCCTCAATGTGTCCGCCCCGATAGAACGTCTCCCATCGAACCGCTCCGACGCCCAGAATGGCTCGGTCAAGGAAGCATGGCGTCCGTTCGCCCTGCGTCCCGTATACCTCTCGATCGTGGCCACCATAATGCTCCTCATGTTCGTCACCATCGAGACCCTCCGTCGGTACACCGACCAGTACGGAGGCCTCGTCCTGATGCAGGCGACCGACGACGTCTCCAGCGTCCAGTCCTTCGCCTATAACTACGTCCCCATCATCGTCGCCTTGGCCCTGGTGATCATGTGGTCCTTCATCGATTTCGACGTCCTCCGTCTCGAGCCGTACTTCCAGCTCTCCCGCCCAGAAGGCGCCCCCGCCTCCGTGCTGTTCATCAACTACAATTTCGGCCAGACCGTCATCACGCCCCTTACCTCCGCCAAGCGCGGCCATTGGGTCGTCCTGCTGGTCTCCTGCCTCAGTCTGCTGATCCGCATGATCCTGCCGGCCCTGCAGAGTACCCTGCTGGAGTTGCGCGAGGTCACCGTCGTCACCGACCAGGATATGAAAACGTGGCCCACCCTGGTCGATCTGAACACCCAGGCCCGCTGGATCTCGAGTCAGGAAGATATCGGCTTCGACGCCGCGTCCGACGGGGGCGACGACGATAGCGGCGGCGTGCGGCGGGGTCGGTCCTCCCATTACGCCATGGCCCCGGTGGAGATCCCCCGCGACGATCGCCGCGAGTCGACCGTCTGGACGGTCAACCAGACCGTGTACTGGGTGGAATCCATCTGCCACGACGTCTTTACCAACGACAGCCTGACGGTCGCCATCAACCAAACGGATCCCAAACTCCCACGGGTCCAATGGAACGTGACCGGCGTCCATCTCGAGCACCTCGATGCCGCCCCGCAAGATTGCACCTTGGACTTCAGCTACGACAGCATCTTCTTCCCGTCCACCGACTTCCTACAGATCCGCTACTGGGAGCCCGTCCAGGCAAACCGGTCCCTGATCGAGGAGGACGAACGGAGAGCCTTCACGGCCCGCGGCTGCAATCCGTTCGATTTGTACGGCGTACTGATTTCCGTCAATGCCACCCAGGGCGATGCCGACGCCATCGCCGACCTGGGTACGCAGTATACTTCCTCCGCGACCATGTTTGCCTGCTCCGTGGATTACCGTCAAGCCAACGCCTCCGTGTCCATGCACGCCAATAGCTCCATCACCGGCATCGAGGTCTACAACTCGACCGTCCGCTCGCTGGATCGCTCCGAATTCAACCTGGACGAGTTCAAGGATCTCCTGGCCCATCGCGCACCCTATACGAGCGACATCATCTTCATGCAGTACAACCGGACGATGGGCGACCGCACGATCACGGAGCTCCCCGTCGTGAGCCAGGACATGGGGGATTTTGACCCCGTCCTCGTCCTGGACACGTCCTCCGTGATGGGCCAGGATGAATTCAAGAACAAAGTGCTGAGGGGGACGCGGCAGACATTTCTGACGACGATGAGCCGTCTGTTCAACCCCGACGTGCCTCCCACCGTGATGCCGGCCCTGCGACTGACGCGGCAGGTGGCCATCGCCGTAGTCGACTTTGCCGCGATGGGGTCCGAGATCATCCTGGCCCTGGGCGTGCTCATGACGATGACCATGGTCTACTTCTACCGCACCCGCGACAACATCATGCAGGGCGATCCGGGTTCGATCGGCGCCATGTGCAGCATGGTGACCGACGTCCTCAGCCCGACCAACATCCTCGGCGATCCCGCCTCCGACTTTCACCAATTCTCGACCCGTCAGCTGCGCGTGCACCTGCGCAATTACCGACTGTACTGGCACGACGGACCCATGGGGCGACGGGTAGACATTGTGACGACGGATGGTAGGTCCCTTCCTTGCTCTCTGTCTCCTGCCTTCGTCCATCATATTTATTTGCTTCTACGAATTTAAAGTCTTGTTTGTTTGTTCCAGTTCGAGATACTAACGTCTTAACAGGCTCCCCCGTCAGCTTGGGTGATCAAATCCGGACTCGCTTCGACCCTCGCCCGCATTTCCTCGTCATCCCCATCTTCATCGTCGAATTCCTCCTCCTAGCCGCCGTCATCACCGTCATGTCCCTCATCATCGCGTCGCTGGCCCACGAGGGTAGCTTCCAGCACCTCACTCAGTCGGACTCCAGTTTCTTCCAAGTCGTGCTGTCCTTTCTCCCGTCCGTGGTGGCGTCGGCGGTCGGTGCCCTTTGTAACTCCATCCACCGGAATGTCAGTATCCTGGAGCCGTGGGTGCACTTGCAACGCGGCAAGGCCAAGGCCAAGTCGTCCCTCTCGATGAACTACGCCGCTCAGAATCCATGGGCTGTGCTCGTCAAAACCATCCGCGACCGCAACCTCCTGCTAGGTCTCGTTTCGCTGGCCTGCGCCGCCAACACGATCCTTACGGTAGTGGCGGGCGGGCTCTTCGAACAGCAGCTGACCGACTCCTACTTACCCACCAACAATCTGCTCACCAACTACAGCCAATCCGTCTTCCGTCAGACCGATTTTGCCGCCGACTTCACCGAATACGACCTGATCCAGACCAGTATCACCAGCGGCGTGCCGATGCTACCGTGGACGGTCGCCAATTATTCGTTTGTCCCGCTCAAAATCAAGAACCCCGACCCCGATGCCATGTATGCGGCGAGAACCCTGGGCGTCGGCGCCGAGCTGGAATGCCGACAGCTCTCCGTGGCCGACGACCTGGTGACGGACCCGGCGACGGGGTCCCGGGCCTGGCAGTATCGGCCGTTCCACAATGCCAGCCGACAGTGCGTGGCCGCCATGGACCCGCTCACCAAGAACAACAAGGACGTGGCACTCGCCATCCACTTCCTGTCCCCGGTGCCCGAAGACGATCACGACCGGGACGAGTGCCAGTTGACGACGACGGTGATTGTCGGACGATGGAATTACACGGCCCACGCGCCGCCGACCGACTCCAACACGATCGCGCTGCAGTGTGAGCCGCGCGTGCGCCTCAAACGGTTCGATCTGACCTTCGATCAGAAGGGTCACATCGAAGACCATGACCCGGTCAACGACAGCGCCATCACGGACGGATCCATGTTCAACAACGCCACCATCAGTCTGGGACAGTTCAACAAGGTGTTTGCGGCGATCCCGCAGAGCTTTGTGGGCGAGGATCCGGACGCGCACGAGGGGTTTGTCTCGTCCTACGATTGGGCCGGGTTTCTGGTGGCACGGTTGTACAAGCAGCGGGAGTCGGCGCTGACGCCCCTGGTGGCCGACGATCTGATGTTGATGTCGCAGACGGTCTACCAGTGGGTCTACAGCACGTACTTCTCGCTCTGGCGCCGGAACTACCTCCAGCCGCTGGCCAATCCGACCGTGGCGGACCACGCCACGCTGATCTACAACACCTGGGCCATGGTGCCGTCGGTGCCGTCCTTGGCGATCGCGCTGTTGATTATCGCGCTGGACACGCTGGTCGTGCTGGTGGTGTTTGGTACGCGCCGGGGCCGGTTCCAGGGGCCGCGCATCCCGCGGTCGATCGGGGCGGTGATCCCGTGGGTGGCCAACAGCCGCATGCGCGACGACCTCCGTGGCACCAACGGCTGGTCCAGCCAGCGGCGCCGGGAGTATCTCAACGGGTTGGACAAGCGGTACGGCTTCCGGATGTTCCTGGGCGCGGACGGGCGCTGGCGTTACGCCGTGGACGAAGAACCCAGTCCCGAAAAGCCCCCGTCCGAGCGAGAGCCCCCCGACGTTGGGAAAACGGGCCCCGTGGAGCTGCGCGAGCTGGATGAGTTGGACGAGACGGGGCGACGCCTTTCATGATTTGATGAGATATGATACTTGTATTATAGAAAACGCATTTTGGGGGAACAGGACATTTTTGGAGCTTGTACTGTACATAGATTCACGGGAAATATTTTGGATATCGGGATTTGGTGTGATTGGATTTTTGAATAAACGGGTCTTATCCAGAGGATCCCTCATCCACTACTACATTTTCCTACGCCTATACGACATAGGACATACACTACTTACATCCCTCTCCCACCCACCCCTGCAGCCTCTGGACTTCTCCATCCACGATCACCACCAGTCCTGCCCGCTTTACAGACGCGAACGGCGGCTGCGCTCCGATCGCTTGGAGCTCCCCTCGCCGAGTGGTTCGAGCGATCCGAGGGGCTTCTTGGGCGTGGGCGTCAGATCCTTGCCCTTGTTGGGAGGTCCGTGGAAGTCACCACCGTTGCAAGCGTCGTCCAGGGCGTTGCACTTGTCCTCCCAGATTTGGCAAGACGCACCGCCCGTCGGCAGCGTGGTTTCCCAGCAGACCTTGCACTGGTCCCAGCACTTGGACGAGGACTGTTTCATTTCCGCGTCAGCCTGGCATTCATCAGTCGAGTGGAAGAGAAAAGCTTACCGCCCAGCAGCCATCCTCGTTGTCATAGGCGGGCACCTCGTAGCCGCACCAGTCGTCGCGCACCAGAATACATCCCTCGGGCTTGAGGCCCTTGTCCTGCACCACCTTCGTGTTCGCCTCGCGACGAGCCTTGCTGCCGGCGCCGGACCACACCTTCGGGCCCACGCGCGGGTAGGGCAGCTTCATGGGCGACTCGTAGATGTTGAAGGTCAGCGCCGGGTTGCTCACGTCGTAGGTGCCCTCGCCGATGTGGACGCCCTCGGGCACCACGCCGTTCTTGCTGCCCTTGACGAACACCTGCGCACAGCCGGTGTAGAACTGGGGATCGGCGGGGCTGTCCTGGGAGGCATGCAAGGCCAACAGCTCGGGACGCACGAGATAGTAGCCACCCTTAAGGCCCTCGGGGATATGGGCCGACAGCAAGCCCTTGTTGTCGTTCAGCTTCTCGGTACACCACTTGCCGGCGGACTCGTCGTAGCCCATCTCCCAGATCTTGAACCAGCCGTCGCCGGCGGCGTTGTTATCGGCGCTGGCATCGTCGACGTGCTTCATGTACACGGCGCAGGGGCCCTTGTGGCTGGGGTCGATGGCGGAGCCGGGCTTCGAGCCGTCGGTCCACTCGCGGAATTCGAAGGTCAGCAGCGAGGTCGCCTCGGCGGGACAGATGCGCTTGACGCCCTTTTCGCCGTGGACGCCTAGACCGGGTTAGATGGGAGGGTATCGGGAGTTATCGAGGGAGACATACCGCAGGCCATGTCCTTACTGCTGAGCGGCTCGATGGGATAGGTGCATTTCTCCGCATCCGGGTTCATACGCACGCAGACACCGTCACCCTGGTTGACGCCGTCAACGTACAGGTTGGTGAAGGTGGTGTGGCTGGCCACGAGGGGCGCCAGGGCCAGCAGGTGGGAGAGTCGAAGATGCATGATGCAATCAAGCAAGAAGACACGGAATTCTAAAGATCAAAAAAAGGATTCAAGGTAGCAAAAAAGGAGTGGAATCTGCGCAGCAGATATAAAAGAAGGAAAGACGGAATAGCAAATAAAGGAGGGACTGTCTGCCTGCAACACAGAAAGAATACAAAACAAGGAAGGAGGGTGTGACTCTATTCCAACGCTCTGGCGATGGCCACCGGGACCGCAACCCGCTATATATACAGTCTTACCTTACACCTCGTTCCCCATCTGACCCTGCATCATTCAGATTTCAGAGCCAGCGCCTAGACAAGGGCGAAAAAGGGTCCGCCCAGGTCCATTCCGACCCATTTGGGGGCCTGATTTACGATCCGTCACCCTTGGCAAATCGAGCGTGGGCAAAATAAATGGGAGCCAAACTACCAATCGCATGGGAAAACCCTTTTGTGCCACAGCAACAGCAATCGATGCGCGTTTCAGGTGAGTGGGAATCCCGGGTCTGGGGTTACCTCTGAAGGACCAGGACTCCATGCTGGTTGGAAGAATGCCCGAATTCTCCGTGGGACCGCATAAGCGCCCTCAATCCGGTGGCGCTCGTGGCGTTTGGCTCGTAGAATTAAAGGGCCGGGCATCTCATCGTGTCAGGGCTGGGCATGTGTTGGTTTGTCCAGACTTGGAGCGCCACAGAGGGGTCGAAAAGAGAGCGAGAAATTTCTTTCAGTTGATGGGAACTGGGAATCCACCGTCTGTTTAATGAGACGAACGGAGATGACGATGTTTGTGTGACAGTCATTTCAATTTGACTCAGTTGAGCATTGAGACTTAGAGAGATGGGTGGACTGCGATAATAATCTTAATCGGGACCCTGGAGGACTAGTCGCAGTTCCTGGCCATTAAAGTTGATTAACCTCAAGTAACCTTTCCAACAGCACGACCATTTGCGACCCTGCCAGGCCAACCCTCTCGGTCGCATCCTTTGGCCCCTCTAGTAGGAACACTTACGGAGTCCGGGCTACACAACTGAAAGCAAAGACTCAGACTCAGGACTGCAGAGTGGCAAGGCTCCCCAGCTGCATGAGACACATCGACTGCGGCGGCCCACTTGGCGCCCACAGACTCTGGCCGGGCTCAGATGCAGTATGATTCCGTTTGACCGGTGATCGAATTGGCATTTCGCACCGTGGATGCATCGTTCTGTTTAATTGCATTCAATGATTATTGATTCAATCCCTCGCTGGGAAATCGGATTTGGCGGAGCGTTACCGACGACCGTACGACCTACACTGTGTACGGTGCTGTGATCCCGATCAGCAAGGTACCTCGCTGCCTACTTCGTTCGCCGTCTGCCTGTCTGCCTACTGCCTGGCCGGGAATTAAGATGAACCAAGACGGGAGATCAACCCTTTAATATAATCCATCAAAGAGCGTTGAGTCTGGTGGCGGTCAATAACCACCGTTTACTCCCCATCGGCTATGATGTATAGAATACAGACTGACCCAGTCGACAAACAAAAACGCCACCGCCAAGAAACTCGGACACACCCTGTTCCTGCCTATCGGATGTGCCGCCTTGCGAGAGGGGCACCTTACAGTGCGACTCAGTTACTCGAGAGGAACTAGGAACCAGGAACCGACCAGAGACAGACACTGAGAACCATGGGAGATTTATCTGGCACGGAATGCAGCGATACCGTAGTTGACTTGGATGGTTTCCGTGTCTGTTTATCCCATCGAGTATTTGTAAGTAGTATCCACTTCAGTCTAACCATCTTGATCTAGTTAATCTGAGGTAGTTAATCTGGTGAATCTGGTGAATCTGTGAATGGCATGATTCAGATGAATGCATCTCGGGATGTCCGCGTCCGGCAGTTCCCGGGGATGATTATTCTTCCGCATCGCCGGAAGCAGCTGCCCGGTCCTGCCCTAACCCTAGCGTCCGGATATGGGCTAGCGCTAGGGTAGCGCGACCCTCCCAGCGACTACCTCAAGAGGCAGGCGGTGCGGGAACTCCGTCCGTCCGGTCAGACCGACTGCGCATTCTGCACCCCGTCTCCCCCCGCAATTTCTCCATACATACTTTATTTCGTACACGGTAGATGACACCTCAGGCTTCACCATTACATGTGATCTTGAGCTTTTGTCCATTTTTTAGCTTGAACAAATATAGTAGGTGTATAGATAGCTGTAACTATAATGAATATTACTTAGTATCTTTTTTTTTTTTTTGCTTCAATTCTGGTGCCGGAAAGTCAAGTGCAATTAAAATAACCCAGTATAGGATATAATATATACTCGCGAATGCCCTCGCCATTTCCCACAATAATGGGTCAACTCCCCAATACATGTAGACATACTCACAGACAGAATTATCCGGAAGCTCAGGAGGAAAATTGGTAAAAGCAATTGAATTTGGTTTCTATTTAATGGATAGGGAAAGACAGTTCTACTAAAGTTACAGGTCGGGCAGTAAAATGTACACCATCCTGCACATCTACGAGTAACGGTCTAGAACACCGGAAAGTCTAATAAAAGGATCGTCGTCTACGGATCTCGAATGCTCTCGAATGCATCGCCTTAGTGTGACTGTGACCCGTTGAGCGATGAACTCTCCGTGCTAGCATTGGATCTGCACAGCTGAAGGACATGACCCTGACAGGAAGGATCTCATGTCAACACAGTCAATCGGAACGGTGGAGTCGAAAGAAAACCTTGACAACGAACAGTGGCGTGTGAAACAGCCTGCATACCGATCAACCAGTAGTCAAAGCTCAATAGAGTTGAGACGGATCCCGTTCCCATCCTGCCTCTCTCCAATGATCCAATCCAAGCATCATGTTTCATTCCGGCCGCCAGACCATGCCCACCGACTGCGGTGCCGTCTCCACGAACCCGTTCCGCGCATATAGCCTGCGTCCCGCCGCGTCGGCCGACAGACAGACGTACGGCTGCGGAGGTGCCCTGGCCGTGATTTCCCACAGGAGATGCTTCAACATGACGTCCCCGAGCCCGCGCCGTTGATGGAGCGGGTGGACAGCCATATCGGCAACGACGAAGTACCAGCCGCCGTCGCCAAGCACGCGGCCCATAGCGACGATCTCGGGGTCGGGTGGCTTCGGAGCGGTGGATGCGGACGACAACAAGGACGATGACGACGGGGCATCCGAGGCCGTACTAGTAGCCTCCGTACGGACGACGTAGCAGGCGGCCCAGCTCCCTTGCAGAGCGGCGATCGCTTGCTCCGGCGTTCGTACGGAGAGGCCGGCGGTTTCACGCAGGTGCAGGTAGGTGGACACGAAGGGGACACCCACGTGGAGGGCGTAACCCACGGGAAGTGACATACTTCTGGAATGCTGGAATCTGGAGATTGCCTGTCTGAAAACTGAAAAGAGGGGGGGAAGGGAGCGCTGGCAGCTGTGAGGTGCGACGAGAGAGGGAAGAGATCCTCGACCGACGCTGACCAACGGCCGGTACGAGGGGGGGACCCAGGATGGGGGTGAGAGGGTAAGAGAAGCAAAGCTGGAGGCAACCGCGATGGAAGGAGGGACGATCCATTTTTTATGGCGCGCACGGTCACTGTGATTGGGGGAGGGAGACGTCGGCGGCGCAGCTTAGGATTCCTAGCGTCGAACAACCCCACGAATCAGTAATCACGTTATGCCGACAGACTGGGGAACTGGATTAAACGCAACGCACACCCGGCCGGTCAGATTCGGCAGACATGCTTAGTTGAGAGGGGCGCGATGGAAGTGTATTACTCCGTAGGGAAGTGGTAGATGAGGCGTATCAGGGGGACCGAGAATTCTTTTCCGAGGGGTTCTGTGGACGGAGGACGGAGAAGCTGGTTGGGTCCGTACGGTGTAGTCCGTTCGTCCATCGGGTAGTAGCTGTTGGGTAATGTGTACGGAGTACGGAGTAGTGTATAGATTATAGAACTATTGCTATTGAGACCGTTCCCGCAGACTCAGGCAATCAGGCAACTCAGGCACCCTCAGGCATGGGCGACGACGTAGGGCACGACACGTGACCCTCCCGAACGGGTAAGTGGCGACGGCGCTAGACCGAAGGCAGCAGTTGAGGACGGGCCGCAGACTCGGCTGCACGTGGACCGCGCAGCCCTCATTTGCAGACTTTTTCCTGGCCGATCCATTGTCTTACCAAGTTATCTCTCTGACCACCACCCGTCGGAACAATTATCGCTGGGCTGACTGCATCGTGCGTCGCAAGTCGCAACCCCCGATCCATGCCATCATGATCAGGGTCACTTCTCCGCACGGGGACGGAGTCAGGTGAGGACCAACCGACGTCTGTTCGCCGGCTAGCCTGACCGAGCCCGGCCGGTCTTTCCCCGGTCCTCTTTCCTTAGATTTTGGGCTTTCCCTTTCGGGCCAAGACCGTGAGGACCGGTAGATGGCCTCATCTAAGAATTAATAAGGGTGGTTTTCATCTCGGTTGGGGCGTTCCAGTGGTCCAATCGCCACTCGTTACCACCAACAGCCAGCCGAGCCGTGCGCTGATTGGCGTTGACGGGGGCATCCCAAGAGGCCCAAGAAACTTACGTGAGGCACTAACCGGGATGAGACGATAGCCCCGTGTCGGTGCAGGAGCATGTGTTAGAGGCTTTATTGTGGTCGATAGGCTAGTTTGGGGCCAAAGCTGGACAAGATCCGACAAGCGGCTTGGCTACCACCGCCGTCTATGTCATGGAGGGTTTGGCGCCGAGAAGGACCCGATGGGGGCATTGAGGGACCCCTCCCAAGAGGGGACTCCCAGGAAGTGAACTCCGTCATTTGGGGGACGCCAAAAGGCTTCTCGGGGTGAGGATGAGGCCAAAACACGACCGGCAACGAGGCTAACAAAGCAGTCTTGGCGGTATCCGATCCCGCCCCCCCGCGCCGACTCCACTCGGTCGGCTGACCTTCCCCCGCGGCCTGGCGTTTTCGCGTGTTGCGGGCTTGGCGCTAACCCGAGGGCGCCGGAAGCGGCAAAGCAGCCGAGGCTGCATGCGAAGGAAGTCCCCCGATCGACGTCATGCCAAGTGCCTCTTACTCTTTGCTGGACCCGGGGTTGCGGAGATTTCTGCCAATTACATCGGCTGCCCTGGGGTTCACTGGGGTTTGCCGTTTTGGATTCTAGGTGGGATGGATTTTAATTTTAATTTTTTTTATCTCATTTTAATTCATTTTATTTTTTTCACTTTTTTTCCCCGAAGGCAAGTCGCCCGTTTCTCTCTGTCCGTCGACGGTCATCGCAAGGCATATAAGAGCCCCGTCGTCTCCATTCTCGATCGAGGATCTTACTTCTTTTCTCTCCGTACTCCGGTTGACATTTCCCTCTTCTCTCATCGTCTGCATATACCTCAACCGGCAATATGTGGACTATGACCTCTGGCTTTTCGGGGCGGTCGCTCCGGATGGCCATCACCCTCACCGCCGTTATGGGTTTCTCTCTCTTCGGTTACAACCAGGGTATGATGTCTGGTATCATCGCTGGTACGGAATTCGTCAAGTCCTTCCCCGTCCTGGCCATGCCCGACAACCCGACCGATGCGGAGAACCGACATATCAACGTGCTCCGTGGTGCCGTCACCGCCTGTTACGAGATCGGATGTTTCCTCGGCGCCCTCTTCTCCATGTTCTTCGGTGACAAGATCGGTCGTACTCGTCTCATCATGATGGGTGCCGCTATCCTGATCCTCGGTGCCCTCATTTCCGCCGTCTCCTTCGGTGACCACTGGGGTCTGGGTCAGTTCGTCATCGGTCGTGTCACCTCCGGTGTTGGTAACGGCCTGAACACCGCTACCATCCCCGTCTGGCAGTCCGAGTGCTCCAGCGCCCACAACCGTGGTTTCCTCGTCTGCTTCGAGGGTGCCGTCATCGCCGTCGGCACCTTCGTCGCCTACTGGGTCGTCTTCGGTCTCTCCTACGTCGACCAAGACGTGCAGTGGCGATTCCCCGTCGCCCTGCAGATCCTCTTCGCCATCTTCGTCCTCATCGGTGCCACCATGTTCCCCGAGTCCCCTCGCTGGATGGTGATGCGCGGCTTCGACAAGGAGGCCTGCGAGGTCATCGCCAAGCTCAAGGGCTCCTCGCCCGACGCGGAGGATGTCCTGCACGATTTCAACTTCATGAAGGCTGACGTCGAGTCCTCCAAGGCCAGCGAGGCCGGCTGGAGCGCTCTTTTCACCGGCGGCAAGACCCAGGAATTCCAGCGCATGATCCTCGGTTGCTCCGGCCAGTTCTTCCAGCAGTTCACCGGTTGCAACGCTGCCATCTACTACTCTACCCTGCTGTTCGAGGACAACCTCGGCCTGGCGCATCGTCTGGCCTTGATTATGGGTGGTGTTTTCGCTACCGTCTACGCTATTGCCACCATCCCCTCGTTCTTTATGATTGAGCGTGTCGGTCGTCGCAACCTGTACCTGATCGGTTACATGGGCCAGGGTCTCTCGTTCGTCATCACCTTCGCCTGTTTGATCAAGGAGACCACCGAGAACTCCAAGGGTGCCATCGTCGGTATCTTCCTGTTCATCGTCTTCTTCGCCTTCACCTTGCTGCCGCTCCCCTGGATCTACCCCCCCGAGATCAACCCCCTGCGTACCCGTACCGCTGCCTGCGCCGCCTCCACCTGCACCAACTGGGTCTGCAACTTCGCCGTCGTCATGTTCACTCCCCTCTTCGCCGCCACCAGTCCCTGGGGTGTCTACCTCTTCTTCGCCCTCATCAACTTCAGCGCCGTGCCCTTCAGTTGGTACTTCTTGGTCGAGACGGCCGGTCGTGAGCTCGAGGAGATCGATATCATCTACGCCCGTGCCCACATCGAGGGCAAGCGCGCCCATAGAATTGCCAGCGATATGCCTAAGCTCACCTTCGAGGAGATCGCCCAGCAGTCTCGTGAACTCGGCCTGGACAACAGCGACCACCACGGTCACACCACCGAGAAGGCCGAGCTTGGTCTCAGCAGCGGCAGCGGCAGCGGCCAGGACCTCCAGGAGGTTGAGGAGAAGCGCTAAGAGTTTTACAGAAAACGAAGCAAACGGGAGCAGATGCGAATTTCTTGGGAACTTGATTTCAAGCTCAAGAAATTGATGACACAGACTCTGCTGCCTTACGTTGAAAGAACTTTTTTTTTTTTCTTTTCTTTTCTTTTTTTTGGTGACCACGGTGCGGCTAACTACCGCCATACATACCCCTTTGCTTTTTGGCCCACCGCCGCTTGTTTAGTAGATAGATATAACTCTTCTGTTGATTATAGAAATTGGCTATTCTACTGTCTTATATCTATGTTAATTTTATTTTACTTCTTCACACGATATATATCCCGAAAACCATCAATTGGAATTTATTACGACTAGCCACAATAGTTCCAGTTCTCTTGTCTGATCAAACGATGCCTTCCGGAGTACAGTGCAGAGTTTTCATAACTAGAGCTGCCTTTTCTCTTATGTCAAAATCCACCCTCCCCACTCCGGGTCTAACCGCAGAATGCGCCGAAATTCCTGACCGACCGCGTCCCCCTTGAAGGATGCAGCTCCAGTGGGAACCACGTTACGATATTGGCTGCCACCTGCAAGGGTTGCCAAATTACTAACCGATTAGTTATTGCTGGTCGCTGATTCGGACGTGCTCCGTCCTATCAACAACAACAGTGAAGTGGCCCTGGTGCGAGAGAACCCTGTCGATATCTGAGGCCCAACAAGCCAGGGATTTGTCTTTCTGCGCTCCGGAGTAACTATACTCTCAGTCTGACTTTGAACGGAGGACAACAACCCGACAAAGCCATTCACTACACGTCTCACCGCCGATCGGTCATTTTGTGGCTTGAACGCCGCTGGATCAGGCCTCTGATAGGGCTGGATTATAAGCCACTGAATAATTGATTCCGAAAAATTCCTAAATGCTCTTGTGTTGGCGGGTGGCGTATGAACATGTATTCAGATTCATTTACAGTGAGAACGTTCGGTATTCTAGGGATTTTTGAAGGGTTGAGGTGTATTATGCCAAGTATGTGGGCATTTGCTTAACTATTTCCAATGTATGTAATACCTAGGAAGGCTTCTACTACCTTCACTCTAGTTATCCACATGACATCCCATTTGATTGGACTCATTTCTGTGACTCGGATGGATAGCGTTGTATTTCCTTTGCTTACTGATTATGATAGAGAAGTCTACGGCTACCGAGGTGTTTACTCCCCTCCTTTTTTGAGTGGTCTCGAGGCTATACAAACCCAATACTATTCAAATCCTCCTGTTCATCACGAAAAGAACGATTTTTCATTCATGAAATTATTTAAAGTGGCTGCCGATTCTACCTGTTCTACCCTTTGATATAGTGAATTACTATCAATAATTGATCGGTTAAGCCGCCATGCTAGAGTTATTCCTTTTTATTTATGCTACGGTAACGGATCTATACAAGTCCAGACGATTGAAGGCTACTATTGCCCAACTAGCAAGCCATTGAATTGAAGCTATTAATATGACCTCCCATTTCGATTGTTTGAACTATCTAGTAAGCTATTTTGCTTTTTATGTAAGGGAGATGTCCCTCGTGGCTCAGTTGCCTATCTGGTTCATAGTTATAAAATGTAAGATAGTCTATGGAATAATTAGTAAAGTATACCGAAAAGGCTTTTAAGCGAGATGCGTAGTGTTTCGGCGATATATAATATTAGAGGCTTGGATTGGTTCAGTATGTATGTCCTGCTTGCTGGATTGCCCTTGAGCGACGTTATCCATGTTTGTGTTTTTTTATTATTATTTTTAAGGTAGATTCAACTTATTATGCTGTTTACCTGCCTTTCTGCGTATGTGATACACAGGAAGGCCTACCTTTTCTTGATACTCATCTTCCTTATGATCCTGTTAAGTCAAGCCCATCTATATAGCCATGAAGAATAACAGTCCTTACATTTGATGCGCCTGCATTATCCATGCCGACACAAAACTCAAAAGCAAAGCACGGCGCCTCTTTTCTGCAATCTAATCTTGGACCCCTTGCACTCTTATATTTACTCCATGCGTAATAATACCCCCTACTGTCAGCAGGACATCCTTGAAGAATGGCCTTTCTATGCCCCGAAGTTTTAGAATATCTGCTGAACATAATATGGAAGGGCACCAGTCTGCGGGATTAACTGCTGAAAAATTAAAAGCTTGGTTTCTCTCAGCCACGGTGCAGGGCTAAACTTTCTTTGCTTCCGGCGGACTCGCCGGGTTTCGTGCACACCCTCAACTTGATTCGATGAACGACAATCCACGGAGCTTTTCGCCCGAGAATGATCTAGACTGTACTCTTTATTTCAGAACCCCCGGCATTGTTCAATTCGGTTCACAATGGGATATTACAATGTAGTGCAGACAGAAAATTCAGTTGACTCAAAGCCCATAAGCTCGCATACTTGTGCTGAGCTCAACGTTTCGGTTCCGAACGGCGATGATGTACGGAAAACTCGACCGATGACAACGGCAGAGACGAAGGTGTGGTCTTCTGATTTGAGGAGAGTATTTGAATAATAGGAGTGCCGTTTCTTCGAGTTCGTTTGGAAATCTAAAATTTGGAGTACAGGTAACAGAGTCCTATTTTCCTCGATCTCGGTCTTGATAGACCACAGTGGTTGATTACTTTTTGATAAAGAGACTTGGCCTTAGCGAAGAACTCTAGAAGATGACTATCTTGAACTCTTTTCATGGACAAAAAGCCCCTGGAGGTCTATCCGTTAACACTAGGTTCGGGAAAGGTTGTCAGAGTCCTTGGAGGAGGAGTTCCGGTACACACGTCATAAAGTCCATCATGCGATTCTCGGAGTCCGATGAGTGTTCTAGCCCATGTCTACCAAGGCTATACAGAACTTAAGATTGCATGGGAATTCAAGTCCGTGATACATCAGTACTACTTCATCGCGTTTTCTCTTTTCAGGGCAGAATAAAGAGCCCAAGTGCAGTCCTGAGCTCACATTATGTTTCATTTTCCAGCTTTTTTGGAGCACGCACGAACAGCGAGTTGCAATACCTTCAACCCCCCCCCCCCCCCCCCCCAATTTTATTAGGCTTATCGCTTGGACCCCATCACGATTGCTGATAGAACTATACCCAAAGAAAAATAGGGACTTCGATATGAGACTATCCGCACAAGGTATTGGTCTAGCCTTATTTCTGACGTCTAGTGCCTCCGCCAGACCGGTAGCATACGGAATATGTCAGGCAGGTTGCTCCGGACTTGTGATGGCCTGCTATAAGGCTGCAGGATTGCCATGGGGTGCAACCTTGGCAGCCACAGCGCCGGCTTCTATTCTAGGGTGCAATTCAGCTTTCGGTGCTTGTCAAGCAGCATGTGCTGCTGTCTTATTGGTACCAACTTTATAACCTGCCTCTTCAATTCGACATTGACGAGAACGAAAAGGGTTGGGTTGAAGGGTATTTGGGCCGAATGAAACAATCCATTCAACATCGTTCGGGTCACACGGGCCATCTCATCTAAGATAAGGTTGCCCGTTGGTGTCCGAAAAACGGTTGAGACGTCGGACTTAGATCTGACTGGGGCTGTGTTTCGTCTACAACGGTTCGAGAACGATTCTAGAATCCACGACGTTGTACGAGTCATGTTATCCCTACATCACCGTACCTCGGAGATTATCATTCTTCGGCATTTGAAGTGTACTCGGCTCCTGGGATGACCGTGCATCTTAGATAGTCGGTTATCCTGGATCTTGTTGGCCACTTGAAGCTAACCCAATGAAAACTTATGAGAAGATTTTGTTTCGTAATCAAAGGCGGAGTGCGAGGGAGGCTGTATGTTTGTGATGTGATTGTGCTTCCCGGGACGTCTGTTGATCGTCTGGGTTACTGTTGGAGTAAGGGCTTTGGAAGGCACATGACCTGGTCACTATTGTTGCTATTGTTGACAACAGCGTTTTTAGAAAGTGCTCACTGTCGCTCGGAGAAGAAGATTTGTGTTCCATCGTTCTTCATCTTTCATCTTTCCACATCTTTTCCCCTTCATTTCACTTGGCACTGCAGGGAGGCGTACTCTGACTGGGATACACGACGTCCAGCATCGGCCTCCACCTCGCCGACAAGGCCTGGACCATTAGATCGTATGGTGCCCTAGAAATGAGCAAAGATGCTTGTGTATTCTAGACCAATTGCTGTAGGGAAGGCTAGAACGTCGCGTGGTGGATTGTCTCCTCGGGCAGGAAGTCTACATCTAAGACCTTGACACTCAACCGAGAAAAAGTCCTAGCTCATTACTGACAGGAGAGGCATCCGGTTTGATGTCAAGCACCACGGTACCTGACCATATCCAGTGAATACCGAGACTGGATCCACTCTCTCCATGTCCGAAAACTTTGAAGCCGTAGCACCTTCATCTCAATCAGACAGAAAACATCACGCCGGGCTGCGGATGGTCGAAGTCAAATGGGCCCTAGAGAGGTCACAGCCGCCTTAACTGCGGCCAAGTATGATATCACAAAAGTCCAGAAGCGTCCAAAATGCCTCATGGCGGACAGTCCGATCCTCTGCCCATTTTAGTGCGAATTCGAGCAGACAGACCGCACAAACACACGAGATCAAAAGTACTGACTGCCTCCCCCCCTAGATGCTAGAGCATCCTTTCACTCCCTGACTTCTAGTAAAAAAAAAATATATATAAAAAAAAAAAAAAAAAAAGCCTAGGAACGAACTCCCAAGCCGTCGAAAGCGACCAACCGGGAGGATTTCGGGAAAACTGATCGACAGGGACCATTACCACATACAGTTTAGGGCGACGCAATTTTGGGCAAACCATTAATCAATTTCGGCGATACCATCCCCAGCCCTAGTTACCTTGTCTATTTGAAACCTGAAACTGCTATTTTGATCCAGGCACAGGTACAGGCACAGGCCAGGATCGACCGATCACATTCTCGCATCCCCCAAGACCCAACGGGCAGCGGTCTCACGCTGAAACAGTGACGGCATCCGTGTCGCGAGATGGATTCTGACTTTTCCTTGTCCGCCTCAGTGGACTGAGCGACTGAATCCAATTGTAGTGCGCATGGTCCCCCGAATGTTCCGGTGATCGTGGTGAATCTAGCTCTCGAGTGTTGACTGTTGACTGTTGACTGTTGACTGTCGATATTGACATGTATCCGGAGGGAGCCGGTCGAGTGGATATGAGCTATCTCATGCCCAAAGAATGGCGTATTATTGAACAAAACTAGCAGAACCGTTACTCCCTGTACACATACTCATAGCAATAGAGCCATGTTCCAAGTATACAAGCCCTCGCGAACTGCCGACATCACCACCGCAAAACGACCTCGGCGTCGGGCAAGCAGTGAAACGACTCCACTGTTTCAACCAGCATCCCGATCCTCGTCGGCCCTCCGACTAGCCCATCACTAAGAAAAAAAAAAAAAAAAAAACCTTATCCGGATCTGATTTTGAGTCGCCGGCCAGAAGTATAAAATCCCCGAGTCTGCACGGCTCAATCTCTCCCAACCAGCCTCGCTCGTTCCATTCGTCCATTCATACCATCCGTCCATAGAGCTGTGCTCTAGCCTTTCGTTTTTCGCTTTCTTCTCACTTTTGTTTTTGATACAACCATATAGATCTTCCCGCATCTCCCAAGATGAAGACCGCTGTCATTCTCAGTATCATCACCGCCGCTCTGGCAGCGCCTACCAAGACCGTCGAATCGCGTCAACTGCCCGGCCTGGGAGGTTCCGGCTCGTCCAGCGGCGGCGGCCTGGCCTCTCTCGCCTCGCTAATCCCCCATCCCTCCGGCGGCGGAGGTCTCGGAAGCCTCCTCAGCGGTGGTAGCAGCGGTAGCAGCAGCGGCGGAGGCCTCAGCAACCTTCTCAGCGGCGGTAGCAGCGGCAGCAGCAGCGGAGGCCTGCCGGATCTCAGCAGCCTTCTCGGCGGCGGCTCGAGCTCTTCGTCGGACTCGTCGGACTCCTCGAGCACCGACTCTAGCGCCAGCGCCAGCAGCACCGACTCCAGCTCTGGCTCTGGCTCTAGCGCCGGCTCTAGTGGCGGGCTCCCGGACATCGGCAGCCTTCTGGGCGGCGGAAGTGGAGGTTCGTCGCTGTTCTCTCGGTCCGACGAGGCCACAAAAAGAGCGATAGTCGAGTCGACTAAACGCGCAGGATTAGGCTCGATCACGGAGAACGATGTCGCGAACAACAAGGGCTGCAAGGAGCTCACCTTCATCTTTGCCCGCGGAACCACCGAGATGGGCAACATGGGCTCTGTTGTCGGACCCCCCGTTGCGCAGAACCTGAACTCCTTGACCGGTAATAAGGTCGCCGTCCAGGGTGTCGATTATCCCGCTTCTGCTGAAGTTGGTCTTCCTCCTTCCCCTTATTACTCGTTCCACTTGGTTCAGGAAGGTCTATTCGATGCTAACATGAGACATAAATAGGGCAACGCGATGCTCGGCGCGGCCGGCGGCCCCAAAATGGCCTCCCTGGTGCAACAGGCTTTGAAGCAGTGCCCCAAGACGAAGGTGGTGCTTGGCGGATACTCGCAAGGTGCGATGGTGGTTCACAACGCGGCCAGCAAGCTCAGTGCCGGACAGATCTCCGGAGCCGTGCTCTTCGGCGACCCATTCAAGGCCCAGGCCGTCGGCAAGCTGGACAAGTCCAAGACCAAGGAGTTCTGTGCTTCCGGCGACCCCGTCTGCGAGAACGGATTCAACGTCATGGCGCACTTGACCTATGGCGGTAAGGCTAAGGAGGCGGCGCAGTTCCTCGTGCAGGCTGCTGGTGTTTCTTCTTAAGCTCTTTCGTTCCTTTGTGCTCTGAATGGAGCAAATTGAGGGATGTTCGCTCTCTTGTCTGTCTCGGTTTCGAAGACATGTGGGAAGAATCAGTCATTCTTTTTGAATATGGATATGGATATGTGTACTTATGGATGGATGGAAACTCTGGGTCAAGATAGCGCTGGACGCGAACCAGTCATTCAATGATGAATCAAGCAAGCTCATTATCAACTGTCTATATCTGTGTAAATTGTATCATCGTATCGCTTGTTTTTGCAAGTTTTAACCTTGAACCCACCGGGCATCAACCGCTGGAACACGCCCTCAGAATCGTACCGCGTGGCAATCTCCTGCAATTTGGCATGGTTCTCCTCTCCGTACCCTTCGAAGATATTCTGGAACCCCGCGGAATCACCCATGTAGTTGAACGGATCATATAGGCCCGCCTTCATGGTTGCGTTGTTAATCGCAAACGTTGTATCCTGGACCCACTCGGTCACGATATCATCGTACACGGAACCGATCCACTCGACGACTTCGGCGTAGCAGAGGTAGATCTTTGAGGGGTCAAGACCGAGGGCGTTTCCGCCGCGGGATTCGGACGCGCGCATCCAGTCGGCGCCGATGGGGTGCCAGTCCAGCTGGATGGTGGAAATGTTGGCCGTGGGGACCTGAGCTAAGAGCTTGGGCAGCTCGTTGAAGAAGGTGCTGTTGATGATGGTGATACCCTCGAGGAGGGACTTGTAGTCGGTGGCGGCGACGAGGACGTCGCTGGTTGATTGTGAGTACTCTGTTTTTGGGGACAGAGAGAAATAAGGCGAAAACGTACTTGATGTGAGGCACAACCATTTCGCCCGTCTCAGCTGCAAACTCGCTCAAGGTCTTAAAGCCCACAGTGCTGTTGATCGACGGGATATCCGTGAAGGGCTTGAAGATGTCTGGATAACGGACCTCCTCGCTGTCATAGAACAGGATAACCGAAGCCATCAAGGTCTCGCCGGGGACGAGCGCAGGCACGATATGCGTCTTGGGGTCGGAGATGTTGGCCGCATAGGTAGCAGCAGCCTAGGGATTCCGTTAACTCATCACGTCGTGTCTACCATCTCGGGCAAGAAGAAAAACATACAGCCAGGAATTGATCCACATACTTCGCCTCGACGGTATGCGCACTCGTCTAGTTCTTCGGGGATCGGATCGTCTCCATATCGAGCCGCGTCACGATACCGAAGTTGCTGCTGCCGCCCTTCAAAGCCCAGAACAGATCCGGGTTCGACGTCTTGTTCGCCTGCGCCACGGTACCGTCCGCCAGGACCACCACGTAGTTGACCACTGTGTCGCACGCGAAACCAACCTGATTACCGTAGAAGTTGACGCCGCCGGCGAGGATCGAGCCGGGGACGCCGACGGGACCGAGACGACCTCCAGCGGCGGCGAGGCCGAATTTATCAAGGTAGGCGTAGACGTATTTCCTATTATGATGAGGAGTGGAGAAGACTCGCACATGTAATGACTATTCCGTAGTCCGTGGATAGCCTGGCATCTGCCATGCACAGTGGAGGAAAGCAAGTTCTCCGGCTGATTTGTATTTGCCAGCTCCAATCCATCGTCATTAGATCTCACCCACCATTGGGCAAGGATACGCTCGGTGAAAACTTTTCCCTTGTCTTTCCCTGCGAAATTAACTTTCATCTAAAGAGGAAAGCCCTAGGTGAGACTACCAGAGCCCGAACCAAAATTTGCGATCACTTGGGTCGGGGAACAGTTGCCGACGTGAAACTCTGCTAAGTGCTATCCCATCTTTAACAGAACCCCCTGGCGGAGTAATGTTCAAATAGCCAACCTGTCCATACTCCGTGATCTGGACAAGGGTTGAATTCAATTTGCGGCGACATTTTGCTCAAGACTAGACTGCACAAGGTTGCAGATCTATCGGTGATCTAATCGAGAAGGATCGCAAAGGCGCGTGGTGAGGGACCGAGCTGGAGAGACGCCAGGCCTTGCGCCCAGCATGTCGCATGGCCACCCAAGCTGGAACCATTGGAGGAACGGATCAAGAAGCCATTTTTAACGGGCCATTCTATTGGGCCAAACCGGCAAGTGGCCTGCCTGCCCAGGTATTGAGCCGGTCTCTGTGCTCAGAAGTTTGGCGCGGCGTCGATTTCGGAGCGACTAGCGAGCGCTAGAGCGATCAGTCGAATGGCCGAAGGTGCACGGATGCCTCGGAGTTCTCTCGGTTGAAAATATCATAGAGACAAACAGCAAGACAAACCGCATCCTCTGGATAAACGAATTTTTACATTGACTGCGTTGTAGTCTAGACATTCGAACCCGGGCTGGATTGCGACCGACAGATGCTCACATGCCAACATGACAGAGAAGGCGCAATTCAATAAACTTTCGACGGTCGCGAATCGTCGCAATCGTTGAAACCGCGAGCTGCAAAAGAATTGGGGAAACCCATGATTGAGGTCCAGGGCCCACCTGGTGCGAGTGTTCGTTCCGTGGGACGGCGAGGCGACGACGAAGCATTTGATCTTTGCCGTGTTTTGTGGATCCTTGGTAGGCAGATAGAGAAATACTCCGTGGTCTGTATTTGAATTTGCCGATATGGAGTGATGATCGACCGAGAGTGAGATCGCAGGGCGTTGTCGATGGCCGGTCGGGAGAGAGTTGATTGCTGATTGTTGATTGTAAGAAAAGAAGAACAAGAGAGGGAGAGATGCCTAAGGCCGGTGGCATGATGCTGTCAGGTGACCTCCCCCTCGGAGACCAGAAGTATCTTGTTTTCTTGACTTTATCACGCCCCCCTTCAACATGATCGCATACAGATGGAATGGCCGAAGAATATCCCTCGATCTGCCCGATGCAACCAAAAAGGAGGTGGACTTCCTGGACACCTCTTTCTTCACTGCCATCCCCGGTCGTCGACTGCCATCGCCGCATGAGATAAGATCTCTATCAAAGAATGATAAATCCGCCCAGCCAAAACCGGTGATCATCGAGGATCTTGATCTGATTGTCAAGTTCGGGCCCTCTATAACCGCCGTGAAAGCTCTGAATCTCTGGATGATTCGACATGTATTCCACGAGAAAGTTCCGGTGCCCGAGGTCTTCGGTTGGCGAATCGATGACCAGGGCTTTGGGTTCATATACATGGAGCTGATCCGAGGGCCAACGATCCATGATTGCTACGACTCTCTTACCGATGGTCAAAAACAGGAAATCTGTGATAAATTGCGTGGGGTCCTGGATACTCTGCGCCAGCCCAGGCAAGACCCTGCAGACCGGTTTGTTGGTATGGCGAGATAGGACAAAACCTCCCTATCCTTAAGTAACATCGTATACAGGATCAATCAGTCGGCAAAATCTCTCAAATTACGTCTTTATAGATCAGCCGAAGGGGGGTCCCTTTCCCAGTATCGAGGCATTCAATGACTGGTTTTCTTTACTGCACCAATTGCGATTCAATCACCGATACAAGGATCCCAACCGGTGCTTGTTGCCAGACAACAGAGATATAACGTTTACCCACGCAGACCTACGCCGGGGAAATATAATTGTTTCCTCTTTCAACCCACTTCGAGTTGCCCTCGTGGATTGGCAGCAGTCAGCGTGGTACCCAGATTATTGGGAATATTGCAAACTTTTGTACACGTGCTCATACAAGGATGAGTGGCGCATCAAATTCATTGATACCTTCCTGCAACCTGACCCAGAGATTTGCCTGGTATTTTCTGAATACGCAATGGCCATGGGTGCGGTTTGACCCTTGGATAGACAATCACACAAACATTTAATCGCGCTTCTCAGAGATGTGGACAAAATCAGTTCGAGTGCCCAATACGCATGGCTATGGTTTCATCCAGACATTTCCTCTGTGGCCAAAATTTTTAGACCGAGGATCAAGGGATAGATTGAATGATCATGGATTCTTCAAAGTCCAACCATTGAAATCACAGGATGGAACTATTGCATAGCTTCTGTGGGCATTTTGGCCTCTTGTGTCCTTGAATACTAAACCTGTTGCGCATCTGAAGCGGGAACTAATTTGCAGCAGTTACACATTTACATGATAATTTCACAAAGAAGGAAAGGTATCCTTCGACAGCAGCGTCAGAACAGCTTTCATCACATTATCATAAGTCGAATAAAGAGTTGGAAGGACCTGCCAACCTCTACGGCCATGTCACAATGCCACCGAGACAACTTGCGTACTATCCGGGCTCTGAAACCGCTTCATGGGCCCATACGTCGACGTTACTTTCCTCAACCTCACTCCCCAGAAAAATAGCGGAATTGCGAGTAGCATACTAGCAACTTGGATAGCAGTCATCTCGCCAAAGACGGCCGCCGGGCCTTGACGAGTGATCCAGTCGGCAGCGTACAGCGACAGCAGCATCCCGATGGTGTTGCGAATAACGAAGATAATGACCAGCGCTTCACCGGTGACCTATGCAACGGGTTAGATAGCCACATGTTGTCTACTCTACGGAAAACTTACCGGCTTGTAACAGTCCAACGAATATGTCACCGCAACATTGGAAATAGCAGCCACACCGAACGCCTGCATGGCGTATCCGACGGCAGATCCCATCCAATGGACCTGGTTGGCGATGCATAACCCGAAGATGAGGAGACCCGCTGGTCCGATGGTAGCGGGGATTATGATGGCAGGCAGTCGATACTCCGGAAGACGCTGGCCATGGCGCCGTTTCGTATACCGAGTGGAGATGACATCGATGAGTCGACCACCCAGGTAGAAAGCCAGGACGGATCCGATGAAACCGGAGAGTGATAAAAGACCCAGACTGCCGGCAGGCCAGTTGTACGGGGCTGCCGTGAAGATCCGCGATGCTGTCAACTGAACGACGATATTCCTAAATGAACATTAGATTAACCGAACACTGACTAGAGCCGACCGAAGATCGATCTTACCAGCCCGCACAGATGCCGATAGAGAAAGCCGCCCATATCAACTGTGGATACGCCGCGCTACAGATGATGTCCAGCAGAGTGCGACCGAAGGAAGCCTCGGGGTTGTATCCTCGCGTCACCGACATCCATTGCCACCAAGTCCGTTTGGAATTCGACGCTTGTCGCTTGTTATATGAGGTCTCGCGGACGGTGAAAATAGCGATGACAAAGACGACTCCCACGGCGATCGCGACGAAATAACACATCCAGCGCCAGTCTTGCTCCTGCACGAGGTATGCATTGATCAGCGGTCCGACGAACAGCCCGGACGTCATCGCCAAGTGGAAGATCATCAGGTAATGGCCACGCTCGTGCGGTGCCACCATATCGGAGACCACCGCAGGCACCGTTGCGTCTGCGGCGGAGGCGACGAAGCCCGACAGGATACGCGAGGCGAGTAGTTCGCCGTAGCTGGAGGCTTGACTCGACCAGACGTTCATCATGCTCAAAGCCAGCATGGAGATGAGATAGACCGGTCGCTTGCCGATCACCCGCATCAACGGCACCCAGAAGATGTTTCCCAGACCGAACAAAAAGACGTTGAAGCAGACGAGTTCGCCCGCCTGGGTTTGCGAGACTTGGAACTCCCGGACCACGGCCTGCGTGGCGACGGTGAAGTTGCTGGAATTAACATTGGCGAGGAAGGTAAAGGAGCAGATGGTGAGGTAGGTCGTCAGTCGTCCTGTCGTGGACCAGTTCTGGAAGCCGTCAGTCTGAGGCGAAGTGCCTAAAAGCGGGTTACTGCGCGCTGAAAACCCTTACCTGGGGATCATTTAGGTCAATTTCTTGGTATTCTTTGCCATCCGAGGGGATTGCACCCATTTCCTCCGCCGCGCGATCGATATGCGAGGAGGAGGCCTTGGAATCGTCCATGATGCGCGGGTGCGGTGGAAGACGGCGGACGAGCCAGACGCCACGTACTTAACTTAAGCGTTGACGATCTTCCCCACAGGCCAATCGTGAGTCCGATGACTCCGATCGCAAGAATGAGGAGAGCTGGAAGTCCCGGCGGCTGCAGTCGGATATCCCGAGGCGATCTGAGCGAACTCATTGGTGAAGGATCGCAGGATCGTCGGTTGATGCCATTGTCTCCTCAAATTCCTCGTCATCCTTCTTCGCCTTCTTCATTTCCCCCGGATTTCCCTCGGCTACCCCGGGCGTTCTCCCCACAGACGAAGACGTCCCACAATCGTAGTGGCTTCGAGTTGGTCCCTTCTATCGAGTTCTGCCTCTTTTGATTACGCTGCAATTGAATTAATAATGGTCAGCGCCGAGTGATAAGTACTAGTTTGGTGGTGGCGAATGAGAATGACGATCATGCTGTCGGTCCGAAACCCCTTCAGAAACACCGTTGATTAACATTATAGTACTCCGTATACAATATGATATGACAAGAGATAGTTGTCCTCCAACAACCCCTTTATACAGTCTGTTCATGCCTCAATCTCCCCCGATTGATCTCGCGAATTTGTTCCTCCTCTTGCTGTCTCTCGTCCGCCGTTTGCCGTCTTTCTCGCTCACGCTCCCGATTCTCATCTGTCGTGTCTCTCCCCTCAAAGATGCGAATGTAATACTCGCACAGGCCTTGATGTGACACGCGCTGCCACTCACCAATATCCACACGTCCGTCGTCGCCGACGCCCCTGTTGCCGAGTCCCAGATTGTACGGCCGATACTCAGGATCGTGTTTCAAGCGATAGAGCACGCTACCGTGGATCTTCGCGTTCTCCGGCAACGGGCGTCGCTGCCCTCGCGCATGCCATCGACTATCCTGTACGGAACCGTCGGGCGAGACCTTGGGCCTCTTGAAGGGGAAACACTCCAGGACGCGCCAAAACATCGTCTCCAGCGTCTTGCCGGGATCGGTGTAATGCAGCGAGTCGTGGAGCTCAGCACTCGCCGCCCTCCGTACAATGTCAGCATCATACTCCTCGGTGTGCGGATCGAAGCATCCCATCTGCGTCATTTGACGGTGTTCAAACGTGAGGCCGGCCAGCGACGCCTCCTGGACCATCCACATGAGCGGAATCTGACTGACGGGCCACTTGTCTGCAGCCCATCCGCCCCCGACGTCGCTGTGATCGCCGGAAAAATACACCTCCTCGAAGTCCGGATTCAACGTGAAGGGCGCCTGGCTCATCAGATCAGAGTTTGACCGCGCTGCCCAGGTACTCACGCGAGGGAGCCTCGTCTCGCCGCGCCGGTGGCGCGCATCCTGGAAGAGCACGGGCTGGAACTTAATGCGGCGCTCGTCGATACTCACAGCGTGACGCATTGTCCTCGGGTTGGGCTGAATGGGGTTTGACGTGTCGAAGTCCCAATTAATACTGGCGACGCTGCTAACAGTGTCAAAGAGACCGAGAAAATCCACCCAGCCGATCGACCGACAGAGCGTGTCACGACTGATTCGCAGACTGGCCTCGGCGTCGTCGCGCTCCTTTCCGGGCGGCGCAAACTTCCAGGATGTGAAGGCTTGCCAGACAAAGGGGATCAGCTCCTCGTTGTCGGCGGATAAAAGACCTACAAAATCAAGCATCTCGTTGAGGAACCGTGCCGTGTATGCCCCGCGAGAGAAGCCGAAGAGGTAGATCTTCGCGCCAGGCTTCCATCGACGTGCGAGGAATTTGTACCCGCTGAAGACATGTTCGTCGAAAGACGAGGCGAAGGCTTGCTCGAAAATCGTGTGCGTGGGAAGGTTGTTGAATGGACGAAGGGCGGCGTTGGCGAACGTTCCGGGAGTGGTTTCTTTTCCTATACCGGCTGGAGAGGGTCTTTAGCTGTTGGTGCTCAATGACGAAAGTCGGTGGAGTGAGCTTACGCTGGTAGTAACAAACTAAGTCGATGGCGTCAGCATGGTCCATCAAGTGCACGGTCGGAGCTCAAACCTACATCGATTTTCCTTCTTTCGGTCCAGCATACGAAAGATCTTGAGGATGTTGCTCTCCGATCCATCAGCCCGAAACGTATTCCCTGTTCCGTCGAAGCAGAGGATGAGCTCTCGCTGTGCAGGGCATTCACAGTCGCTTGAGTGCGACATGTTGACCGATGCTTTACTAGGGTGGACAGTATGAAGGTCAGACGGGTCTGTATAGGACCGACCGGACCTTAAAGATATCCCGGCTGAGAACCCCATGGGAGGCTGAACTAGTCAACCGGTTCTAGGCTCGTTGCCGATGTATGGCAAGGCTTAATGCAGTGTCGATCCTCGCATCGACGCCAATAGCCCGGCAGTAGTGTCTTAGGGAGGCGTCCACACCGCGTCTGCCACGACCGCTGAAGTTGGGGCTACTGGGGCTTGTCTTTGGCCTGTCCCATTGTTCGATCGTGGCACATGGCTCATTGTGGTTGTCAGCCGGTTGCGTGGCATTGCCCGTGGATTGGGTTGGTGGAAGATGCCTTCGAAGGCAAACGCTGAAGATCGAAGATGAGATGAAAGTCTTGCGGATCGTCGGCGAGCAATCCGGTTGCACAATCTGACATGCAAATGGTCTCGCTTAGTGGCATATAGTTTGTCTCTTTTAGGATGGCTGATCAGATACGTCATCAAGGGTCCAACGACACATTTCCAACTCGATTCTTCAACCTGGACCGGGCAATCATGGACCATGCCCTACACACGTAAGCCGAAGTAAGAAATTAATAGCCGGGTAAACAACCCAACACACACCCTGAACAGTGTGCTCATTTCTCTGGCATTCTGAACCTAATCAATGTTTGCCTGCAATTATCTTCGGTGTTCAATGTTGATTGTGACATGTCACCCTGCACAGCAGCCACCTTACCCACATTGAGTGTTGCTCGTTTGATTCGTAGGTCATATCCTATTATGGCCAAGATATGTATGAATGCGCTTCATGTGAGCTGGCGTAACTACCCCAGCTTCGATCATTTGCCCAGAGAGCATAGTGACTGCACAATGTGTGATCGTCCATCAAGAATCCATTTACATTCAGATTTATCTATGCTTAATGATCCTTCCAAGTTCAAACAATTGTACTATGTACATATGTACACTTCAGCTGACATCTCAGCCCTAACAGAACACATGTCACTGAATCCTGTTCCCGGTGTAGATATACCCAATCCCGGGTTTAGATAATCGTCCAGTCCAGACCATTGCCAATCACCGCACTCCCTCACAGACCAAAAACGGAAACACCATGATCTTGCCCTCCTCCTCGCTCTCCCAACCAGTCACCTTCTTCTCCAACCCCCACCCAACCTCCACCTTGACGTCCTGGAACCCAACATCTCTCATCAACCCCTCCATCCACACCCTCTGAATCCCATGCCTTTCCACACCCTCCAACTTCGCCTTCGGATGGAACTTGATCGCCTCGGGCCCAAAGTCCTCGAAATCCGTCAAGACGACCCTCCCGCCTGGCTTTAGACACCCTAGTAACGTCCCCAGAAACGCCCGCAGATCGGGAACATGGTGCATCACGAGATGCGACAAAACGAGATCAAACTTCTGCCTCGGACCGTGGGGGTCACTGCTATCTTGGGCCGGAAGGGTCTGGTCCTCAGGATCCACCAGTAATTTGCACACGGGGATGATATTCCCCAGATCAGACGCACTCGCATTCGCAACCTTAGCCTTCAACATATCAATCATGCCGTCGGCCGTATCGACCGCCACGACGGAGCGGACTAGCGGCGCCAAGCGCGTTGTCAGGAGGCCCGTTCCGCAGCCGACTTCGAGGACGTCAAGCAGGGGAGTCGACAAAGCATCTGCATTGACATTGGTGGGATCCTGCTGCGCCAGCGACAGTTTTCGGATGATGGGTTCCAGGGTCTGAAAGGCCAGACGCGTCGATTCTTGCACGGAGGGGTTCAGGTCCCAGGTTGCGGCTTCGTCGTTGAAGCGGGCGTTGCCGGTGGGATTTGGTTCGGACATTGTATATATGTACAGTACTTATAATGTAGTATGACCTGGGTATGTTCGTCCGTAAGTGACCGTAAACATTGATGAGGGCATGCAGTGTGACTGGGATCGGGAGGATCCGATCCGTCGGCAGTCGGTTGCCGATGCGGGGAAACTACGGAGTAAGCAGTGCAATTGACGGGTTGGTCCTATTCTCTACAGGGTTTAGTTTATGAGAGAGAAAAGGGACTCTGGATTTATAATGCTCTCAAACACATAGATTCCAAGTAGGAAAGGAATTGAAAGAAAAACTATGTCATCATATCCCTTGAGCCTGTACACCTGGAATACATCTCTTACGATGGGCGTAGAGGGCTTAAACAATTAAACCCCGCGATAAACACCACAAGGAAAGAAGTCCTATGAATTGCTTAGATCTCTGAATGAACGTCTTAGACCGACCTCAGCAGGAAAAAAGAAGCCTTCCATAATAGCATGGGGGGGTTGCACGCCCACAACTCGGTCATACAGTCTAACACAATAATAGTGCACCACTTTACACAGTTAGATGACTCCCACAGCACCCCACAGGCTCATGACTCCATAGTCCTTATCGCCAATCAGTTCCCATCGAATGCTGATTTCACCAGGACGGCAAGTGAGCCGCGGAGAAGGATTGAGACGGATTTCTTAACCCGATGAGGAAGGCTTCGGGCCCGATGCGGTTGTCAACACACCCATTCTGATTGGCCGAACCACACCTCCGGGGCGAGCATTTGTCAGCGCCGCTTATCAATCTCTGCCGTCCGATATCGCCGGCAGGAATTCTAGGAGGGGTAGAGAGAATTGGAGATGGGAGGGTTCTATGTAGATTCCCATCGGATGAGCGAATCTCAGCGATTATAAAGGTAAAAAAAAAAGAATAGAACACATAGAAATTGTATCAGTCACTTTTAATTATCCACCCGTAACAGAGGTATTCATATCATCCATCTAGTAAAGATAACGCAGTCCAAGTAACAACGCCTTGCAAAAAACCGTAACCCATTAATCTTGCATTCACAACTGGATCGTGTCGTTCATAATCTTGACCTCCTCGCCCGGCTTGAACGGGGGCAGTCCGATGTACGGACAGGTCGAGCAGCGGAAGGCGTCGCCGAGCGAGCAGCTGTTGCACGAGCTGGTCTTGCCTTGCACCGTAAAGTCCATCTCGTCATTCAGGTCGTCCGCCTGCAGCTTAAGCACGTTCAGATCCTTGGTCGCCTGATCCTGACGATCTTGGTCCTCCTTGTCCAGTTTCTCAGCGAGTCCGCACGTGCAGTCTTTGCAGGGACGCCGGCGCTTCTTGGCCTTTTCAGGCTGACAGTTCGACGCTGAGATCTATTAGCAAGGGAACCGACAGGTATAACAAGATGAAAGACAACATACCAGTCTGCAGCGGCCGCTTCATATCATCCTCGGACAACAGATCATCCTCGTCAATCAACTCGTCGCCATCGACAAACCCAACCCCATTTGTGCCGTTCGTGATACCCACGCCATTGCTGTGCACGCCGTTAATCCCGTTCGAGATGCCGTTCGAGACCCCATTCGTGGCGGGGGTAGTCTCCTTCTTGGCCTTCTTCTTCCCTCCGCCCAACTTCAAGGGCACCGCGACCGACTGGAAGACCTGTTTCTCGAACCCGCCATCCTTCTCCACCAACCCCGCCAGAATTGCCTCGAGTCCCTCGTTCGCGCCGAGCGAACCAGCCTGCAGCTGCAATTTACCTCCCGACTTCATCGCCGGCACCAGAGCAGTATAGACATCGCGGGTGAGCAGTCGAAGCGCCTCATCGCGCCGGGCGCCGTTGTCGTCCGTAAGAACCATGACCAGGTCGTAGGTATCGGCGGGGAGAGGAACGAAACCGGCGGACAGGCGGTCCAGCATCTGCAAATCGGTGGTGGTGCGATCGAAGGTGGTGAAGAGATCTCGGAGTTTTTCCTCGTGAGCGGCAATCGAGGGGGGTGCGAGAAGGAGGCTGCGCGTTTGGTTTTGAGTGACGATAGGTTTGGTGGGTGCCGGGGAGGGGTTGAAATCGTCGGCCATGTCGAGAGTGACGGCCATTTTGGCGGTTAGAGAGGGAATAATTCTATTGGATGAGAGATTGAGAGAAAGCTAGGTACGGGGGTAAATGGTAGGTGGTTTTGAGCGAGGAGAGAAGGACGGAGGGAATGGAGAGTGAAAGGGGAAATGATGAAACGAAAAGAAGGGAAAGGAAGAGAAGAAGGAGGGGAGAAAATGGTTGATGCTGATTAACAGTGGCGTAACCGTTTGTGCCTAATTCTTCAGGCGCTGTTGCCATTGAGGGTCCCGGTGGATGCCTGAGGATCTCCGCGGGCGCTTGGCCGGATTGCATTACCGCATCGGGCTGCCTCGATAAGCCGATAAGGAGTCAGGGCCTGAGGCAGAAGCCTGTGCCTTGGAGAGAGGGCGAGAACCCTAACTCTCGTCCTCAAGGTTGCTGTTAGCAAAGGAACACCCTCGTTTAGCTATGTACCTGGATCATTTGTAGACTAGGAACACTCGGGATACCATCGACTTGAAACTGCCTGTAGGGACTTAGTAGTATCATAGCATGAGCAAGCTATATATAATGTTGCTGCCCGGCCATGCCTACAAATATCAACAAAATCAGGACTCTCCCATCAGACAATGAAAACTGAATATCATCCCGATCATAATGAAAGCCGATGCGATTGACTACGTGCGGAGAATAAAGTGCTACATTTACCATTGACCGCCAGTGACAGCTGAGATTGCCTCTGGGTGAGCGGAGTTCCGATGAGACGACAATATCGGCGAGAGCAGGGGGAGCCAGGGGGCTATGTTCGGAAAGTCTTTGAGTGAATAGCTCAGAATGTGAAGTGTGCATTCGTACATGGCCGTCAGGCTGTGAAATGCAGCAGAGAATCAAAGATCAAATGGTCCGTCTCAGCTAGGGCAATCAGCCTGGTTTCTATCTTTACCAACTCACGAGAGACCTGTCAAGTGACTCTTTACATAAACGACTGCTAGGGATGAGTGAAATAATCAAACGAGAACATGTCACACACTCGGTGGAAGGCGGAAGACCTTGCTGAAAACTCTGCATATCGAGCAAACTCAGGAGGCATGGAGTGGTGGTTGTCCTTCGGACCTAAACACGGTCAAACTCAGCTCCAGTGGATATCTATAAGTTTATTCATGTTCGAATGGCGAATGTCGCTTCGAGGGAGCTACACAATGGTCTTTACAACTGTCTGAGAGTCCCATCGCGCAACGAACACACATGGTCATTGTAGCTATGCAAGGGGCGCCGAAGGAATGAAGGCTGATCGGGCACGTAGGGACCCACGACCACCGTGGTGCTATGTATGTGCGGGTGGATGATACGTCCAGAGCTACCTGGAACCAATAGTTCGACACCATGCAAGCCCCCGCTGATCATCCCCTTAATAGTATTTGATTGCTGGGGCCCTGGAATGTTGCACTTGCAACGCTCGAGTCGCCCAATGTAACCTGCCGCTTTAACACTACACGCGAGTCAAACATACATAATATGAGGAATAAGAGCCAGCGATCTCAAAATAGCGCGCTCACATTCCTGGAAGAAGACAGTCATTGGCCATATGTAAATGGCATTTGGGTGCGATCCCTCAGACCCGACCAGCCATATTGACTGCCAGGCCAGCATCTTAGCGGGAGAATTTATCGGTGAAGGTTGAATGGATGATCATGCAGGATGGCATCCTTGCATGTACATTGAGTCTCGACACCAATAGTGTCCCTGTCCAAAACGCAGACCGACTTTCTCTGGCAGCGAGAATGTGGAAGCGCATTCGTATAGATATCAGGTCCATCCTGTCCGCCAAAGATTGCTACAACTTTCCGCAAATACCAAGGCTCTAATACCGCGAAATCTAGCAAAGATGGTCAATCTCACCACTCTTAAGCTTCCCAATGAGGTGATGTTCGAGCGCCTGGTGTCGCTACTCGAAAATGATCCAGAACCAGTGATCTTTGACTCTCGGGATGGAGTCCAGGCGGGTTATCCTCAATTGTTGGCAGACATCCGGGAGACTCGTCAGAGAGTCTATCAGTCTCTCCCGGAAGATTTGTTTGACGATAAGGGGAGAATCAGTAAGGACAGACCGTGCGTCGGCGTCCTGACACCTACGAGTTATGACTTTGTCGTCGCCGCCTTAGCCATCCTGGCCATGGGAGGTGCTATTGTGCCTCTTGGTGAGTTCTGCCCAACAGAAACGGGGAGAAAAACACGCAGCCCGCGAGGCAATTGAAGCAGTGTTAACGACCGCACGACAGGCCTGAGACTGCTACCCGAAGAAGCGGGTGAACTTCTCCAAAGGTCTTCCGCAACGGGTATTTTGACCAGCGCGAAGTACGAGGATTCAGCCCAAGCAATCCAGACACATGGAAGTTCCAAGGGCCAGTCACTCCCCGTCATGCCCATTTCGATCCACCACGGCCTGCACTCGCGGAATAAGGACCTGAATATCCGGGCCGAAATCGACCCGGAAATGACCATTCCCGAGGATACGTGGAGTGCCATTCTGTTCACATCAGGCACAAGCGGACCGCCAAAGGGCGTGGTGCACGTACGGAAACTCTTCAATAATAACCCGCTGCTGCAGACGGAACCGATTACGTCTCTCTGCTATCAGCCACCACATTGGATCAGTGGTTTTCTTCTGTTGCTCAGTCGCCCGCTGGCCGGACATCGCCTGGTGATGAGCAGCAGCGGATGCGCGGAGCTATGGGAGGCACTGCGTAAAGGCGGCATTGATGGGTTTTGGGCAGTTCCGACGACCTGGGAAAAGATGAAGACTCACTACGACGAGGTCTTGAAGCTTCTCCCTCCCGAGGAGACGGAGGAATATCTCCGAGGAATGAAGGAAGTTAGCACATTCCGAGTCACGGGCGCTTTTGCCACGGCTCAGGTGCGCCAATTCTGGCGAGATGTCTTTGGAAGACCTCTGGAATGCGGTTTCTCAAGCACCGAGCTGGCGGGTCTGGGTTGTACATATCTGCCGGGCCCGGACGATGAACTCGGAATTGAGGTAAGACGACGGCTCCGGGTGAATGCGAAAAGCATGCTAATTGTGCATAGCGCTGCATTGGAGAGCCGCAGCCTAATGTGTCAATCAAACTCACCGAGGGCGACTCGGGCGAGCTGTTGGTAAAGGGAAAAGGGATATTTTCCCAGTAAGTGTTTCGGCCTGGTATAATCCATGCATCCTGGTAACCGTTTCAGCTACCTGGACAACCCTGCAGCTACGGAGGCAGCTTTCGACGAGGAAGGCTACTTCCGAACGGGGGATTCGGCGCGTCTTGTCGGGCCCAACGTCGTCCTGGATGGTCGATTCAAAACAGACTGTAAGCCCATTGTTTTCCCTTTGAATCCGAGCCGCTGCGTAGCAAAGAGAACAGTAGCTCATAGTCGCAGATATTCGTACCAAGGGACACCGAATCACCATCTTCGAAGTGGAATCCGAGATCATGATGCTCCCCTATGTGTCGGAGGGATACATCTTCGGCGCACCGGATCGCGATGGAGATCGACTGGCAGCACTGATCCGCTTGGATCCTACCGCTCTCAAAACCGGAAACGCGCCTGATCTGCGACAGCTGCGCGTAGACCTGCACAAGAATCTCTATGCTTTCCAGTTGCCGGTCGCGCTACGATTTTTGCGCGACGGGGAGGACGTGCCTCGAACCGACACCGGAAAGCTGATCCGCAGAGATACCGTCGCGCAGTATTTCATTCCTAACGAGGATTTCACGTATGGTAGCGACGTGGAGACATGCGACTGGAACGAACCGGTGGCAGACGGAGTCAAGGCCTGGGATTGGGGAGGAACGCCGTACTAAAGGAAACTCGGGGATGGAGATGAATCTGGTAGGAATCCATATTTGGACAGATATTAGAAATATAATTTGGGTTTTTCATAGCAAAATGAAAGTACGGAGTAGTGTCGACGCTGTTGTCCCAAGCTGCGTGAGTGAAGGGAAGAAAGAGTCCAACCAGTCCCGAGGACTAAAAGTCTTGGCGCGGAGCTTCTCCGCCTTTCGTCATCGCCGTCCTGCCCGTTCCTCTCTTCCTCCTCCTCCCCCCTCTCCAACCTCCACGTCCTCTCATTCACAATGGGTCTCATCAAGCGCGTTTTCAAGCTCACCACCTATGGGGGTGCTGCCTCCGTCGGTGCCTTCTTCTGGGGCACGCGCAAGTCCACCTTCGTGCCTATGAGTCCCTCCGACCCCCTCTTCAATTCCCCGTTCCATCGCGCCCAGAACCCCGAGGGCAACCCTCAGACTTACGACCTGTGCATTCGCCGGGTGCCACTTTCTGAGATCAATCCCTCTCTGCTGGAGAAGAAGGGCAAACTGACCGAGGCTTTCTGTGCTGGTATCTGGAGTGGCTGGGGTATTTGGCTCCCTGTCCCTTCTCCCGACCGTAGTACTCGGTTCAGGATTATACACACAAGTTGAAGCATTGACTAACCGCATGAACTGCAAATAGGATACGCCTACCAGCGCTCCCACCACGAACGCAACGCCCCCAAGGAAGAGACGAAGAATCACCTCTGGACGCCCGAGCAATTGCGCTCCTCAACCTATGACGTCGGCACTCTGATCACGGACCACTTCGAGGTTCTGGAGAAAACCCCCGAGCGGATCGTCGTGCGATGCGGTGACACGCCACGCACCCAGGGTGTGCGCCCGTCTGACGGTCTGTTCGAAATGTCGGCCGTTGTGAAGCCCGACGAGGGTGTCGCCGAGTTTGGCCTCAAGAGCTTGTTTTTCCAGGGCTTGGGCAAGGCCGAGGGCCAGCCTATGCCGGCCCATATTCTGTGGCTGCACAAGCAGTACACTAAATTGTGGATGGAGACGGCGTTGCCGAATGTTCGCCGGTGATGAATGATCGATGAGCTCGGACACAGTTCAGCACGGAGGTAGAGGCGGAAATCTGACCGGTCGGAAAACTGTCTGTACATACGAAGCTATACGAATCGAATACTCACGGACGACCATATATTACCTGTTGGTGGCGATATATCCCCTTTGAAGTCAATAATCATATGCAAATTCGCAAGCATCTCCAGGATCCTTGAATTAAATACGCTATACACAATCAAAGCTGGAGGACTACTTGGATATAGATTGGAGCCCCCGTTGGGACCACCAGCTGAATGAGCATCATCACAGGATTTGACACCAGCACGCGAGAGATCGGCAACAGCAGTCAGACGATACTTATAAGCTCGAGTGCCGCGTAACTGGATCTTGATCCAGAAAGGCATGCCCACCGGAAACCCGCCGTATGGCAAGCAAAGATGCGGTTCGATGCGCGCCCGACAGGCGTTAATAAATTGCAAGAGGGCTGGCTTCTGGGCCATGCTGCTTTCTGCTAGTCCGATCATTGGGAGCTATAATATTGTCTGCATACCTTGCCATGATGCATCATTTATGACTTCCAGAACAATGTTATATAGAATACCTCATGCTATGGCTGAAAACCCATCAGGGACCGTTTTCCCGAGATGTATCTTACCGAGAAGAAAGTAATTTCTGTACCATCGTAATCCGGTCTGTCCAACTCAGCTATGTGTGGATATTATGGCATGTTTTTCAAATATTTACCGGCTGGCGCCTTGAAGGCTACTAATTAACGTCTCATGGAGTACGATCACTGTGGAGGCCCTTCCAACAGCCTAGGCCTCCAAAGGCACTGCTATCATCATCCGCTCTTACGTTAAGGCCTGCATCTGGATGTGCCGGGGAGTCGGCATCTGACTTTCGTCTGGTCCGCGCAGTTTCTGGAACCCTAGAGGTTCCTACTGGAGACTCCCATTTCGCTGCGATGGATTAGGCTAGTTCCTCTGATAGACATCGCTTATTCCGCCCGACCCGTTCTGAAACTTCGTCCGACGAGATGACTTTAACCAGACGGGCAAGTGCCTCATGAGATTGCACTCTAACACGCCACACAAGGAGAAAGTGGTGAACGCCACGAGCATGTGTGATCAAAATATCGCCCGTCGTATTGACTTTGTAATATTATCACCGTCGGCCGGGCCTGCTATTCCATCGTCGTGGGATTCCCGTCGGGAAGGCTTAGGCACCAGACCATCGGGTTCGGCCGATCCAGTCTACCATTGTTCGGTGAGACCGAGGATGCTAAGTTTTGCAGTCCCTTGCCTCCCGTAAGCTTGTGCCATGGAACAAGGACTATAATGGCTAAGCTCAGACCAGACTGATTTGCCGAACTGCCATGCGATAACCGCTACAGACGGAAAGGTTCAAGCAGGCTAAATCTGACCGTAAGATGGGCCGCATAAATTCATGTTAGACTATGTCCAGACGTTATGATTAAAATAGAAAACACATATGACCAAGGCTAACAGTAGACAGCATGCAACCAGCAGAGCGATTGGATCTCAAAACCAGAGGATTCGAGGAGTGAACGTATAGAGGCTGCCTAGTATTGTTGCCATATTGTGCTCATATACAGTCTGTAACCTCTACATCGCTGTTATCACAAAACAGCGAAACTGACTACATCTGAAATGCTTCTAAAACCACCGTGCGACACAAAAGCCAACTAACTAGAATGCCCTCCTCTCACTGCTCAAGCAAACCAAAATAATGACCTTGTTTTCCACAGCCAACATATGGAGCTAGCGTCAACCGTTGAACTTAAGCGAGAACGCTCACGCTCCACGAAGCAGTATGCTTCTCTCACTCTCATCATCCCTAAAATAGCCGCATTCCTAATGTGCACACATTATACAAACCTCCTCACATCTATCGGCATAAACATAACACAGCGTTGTCCTAATCGAGACAAAAGAAGCGCAACCAACAGCATACCCCAGAGTGTTACATAAATAAAATAAAGTAAGAATAGGACCACCTCTCACTCGGACTACTCCGTATCCCGTTCCAGACTCCGTGCTCACCATTTCTCCTTCTTCTTGTCCTCTCCGAACAAGGATGCCACTACGACGGTAGGATGGGAATTAAGGAACCATGGGACCATGGGACCATGGGACCACCGAACACTAATCAAAGGAGATGCGGTGTGCCAAAATAGGGAAAATTAGAATTCGATAGCCCCCTTTAGATATGGATCTGTCCCTGTCTTGAGTTCAATCCACAAACCACATGATCCGTGGGTGTCAACTAATTAAGTATTTGGCTCGGTCGAACTTACGTACAAACCAAAGACGAACTACTACCTAACTCAATCTTACCTTACCTACGGAGTACTCCGTACCTATACCTAAGCGAAGAAGAAATAAAAACAGCCAACTCACACTAACTATCCGAACCAGCAGGCAGACAAGGAACTCACGACCCCTCCCAGAACTACGACTAAAACACCAAATAAACACCAGCGGTGAAATAGACCTAACCTAAACCAGGGGGTCGAATATGACAGGACAGTTTCCGATATCCCCGTACAGGGGGACATTGCATTCATATCGCATTTATGGGGATAGGCGAGATGGATATGACAGGTCGGGTGCTTGTATGCAAGGGGCTGGAGCAACGGTTCTACGGGGGTACGCGTTTTGGACTACCTTTCTCTCATACTTTCATAGAAGAATGGAATTGAGTTATGAAATCGGCATGAAAGAGATAGTAAATGCAGGAATCATAGTTCATTGCTAAAAACACATAACCGACCACCCATCCCATCCGGATCTAGATATGCAATAACCACAAAGATAATTATAATAATAAAACAAGGCAAACGAAGGAAGAACAGAAGCACAAGGCCTACTCCACTATCGAACGCCGTGGCACTGCCTCAATCACCGACTCCATGCCCGGGCTCTTACTCCAAATCCCCGAGATTTCCAATCCCGCCTGATCTAACAGCTCCCTCCACTGTTGCTCGGACCGCTCAATCCCCGACCCGATGCTCATCATCTGGATGTCCAGCGACGCCTGCATGAGCGGCGTGTCGGTGTCCGGGAGCACGAAGTCTACAATGATGAGGCGCGAGTACTCCTCGTCCATGGCGGAGACAGTGTTGAGCAGAATCTTCTGACAGATGTAGTCGGGCCAGTCGTGGAAGATGGCGCGGAAGTAGTATGCTCGAGCTCCTGTCTCTCGTTAGCATTGTAACCTAGCAATGAAAGCAGTCGGTCGGAACATACCCTTAACAGGCTGGGGATCTAAGAAACTGTAGGCCATCGGCTCAATGCCCTTCCCTTGCGGCGCCGAGACCACCTTGGGGAGATCCTGAACAACCAGGCGGCCCGGCACTTCGGGATGTTTCTCGCGGAATCGCATGAGGTCGTGGCCTTGATTCCCACCGACATCGACAACGAAAACCGCGTCATCATGGTCAATCGCTTGCTCCGCAAGACGCTCGATAGGGTATATGTCGAACCAAGACGGCCGCCCTTGGCGCCTGCTGGCCATGTACGAGTTGAACAGGGCCTGGTGCTCCTTACGTTGCGCCAGCCATTCGAATTGACTTTGTCCCACAGCCCACCGCATTGGGGAGCGTGAGTACTCCTTCGGCGTCGTGTAGTTGTGCTCACGGAAGTACTCGGGGAGCCTGCTCAGCGTCGGCATTGTCAAGTCGTATCTGTGCCGGGGTCAATAAACTATAACCCGAACAAAAATCAAAACTCCAATAGGCCAAAAAAAACATACATGCAGGGTACGCCGTCGCGTCCAATAGGCTCGGTCATGGCCTTTGTCTTGTCGGTAGGAAAATACACTTCGGGCTCGTAGCTGGCACACAGACCCAGAGCCGTCATGACGCGCATTAAGCGCACTGAACCACTGTTAGACCCTTTGGAGATGTCGTAGCCTCTGGCATCTTACCGATGAGGGCTTTTTCAGCGCCCGAGCGAACCGCCAAGTCCTTCGCCGACCGCCCGTCGGGATGTTTCACAAGCAGCTGGAAAAGGCCCAGGTCGATGACAGTGCGAAGAGCTGCGTTTTGAGGAGGCTGTGACTGCATCAGCGAGGAACAGGAGTAGTGCAGATCAGGCAATGCATCTCACCTGGTAGATCAGTCGCAATGCAGTCTCGGTGGGAGTCTCGACGGCCAGCTTCAATTGATCCACCAGCCCAAGCAGGTGGAAGTGTGACTGTGCTGAACATGCATTTGGCGATGAAGCAAGCAGTTTGATGTCCTCCACTAAGGAGAGGACTTGTGCGGGTTGGCATGCAGCGGCCATATCTACAGCGACAAATGATGGACACGAAGCCAGAAAGACGAAAAGAAAAGGTTGAAAGATGAGAAGAATACGAGATAGCCGAGGGGCGGTGAAATGAGGTGATGCAGAGGGGAGTTCTTATAGGAATCTTGTGTGAAGGGTGGCCGATGCAATAAATCGACGTAATAATTGGAAGGACAAAAGGACGAAGTCGCGAGGGAGGAAATTGATCGATTTGGCTGAAAGCGGCCGACGGGACACGTGCGCGACGATTCACCTTCGACTCTGAAGCCGAAAAGGTGAGAGTCAGCAGTAACAACTATAGACAAGATGATGGAGTACCGTGGGAAATAGATTGGCTTCACACCATCTCTGGCCCTCCATCGGCCCACGTCTAATCAGGAAAGTGTGGCGTGCAACTCGGTGGAACTCTCATTTCGTCACAGAGGGTCTAGAAGGCGACGAGTCAAGAAGGAATATTGGCAAACTGTTGACATCGCCTTCTAAACTTCTTCTGCAGCAAACATCTATGGATTTGCCCCCAACCATCGACAGACTGCCCGAAGCCACTCGCTCCCAGTAGCCTGGGATATCTTCATCTCGCCCAACCGTCGGCGCCACCGCCGCAAGGAATCAATTTTCTCTTTCTTTTATTTTTTCACAGGACTTTTGTTCAGCTCGTCTCTTCGGGGAATAGCCTCGCTCCTACTCCGTACTTTGTGAGAACGACTAGTGAGGGATGCTGATCCCACAAGAAGAACGAGGCTTCATGTGGATTCCAGATAGTGTCATCCAGAAATGTCCGTCCGGCAGGATTCCCGTCTTTTGGTAGCCACTACAAGAGTCATTTTGGACCTATCGGAGTACTTCTGAGGGAAAAAGACTCTGTAAATCTTACATACGGTGCTCAGTAGTTCATCTTATCGCGGTCGCCCAGATCGCCCAGATCGCCCGAGCTCCTGCGCATCGCGAGCGTCAACAAGCAGAGGCCTGTGTGTATCGATGTTACCTTGTAAGATTTTGGACACGGGGCATTCGAGAGGGGATCTCGACAAGCTAAGAAGCTGGCAGGATTCTCACAGCGACGGTCGTGAGATTGACTTCGATAGATCCAGGAACGTCCGACCGATGAAGTCGAACACCTGCATTATTGGTATCATATCAGGCCCAAACAACGGATGTTTGCGCCCTCAAGTCAGAGCAAAAGTTCGCATTGCGAGTCGGAGCAAAGCCCGAATTGGGTAGCCCCTAATTCGTGCCAGTACAGTAGACCTGTCCTCATTCCTCACGGAAACCCGGAGACCAGATCCGCAGGTGAATATGTACCTAACCATTTTGGTAGTTGACACAGAAGCACGAGCCTGGGACTTTTTGATTTTGATTTTTGATTATTTTTTTTTCTCAAAGGGAATACACCGCATGTCTCCCGCGGGACGGGTGAAGAAGATGTTCCGACAGTTGACGACTGGGATGATGCCGCGAAGAAAGAAAAAAAAAAGTAATAGTGATGTTTTCTTTTTGCGTAAAGGCGACGGAAATTTGGGGAAGAATCGGTGAGCGGCTGAGAAGAGGACCCGAAAAAAAAAAAGCAATATACAAACCATGTGGATACGCGCAGGGTTATCGCTGAATGTTCGCAGCACACGGTCGCACACTGTCGCGAGACAGAGTTTTCAAGCTCCCTACCAACCCCCCCGCTCAAACGTAGGAAATACATCATGATAAGCTGCCACATGCATCCAGAATGCGATCTGAGCATGGCATACTCATACTGCGTTCGTAGATGCGAATGAACGTCAGCAGCTTCTTTTCTGGGACGCCGGCAGGTTCATTAAATGTTCTCCGTAACTGTGGTTGGACAGGTCATATATGGCCGTCGAGCCTATCAAACATCTCGAGGGATGTCCTTGGCGCGTCGGATCGACCGTGTGGCGTTCCGACAGAAGAATTGTGACCAAGTCAATCGATCGAGGCCTCCGACAGGGGAAAGAATCCTGGTCTTTGTTTATTGACGCCGAGAGGGCTATGACCCACCGGTGGAGAAAGAGCACGGGTAGAATAAGCCCACAATCCCATAGTGCCTCTTCATGGATCAAAATCGGGAGGCGGCAGAAAGGAAGAAAACAAGTTCGCAGGTCAGCAAAAGCACAGGAACAAAACATGCGATTTGTCGGGGCATGCAGCCAGAAGATGCAGATCGCGATGCTTGCGGACGGTGTTCATGCCAGCTGTGGAATTTTTGCCACGAAGGTTCGTCAGAAGCAGATACCCTCCCAAGCAACTATTGATTAGGAGCCACATTCCTTTCTCGGAAAAGTGGTACCGTGCATATTCATGATTTCATCCCTGCCATTCCACGGTGAAACCGGCCTTCATGATGGCTAGATCCCTCATCAAGACGCAACACCCTACGTCTCCGATGTGCACGGGAAGTCACGGTAGAATAAACTTTCGGAGTCAGAATTCAATACAGCCTCGAAGGAAGGTTGGATACGAAATTTGAGGGCTCACCTGTCCCTGTAGTGCCTGCACAGTGACACAAAGTACATTGTTCGGACGTGCGCGATGGTGGTGGTGGTGGTGGGCCCGTGGGTGGATGTTTTCGGGCAATTCCACTCTTGTTCATCTGAACCGAGATCGAATTTTGGAATTACCGAGATGTGAGGTGACAAGAATGGCTGAAGAAAGTACGAGGATAGGAAACCGGCGAAACTGGGCACAGCGATACGACGTTCTTCGATTATCGATCGATCGAGTTCTATTCCCTGTACTGGTTTGTTTGGCCATCACGATCGCGCCAGGCCGTCGGGGCCGTGAACCCGGTCCTTGGGGCCATATCCCTGGTTGCTTGGGATAACGACCCAAGGATTATGGTGACTGGTGGCTGCCTGGCGCAATGCAACCACCCCGATGGGACTGTGATCCTGGCACCATCTCGTGCAGGCGCTGCAGCGTGACCTGACAAATTCTGTCGCTCGTCTAAGAGCGCATCAAAATTGAGTACTGAGTAATTTGAATGGGGCCCCCGGGAACACCGGAGCACTGGAGCTGCCGATCAATCGCACTAAATCCGTCCCAATCGGCCAACGACAGATCCAGATCGCCCGGCCACTTGGTGCAGCTCCATATGATTGTAGACACTATGGATGTTAGCATATCCATCGTTACCGACTGACACCATACATTATGCACCAATTGCCGTCCTTGCAGGAGTTCGATCTGCCCCCTTTGCACATGTTGGGACCTTTGAGACCAGTGAACAACGTCATCTGGGGCGACCTTTCTGGGCCGCTAAAACTTTCGGATACACCGCTTCAGCTGAGTGCCACTCGGTAAATTAAAGTCTGAGATTAAGAGACACTGAAACCACCAGAAATAGTTGATGCCCCATTTCTAAATACGGAAGGAAGCAGGCCAGCCGAACGCAGTGACGAAAAGTGGGCGCCCCCTATAGCATCCTGTTCCCACACATGACTCCAGAGTATTTTTCTTAAATACGAGGCCCATTTCTCCTGGGTTGGGTCACAGTCCGTTCTTCCCTTGGTGTAGATTGACCATTTTTTCATCATGGGGATCCGCCAGTATGGACTAGACGATGCCCCCCAAGCTAGTGCCTCGGATCAGATCGTGGCACGGTTTGGGCGTCTTCACATTCTTGATGACCTCATTCGATTGCGAGCAGAGGATATTGTGCAGCAGCCTATTCTCGCTTACCCCAAGCCATCCGACAATGACACCGTCTCGTATGAGTACTTCACGGGACAGGACCTGGATTGCATGGTCGACCAGGCAGTATGTACCCTGATGGATTGCGGGTTCAAGCCGGTACGTAGTATCTTTTTCTCCCTGCTCTCTGCATAGGAACTCACGTTATGATAGCCCCGCGGTGGACAGGCGGTTGTTGCTCTCTTCACGCTCTCGGATATGAACATGGTGGTCACATTCTTCGCACTCAGCCGTCTAGGGTACACGGTGATGATGCTGTCTCCTCGACTTTCGGCAGCTGCCTGTGTATCACTTCTCGACATTGTTGGCTGTGACACCATCCTCTATGGCCAAACCCCCAGTATTCGCGCCACGATGGGCGAAGTGCTCCGTCTCAAGCTGGTAGCATGCCGTCCCCTGATTCAGAGACCCTCACTCCAAGACACATCCGACTCCACTGTCATGGTAATTCATCGCAGCCGAAACCCTGAGATCCAAAAGAACAAGACCGCCTTGATACTCCACTCGTCCGGTTCGACCGGCACGCCAAAGCCTCTTTTCCTAAGTCATAAGGCCTTAATGACTCACCCGACACGAGGCCCTGGGCTTACCTCCTTCAATTCTTTGCCTTGGTACCATCTTCACGGCCTATCAACTGCGCTTCAGGCTATGTATATGAGGAAGACCGCGTTCATGTGGGATGCCTATCTGCCACTCACTGCCACCTCGGTGATCAATTCTCTGGAGGCTGCGAGGCCGGAGTCGGTTCAAGGCGTGCCATATATGCTTCAGCTCCTCGTAGACAGCCCTCGAGGGTTGGACGCCCTCAGAAGTTGCAAGCTTGTCACATACGGCGGAGCCCCCTGCCCTGATGAGCTGGGCGACAAGATGGTAGAAGAGAAGGTGAGATTCGGAGGATCCTTTGGCTTGTAAGTCGTTTTTGCCACCTTTCATGGATGAATATTTCTCTGACCAGCTCATAGAACCGAAGCTGGCCTAGTGGCCGAATCTATTTCTCGCCCGCCAGGCGATCCCTATTGGAGTTACATGAAATTCTTTGATAACATTAGGCCCTATATCTGGATGAAACCCATCAGTGATAGCCTCTACGAATGTGTTTACCTTTCTGGACACCCAGCATTGACCACATCTAATTCGGACCAGCCACCCGGCTCCTACCATTCCAAGGATGTTTTCACACCACACCCACAAATCCCAGAGCGATGGAAGTATGTCACACGCCTGGATGATCGCATCACACTCGTGAATGGCGAGAAGGTGCTCCCATTGCCCATCGAAGGGTCCATCAAGCAGAGTCCGCTCATTCAGGAAGCGGTCGTGGTGGGTGTGAGCCGGAGTGTACCGGGTCTCTTGGTCTTCCGATCGGAGGAGGCGAAACCATTATCCGACCAGGAATACATGGATTTGATCTGGCCTGCTGTCCAGGACGCGAACTCAAGAGCGGAACAGTTTTCGCAGATCTCGCGTGACATGGTTCTCACACTGCCGCCTGACGCCGACTGTCCTCGAACCGATAAAGGCTCCATGATCCGAGCCCAGGTTTATGCTAAATATGCCGACACGATTGACTCATTGTACACCAAGCAAGAAAACAGTGCCGACGGCGCTCTTGAACTTGACGTCGGGAACACTGAAGAGCATCTGACGAAACTTTGCCGTGATGAGGTGGGATTTGACATCTCCAGCCCTGAGGCAGAATTCTTCGCGGACGGACTCGATAGCTTGAAGGCAATTCATCTGCGCCGTCTTATCCTCAGGGACTTCCGGATTGAAAACAGGAAAGAAATTGGTCAGAATATTGTCTTCGAGACCGGGACTGTGTCCAGACTGGCGGAGCACATCCATGCCATTCAATCGGGCCAAGAGACGAAAGCGACAGATGATGTATCAATGATGCCTGGCTTGATTGAGAAATACTCCTCTTTCGGTAGTCATAGCCCCAAGGCTCAAATGGCCCCAACAACTAGGAGCGTTGTATGTTGAGACGATTCCGACCGCGATAAATTCATGCTAATTGATTTTAGATATTGACCGGTGCGACTGGCTCTATGGGAGCACATACGCTTTACAGACTTTTGAACGATGATTCAGTCTCCTCGGTGTATTGTCTGACACGCAGAAACAACGCTAAAGAGGCCATCCTAGAAACTCTGGAGCAAAAGGGACTCGCGGTTCTAAGCTTTCGTACGAAGAAGATCGTCGCACTTAACAGTGCTCTGGATGAGTCAGACTTCGGCTTGAGCCAGAGCACGATCGACGAGATGAGAAAGTCCGTGTCCCTGATCATCCATACGGCATGGCCTGTCAACTTCAATCTGCCCCTGTTAAGCTTCGAGCCACACGTCAAGGGTTTGTACAACCTCATCAACTTCTCACTCTCCGTAAACCTCCCTGCACCGGCCGTCCTTCTCTTCTGCTCCTCAATTTCCACGGCACTGGGCGCAAAGACCTCCGAAGTCCACGAAACTCATATTGAGGACCTCAACAGTGCCCTGGAAATGGGTTACGGTCGGTCAAAACTCATCGGCGAGAAAATAGTCAGCAACGCACGGAAAGTAGGCGCCCGGTCATACTCCCTCCGCATTGGTCAAATATCCGGACACTCGAAGAAGGGTCTCTGGAACGACTCTGAAGCTCTTCCGCTGATGATCCGATCGGCCCTGACCCTAAAGTCACTACCGGAGATCGACACGACATGCTCCTGGCTTCCCGTCGACAAGCTCGTCGCCTCCATGCTTGAAATCGCCAAGACATGCTCAAGCAGATCGGCCGAAGATCAAGACGCGAACGAAGACGACACAATTTACAATTTATGCAATTCTCGCACTTTCAAATGGCCTGCACTCCTCGACACCCTGCGACAGAACGGGTTCAAATTCGACACCGTCCCATTCAATCGGTGGCTGGAGCTACTGCGAGAGAGCGAAGCACGAGGAGAAGAGCTGGTGAATCCCGCCGTCAAGCTGGTAGATCATTACGAGGCCATGTACGGCGAGAAGTCACTGACGCCGCCGACATTCACCACGGACAAGGCCGAGCGGGACAGTATGACGCTTAGAAATGGTCGTCTGCGGATCATCCAGGACGGAATTCTAGGTCGGTATGCGCGAGATTGGCTGAGTCGCTGGCAGACGGCCTGAAGGGGGAGGAAGAGGAATGAATGGAAGGTGATGATGTTATGATATCCTGTTTATAGTTGTTGTTTGTTTTTTTAGCCTATTGCACATACCTTATTAGATTGGAGATAATTTGATTCATTCTTGATAGAGATGAAACGAGACGACAGATGACAGCTGGTGGACAAAGGATTGAAGGGAGTGAATGATGCGAACAAGGGTGGAAGATGGAAGGAGGAAACCGAAGGAAGGCGCTCAAGTAGGTGAAACATCACATGATCAACATGAGAACGAATCGAGGAATGCAAGTGAGATCATAACTATCATGGAATTTTTATTTTAAGTAAAAAAGTCTGCATATTCTAAATACGTATAAATATGAAAGCCAACAATGGCCAGAGAAAGGAAGTTTCCCAACGTCTTTTAAAGAGGACGATACACAGCCAGAACGAGTGGACAACGAAGGGGTATGATATTGAAACCAACGGCAGACTATTATACAAAAACAAGATTAGAGGGTATTTTCACGACCTCTTACAGGATATAATGGCTGAAAAGGGATATCAGAATGAAACCGAAAGGAAATCGCGAAAAGACGCTCATGCCAAGAAAGCCAGAGCGAGAGCGCCCAGGACGCCAGATGTGCTCAGGGAGAGCTTGCTAGCCGCGCCAGTGAAGAGAGGGCTGATAGGAGTGGTTGCGCTCGGGATGGGAGAGGCCGACGATCCAGAGAAGCCAGAGTTGCCCGAGGCGCCGGAGCCGGAGCCGGAGCCAGAACCAGAACCAGAACCAGAGCTGGCACCGGGTGATCCGCCAGGAGCAGAGCCCTCTTTGCCGGTCGAAGAGTCACCAGCGGGGGGCGCGGACGTAGGAGCAGGCGCGGGAGCAGAGGACACGGTAATGCTCTGCGGCGGCGAAGGCGGGTTGCTGGGGTGGGAGCTTTCAACTGGGGCGACGTTCGAGGGGTTTGAGGGCTGAGCACCGGAGGCAGTGGGCGCAGAGGGCACCTGGTCCTGGGACTGAGAGTCGGCGGGCGCGTCAGGGACTTGAGAAGGAACCACGCCGGAGGTACCCTCGGGGGCAGGCTGGGAAGCAGGGGCAGTCGGAGCGACGGAAGAAGCACCGCTTTCCGCGGCGGCACCCGACTGGCCAGCATGGATGGCAGTGGCAGCAGTACCCTGGGTGAGGCCGCAAACGGTCGTGGTCTCGGTCACGTAGATGGTGCTTCTCGAGGAAGACTGGGAGCCCTCGGAGCTGCCGGAGCTGCCGGGGCTGCCAGAGTTAGCAGAGCTGCCGGAGCTTCCAGAGCCACTGGAGCTGTTGGAGTTGTCCGAGTTGTGGGAGCTTCCCGACTCAGAGTTTCCGCTTCCAGCGTTGCCGGAGCTGCTCGAGCCGCTGGCAGGGGCGGTGGTAGCCGCGGCGCTGGCCTTGGTGGTTGTGGAGGCAGCAGACGTGACTTCGGCAGCGGGAGGGTTCGAGGCAGTGTGGGCGGCGGCGGTTTCCGACTTGGAGGCGGCGGCTTCGGTGGTGGCAGCAGCCTGCTGGGTAGTAGAGGTGGAAGTGGCCTGGGACACGGCATGAGTGGTGCTTTCGACCTGAGAGGCTGCCGACGAGATCTCGGCGGGGGTGTTGGAGCTGGTGCCGATCTGGTACAGCTTGATAGAATTGATTTCCCAGTACGCCTCCTTGAAAGCTTCGGGGTTCTCGGCGACGTAGTTAACGCAGCTCTGGATGGGGTTGCTGGGGTCCTTCACGGGGCAACCAGAGTCACCGAACACACCACCGGCCCAGTCACCGCAGAAAGTGGTGTCAAGGATGAATTTCTGGGACTTGAAGCGCTCGTGGAAGTCGCAAGAGCCCTGCAGATGGGCCATCGGGGTGCCGAAGGCGGAGGTGTCGGGCTTGCCGTTGGTGATGGACTTGGGGATCTCGCTGCGAGCGAAGTACCAGATCTTGAGGAAATCAGCGGTCCACTCCATCGCATAAACACCACCACCGTTCTTGTTGAAAGGGTCTCCGGAGGAGCCCTTCTGGCCCTTCACCACGCAGCCGATGGTGCCCGAGGCATCTCCGCACTCGCTGGAGGTCATGTCGCCGAGCATGTCGTGGTCGCCGCCAACGTCGCAGGAGCCGCTAGTGTGCAGAACGATCTCGTTCGAGTCGTGCTTGTTGACACCCTCGATGATGTCGATTTCGCCGTCATGAGGCCAGTCGGGGCCAACGGACCAGAAAGCAGGCCACGTTCCGCAGACGCTGCCGGGCATGTGTGCGAGGTCGATAACGTACAAACCCTCGTCGTAGTACTTCTTGCTTTCGATACGGACGGAGTCACGACCAGGTCCCTCCGGGCTGAGGGTCGTTTTGTGGTCCACACCCATATAGAAGCTGCCACTGGAGGTGATGTCGATCAGACCGGTGCTCTCCGCGTAGCTCTGGTTGGTATAGGTGACGAAGCCATTGGTCGGGTCGGCGCCGGTGAAGAACTCGAAATAGTCCAGAAATTTCTCGCCTTGCCAAGATTCGTGCAGTTGGTAGCTGCCAGAGCTACCAGTCGAGCCTTTAGCAAATGCAGGCGCAATGAGAGAGGTAGCAGCGAGCGATCCCACACTCCAGAGTAGAGATCGGGAAGTCATTGTAGCCGGAACACAGTTCAGATAAATCAATCAATAGAAGACAAATGAGTGGAAGTAAGTAGAGCTATAGGCAGATCAACACGACGGAAGATGAAGATCTCAGATCTATCAAGAAGATCGAAAGAAATCGGTCGAATTACGATGTAGGTGGAAAGGAATGAAAGACAACCGTCTAGGCTGTGGCAACGAAGGTACGATAGAGAAAAGAAGGTGCAAAGAATGCAGATTTCGATCTGCGACTGGGAAAATGACGCGAGAAGGAATGTGAAAAGGAAGGATGGCGAGTAAAAGAAAAGAAAGAAAAATGAGAGAAGGCAAAAAGAGAAAGAAAAAAAAAGTCACAGGGAGGTATGGAGGAAAGGCATGATAAAGATTGGGGATAGTCGGTATAATAATAAAAGAGGGGAGGTCTGGCCCGCCATGTCGGGGAGTCCTGTGTTGCACTGAGCAGCAGTGTAAACTAATCCGTTCGAGTCAAAGTGAAGTGCTCCGTAAGTGTGAATAAGGGAAATGGCCTATTAGTGTCCAAGGATCCATCGAGCCGGCGCAGTGGGGATCCACGCTTGGAGAGTCGGCGCTTGGTGCTGGAGGCACCAAGCGAGATGCGACGAATCAGGATGGGCGTTGGGAGCGCCAGGGTGACGGAGCCCGGACTACCAAATGCCTGCCATGAGTCCATTAACTCCATTCCTCTTTGCCCAGGTATGCCGAGTGGGGCGACCAGGAGCTGGCTTGGTGATGGATGTGCTCGGCAGGCGGTCGGCCGACTTGAAACGCGACGAGCCTGCCCTAAGGTGTATATGAAACAGGAGAACGCCCATCTTCCGGGCTAAGAGAGAGGCGAGAGTTTACGGGATTGGGTGTGAGTGAGACAGCTCATCCACCCCTCTTTGGCCAGGCGAGTATGCAACCCAAAAAAAAAAAACCTTGATCGATCCATTCATGAAGAACCGTCGTTGTTGTGTTGAGTCTGACCCCCTCCCCTCCCCCGACGACAATTATGCATGATTAGTGATTACGGTCGCAAGTTGTCCGTGCCTCTCACTGCCACCCCCAGCAACTGTCACATTCTCGGCAGGGGAGATGTGGTGTAATCGTCAGGGCCAGGCAGCGGAAAAGGGGATCATCCAGCGGGCGGGAAACGGAGGGCCAAATAGCTGATCCGGGTGACCAATCCGATCGCAGGCCGTGGACGGCGCCAGAAAGTGAATTTGGGACGGAGTCTTTGGTCGATAGTGGGCTCGTCTAGACGCTGGGAGTGGAGCACAACGGCGAGACCGTCGTTTCTCGGTAGGTGGGGAGAAGAGCGGATGAATCGCAAAATTCGCAAGGGATTGGAATGGGAGATTCTAGGACGTGGCGACGGGACGATCGCTGCAGTGAGCAGGAAGCGACTCGAAGACACACCATGTCAAAGAGGTAATGATCATTGCGATCGAGACGGGTCTGCGAATCCTGCTGTTGACCAAGCAGAGAGATGAAGAAGAGGGAAAGAAGAGGAAGGGAAGGAAAGGGAAGGAAATCCTGGCCTCCGCCCGCGCCCAATAGGGTCTAGCGCCGCAGCCACGCTCGGGTGCTGAATCAGCGGGCGCCACACTTTCTTTATCCTGATCGGGGGTGGCTGAGCATTGCTATTCTTGTTCTGTTACCTACTCCGTACTACCGTCAGATTGTTGGAATGCTCCAACATATTCCTAGGTGGAGGCCATTCTTGGTTTCCTGGTCTTGGTGTCTTGGTGTCTTAACCTATACGGAGTCGTCCCTGTGATCAATCCTTCCAACACAGAGTCAGGAGTATCTCGACCTGGTGCCATGGGTCGGTTCCGCCCTGAACCACTTTTATGCCCAAATATTGCAGGGTGGGGCTCCTTTATTTTGAACATACTACTCCATTCAAGGTATGCATTGGATCCTGGAAATTGAGCACGGGTCATCCTCGCGCGGTTTCTATTTTGGAGAGAGGACACTATTCTCCCGCGAATTACATCCACGGCCCCTTTAGGAAAAGATGCCGGTCCGAAGGCAGATTTTATATTACCCTGAACGGCTATTTCCGCGCAGAGGCTCAGGGGTTACTTGCTGTCATTTTCGCCCATCTCAGGAATGTTGATGAGCTAGCGCGGATGGTCATTGATCCATTGATCATTCCCTCCAGGTTGCCCGCATCATGCTGTCCATGTGGTTGGTGGCGCCCCATTGACCGAGTGAATTGTTGCCGCCAATAACTCTTCCGCCACGCTTTCACCTTGCCTATTTAGTTCCCAATTCACAGTCCTTGTTCGGCCTAACCCTGAACGGATGACCTGACTAGCTGCCCTGGTGCCTCCAGGGAAACCCGGAAATCCCGAATATCTCTTCATAGCTACCCACATCTCTCCTCATCCTTTTCCGTACCCCTGAGTTTACAAAAACACCTGGCTGGAAATTGTGATTGGTAGAAAGCATGGAGTTATCTGCCGAACCTTGGTCAACATTACACTTTCACCAGAATGTCGGTTGCCATATCTTGAGCCGTTGCTTAGCTGTCCACGAGCTGCGAACTTTGTTCTTGGCGACACAAACTTATAATTCCCGGTTACTCTGCCAACTTATTCCCGGGAAAGAGCTTTGAATACTTCTTGTTCTCGGGTCCCTGATAAGTAGTGTCGCTGCTCATCATTTGATTTCTCCTCCCCAGGACAGACCGCGCTCGGATCGGGTCGGGTGCACATCGTGTCAACGTTCCTCTGATTAGTGCACACACTGATTACATATCTTCATAACGATTCGCTTGATTGAGGGGTCTACGCTGTCTCGCTCACTTAGGGGCATTCATTGATCATTTTAAAGGAATATTGTCCCCGATAGTTCCGTCCTTGTGCCCTTTTTTATCCCACTGCAGCCCATGGAGTGATGGCTGCGTCTTGCGTAGGACTTCTCACCTCTTCCTTTCGTCGATGTCAGACTCGCCCGTATATTATTGAAGTGAAACAAATGCCTCCAGTGTAGACAGGGAATGCACGTACCCATTAGGTCCCCACACTCGGTCAAAGCAGTTGACCGTCTAAACCATGGCCTTCTTGCGCTGTCCGTAGTCCGAAAATGGGTTACAAGGTCAATTCTCATAGTTGATGTCCATTCTGATGGATGATTATCGGCGAGAGGCGGTACCCCGGACGGTCTTTGAGTTGAAGTCGGAGGAGTTGCTTGTCACTAAGGTTTGCAGGAGAAGAGAAGCTAGGATGAAGTGTGCGAGATGGTTCAGCAATGACCTTAGGATATCGTGTCGCTCTGTTCCGGGATCTTACAGCGAAACCTACTAGCAAAGTTGAACGGAACAATTACTTCGAACTTTCTGATTCAGCGATGAAGCTAGAATGAATAAAGAACAGAGCACCCCCATCCCCCCTCCCTCCCTTGATTGGGCTAATTTCAAGGATATACTTCATATTGTAGTCCTGAAGATATCAGGTAGCGGACACGACCGGTTAATGCGGACAAATCGCCCAAAGCGGCTTCGCGCGGGTGGGGAGCGGCCCATTGATTTTGGGGCCAGCAGCGTGAATAATCTTTCATCATCCTCCAGCGTTCCAATAGAATGCATTCGTTGATGCTGATTTCCAATCCATTTGCATGATGCCAAATGATGCAGCTTCGCCATCGTGATCCTGACAAAACATGAACGATTGCTTAGAAATGTTACACAGTTGGGGAAATATATAAGAGGCACGAACGACTGCGGCAGTGATGATATATTCCAACCCATCTCACTCCAAGAATATCCATCCACAGCGAAAAATGTCTTCCAAACTCATCGTTGTTCTCGGCGCCACCGGCAATCAAGGCGGTTCGGTGATCAAGTCCTTTATCAAGGATCCGGCCTGGCGTATTCGCGCCCTAACCCGGAACACGTCTTCTGCTAGCGCACAGGCCCTGCGAGAGTCCGGAGTCGAAGTCGTGCAGGCCAATCTCGACGACCCTTCCTCCCTCGAGGCGGCCTTCCAAGACGCAAATGCCATCTTCGCCGTCACCGACTTCTGGAATAGCTTCGCCAACCCCGAGAACTAAAAAAAGAAGAGACCTGACTAACCGATGAACGAGTGGACATATCACTACGAGAAACAGCAGGGCAGGAACGTGTTTGACGCCGCCGCCAAGGTGCCCACGCTTGAGAGATTGATCTTCTCCAGCCTGTCGGATGCCTCCAAGTGGTCAAAGGGAAAGTACATGAACGTGATGCACTTTGATTCCAAGGCCCATGCTGCGGAATACGGCAAGAAGACACACCCCGCGCTGTGGAAGAAGACCAGTTTACTTCAAGTTGGCTGGTATCTCTCCAACTTTCTCTCGCACCCGTTACTTCAGCCTCGAAAGGTAAACTTGCTGTTTGTCTTTGATGTGCTCATTGGCTTATACTCTCGTATAGAATGAGGAGGGTGTGTATCAGTACATCACTGGCGTGCGTGGTGACGTACACCTCCCAGCAATCGCTGCCGAAGAAGATACCGGACCAGCCGCGAAAGCGCTGATTTTGAGCCCCCCTGGAAAACACCTGATTGCGTACCGGGGATGGATTACACTGAACGCATTTTTCGACCTCTGGAGCCGTGTCCTGGGTGTGCCTGCCGAGTTGGTGACGCTCCCTGATGGTGAATCCATTCCGGGAGTCCCGGATGATTTGAAGCAGGAGCTCATCGATAACTGGGCTTATTTCAATGAATGCGGATATGAGGGTCGCGATGATCCGACTGTCATTCACCCAAGACAGGTATGTGGTTCTGAATTACTCGGAGTTATGAACATTGCTAATCGGTATAGCTCGAGGTTCCGCTGAACTTGCCTTCGGTGGAGGATTGGATCCGGCAGCAGGACTGGTCGGGTGTTTTATAGACATTTTCAACGCATTGTAATTTGCTAAGTGGACGAACAGCACATGTGCTTAATTGATTATTATTATTATTATGAGGTTTTTAATCCAGGGCTCTTCTCGCAGCTACCAGAAAAAGTTGAATATTCTTGGTACTGGCTCTTAGATGGCGGACAAGTAAGGGGGCTTTTAACAAAGTTAACTCAGAGGAAGTAACTAACTATAGGTAGGCATCATGCCTGACCGCTCAATCGCAGCGAGTGGAAGCCTAAATCTTCCATTAGTTGCCTAGAACATATCTCTCCTTTTTAGTTAGAATATTTCTCCTGTTCAAATACGTTTCGCAGCGCAGTCAGAAGTCGACATAAATCAGTCCTGATGGATTCCCCGTCCACCGAGCTTCCCAAACCGCCAATCCCCTACATCACGGGATGGAAATTTACCGTGCAGTCGCATGAATCTCCTGCCCCGACACCGGTCACTAGCCGGTGCTGCTATAACAGCGAACCGGAGCGAGTCGAGAGGAAGGAACTCAGTCCGCTAGAACGATGCCTAAAGAATCATCCGTTAGCAGGCCAAGAGTCAAATCAGCCACCACATCGCTTTGATTTGAAGATAGTCCATCCGGTAAGAATTGGAGATGGCCACAACTCTCAGGTCTTCATCGTGAAATCCTTAGGGGAGCATCCTTTACCAGAGGACAAAACACTGGTGGCCAAGCTATACGACCCTCTTTACATTGACGACAACGACGAAATAATCAATCCATTCAAAGCCGTGGATCATTTCTATACCCATGAAATGCGCGCATACGATCTGCTGTCTAAAATGCAAGGCCATCTCGTGCCCCAATATTACGGGTCCTACAAAATGGACATTGCCGCAGACAGTTCCAGAGTGCGCGCCATCCGTCTCATCCTGATCGAATACGTGGAAGGAATCCCAATGCTACGGGTGCACCCCAACTGATTCTCAAGATATTCGCCTGCAGATCATGAAAACTATAATCGACTTTGAAAGCACAGTATATCACCGGAAGAACATCCTGCTCAGAGACATGAGCCCTCGCAATGTGATGCTGTTGGAGACGACGGCACTCGAGCCTAGCAGACATGTCATTTTTGTCGATTTTGCGGTCGCCTTGTTCAATCGTAAACTGGATCATCCGCTTCCCATCAATACAGATTTCTTCCTTGGCCAATACATGCCACCTCTGCTGCGCTGGAGCATGACAAAGGCTTGGAAGTTCTTGGATTGGATTGATTGGGATCGGGAACCTTGGGTTGAAAATGAGTATGCTCATACGGCTGGCACCATCACTCAAGAGATGCGGGATCGTTTTTCTTTCTGCAAGGACAAATGTAGATAGTCGATGTCATGGAATTTGAAAGTCAGGAAGAGGCAAGGATAGCCCGCTTTGGGAAAGTAAATCTCATCTAGGTTATGGAAACAATGTCTAATGAACTGACTACACAAAAGACCGAACCTAGCGCTAAAAATGATGGGTACAATGAACTGAGGCCGAGAATCCCGCACCAATTTAATCATACTTATGAATTTTAGGGCCATGGCGCTTTTTGCGGTAGCTCGGACATATCTAGCGAATGTTTGCAGCGGAAGCTTTTGCGGTTCTGTAGTTTTCAATAGGTTAGTCGCGAGCGGCTCAATGCGGTTTGACACATACTTCTTATAGACTTCGGTGGTATTTTTACTGCCTGTCTGCTTTCAGAGTCACTGGCTGTCAAAGTATATAACTGTAAAATATGGGTAAGGTGGTTCGGTTAGTATGGTATGTCGGGCACCAGAGGTGTAAGGGGGGCAACAGAAAAGGTTCGAGTATAGCTAGTGCGACAGAAGATTAGTTGAGAAATATACCAATTTGTGGCCTGAGATCTTGGCGACAGAAAGTAAATCTAATCCCCAACTGAGTAACGAGTGAATAGTGTGAAGACGGTTTACCAAAGGCCCAAGCAGTCAAGCATGGAAGGTTAGAAAAATAGAGCGGGTAAACAAGATCAGTGGGATACGACTTTAGAGTCTGCTTGGCAACCTGGAAAAATTTCAAAATCTGGGTTGTCAATCAAAGCAGACTAGGTTAGCCTTGTGGCATTCTCCTAGTTCATTCACTCACCACCGCTGGCCTTCTGTTTCTCTGTCCTGATACACCTGTCCCTCTTCATCATTGGGAAAGAAATCCTGGCAGCCAGCCTGGTTTTTGGAAAACAGAACTCATGGATCTACCGTATCTGGTATGCACTCTTTTGGAGGGACAAATTGCCTGTGGGGCAACGTCCCTGCGTTTAATATCCTCAAACTAGCATCGAATGTGGGAGAAAAATATGTTTAAAACCTTCGCATCTTGTTCGCAGGTACAGACTAGTATTTGTTAACCTCAATGGTGTCTGTAAACTGACAAGCCTTGCAAACAGCTTCAGGAGACCTTCGAAATGTTATCAAGACGGTCGTTGATCTTCCCACAACCTATACCCGGTCTCTCGGCATCGCAATAAATGACATAGAATTCGATATTGTGGCCCGCAACATCATGATTCTGATTCTCGCTTTGGTTGTTGGAAATGAAAGTGCAATTGATTGCATCATCCACCTCTGGTATTCAGCGTCTATGCACGACTCGGACTTGGATATTCTTTCCAATCGGATTCGGCCTCTGATCCAGGGAGTCTGCAGCAAAATCCAGAGTAAGCCATCGGAGGTCTTAGTTTCAGAAACCTGGACATTCGAAAGTCGCACCTTGAAAATTATGCTGCAGAAGTCGTCATGAATCCGCCTCCTATCCTACTTTGAAATACCAGTTGGTCTAACATTCGAGGTGGCACATATTCTTCGCGCAAGAAACACTCTCGCTCAATGCTAAAGGGACTACCGTGATTGGTACATGTGAATCCTTTCGCCAGCCCAACGGATCGAGTACCACATGTTCTGCCAGTATGTTTTGATGCTTCCCTTTAGAATGCCACGTCAAGACTTTAAGGGATCAAACCCGTGCGCCAGGGGCGTCAAACAGGCGTAGAGAATCGATGCTAATACAAAACAAGGACCATTTTTCGAAATCTCAAAGGATGGCCGATTCCGGACCATTTAGATCCTCTTCATGGCTGGTCTCTGGAAGAGGTTTCGCGCACATACAGCGGAGTCGCCACGGCCAATGGATATAGCAAACTGTATATTCATCTGCGAGCAATGTTTCATTCTTTTATGTATCGAATTTCTGATGCGAAGATATCTTTCGAACTTCACAGTACTGATGTCTCTTCTTCCTGAACGCCTGGGAAAGGGATTCTTTAGCAGGGTTGATGTGGATGTAGTGTTGATCTCGGGAATCTAGATATCAGAAAGAATTACAGTTCCGTGAAGATAGGGAGGCTTGTGGCGCGAGAATGAAGGAACCACATACTGTTATCGAGAAATATCCCTTCTGGTTGAAACTCTGCCCTGACTAGGAAGGTGCCTAAGAGGAGTTTGATCGGTGCATGAGACAGGGAGCTTCAGGGAGGGAGCGCTATGTTGAGTGGCAGAGAGTGGATTAGACCATGTCTTGAGCGCTGTGTGTCTCATTCTTGAGTTTTCTCCGTGGTTAGGATTGAGGAACTGTGAGCTAGTGATGTTCGTTCAAGATCGTGCTGTCTGCAGGGTATACCTTGTTCTCTGTTCTATGCATCTGCTTATGTCGGCTTAGTGAGATTGGATTTCCGAGAATTCCTCGATTAGATAGCACTGTTGGTCTCAAAGTAGTGAGTAACTAACAACTATACCATAGCCCAAGCGGCCAACAAATCGCGCCAACTGCTCCAAGCCCTTCGACTTCTTCGATTTAGTCGAGATGTTCGGAATCATCAGCTCAAACGCCTCACGCGCCACATATTCTTGCCTAGTGTGCAGGTACTTCTGTAGGACCCAGAAGCGGAAATGCACGCGAGAGGTGCCGGCTTGCGCCGCGGTGGGCATCACATTTCCCTATCTCGGGGCGATCGACTGATAATCTATCCAGTGTCTACGCTCGAATAAGAACTGTGAATACTCTGAAACCAAAGAACAAAGGATCAAGGTCAGGTCAATACTCATCACCGTTGCGAACGAAGTCGCAGACCAAGCCGGCCCAGCAGCCTGGGTCTAACTTTGCTGTTGCTCTCGATGAAAGTTGCTTCAACGACGCCCGTGGATAAGGATGACGCCGTTTGCTCATCGCTTTACCAGAAGACGCTCGAATTATCGTCGGGCATGGAGAGACTCGGATTCTTCCGTCTTGAGCTGCTACAATCTGCAATTTTGATCTCGGTATACGAAACCGGTCACGGTATCTATCCGGCCGCGTTTACAAGTGTGGGTCGTGCCGCCAGGCTGGGCCAGGTGATGGGCTTGCATGATAGGAAGAATGCCTCTCAAATTTTCGAATCACCTAATGGTGGATCATGGGATCCCTAACTAGCAAGCAGCGCTAGGCAAGAGGAAATCTCCAGCATAAGTTGTCTTGGCACTTAGTATGTCCAGAGGAAATACAGTTCCCACTGATTAGATAGTTCTGTGCAAGCGGAAATGAACATTTACTCAGACAAAAGGTCACGATGCATTGGCCAATATCAGTCCTGATATTCATGATATAGACTAACCTCTAAGCCAATTCGATCACAGCCTATACATCTCACAGAATGCCTAGACCTGACTATAGCCAATCTTCGTTCAGATCGATCAGCCCATGCGCACTATGTAGTATAGATATAGGAACATTCCGGTCTTCCTATCTGAAGCGTTTCTTTAATTACCTCGGATGGCGATACGAAGCTATGCGATTGCACGGTAGATGATCTATATCCACTCCGTGCATTGCAGTGAAAGGAGACTCTACTAGCATCAAACAGGATGAGAAGTCCTTTCACCAAGCACCAGAGGTCTATAAAACCCCCCTTCACGATCCCAAACTCCTATTTTATACCATGTTCGAACTGTCTTCCAAACCGACCCCAAACTTTCTCTTTCAAACATACCCTTTCCTAAACCTCCTCCACTTGGTAAGCCCTAACATCCCAGTCCCCCAGCTATAGTATAAACCCTTACCTAACTTGATATTGTCTTCCATTCCGTAGGACCAATCATGTCTCGAACCCTCATCTTCATTCTCCTCTTTACCCTGCAGGCCCTCGTCATGGGCCTTCCAGTTCAAGAGCTTGAGGAAAGGTCCCACCTTGCGCCCGCCCAAGTTATCATCCACAGCAAGCTGAACAGCGTCAACATTCATGCGTGGTCCGTGTCCAACAAAATCGACAAAGAGCTGACCATTGCCCCCGGCGGCGGAATCTACGTCGAGGAGTACAGATTCAACCCGAACGGCGGCGGCATTTCAATCAAGATGAGCGAGAAGGGCGATATGAACAACATCATCCAGTTCGAGTACACGCGCAAGGGCGACAAGATCTGGTGGGATGTCTCGTACGTCAACCAAAAGGTCACTTCTGGCTCGGCGATCGTCGCGGCGGGCTTCTCGGTCACTTCGAAAAATAAAGATTGTCCGCAGGTGCACTGCCGTCCGGGCGATGAGAACTGCCAGGGCATTTACCACAACCCTCACGATGACTGGGCTTCTTATGGATGTCCTCTTGATACGATCTTGTATATGAAGATTGGTTAGTAAATAGGCGTTGTCCACTGGATACGTTCGTCTGTCTCGGCGAGGTGACTTGGAGTATTGGGGGGCGAGGTGACTTGGAGTATTGGGGAGCAAATAGTGTGAGTCGTTTGAAGAACTCCACGCATATGTATGGGCTTTTCTATTGGTGAGGGGAGTTGTCTGTCATTCTTATGAAAGCTGTGGATGTACTTCATTTTGAATATCTTCTAGATTATAGAACCTGTGTCTCATTCATCCTGAGGCGCACTATTCTTTGACAAATCCTTCTTTATGATCATTGTGTAGGAAGATGTATCCACGGATTCAAGACTACGTCCTCGTAATCGGTAAAGAACTAGCAGCCCTAGATCTCTACTCTACTTGAACAGTTGAACAGTATCACTATTGTGTCAGAATGACTGCCAAAACCATGGCTTCGCGTATGCGCATGACTCGCATGACTTATGTGTCTGCACCAGCGAACATCGTAGGGATGACCCTCAAATCAAGACTAAGTGGCTCAAAACGCTACCAGATGGAGAGAAGATTATTGGTCGAATCAGGGCGTTCCTGAAGAAAGCATACCCTACCCCAAAACAGCCTGTATCGACTACTCTAAGCACTAATTGGAAGAGCTTCGAACATCGATTTCTAGAAGCCTTTCAGCCTATAGAGTATAACGTCACTGAATCTGATATTGACCAGTATTTTGATCAGCACTGGTTTCGAAAGAAGCCAGAGCCAAACTGAGTTTATACTGAACTAGTAGAAGGCTAACAGACTTGAATTTACTTGTATGGCTAAGGTAGCCCAAGATCATCTTGCTATACCAGCAGCAGAGGTAGATATCGAGAGATTATTCAATGGTAGGAGAGATGTACTGGGAATTCGACGTTTTTCTATGAAAGGCAAAACTCTTGGGACGCTAATAAGGCTGAAAGATGCTGAACGTTGGAAGTCTGAATAGTTAAATAGTTATAGTTTTTATAGCGTAGAATAAAAGTTATGAACTGTACCTAGAACACCCTTCGTGCGAATCCAATGGGATGCAGTGGCCAGGGTTGTTAAGGTTATGGCTGTCTGTATGAGCAAACCCCTACTTGAATACTAGATATTAGTTCGCGAACCTGTTCGAAAATTCGTGCGGAGCGGTAGCTTTCAATATGATCGAGTACTCTCTTAGCCGCGAAAGCAAGGTCTTCTAATGCTTTGAGCTGATTCTTGCCTTTGCTTAGCGCTTAGAAAATTTGGTTTTCCCCGCCAAGACCTGGCACCGAACCATGGTTCGGGCGCGCAACCCCCACAGCTGCTATTTTACCCGTTGAAATACCTAGGGATCAAACGGAAGCTGTCGAAGTAATTTGAAGTTTGAACTAGGGCGTGAGACCACGCAGCAGTCTCGGGTTTGGATGGGTAAGCGAGGTAGTAGCTTTAGTTATGCGTGCTATACAATATGTCCTATGGGCATGCAAATTCTTTGCCAAGCAGGCATGGTTTGGAGTGCATAGAGCGGTGCGATCACCAAACACGCTCGGAAGACTAGTTGCCCACCCAGGAACAAATATGGGGGTTTTGGGTGACAGTGACGGTGGAGGTGCCACAACCAGCACACGAACTCGTTGGGATCTCCTTCTGATCTTTGCAACGAAAGGATTGGACACTGTCTCTTAGTGAACCCGTCGGATCTAGCGCCGGTGGAACGTCCTGCAAAGAAATACTCATGGAAGGGGTATTCACTGTACGATAAGGGCTACAACGTCTCAGCCCAAGCTAGTGTTACCGTGCAGCCACTGTTGATGGCAATAATGCTCTATTCCTGATTTCTGAGCATGAAGAGTAGAAATTCGCGGCCAAAGACCGACTACTCGAGGACAGGCAACTTCTATTGATGACCTCCCGAGACTTGGATTAGCCAATAACCCAACCAGAGACCTCTACCAAACGCCATACTACTATGAGACATCGACGAACATGACAGCCCAAAACAAGAGGCCATACGTAATATGAGGCTTCTCTGAGGACTGTCTACCACCTAGAACAGTAATTTTGGGCCTAGACCAGTCATGGGTCAAGTATGAGGGCCTAAGTCTGCGCCGATGGCACAAAGGCGGAACCATATCATCCTCAAACAAGGCTTCGTCTGTTCTTACTGACCAGCTCTTTCATTAAACTAACTATATGTAGAAGGTCGATCAACATTGACTACTACCATGATCTCAATTCTTCATGGTCTCCAATATGCTTGGAATATCAGCGAAATAAAACTCATTCAATGTCTCTCGCCACAATCTTTCAATGGTAGTGTTTCCTTTTGTCGTGTATAGAAGAGCAGGGAACCTAGAAGTATATGTTAGAATCACACAATATCAGAAGGAAAGGTAGGTTCAACTCACGGCCGGATCTCCCAATCCATCAAGAAACACCCATGTGATTCTTTTCCTTTCACGACAGTGGCATCCAAATATGCAGAAGCACCATCCGTTACCGTGCGAGATATCGCAAGCAGCGCCGGAAGAACTAAGCCCCTCACAATTTTGGGCACATCGCGGTTTAATCCCGTCCCCCTGGTCATTCCTGGATCCACCAGGTTTACGACCACATCGTCTGCGGACACAAGATCGACGAGTTTGTAGACAAACATTTGACACAGCACTTTTGACGTACTATAAGTCTGCATTCCCGCACTTGGGCCAGTTTTGGTGTCATCGAAGGATTTCAAGAGGGGTGACTGCTGGCTGTTCGAGAATTTTGACAAGAGAGTGGTTCCTGAGCTAACAATAGACAGTCTGCCTGGAGTTCCTCGCGGAGACTTGCTTTTCAGAATAGGGAGCAGCAGAAAAGAAAGAAGGATTGTTGAAAGGTAGTTAACTTGCATGGTCTCCTCGTGACCGGTGCTAGGGACCAGTTCGAACTCGCTCTTTGACCGCCCAGCGTTAAGGATAGCGATGTCTAGGCGTGGTAGCTCACTCTCCGCACGCTTGACGAATTTTTGAATTGAATCATATGAGCACATATCTAGCATCCACACCTTTATGGTGGCATTGGGGTGCTCTGCTTGAAGTTTTGAGGCCGCAGCTTTCCCTTTCTCCTCGGAACGTACAGTAATGATAAGGTAGGACAGGTTCAATGAGAGAAATTGACGTGCGGATTCGAGACCAAGGCCCTGGTTCCCTCCGGTGATGATGGCGACCTTTCCGGAGAGATCGGTATCATTCGGTGGGAACTGAGCCTTGTGAGATAACTGAGACTTCAAGAAAATTGGCCAGAATGAAGAGGCTAGAGGCGGTATATCTTTCGAACTCATTATGACCAGGGTTGTACAGTATTGTGTAGAAAATGTAGAGACTTTGGAGAGGAGCAGATATATATAGGTGGACGGAGATACTCTTATCCCCCTTAAGGCCGGGGGGACTGGGACAATTCATGCTGCGCAACCTTCCGTATCCTTGGTCAACTTGAGAAAGGAATGGAGATTTGGAGAGAACCGACATGTTGTCACAAGGTTCATAATCAACACGACGTCTATTTTTAATATGCACTGTCCCATTTGGTCCTAGCGGGCTGAGAATGCATTATACTAATCCAGAAGGAAGGATGAACCTTACTAAATAAGGAATAGTTGATCTACTAACGTTACTACCCTTGCAAGGTTTCCAAGAACCACGTATTTGTTAAATATCCGCCACCTTCCTGCCACTAAACTCTTTCGTCACCTTTTTTTTATTTTCTTTTGACGGGGATAGCTTACACATTAATGCATTGCCCAAAAGGAGTATCTGTTGTATGAACGATTTTGGAGTGGAAACTCTCTTGTCCCCTCTAGCCTGATGGAGTCCAGTCGAAGGGCCCCAAAACGGCAACGATGTGCGAGGTCATGCCCCGGTAACAAGATTGACCTTCAATTCGTCAACGCCAAACCGGATGATCAGAACCAAAGGAAGGAAACAAAGGCAATTGTTCGAGCAAATGCTGCCCACTTTCATTGGCGTCACAATCGGCCTCCCCAAGATGAAGCCAAACTTAAGCCGTCGAAGCGTGGTACCGTCTCTCGTCAAGTAAAGAGTATCTCACGTCCCTTATGGCCGATGAACAGCACCCAACTCGAGGCCGGTGCTAGCCCTTTCTCGACGTATAACTGTAACTTCCCTACGTCCTTCATTTACCATTGCGTCGCATTTAGTACGTGGTCAGCTCCTATCGATATCTCACGGCTAATGCTCTCAAGATGCCGAAGTTATTCTTCCCGCTCTATTCCCTGACGGCGCCAACAATCACAACATTAGAGCGAGCCTGATACAGATGTCAATGTCAAACCCCCATGTGTTGCATATGTTCATGACGGGAGCTTTGGCCAATTTGCAAGGAACTCCTGGGACTACTCATTCTCATCGGATTGCCCTCGACATGTTTCGATCCCGCGCCGAGATTGTAAGAAGATTGAACATTGCTATCAAAGATCCGGCAGAAGCTTGCAAGGACACCAATATCTTCGCTGTTGTTGCACTGGCAAAGACTGGGACGGTTCAAAAAGTGGAAGTGCCACGCATGACGCCAAAGCAAGGTCCTTTGAAGAGTCTGCAGTTATTAAACTTATTGGCATTGTCGGAGATCGACCCAGTTCATTTAGATGGACTCTTAAAATTGATCGAGCTAAAAGGTGGATTGGAAAAGATTGAAATCCCAGGGCTCGCCGCTCTCATCTCACTGTAAGTCGGCTGTGTGTACGCTAAGCTAGGCTAGAGCTGACAGTGCGGTAGAGGGGGGCTTCTAGTCGGTACTCGAGGTTGCACTGCACCACGATTCCCAGTGGTGACGCTGTCGTGCCCGACGAGAGAGTTTATATTTCAGGGTCACGGAATAGGCTTCGGCACAGACCAGGATCTTTATATGGTCTTATCAATGTTGAAAAGCTACACTATCATGATTGATGATTTCTGCGAGGGTCGAAACATCGTAACGGCTTCTGTGTTAATTGATCACAGGAATACGACGCAGCATGCTTTGCTCTCACTTCCGCCGAGGGTGGGCAGGTTTGAGTGCTACAGGCTTGCAGCTCTAATCTACAGTCTCCTTGTGACATTTCCGCTGCCGTATTGTGTCGCGCCGTTTAAATGCCTAGTAACGCGATTGAAGACAGCACTAACCGATTGGGATGGTGATAATCATATGCTGCTTTGGGTTCTCGCAATGGGAGGTGTTGGAGCAACGGGACTGGATGAAAGGGCGTGGTTTATAAGAAGCCTTCAAGATGCTGTAATGAGGATAGGGGTCAGATCGTGGATTGAAGCAAGGGATGTCATAAATAGGGGACTATGGCATGAAGCAACAAATGATGGAGATGGTCAAGCTCTTTGGTTTGAGAGCAGAGTAACTGAATGAAGGTGTCGCGGTGTAGACCCCGCAACCACACTATAGTTACTGTTATTTACGCCCATTCTCGTCACGTCCATGGTTTCCATCAAAATATGCCTTATTACTTATGAAATTGAATGAAATTTGCCTGTTTCTTAGTAAATCACTACTGGTAATAGTATATTTCATCGACTAGTAGATCTTGCGATCATGTTGTAAAAGATAATAAATAATATAAAAGACCCACCTCTAAGTCCTGCAGTCTAGATATATATTTCTATAATGATATAGATCACTGTTATTTGAGCTTGTATTAACATTAGTTTATATGTTCACTGAGGGTTTTTTGATATCAAAATAAGCCCTTCCTGTTTATTAAGTGATGAATACCTTTTAATCACCTTCGTAGGCTTTTTCAAGCAAGTGAATGCCATGCTAGATTTGTTCGAAAGTCGGACTTGATCAATTCTTCAGAGGCTGATAGCTATGTATTTGGGTATTTGGGTAGAGTCCGCAATTACCCGCCAAGTACCCAACTACCCGTCAAATACCCAACTACCCGCATGATACAAGCCAATGAAAATGACTATTATCTATCTCAGTGGGGTCATTTACTGATCAATCAACATATTCAATCTAGCAAGGTTCGATGCGCGTAGACTCGCTGCCCCCGAATCCATTGCTACAACTCCCAAAAATTTCTGTATATCCTATTTTCTATCCTATTATCTTCTCTGCCGCTTTGCCTGCTCTTTATTATAACTCAAGGTCAAGAATCTCAGTTTTCTGACACACAGCTATCATCCTTCTATGATACAGATCTTACGGACAATATCTATCTTCCCTTATCCGATAACTTTACCCCTGAGCTTTCGTTTAGCCAGCAAACTGGAAATTTAGTTACTCTATCAACTACTGATCTTTTCGCTCGATCTCTTCTTTCAATACTATCTTGCCTCTAGCAGATCTGTCCTGATCGGATCAATACATACATCCTTTATTCTAACATGGCAAAGGATGACTATGTTCGATGATGGCTACAGACAGACTTTGGGGGAAAAAAAAGATCCGATGGGATGCTCGTGTCAGGAACCTTTCAGTAGGTTACCAGGAACCTCTCGGTATCTGCAGATACGTGACTCAGTCACTAATCCGCAGAGCAGTATATGTAGTAGCTAGTTTCCCGCAGAATTCGCTGCCTTCCATGCAGCTTATTCTTCGTTAATACATACCTATCTTTACGGTTTTGTGCCTTACAGCTCGCCACCAGGCTGAAGTTTGGAAGCACTTTGAACAGGTAGCTAAAGCCAGTGATGGTACACCCAAGGTCATATGCAAACGATGGCTTACGCGATACCTTGACAGCAGTAAGTGCCTTATTTTTTTTTACGTTAACTGATTTACTAATAAAAAGTAGGTATTATCCCTACAATACCTCCTCGGGCATTCTGGAAGGAGCACCAACATGAGTATCCCCTTCTTGCCAGTATGGTACGTGATATCTGTCATTATTGCCGGGGCTCTTTGGATCTTACAACTATACAGGAGCTGATGATGTTTACATGTACATCAAAATTTGAGATTGAGGAGGAAATGCTAGCTTTGAATAGAGAGTATCTTACCAGAGATGACTTGCAGAAAACAAGTGATATTCAAAATGAAGAGCAGGATATTCAAGTAGAACTATCACTTGATCTAATCAGTGATAATAAAGAAAATAAGTTTTTCCCGGAATAACCTATACCTGTACTGTCTGAACGTACTGCAGGCAAGCGGCGAAAGAGTATTGTATCTGATGATGAAGCTGATATTCCATTACCTGATATTCAGCAGCGCCTATCAGGGAGGAACAGGAAGCGTCCACGGTTTGATAATGATCAATATATCTCACATTAGTGAAAATGTCAACTTATTCGAATAATCTGAGTTACTTTATATATATTGTATTATCTGAGGCTTTGAGCTAGCTAGAGTGCTTGACTTTTTGTAAACCAAATACCTAAAAATACACAGTAATTGGCATAAAATATGCAAGTGACGAGCTCTCACTTTCATCTACCTATTTGTACTGTTTGCTTGGGTATTTGGGTACCCGGACTCTAGATTATAATACCCAGACCCGACCCGCGGGTAACATCTTGGACCCAAATACCCGCCAAGAACGGGTTTGGGTACTTGGGTATTGGGTAACCCGCGGGTCCTGGCGAGGCCTACTTCTAGCTGCCTTTTTAGGCTAGATTGCTTATCATTCTTCATGTATTTAAACCACCGTTTGCAGCTAGATTGAAAGAATCAGACCTTCATCATTCGATATTCCTAAGTGTACATTACTAGCAATTACGCCTAGAGAGACGGCTCACAGAGATTCCTTAAACTTAAAAGGTAATAATATCTTTAACTATCTCCGTTTAGGCGAACTTCCTTAGGCAGAAAATATGACGTTCCTCTGTACCGGGAAGATCCCTGAGCTCAGGTGACATTGCATGCCAGACTTGAGAACAGTCAACCACTAGCGATTAAACAGGGCAACTAAATAGATTCATCAAAACCCATAATCATCAATCATAACGGGGCGATCGGGCAAAACAGACAGCTTTGAAGGTCCTATTTCAATATCGATAAACAATTAAAATCCCGGCAGACTATGGCATTTGCTCCGGAGCACTTGCTCTGCGACCATGGTCCTTGCGCACTGGCAGAGCGGCTTTGCGTAGTGCCCTTTGAGCTCGTTCAATCGGGTAGTTGACAGGTGACTCTCCTCCGGTGAACACGAGCAAATCATAAAGAAATGCGCCGGTGGCACCACCGGTCAAGGCTCCCAGCCATGGCCCATAAAACCAATACGGGTCAGTGAACAACTCGGCACCAAACCCCAACCCCAATAAAACAAGCCGGGGGCCCAGGTCCCGACTGGGATTGAAGGCTGCTCCAGTCTGATCGGCAAATGTGATACTCAAGAGAGTGATCACCAACCCCAGGATGAGGGCATTCATGCCAGCACCAGGTGGCGCGTTCTGATCGTCGCCGAGAGCGAGAACCGCAATTGTCAAGAAAGCTGTGCCGACGAATTCAGTAAAGAAAGCAGTTGGTGGCCCAATCCAAGGGGCGCGCGGACCGGTCACAAAGCTATTCAGGATGCCTCCTTCAGCGCTGGTGTCGAGGTATAGCTGAATGGAAGGGTAGTACAGAGCGTAAGCAGTCATGGCGGCAATGACAGCCCCAAATAACTGAGCCGCAAAGTAGCCTGGAATCTTGCGCGTTGGGAAGCCGCGATAGAACCACAGGACGAGGGTGATGACCGGGTTCAGATGGGCTCCAGATACACCGCCGGAGATGTAAATGGCTAACATGGTGGCAAAGCCCCAGGCCCACGCAGTTGTGATGGGATTACCTGCGTTGGCCAAAGTCACGGCAAGATCGGCGCCGAAGCCGAGAGTGAGCTGCACGTACACAGACAATCCCTCGGCCAAGGCCTCACGGTATTGAGTACGAATGACGGACCAAGTTGTGTGATTATTGTACACTTCTTCTTCGACTAACCCCTCCATCAACGGGTGCAGGTCATCGCATTTTTCTAGTGTCGTGAAATCAAGCTCGTCTGGTTCGTCCACCAGGAGAGGATCAGTCTCTTGGAGGCCTTCTGACGGTTGATTTACTTCCTCCTCTGACGGAGTATCGCCTTCTGGGACCGTGGCGAGGTGTTCTGGTGGCAGGGCCCAGGTGGAGGCGCACCTGAACCGACGAGGGGACGACGACAATGAGGCCGTATCCCCTCGCAGGATCTTATTAGCCAAATTGGCCTCGCGCTGGATGCGAGCATCTTCAACCTGGGCTGCAATCTTCAGTGGGTTAGAAGTTGACACAATGCGGCCTTTGGTCAACTCCTCAGGGTCAACGTCTAGGCCGGCCCGATGCGAGCGAGCTGCCGGCCATGGTGCCTGTTGATGGGCCTGTCGCAGCTCGTCTAGCGTGGGCACCATGCCGGGTCTCACGACGCGCGGCAGAGGCTTCGCCAAACTCCAAACTGGTTTGGCATCAACTCCTTGCTCATACTCGGGGTTGAGCTCGACATAGCCGGGCTGGACAAACGGCTCGTGAGCCAGACGCATCTGGGGCGTCTCGTCGGACCCGGCCAAGGTGAATGGCTGTGTTCGGTCTGCCAGAGAAGCTCGACCGCCTATACTGGGAACTCCGCTGCCACTTCGGCGCCGTGGCATAGGCTCATCCCATGCAGATATCCTCCTTGTGGGAGAGATTAGTCGATCACCGATCGGTGAGACTAGGTTCTCGCTGATTGCTGCTGACTGCTCGGGTTATTAACATACGAGCTAAATATCATGGGGACAGTTGGAAGGGTATCTTACCCTAGCTCTTGGGCGTCCTACATCGTCTTCTGCCATTTTCATGAATCTACTCTAGCTGTATCACCTAAATATTTGTTTGAGGTGAAATTCGAAGGAGATATCTAATAACGTTCGCCAGGAGAAAGAGAGCGATTAAAAACACCCAACAACCAAAGATCAACCAACCCCGCCTAGTCCCGTGAACCCCACGATAGTCGAGCTAGAAAGATTCAGCAAGTGAAGATTGCAGTTCGCGCCCAGTGGGTACTCACTACTGCTGAGCGCGAATCGCCCGGTGTTCGAGCTTGACATCATGCTGCAGGCCGGGTTTCCTGATCGGGTAAACCCGTGGGTCGATTTGGCACTGATTATTGGGTGCTGAACGGATCAACGGATCGACAATCAGGATATTGGCGATTCCGGTGGTGTTATCAATGAATGTACTCCGTAAGTAGTCAGTGACGATTGTACGAATTGAGTGTTTTGTTGAAGGTTATGCTTCTACTGGGGAAGGTGACCTCATTTAATATCTTCGCCCCTGTTCAATATATGCATTGCCTAAAGGAGCTTGGTGATCCCTCTCAAGTGATCCCTCTCAAGTGGTCTCTTACGTTCTCAAGCATAAAAGTAACGCGACTGGAACAACAAACGAAGGAATAATCAGTGCAACGTCTCCCGCGACGAGGATGTACGAAGCTCGAAGTTAATCACAATTTCGACTGTGCCTTGGGTCGTCGTCCCGTATCCACCTCCGTCCACCATGGGAAGTTCGGCGGCGCGTCTTCCTCGAGCGTGGCCTTGAAGTTGGGTTTGCGTTTCTCGAAGAACGCCTGAACGCCTTCATATTGGTCCCTGCGGAAGTCAGCATCGCTTTTCAACCCCCTTGCCCAGATCAGACATAGCAAACAGAGAGAGAGAGTCGAACCGTCCACTGAACATATGATACAAGACCGCTGAATCGACCAAATGCGACTCCTCGGCGGATGCAGGGCCCCTCCACATCAGTTGTCGACTGAGATAAGATGCCATGGGACTGACATTCTCCGCGATGTCAGTTGCCAGCTCCAACGCCCGGGATACCACTTGGCCAGCATCGGGGTAAGTTTCCGCAAACAGGGACCCGAAATGTGGCGAGGTCGGAGGGAACACTCCGCCGGTCGTGAGCAGATACATCGCATGCGAGTAACCGATCAACCGGGGCAAGAAAAAAGAGGAGCTTGATTCCATCGTCAGACCACGTCTGGGGAACACGAATCCATACTTTGCCTTGTCGCAAGCAATTCGGATCGCGGCCGGAAGAGTCATCGTCATCCCCAGTCCGACAGCAGAGCCTTGCATAGCTGCGATAGTGGGCTTTCGGCATCGATGGATAGCCAGGGCGAGACGGCCTCCTCTGGAGTATTATTAGCCACTTTGCTTCTTCATCCCCGTTAGATCACTCTGAGCGACCGGCAAAAGCAAATCTCACGTATCACGATGATCCATAACTCTCTCCTTCTCGCCCTTGAACCCGCGCTCTAGATCTGCGCCCGCACAGAAGATCTTCCCGGCGCCGGTCAGCACCACGACTTTCACGCGTTCATCCACATCGAACATAGGATAGATCTTCTCAAAGTCATCCATCATCTCGATCGTGAACGCATTATGCTTTTCGGGCCTGTTCAGCGTCACCACAACCACGGGTGTAGCCTCAGGGCTGCCTGGCGGATGATGCGAGACTTTGACATGGGTAAGGGTGAGAGATTCGTAGGAGGTGGGAATAGAGACTGGGAGTGGATTTGGGATCATTTTGAATGTCTAGACTTGTAATGTTTTGTTTTTTCCAAATTAGAAACGAAGAAGGGGTTTATATCTGGGGAAAGTCCGGGGTACTCCTCGGTTCTCCACTCGGATGAGAATATCACCGTTCACTAATCATATTTCAGCGGGGTTGTCGGTTAATAGATTAGCTGATTATATTGGATATACCTGATAACAATATCCCTTAACAAATTACATGGAATGAGATCATTTAATCAGACTAGTCAGACCTTCCCCGAATCAAACCGACACTAGTTAAGTATACAACAAGGACGCAAACAACTAAAACTTTGAAAACATCGTCTCCCTCTGCGCCCTGACATCCAACTCCTGAGTCCAGGTACTCCTCGGCTGCTCGTGGAGATACCAATAGACCTTTGCCAAATCCTCCGGCTGCATCAGATACCGATCTTTCTCTTTCAATTTCTCCTCGCCCTCCTTCTCCCACCTCTTCCTCACCACCGACCCAATGATATCGCTCTCAACCGGCCCATCCACAAGGACATGAACCGCATGGATGCCACTTGCCTGAAACTCTCTCGCGACAATCTGCGCCAGCGCCCTCAACCCAAACTTCCCCGGCGAAAACCCCCCTAACCCAGGACTCCCTCGAATAGACGCGGTGGCGCCCGTGAAAAGAATCGTCCCCTTCCCAGCTTCCAACATATCCGGAATAACAACCTTCGTGGCATAATACGCGCCCATCATATTAATTTTCACGAAATCCTCAAACTCCGCCGAGGGCGTCTCGACCAGGCTTCGCCCACGAATGCGTCTCGAGCCAGCGTTATACACTAGGACGGAGACTTTGCCAAGATCGGACTTGATGGCCGCGAAGGTGGCGATGATGGACGATTCATCGCGCACGTCGGCGACGTAGTATTTTGCGCTGTGCACGCCGTAGGCGGCACGGATGGAGTCCTGGATGGTGACGAGCTTGGACTCGGTGCGCGCGATTAGGGCTACAGAGAAGCCTTTGGCCGCGAAGTGGCGGGACACGGACTCGCCGATCCCTGGGCCGACGCCGACGACGGCGAGGACAGAGCGGTTTTGAGGGTTGAGAGTCATTTTTTATTGTTGGTGGTGAGAGAGATGAGTGCTGATGACTGGAGTTTGGTGAGGATGAATGTGGGGATGGAGAGGTGGTTAAGTATGGAAGTTGAGGTGGTTGGCGATGACGATTTGTTTAGCCGAGGTTGCGTTGATTAGTCAATCGCGGATTTGTCGAGAGTCGGCGATGCGATTAGTAGTTTTACGAGATATTCCTCGCGAATACTATATCACTGATAGTAGTCAAGGAATAGACAGAAGTGGTGAATATAGCTTGTTGATCCAGTTCATGATCAAATAGTTACGGCTTTATATATTCGCTGAGAAGTCCGTCTATAATGTATACTGAAGATTAGAACTGGGGACAAGTATTAAACAATCGCATAATTAGATGAATATAATTATGAGGAAACTAAACATTAAGCAAACTAAGAACATTAAAGAACTACTCCCTATGCTCTCCCCCACAACTCAACCTGCTGTCTCACTACATCTCCAACCTGCGCCTCCATACCTAGGAACTCCATTCCCAACTCCCTCCTCGCCTTGCTAGTATCAATAGTATACGGGCTCTCTTTCTCCTGCGCGTCTTTCAACCGCAACGGAAAAGCAGGAAACTCCTTCTTCACGAACCCCGCCACCTCAGCCCAGGTGCTCCCCTCCGCCGCCAACAAATACGATTCAAAGCCCGTGATCCTTTCATCCAGCGCCTTGACATGCGCATCCGCAACATCCCGTACATGAACGCCCTTATACTGACCCATCAGCGGCTTCTCGGCGGCAAGACTCTGAAACAGCATCCCGTTCGAGCCGCCCAGCTCGGTCGCGGAGTCTTGGATCAGGCTGCGTCCGAAGACGAAGACGGGGTGCAGCGTGACGAGGTCGAAGGAGGGGCGATGTTCGGCCACGAAGTCCAGCGTTGCTTTGTACGAAGCGAGCTTGCTCGCGTGATACTGGTCAAATGGGGCCAGGGAGGACACCTTCTCAGGGTCGACGGTGTAGTCGATTTCGTTTGTTTCTATGTGTGCGGTTAGCATGAGACCCACGTTCTTGGCCTTCGGAGAGGAGTGTAATAGAAGGAAACAAACCCCGAATAACATCCACGCTGCCCATTCCACCCAGCGGAGCCAACGACAGCACACTCGCCGTGATAACGACCTTCTTGACCGACGGAACTTTGACTGCGGATTCCAGGATCGACACCGTGCCGCGAACCGCAGGCGTTAAAAGATCCGCGGCAACGCCAGGTAGAGGTGACGCGACGTGTAGGATATACTTCACATCCTGCAGGGAAGCATCAAACGCCCCGGAAACGGTGATGTCGGGCACAACGGAGAAGTCCAGTTGGTCGTGGGGAGCGAGAACTCGGCGCAGCTTGTCGGCTTGATTGGGCCGACGGACGACGAGACGGACTCGGTATCCCGCGTTCAGGACCTGCAGAGCGACTTGAGAGCCGATAAAACCGGTAGCTCCGGTGATGAGGACAAGGGACATGATGGTTGTTGGTTTATGAATGTTGTGTACATACATGCAAGTGTCAATAGTAGTAGTTAGGGAAGTTGACTGGCAACAACGCGGTTTAAATACCAGCATGGTCGCGTCACGACGAGACAAAGGCTGACAAATGAGGTTCGAAGGTGGTGGAACCGGAAGACAGATTGTAAATCATTGCATTGGGGCGTCAACTCTTCCTATTTGGAGATGAAAAAGTTCATAGCGATCGGAATGGAATCAGCCTGAGTGAAGCCCATCAACCTTGGTTACATAACGACAGATGCTGATATAACACATACATAAGAATATCTATGCTCTACTCCGTACAGTAATATCTATGCTCTACTCCGTACAGTAATAGTAGCTTGTATACGAGGGATGCAACTGTTTCCTTTCGAAATTGGAAATCTCATGAAATTAAAAAGAATTTCGTGAAATGAAAATCCCAACTTTTCACTCTCAAATGCACTAGTAATTAGTGGGATCTACTACTCCCTAAATAAACATCACCATATTTCATGAAAGATAATGTGAATTTCAAAATCTAAACATCCCTAATGTACACATAGAAGACTGGTGTTGAATAATCCATAGATCACTAATCAATAAAGATAATCAAAATACGGGTGGCGACCCACAAGCTTAATTCATTTGGGCCCTGCATTGTCAGCTTTATGATTAGTGATACTGACCCCAATTATGCCTCGGATCGATCTGGATGGCGCTATAGGATATAGGAATGATATAATATGCTTATCCCCGAGTGAATCTCACCCCAAAATAGCGCGGAAATCATTTAACCTTATCCAGACTCACTTGACATTTCGAATTCTATAAAGTGACAAATTCCCACTCGACCGCACCATACTCAGAAACAACGAGACGATTCCATAAGACTATATTTGCTTGAAACTGATTTCATACAAGAACCAAATAGACGGAGCTGCGGATCAATGAAAAAGGAAAAGGAAATTCGGGCGAATGGGAGACTTACGGGACCGGTTGAACCACGCCGATTCGAAGCAGTTATTAATCCGAGACTCAACGAGTACAGTACTTGAAACACCGAAGAATCGAGCATTCGAACATCTAAGACACAAGTGTGCTCTGGATACCGCATCCCCGTCAGAGGGTGCATAAACAGATACCTGGATAGATGCATGAGACGCTGCCCAAGGGGATCAGGGGCTTTTGTGATGGGTAAGCACAAATGCGCGACACACGGGAAGTGCCCCATCAAATATGATGAAGTGAATTGAGAGGAAACCTGATGAGAGAATGGAGAAGTATCATGTCAATTTCATTAAGTCAAAATATTAGATGAGGCATGGCATGCCCGTTATTAAATCAAATTGTGAAGATCAACGGGCCAGCCCATAAGAAAAAGAATCGTAATGTCATGAATCATGTAAATTGTCAAGGCAAATTCAAGCCCACATTGCGGCGCGAAGAGCCATTTCGACATCGCGACGGCGAAATCCTGGTGCGCGTCCCAGACACAGCGCTTTGGTTATTAAAGCTACTGGTATTAGTCAAAATCAAGAGAAACAAAGAGAAATAATCTCACCTGGAATGAAACGTGCAACGTTGATAGTGAGTGGAGACGGCTTTGATTGCGGCTGCGAGACGAACAAATGCACATTCTTTTCGCGAAGGAATCCCTCGAGGTCCTGGATATCAAACCACTCTCCGTCCAGCTCCTGCCGGAACTCTGGCGAGATGCGGGACAGTGGGTCATTTATGGTTTCCCATCGGTTGTAACGAAGTGGGTACATTTCAAGGGCCGATTTTTTAGGAGAGGATCGAGGATAGTGTGATCCTGCGCCACCCAGGTAGAAAAAAGGGACTTCTCTCCACTCGTCCAGTCGGCTCTGGCCTACCTTGGCGTGTAGCGCAGCCTGAAAGTAGGATACCATGCGCGTCCGGTCCATCACCGTGAGGAGTAGTTGGAATGGCCGTTTCAGGCGATCCATAGACACCGCAGGATTCGCCAGAACCAGATACGCTTGGTAGAGACAGGCCATGTGCAAGCGTTCCATAAATGCAGATAGTTCCATGTGGGACACTACAATATTCTCTGACGGCGACGAACTGTCGGAGCTTGCATGCGGGGAGCACACATAGTCTTTTACCTCCGACAGTGCGGGAGACAACGGATTCGACTTCAGCTCCGGGGGGATGGAGTTGCTGGTGCCCTGCCCCGGGGAGGGCTGCGACTTTTCGCTTCCAGGTGACATCTCGGGAAGATCGTGATCCTCACTCGCTTCCTTGGCAAGATCCAAACATGTCTGGACCGTCTCACGCAGGTGCCCGGTCAGATCGGCATGCGAGGCTAAAACACCGGACTGAACGAGTTCGTCGCTGAATGAGATCACTGTGGTACTCATCTTCTCCATCGCTGATTCTAACTGTGCGATGCGACCTTTGAGAGATGAAATGTTGGCTTCCTTGCGGGATCGGTATGCGCGCTGAGCTAGACGAATTTGCATGCGACGTCGCTGGATTCAACCCGTCAGTGGAAAATTCAAAGGTGGAATATATATCATGCCGGGTCAACACACCTCTTCCGGATCCTCGCCCAACTGACCCTCCATGTTCTTGCGCGGTCGACCGCGCTTTCTCGCCGACGCCTCTGGGGTGGTCGTCTCGGTACGCTGGCGTTTGGGCTTCTTCTTTTGCGGTTCGGTGGGCTCGGGGGGAGGCGTGGGATCGGATAGGATTCTTCGAGCCGCGGGGAGCTGGCGAGGAATGGCGGGTTGTCGAATTTGGCCGTCGAGAGCATAGCCGCCATATACCGGGACCTGGGCATACGGATCGGGGACGCGCTGCCCTTGCGTGTAGAACGATTCGGGAACGGGATAGGAAGAGGCCGACAGCAACGACATTAGATTCGAGGTAGCTAGCGGATCGTCGGCGAAAGACGGACGACTGCGAGGGGACAGCAAGGGCTTCTGATAGACGTCATCCCAAGGCAGCAGAGGGCCGTCGGAGTCGGATGTCCCGTCGTACTGCTGCAGCGACATGGGGCCGTCCATTGCGATAAGGGAGGTATTCGGGTTCATGTGAGCTGGATTCAGATGGATGCGATAATGCGACGATGAAGGACAGATCACCGAGCAGAGACGAAAGGAGCGAAGATGCAGGCAGACGAACCTGACGACAGCGGCCGAAGGATGGATTCACGCCACAACGGCCGGCGTTAACGCATCCCCGATCCTGCCAACCTTATCTTATGGGGGCATGTGTCAGCTATGCACCCATTGTGTCTGCATAAGGGTCCCGCTAAACCTATTCAAGGTATACCTCGGCTCGGGATGTTCACTAATCATTTTTCATGGTGAAAATTCCGATCTTACGATTAGTGATCCCCCCTTAAAAGAGGGTCCAAGACCCAGATGCATGCGATGACATGACCGGATGACACAAGACGGACTGAGTATTCGGTTCTTCACAAATCCGCCATAATGCTTGTTGTGCAGGTGCTGCTGGCTGCTGGCTGGCGGCAGTGTGGGTCCCCGTCATTATTCTTAGACTAAAATAGCACATCGGACACCCTAAGACTCGTATAATTCTCTATTTATGCATGACAACAGTCTGATGTATGTGGAATCTTGAGACCTACCTGTGCGTGTGACTGCACAAGTTGTATGCCAGACAGGTCTTGCAAAGACAAAATCATTCACACTGCCATCCGGCATTTGACATAATCGCATTAATTACTCCATAGGGCAGTTTACGACCGGTTCCAGCGGTGAGAACCGTTCGACACCAACCTGGACCGTGGAAAAGTCCCTGCGTCAAGGTCGGGTCTAACCGCATAGTAGGGCCTCTATTCCCGTGAAAGCGAGCGTAGAATGGGCTCATGTGTGTTGAATTACGCTAGGCTAGCAGAGGCCATAAAACACAGGGATACTCAATACTACGTAATGAGATTGTGATTAACCTTTCAAACAACTGCTGGCCCCAGAGCCACCGGACATATGACCAATGGGCCTATTGAAAGAAGGTATGCAACGAGCGATGATAGTTTTGAGTGGGTTAAATCAACGAAAATCAAGTTCTTGCGTATATGTAATACTTAGGGAAAGCAACTATAACTCGACATATTGTGCCTTAATAGGTTTAATTGCCTATGCAAAGGGTTTGGACCGGGCACTTGGCATGACTGCGTATCATGATGAGCCCGAAGTTCTGAAGGTGCTACTTGACCATGGCGCTAAGGTTACCGAAGTCGCCGTCCTGGGTGCTTCGAACTCAGAGAATGTTCCGATGCTGCAGCACTTACTAGACCATGGCCGGGATGTCAATTCACTAGCATCACAGAGCCCAGCCCTGAGGTACTAGTCTACTTATTGCTGCCACCTTGAAGAAGAAAACTGAAGAGAAATAACATAGTTGAAACTCTAACTCTATCTGTAGGCTGGTTGTCTCGAACGAAGAATGTACGCGCTTTCTCTTGGAGAATGGCGCCGACCCGAACCTCCCTGGATGACGTGGGGTCAATAGCCAGTCAAAGCCCTGAATACGAATTGGTCTAATTTCCCTCTTGTATCACATGCTATCCGTGACTAGAAGCGAGCCGCTGCACGAGGTTACATTTTGTACTTCTTGATTAGACTGTTGGGTTCCGGAATATAGGATTCCAAATCAGAGTTCAGCTCCCCATTGCCACGCAAAAGCCCAAGCTCGTCCTCGAATAGTGCGTTTCAGAGATTAATGATATTTGAGCAGAAATGAAAATTTGAATATCAAAAGTCAAAAATAGAACAAATCAAGAAGACTGGGAAACACTACTCAGTGTTGGTCTTCGCTGCCAACAAAGAGACAATCTCCATCTCATCTATTTGCTCTGCCAATTGCGCTGCTGTTTGGCCTTCTTTATCCAGAAGCGATGCATTCGCTCCGAATTCTAACAAGCAAGAAACAACATCTATCCCTGCTGGGCAGGCCGCAAGATGCAGCGGGGGCCCTCTAGATGTTGACCTATTAGGATCCAATCCATGTTCGAGAAGTAACTTTGTGGCACCAAGGTCTCCTTCTTCCCATTTGATTGCGCTCAGTAGAAGGTCCTTATTAGGTTTCTCAGTGCTATCTGTTGGTAGCTTTGCTCTATACGAGACAAGAAGTTCCATGACTGCCACCGGTGCGGGGCCAATAGCAGTCGACAGCGGCGTAAATCCTCGACAGACCCCTCCCCCCTAGTTTGAGTTACCGCTGCTAAGAGCATTGCAGGTAGTCTTAGGTGACTGGGTAATATAAAAAAAAGTTGTCGCAGCTCTCGTGCATGGAGGCCTGTCGCGGAGACAAGGGTCCCCAGGTCCAGCAAGGCTGAGAGCGTCAGTCATGTCATTAACTGTCGGAATGACAGCAGTAATTTCCCGACACAGGGACTAACTCCACTAAACGAGCTAGATTAGACGCCACGACCTGATTCTGCCTTGCTAGTATTAACAGGTCCGGGGTTAGCCAGTACCTTGCCCGGACGGCTGTGCGACTTACTCTCCCGAGCACCCCAGTCCCTCAATATACGCCCACCCAAAAGATAGAGCGGCTCGAAAGTGGGCATGATGGGCCACTAAAGATAACGAAGGCTAATCTAGAAATCCAGATCATATCGGACGTTCGAATTGAAAGAGAAGGGCCAGCAATAACTTCTCTAAGCCAATTTGTGATGAGTAGCATTAAAGTGATCAGGACTCTATAAGAGGCTGTCGGTATCCATAGCTTTGACTCGGTTGTAATATCAATCAATCTACTTGAGAATATCTACTTCCTGATTTTACCTTTCCCAAAATGCGTCTTTGTGGCTTCTTTTTTCCGTCGTTTCTGTTTCCAATGCCGACCCGTCAACCCTTTCGATTGGTGACCTTGCTCAGTACTCGCCGAAAGCAGTAGGTGCCCCATAACACGATGGTCATAAAAGAAAATTTCTGACAATTTTCTCAGAAACAAACATCATCCTTGGGCGGAAGAGCCCTTGACATCAGGGACACAGGGAATACCGACGACGGAGTAGACGTTTACTTCTCCCCAGAACTTCGCGATGAAGTCAAAGAGGCTATCAAGGAAAGCTGCAACAAAGTGGACAGTGACTGTGTCGAGTCTGTTCAGGGTGTGATTCGAGTTCCAGATACCAAGATCGAAGCACGCCGAAGACCCTACTGCGTGGTAGCATCTTCGGTGCTATTGTGGCATTACTGTGTACTCTCTGGCAAGCGCAGGATCAAGACGCAAGAAAACCCCACAATTCTCCAACGTCCCTTAGAGATCGTCATTGATCCGTGCTATTTCGGGTCATTTGTGGTGGTTTGCGCTGTCGTTGCCGTGGGCCGGGTTTCCCGTGGGCCTCGGGGAAAAGAATCCCACGGCGCCGTGGAGTTTTGTAGACATCCCCTAATTATTGCCTCTTTTGCAGGTCTTAAAATCTCCTGACGTGCATCATGCAAGTGCTATCTTACCCAAGCCTAATTCAGGAATTTTTGACATTTAATCCATTTTGTGCTGTTAGGTGGCCGTAATATCACACATTGGAAGCAAGCAGAAACAATGGCTCCCTCCTACGAAACCATATCTGGCACCGACATCTACGGCCCCGGGACTTTCATTGACAAGAACCCTCTGCCGGTCCCCGAAGATGCGAGTCGAGTCTTTGAATATCTTGCCACCCAGACGCCCTTCTTCAATCAAAATAAGTCGGCATGGGACACGGTCCGTTTCGAAGGACAGCCGGATCCGATGATTCCTGGCCCGATCAAAGCCCCCGTGGTGGCTGCTGCGCTGCACGCGATGTGTGGTGTCGTCGCCAACGAGTTGCTTGAACTACGCGATGGAAAGCCCTTGAACGATAGTCGAGTCACAGTCAACACCGACCACGCCGGGCTTTGGCTCGGATCGACATTCACCACCTCGATCGACGGGTCCGATATTTCGACACTCGCGCGGTCGGGCAAGCTGAGTTCTCTTTTTGATCGAGACTTTGAACAAGGATTTGGACAGGGTATTGCGGGACGAACAACGGCGATCTACCAGACCAAGGATCTGAGAGTTTGGTACCAGCTGCATGGGTCGTTAGACGCCAAGAAGACGCTCGAGTCTATGGGAATCGACAGCTCTGTCACGTTCAAAACCCCAAGCGAGTATTATGACTATATTCAGAAACACGTCCACGAATGGAGCGCCGACGAGCTCGAGATGCATAATGTGCGACATGGTCTCTGTGGAAGCATCTGCTATACTCCGGATGCATGGAGAAAGACAGAATTTGGCAAACAACTTGGAAAGCATCCACTAGTGAACCTGACTCACGAGTCTTACGCCTGCCCCACGCCCCCGGTCGCATTGCCGAAAGCTGTCACGGATAGAAGGCCTCTGGCAGGCATTAAAGTCCTTGAGATGGTTCGCATCATTGCAGGGCCGACTATAGGCACAATCCTCGCTTCTTTTGGAGCCGATGTGATCAGGGTGAACTGCAGCAGACTTGCAGACCTCAACGTAAGTTTTGAGTTCGGTCATCATGAGTTTTAGAATGAAAACTTACAACCTTTCAGGTCTTGCAGCTCGTTCTCAATGCCGGCAAAAGAACGGTTGATCTCGATATTAGAAAGCCGGACGACATGGGCCGCCTGCATGAGCTTCTAGCTGATGTGGACATCTTTGTTCAAGGTTTTCGTTATGGCTCGCTCGAGAGAAAGGGTCTCGGGCTCCTTAGTATGCTAAAGCTTGCTGCGAAGAGAAACAAAGGCATCATTTACGTGGACGAAAATGCTTACGGTCCGGACGGGCCATTCGCCGAGCGCCCTGGTTGGCAGCAGATCGGCGACGCCGCGTCGGGTAGTTCATACATCTTGGGAAGGGCACAAGGCTTCCCAGACGAAAAATGTGTACTACCACCACTTCCCATTTCTGATATGACGACCGGGCTTGTGGGTGCTCTTGCTGCTATGTTAGCCGTTCGGGAGCGCGCAGTAAACGGCGGATCTTACCACGCCACCAGCTCCTTGGTTGCTGCGGATACAATTGCGCTGGAGGAAGAGGTTGGTCTCTACCCACCAGAGGTTGTTCACCGAACGAATGAAAAGTTTGGTTTCGTTCCCATCATGCCGGATCAGTTCGTTTCCGAGATTATGATCCAGGTGATTGATGGGTGGAAGAAGGGGCTTCCAGGCTATCTGGAAGATAACTCGCCGCTCATGATGACCTTTGAAGAGACGGTGTGGGGACGTCAAACACTGCTCAAGCCTGTTGTCAAGCTTGGCGATGCCGAGGCAACTCCGACGTGGACCACTCCGGCTGTTCCTAACTGCTACCACGATCGCGACATACTGTGGCTTTGAGAAAGGAACACAGATTGTGCAATACGGGGACTGGTTGTGAGAAGATTTTGTAAATATATCATTTGCCGTATATATAAAGTGGGAATCTCGAAAAAGGCTCTCTAAGCACCAAATGATGGGTCGTAAGAGTCTGGTGAGCTTTCGTTGCCTGTTCCGGGGGCTAGTGATGAACCGCTCATCATGTCTTGCCAGTTCCAAAACGGAGGAATCGACCATTGCCAGTTCATCATTGGATCTGATGCCAAATCAAAAAGGGCGATGTCGGTATCCGAGGGCTGAATGTCGACTGTGCTGTCGTTTAGACACTCATGGTTGGTTCCTGGGCCAGTGGATAGGTCAACATTCATGCCACCTTCGGCAACCAGACTGCCGGACTTGGAGTGTTCGGAGGCGTTGTAAGGATTCCCTGTGTTTGCGTTTTCTACCCGCTTATGGCGCCCGTTTGGGTCGTGCTTCAGTGCCCTTTTGCTAGCAGTTTCAAAATCAAAGCATACCCCGAGAACATGATCAACATATGTCCCAGGTTCTTGCGCAGAGATCTCGGAAAGGTATTTTACTATGTCGCATATCAATGAACAATCATGTTCGGCCTTTTCATGGCTTGGGTTCATGAATATTCCAAGCGCCAACGTTCCTGAAGCTGCAGCTGGAAAGTAAAGAACGTTCCTTTATGATGGTCAGCCGTTTAACGAATGCGTGTTGTCAGGCTACAGTGGTAAACTCACCATTGATATGAAGACCCAAAGGATCTGGCGTGCTTGATCAGCCCAACTGCTGAGCGTGCTGAATCAAGTGATGCAACGACAGTCTCTGCTGCCTCCACTTCTATCGGTGGTATTATACCCCGGTTCGTAGACGGCTGTCCTGCAAGCATACAAACTCGATAAATATTAGCATAGCAGCAGAGAAAGGCCATTTTGAGGCGTAAGATATGCCGATCAAGCGGGGTTTGGGAACAAGCTGAGTGTGAGTCAAAAGCGACGGGGAAAGATTTCTTCCACTGCAGCAGAGCGTCTTCGCACGCCTTGATCTCTTTGACAATGATCGCTCTCGGCCGTTGCTGAACCGTGGCGGCGTATAGGTGTTGATATACCCGTCGCTGTACTAAGGAAAGCTGTGATAACAGGCGAAAGAAGTTAATTGGTGTGTCTCCTATTCTCGAAACCCCCTTGCCGTCAAAAGGATTCTCGGGCGGCAGCGGTGTGTCGTAATCATGCTCATCCTGGGCGGGCGGACGACCGACACGCAGGGAGATGTCTGCGTCCAGAATGAAGGCTATCCAAAAGGTCCGCCGCCTTTCCTCGATTTCGGGTGTCGTCAATCCAAAGGTAAACCCGCGATGTAATCCAATTGATTGGGCCAAGCGTATCGCGGCAGAGGCAAACATGAACAAGGATTGAGGATTCGGTGTCCCTTGAAAATAGATTGCCAACCCTAACATGGCCTGCACAGTAAGCAAGTCTGCAGCACGCATGAAGAATTCAACCGTAACATTCATTGCGTTTTTGATATACGCCAGAGACAATTGCCAATTCTCGCCATTTTCATCTGCAGCTTGGGCTCTTTCTCGGTAAGCGAATGCCAAAACAACATTAAGTGAAGCCCACCATGAAGGACTTTCGTCTGGATTCCAGGAAAATTGTCTCTTTAGTAGTCTCATGAATGACGGTTTGTTAAACAACGGAATTAACTGATTGAATTCCGCAAAGTATTCCTCCACTAGCTTCATGGTGACGGGTTTGCTAGGTAGTGGTTGAGAAACACGCCTTTCAAAGTCATCTTGTAGAGTTCGAGGAAACCAACTGGTCAATTGCCATCGTGTTGGGCCTTTTCTAACGGCAGAGCGCAGCTTGCGTATCTCCGTGTCGGTCCCAAAACGGCCCGCCCCGTGGGCTGCAGCCACTGAGAGCCCCGAAGAGGCGCCTTTACTCACGTTAATCTTCATTTAAATCCGGTGGCATATTGCAGGGCTTCGAGTCGGAACTCACCGAAAAAGCGCATTCTACCATCTCGACCATTGATAACGTAGGATGTTTGATCAATCCCACTCTCGTAGTCCGTACTGCCAAGATCTTCATCGCCGGTGTTGTCAGGACATCCCGGGCGGGAATTCGAAGTACCTGTTTGGATCGGATTGATCTCAGACAGGTCTCTCGCGATGAGGGTGTCTGGATCGGACGTAGATAGGCTATCAGCATTCAACGGGCTGTCATGCCGAGCTCCTGATGGACTCTGACGCTGTAACTGCTCCTCCATACTCTGGACGCGTCGCTCTAAATCTGCAACATAAGCACTAGCGACACGTTAGCGCTACTGAGCAAAAGCGGGCCTAGTTCAATTACCGGCTGGACCGATTTGGCTCTTTGACGGTATCCTGAAATATACAGGAGAAATTGAAGGCATGGCATGAAGAGCAAATCGGTCTCTGTCCGTCGCACTTTGTTTTCTTTCGCCGGCACGTGTTGCAAGCCTGGGTGTGTCAGTCCGGTGGTGATGGTGGTATGGATCCTTGCTCCACGCGTACCTTGGCACGACGGACCGTCCCAACTCGCGATGACTGCGATCCGGCCATCTCGGAATATCGATATGGTTCTACAGAAATGAAGTTGAAAGGCTAGACCGTTGATGGATTCAGAAGGGGGAAGGGTAATGGGGCCACATTCTCATCCGACGGGCCGAGGATGAATGCATCTTATCGATAGCTGACTAAATGGTCACAAAATCAGTCATTGAAGAATAGTAACAACAATACGGAAGACAATATAATCCTAGGTGAGATTTTGCTGGATTCCAATGACCGGTCGCATTGCATTGAGCGATGTAAGTAGTGATGAATCGAAGGATCCGCGGATGTTGCCTGCTAGCCTGATCTGGAAATATATCTGCCTTGGTGCCTTGGCCTCTGCTGCCTGCTGCCTGCTGCCTTGATATATTTTGGTCATGACAAGCAGCCAGGCCTCAGGGTGTGTTGAACGCCCAAAATTTGTCGGCCTTCAGTTTCCAATGTGATATTTAAATTAAATCATCCCTCGAATTATTGGCAAAGATTTGAAACTGCCTCAAATCAGCTCAAAAATGATATTATTTCGCCCGTGCATTAAGCATCCCTGGCTGGAGAATCCTGGCGTCCTCGGAGTTCTTGGCAAGGACTGAGAGGTTATCTCCGTCACCCTTCACGGAAGATTGAGGAAAGCTGATCGACTAAATTATTACTCAATTGTGATTCTATATAAGGCTGTGCTTACTTAGCTGGAGGGTACAAAGATGGGTAAGATGCCATAGATCCAGTTGAACCACAATTTGTCAACCCAAAATACTCCGTGAAGAGGCGCCATGAAGCTCCCCAACGTTGATTACCTGAGAGTAGTTCTCTTAGGCCTCTGCATGCCTTCCTTTGTGATGGGTCTTAGTTCAAGTAAGTCACTCCCTAATCGCCACAGGGACAGTTACTGATTGATAGCGCTCAGGTTCACCACCTACTGCGAGCCCAATGCCCCTGCCCGAGGCCCCGAAAACACCGCCTCAAAAGTACGGAATGCTACTCTTTCAAGCCTTCGAGCTCATGGATGTCTTCGGTCCTCTAGAGGCCCTCCAGCGTCTCACATCCTTCCATAAAGTCGACCTGTTCTTCCTCTCCGAAACCCTCTCCCCAGTCAGCACACGGCCGGGATCCAGCGCAATGAACGCCCACAACTCCACCGGCTTCCCCGAGATCATCCCAACGCACACCCTCGACAACGCACCCGAGATGGACGTTCTGTTCGTTCCGGGCGGACTCGGAACCCGGTCCCCGAACATGAATCGCACGATTGATTTCATCGCAGAGACGTACCCCAAGGTGAAGTACTTGATCACCGTCTGCACGGGGTCCCGACTGGCCGCGCAGTCCGGGGTTCTGGACGGGAAGCGCGCCACGACCAACAAGGCCTCGTGGAACAGTACGGTGGCGCTGGGTCCGAAGGTCGATTGGGTGCCGCGTGCGCGGTGGACCGTTGACGGCAACATCTGGACGTCGTCTGGGATATCCGCGGGAGTGGATGCGACTTTGGCGTTTGTTCAGTGGGCGTACGGTGAAGAGACTGCTACTACAATTTCGAGCTTGATGGAATACGAGAGACATACTGACCCGGATTGGGATCCGTTTGCCGATATTTTTGAGGTTCCTGGTCGGTGAGTTACCGTGCGCAAACAAAGAAGAGACTCAATTGATAATGGGGTATATGCAGAAGGTTAGTGCAACATGTAAAAACTGAACAAATCATGATGTTATAGAGGGCGTTATGTAAACACAGAATTCAGAAGCAGTACCTAGGTATCGCCAGAGGGTATAAGCGCTAGGTTAAGTGACCACCAACAGGCCACTCGGGATGACAATGAATCTGTTGGATCATGAAAGTTTCGTATTGTCTAGTAATTTGTATGCAGAATCGAGGCTCAATGAAGGTTTGATCCTCTTGATCTAGAGGATCGAAACGAAGCTATTTAACATGCAATATGACTACGTGGCTTCTTTGAAATCGGCTTATCTTGAAGCCATGAAATGCCGTCAGAGTTGATCTAGATGGAAGCGGCAAGGTGTTGAATCCTGGCGGTAAAATTGCCCCATATTCGCTGACAGAATCCTTGGAGAAGCATCTAGGCTGCATTCTGTTGCCTGATATGAACAAGAATTTTTCTAAGTACATTATCGTATGGGGCTTTTTAGCCAGGAAGCTAGTTTCTATACACATAAGCGCTAATAGAGATTATGACTATGACTGCGGTACTTTGCGGGGTATAATATAAATTCCAGCCTCATCGTCGCAGCGACTGCCAAAACAATATCAAACCAAACTAGGTGACTCATAACATGGACGAGCACGGGTGCAATGCAACTGTAATCTCACACCCAGCGGGAAATGAAATTTCTAAGTGGAACTCCGCTCAAAATGATCACCGAATCTCTCCCTATGTGAACCTAACAGATCCGCATTTGCTTTCAATATGCTGGACAGAATAAAATGATCAGATAAAAAGCGGTTCTCTTCCGGCCATCTCCGGAATGCCCTCATTACCCTGTCGATCTCCCCTGGACAAGGCACGCTCTAGCCGAAGGTTGAGGAACGGCCCCCACCAGCTAGCGGGAGACGAGGCTTACTCTAGCGTCAAGGTTGCCCGACTGGGTAAGAGTACCAGGCGTGAAGATTGAGAATCGAAAAAATCGGATCTGAACCAGGTGGGCATGAGAAAGTATAAAGACAACGCTACGGCTATGTTTATGGTTGAGCTCAGTCCCCAACTATCTAATCCTAATCAACCCTCAGAATGATCTCCACAATCTTCACCACGTTCTCCGTGCTCGGAGCCGCCTATGCCTCGTCGGTTCAGCCCGTCGTCGCCAAAGGTGGATGCACCAACATCAACTCCTACTACCCGTACACGGGCACCACGGGATACTTCATGGCCAAGGTCGACGGATGCGTGAACACCACCGCCACCGACAACGCCTGCAGCATCGAAGGCTTCCGCGACACGACGGTCTCGCTCTCCAGCGATGATAAGAGTGGATATGTAAGCCAAGTCTCGCTCGCAATGCTCATCTTTCTGCCTCAAACTGACAGAACCCATAATAGATCGGAATCGGATACGTCGGCGACCAAGCGATTGTTCCTCTGATGTGTAGCACGGCCTCTCCCTCCGTGATCGACGCCTGCGTTTCCGTCGACAACGGCTGCAGGTTCCAGTCAACGAACATCAGCTCCTCCACGGGTCTGTTCAGCTGGGGACTGTCTGCCGATGAGAGCATTAACGTGGACTTTTACCACCACGAGGTGGATGGCAAGCAACAGGACGGACTCTTCGTCGGAGCTGAGAATGTCACTTCCTGGGCTATTAAGCACTATCCTGCGGATTCGCACTCCAAGGTTCCCTACTGGCTGCTGCGGTGGTTGGGAAACAGCGAGGAGTTGAAGGACGGCGAGTTCAAGACTTTCCTTAAGGTTGACTATTTTTAAACGGATATGAATTGCTCATGCTGAAGACCGGCCCGGCCGAGCATGATGCTATCTTCTGTCTGATCATAGTTGAGGGCGATGGAGGATGATGCATGGCTACGAAAACACTGGATGAGTGGATAAGAACGCGAAAATTAATGATCTCAGTAAATATGATTGTATTTGACTTTAAAAGACAACGAAATAAGACAAAATGAATCGATCGTGTTACCCAGCTTAGACAACCCGGAGGCTCTCTAAAAGACGAGTTGGCTGTTTCATAAAAAAATTGCCCGTGGCTGAGCAGCGAGTGCAAGAATCCAGCGTCTTGGCTGCGGAGGATCCAACGGCGAATGCAGCGATGGGGTTGGAGCGTCCTCCCGGACTAAAATGCGCCATGACCTCATGAGCCACAAACTGGCCGTCCTTTTGTTTATCAGGGCGTGCGGGGCCCGATTATCTGACGACAGACGAGCTTCTCTGGGCGTACGACTTTCTGTCTGTCTGGTAGCTTCATCGTGTCGCTCCCCACTATTTAAGGGAAATGCCGCCCGATGCTTCGACGGCTCTAGAAGGACACCATTCGCATCGCAAACATGGCGAACCCAGCGCTGTGGGCACTGGTTTTCATAATTCAAGTGCCGCTCGTAATGCTGATCATTTTCGCGTACGAGGAGCCTTTTCAATCTGGATATGGTTCTGTGACCGCCTGCTAATCTACGCTGTTGATCAATAGGACTCGAGTATGGCGCAGGCATCGCCGTTCCGTATTCGAAGAATTCTATCCTCAATTTCGCAGGCCCGACATTGAAGCGGTTCGACCCCAGAGAGTCCGACCGGTGATAACTAGCGAGGATGTCGATCGTCGATTCCCTATAGTCGGCTATAGTGTCTGGAAGAGCGCCCACGAAACCCCGAGCCAGGGGAGCGCAGACCGTCCTTCCACGTCACTAGAGCCAACCACGCCTCGCGACTCCAGTCATCAAGTACCCCCAAACAAACAAACACCAACTGAACACGACAACCAGAACGGGGGCCCTTCCTCCTCCGAAGATTCGTATTCCGTATGTGCCATCTGCGTCGACCAATTCGACTCCAACGACGAGGTCCGACCTTTAACATGCGGACACATTTTCCATCCCGCTTGCATTGACATGTGGCTGACCAAGCGACAAGCCTGCTGTCCCTTGTGCAAGACGGTCTACACCGGCGTCGGAGCGAGCCCGGAGTCAAACATAGACGACGAGCCCGAGGCGTCCACCATGCCCGAACCCCCTGCGGTAGCGGTGGTGCGCGAGGAAAGAGTTCCCCGAGAATCCTGAAAAGGATGTGATCGCTCTCGAGTGATGAACCGGCAAAATGAATGATCCTATTTAAAGGCATGATATGGCGTGGATTATGGCGTTTAGTAGACCCCTACCGCTGGGTCTTCCGATATTGGTGAGCCATGCTGAGAACTTAACAAATAGTTTCCATCATTCCCCTTTCCCAAGCAAAATCATCCGCTGGGATAAAGTTTCTCGTTTGTGTGAGACAGGAGTCCGCATCCTTTGCGACGGGTACGTGATGCATTTGCCACATTCCAGGGAGGCATATTCACTGGGGCTTAGACAATGGGCTGAGGTCATCAAATTTTTCTCTTATCGCTGTCTTTTGCTTGGTTATTTTCTTTTTGTGCTCCATGAGATATTGAGGTCTTGGGCGAATAATCGGTAATTGGCCGTTTGGGAGATGGAGTCATTTTGGATTATACCCCTGCTTTCTATGCGATTCTGTTCTTTCCCAATATTTTTTCGTTTCCTTTTTATGTTCAATCATCTCTGGACCATACACTCTTAGTACCATAATCAAAATGACATTGTGAGACTTCACCCGTTCTTTGAAAAAGGACATCAAAACAAGTATCATGCGTGCGCGATCAACCGACTCTGCCCACTCGTAGAGCCACCCAGATGAACAGCATCACGGTTCTCGTCAAGAACCACCGGATTCGTGACATTCTCCGTAGTCCCAAAGATCCCACCCTGATATCCAAGACAATACGTCTTGCCGAAATAATCCCAGGCCATATCAAGCTGTTCACAATAATGATCATGACGCTGCAGCCACGGATTGAATTTTATAAAGCTCTTGCCACGCAAGATCTCCGCGTGCCTCTCCTCAACACTCTCACAGGTGTCGCCTACCCGGGCCTCATATACCTCTCCACACGAGAATGGTATGCAGAGTTGCATCCCGACCTGGTTGTGAATGAAGTCGCATATCACGATAGATTCTTTGTTTCCCTCCCACAGGCCGTGAGAGGGGATTTTGTGTGCGAGAGAAATAGTATCACAGGTATCGCCTTGCTGGACGGCGTAGAGAATTCCCGACGCGCAAAGTGGACCTGGCTCGCGATGTTCTTCATGTTGAGGCCAAAATCGGCGAATCATCCGAATGCACAGAAATGCGGATACAATAACGTAGATGATCTTTCTTAATGATTTCGATGTTGACATTTTTGCAATTTCTAATTTTATTTGGGTCACAGCAGGAGAGAGAAATTGGAAAGATTGGAAAGGGTGCTTTGAACCGGGGAAATTAGTGAAGACACTATTGAGCGCTAGATGCTTAGCGCTCCGAACTGGGGAAATAGCCGGGTTTTCGCGATGCAACCATACCCAGGGCTAGCGGGAATTTATCTAACGCTCTTGCGCGCCCATATTCATTTTACCCCATTAGAAATGTCTTTGTTGGCCGTTTGGATCTATTGCTTGTTGATATCACCCCCGACCACGCTATGGGGCCCGGTCCGAAGGCGCACCTTCTAATATGCCTCCTCTTGATCGTGGGTATGACTATGTTTCACAATAAGCCTGAAAAACACACAGACGACAAGTTGCAGACCGTCAAGCAGCGCAGAATACAGCGCTGTAATAAGTTCCACCCATGTAAAAATGGTTGCTGCTCGAAATCCGGCCTCTGCGGCGTCGGGCCAGACTACTGTGGCATCGAAAACTGCGTTGATTGTCGCGAGAAAGAACCACCGCGCTGTTCCAGGTCCAAGATCAGCCGACTTGCAGGCTACTACGAGCTATGGAATGACATACGACCTTGTAATAAGTTCATGCCTCACCAAATTCACTTCGCTACGTACGCGCACGTGAATATCGCATTTGCCACCATCAACCCGCACACGTTCGAGCTGAATCCCATCTTCTGGCACCATGCCATGGAGATCGAACAGCTGACGGAGCGGAAGAAGTACGACCCAGACCTAAGAGTCTCTGTGACAATTAGTGGACTGTCTGGAAATGATTGGGGACTGCATGACTCGTCCGTGTTTTCACGGTTGGCCGCCTCGGAGGAGTATCAGGCTGTCTTTCTCCGATCTCTTACCTCTTTCATGTCGACCTACGATATTGACGGGGTCGATATCAACTGGGAACATCCGGACGGACAGTCCGACGACTATGAGAATCTCCCGCGCCTAATCAAAAACATCAAAGCGGCGCTCATGATGACGGGTGGCCGTTACGGACTCACCATGACGCTTCCGACTTCGCTGAGCGCGCTGCATAATTATAACCTACGGAAACTGAACCGCCAAGTCGACTACTTCAATCTTATGCCCATTGATCTTCATACCCAGCTCTCACCAGGAGATACATGGCAGGCCGACACTCTAGGCCCCGTGGTGAATCTAACCGCAGTGTCTCAGGCCGTGGACCTCCTATGGCGCAATTACATCCACCCTAACGATGTGAACCTAGTTCTCACACTCTATGGCGCATCGCTGATTCCAAAAAGCCTAGACTGCCTTTCTCCCGGCTGTCTTGCCATCTCCGGCGCTCTAGGTGGATTCAGCAGCAAGAAGACCGGCATGCTCATGAACTCCGAGATCCAGGATATGATCGACCCAGAGCGTCACGAACTAATGTACGGACGACTACGTCACAAGCACAACTGGGGAAATCTCGAGACCAAGTTTGACCCGGAGATTGGCGCGCAGATTGGAATGAACGGCGAGCGATGGATCGCGTACGATGATAAAGAATCGTTGGAACATAAGATGGAATTCGCGAGGAGTTGGTGTTTTGGGGGGATCACGGCTTGGGCAATTACCCATGATACATGGGATGCCGATTACTCCAAGGTGCTAGACTGTTTAGTTCAGGGCTATGGAAGGTGGAAGTCCTTGCAATTGTTTTACTGTGATGAAATTGCCATATGATTCATTATTCTTGATTGCACTTCTCCTGGTTTCTGTAGTACTCTACAGCAAACCGGTGTAAGCCTCTCGGCAGGAAGATGATGAAAGAAGGTGTTCCATTCACGAGGATCTCGCTCCGCGAGATCCTTGAGGCGGGATCCTACGGTGAGCCGTATGAACCACTATGGTAACTAACTAGGCAATAAGAGAACGGTAACAACCGGCCAATACTCTATAACTCGCTCTTCACGTCCGGACAGAACTGTGAGATGACTAGTTAGTAAGCTAAAGTATTGCCGAACACATTATATTAGACCTACCGCATCAGTCACCTCGATATTTGCAGTCTTTTGGAGATCAAACTCCGCTTTCAGTTCCTCGGCATGAGCTTTCTCCACGTCGAGCCTGACGAGACAAGACTAAGACAAAACCCAATCAGTAGATGCAATAATGTAGAGAAGGGTGGAAACAAACCCCATTATCACCCTCACATCGGATATAATCCAGCATAAGGGAAGCGTTGACCGATTCCAATAATTGATTCGCTGGTTCTTTTGGTGTGAGAATCTTTGCGCCCGGCTCACTTGGCCCCTGGCGATGCACTTGCATCGCCATTCCGCACTTCTGCCCATGTGCCAAAGTAGCGCATAGGAGAGATATGAGCATGAGCAGGCGCATGTCGAAGTTTGAATTGAATGAATGGAGAACGTATTTTCGAAGACAGCGGACAGTTTTGTTGAGGTCAGGATATATTTTGGAATTATCGTTCTCGGCACCTTGTCTAAACATCTCCCTGGTCTCAAGATTCCAGAATATTTCGTCGAGAAACGTGCATTCCTTGCGTTCGAGGCTCCGCAAGAGGCTGGGTGTTGTGTTTAGTTGGCCTAGGTTGCCCGGGGATCCGAAGTAGAGTGAAAACATCAAGCAACGTGGATTGATAACCATTCCTTCGCATACCGAGAAACAAGAATCATATTCTTCGTGGCTCCTAGCAGAAATTCGTACACCATATGGCTACTATTTATCCAAAAATAGCCCTTATCACTCGTGCATAGGTATACGCAGCCTGAGCGATCAGGCCACAAATGGAAATGACTAATCCGGGATCGCGACATCGTGTTCTTCACCTCCAAATTCCCTCCGATCTTAATAGTTAATACAAACATGACAGCATAGTGATATTTTATCAACTTTATACAACTTCCTGTGATTTTAGGAAAGCTTGATCTCGAGGCTATCTCGTCATGAAAGTTATCACAGTCGGCGCCGGCCTAGGAGGACTCGTATGTGCGATCGCCTGCCGCCGCCAAAACATGGAAGTTGTTGTTTTAGAAAGATCATCAGAAATATTCGAGGTAGACTGACTTCGTTTTTGTGGCTCTCTGGAAGGTACTGCGACAGATGATAACGAATGATTTAGGTCGGTGCGGGGATTCAAATACCACCTAATGGATCTCGAATTATGAAAGAGCTAGACCTCTTACCAGATGTTCTAGAGAAAGGCGCCATAATCGAATCAATGGACATTCGACGATACAAAGATGGAGGATTACTGACCTCTATGCGCTGTGGGGAGACCGTCACACGAGAATATGGGGCGCCATGGATGTATGCTCCTCTCTTCCTGGGTAAACCGGTGGATCTGAGTTAACTCCATCCAGCATGATTCATAGAGCAGATTACCATGCAATTCTCCTAGAGCGGGCCATTTCATTAGGTGCTGAAATTCGCTTGAATGCATCAGTCGAAGAGGTTATTTTTGAGACTCCACAGGTGATTTTGGCCGATGGAAGTAGAATCACGGGGGATGTTATCGTCGGGGCTGACGGTTCGACATACCTCCTATACGAAAAGCGATTCCATTAATAGTGATATGTTGCAGGTCTCTGGTCCACGGTACGAAATGCGATTCTCAACAGGCCTTCCCCTCCAATCGAAACAGGAGACCTCGCATATCGGGCAACTTTCTCCCGAACCCAGCTCGAGGACCTCAACGATTCCAAAATCAATGAGCTGTGTTCCAAAACCACTGTGACAGCTTGGTTTGGACCAAAGAACCATGCAGTCTTCTATCCTATCCGTGGCGGGACGGAGTTCAACCTTGTCTTGTTGCAGCCTGACGACCTACCAGCTGGAGTACGCACCGAACAAGGCGATCTAGATGAGGTTCGGTACGGATATAGAGATTGGGACGAAACGTGAGTGTGTTGATCTCATCTCAGGTACTACAGGGGCTGAAATAAGTGCAGTCTAAGAAAGATACTTTCTTGTGTACCTTCAATCTTGAAGTGGAAGCTGTGCCACCTCCCTGAATTAGACACGTGGTCAAATGTTGGTATTCACGATAGTTTTTCAGCATAGTTTGCGCGTACTGACAACGAGGACAGGGACATATCACACTTTTAGGAGATGCTTGTCACCCAACCCTTCCCTATCAAGCCCAAGGAGCCGCCATGGCAGTCGAGGATGGTGCCGTACTTGGTATGCTTCTGGGCTCGATTGCTTCCTGCAGCGAAAGTACTCCGTCAGAGAGCATTGCTGCGCACATCCCAGCCGTCCTTAAACTGTACGAGCAGATCAGAAAGCCATATACATCGTGGAATGTGAACGGCGCGGCCAGAAACCGAAAGATTTTCCATTTGGAAGACGGAATACCACAATGGCTTCGAGACAAAGTGCTGAGCATATCTGGACTAACTCGGGAGACAGACTGGAGTTACATAATGTCATATAGATATAGAAAAATGCTGGGAACCGATATTTTGCAAGAAACAGAGAAAAGGCTGCGCGAGCTGTGGGGAGAAACTGCCGCACATAGCCACCAAGATTAAGCAGACACATATCCATCTGATCATTGATCGCCCCTCTTGACCCCTGCATACCAGTAGATATTAACAAATGGCCAGAACACCATCCTATTCCCTGATTTGAAATCCCATTCACTGACATCTAAGTCCGGCTGATCCAGGAGGCTCCGAATCTCTTTTGGCGTCCGACACCTCATCGTAGAAACCAGTCCATCAAACGAAACGGCAAAAGAAAGCAGGGGTACAAGATAGGTAAAGTACAAATACAGAGGGGACTTCCAATGTTTCGTTATAGTGTGGAAGAAGGGAAAGATAATCATAACCGGAATATTTAGCAGGGAAGTGAAATTCCGTTGCGCAAGCTCGAAGATACTGTGATTATTAGTAGAGTGTACTTAATAAACAGGCAATGCGGCATTTAGGGAGGACATACATGAAAGAATCCCCCGATTCCACGGCACTCCGCAACACGACCCTCGCAGGCTCATCATCAAAATGATGAAAGCAGAGATTAAACATTCGACATTCCTTGTGATTCGCCGGTGCTATCCTCTTACATTTTGTCGCATCGACCGGCTCCGACACGTAATCCACGTTCTCCTGGCGCTTCGCAACAGCCGTCCACTCTGGCAAATGCGGATGAAGATCGGTCAAAATAAAGCGCGGGGAAGACGTCCCCTGAGCCTTGGAGCGCGCATGCAAAATAGACTCAATAGTCGACGACGGACCGCCAGAGCCCGAACACAGATCCACAAAAGTGAACGAGGACGGGTCTAGATGATTGTCAATGATGATATCGGCGGCAACGCCGGCAGGAGAAGTCTTGCTGATTAGCGGAACATGCAAATTCCATACATGTGTCAGGTAGGACTGGATGTAGACAATGAGCCAGGTCGGACACCATGGTTGATCACCGATCTCGAAAAGGTGGCAGCGCGGAAAAAGGATCATGTTGCATAGGACAGAGTTGAGGATGTTGTCGCGGTGATGGTGACATCATCTCGTCGCTCAGCCTCTGTTTTTTTTTTTTCTTAGCGGGCGGGCTACAAAAATTGACTGCCTCAGGCAACAACTGCCACATATTACTACTCAGTCACGACAAGCACTCCTCTTTCCTTTGCATTCTATTTTTACAACAACCCGCCATTCTACTCGACCATAAATACTCTACATACACTGGACGTGACGAATTCTGCAAACCTATCTCATTCTTGCATCTTTGGAAGACGCCCAGCCAGGGAAGTTGTACCGAGGATTCAAGAGCACTGATATTATACCATGTTCTACGGAATAACCCATCCCAGTCTGCAAGATGTCATTGTTTGATAATGCCTGCTCAGCATGCAACCCGTAGCTCTGGGATCCAATCCTTCCCATGTGTCATTCGGCGAGCTGTTGCCATTTCGTATATGGTGGCTGGGATCCAAGGAGGGCCTCCTGTCACGCCGTTCTTCTCTGTGGCATCTTGCAAAGCCCGAGAAAGGCGAATCGCTTGCAATGAGTCCATTCCTAATGCGACGACATCTGTGTCTAAACCGACTTTGTCCTGGCCCAGAATCCGGCCAACCACATCGTGGAACCATTGCTCTGTTTCGACCCGGTTCAGGTTTAAGGACCCTTGGCTATCGAGCGCCTGAACGACTGAAGATGACGACTTAGGGGGATTATTAAAAAGTCAAGCGTGCCTTGATACGTGCTAGCGATTTCCCGGCGACGCAGTGACCCTTTAGGAGCCCTGGCTAGAGGCATATCGCGAGACGCGAAAATAACATGGCTGTAGAAGACTTGACTGTGCGCCGGTAGGAGGGAATTGGCACGGTCTACTCGCGGCTTCAGATTTTCTCTAAACCATGCTGGCGTCCAGTCCGAAGGCAACTCGTTCCACAAGGGCTCAATAAGCACGACAACCTGGAATCGATCCTGACCTAGAATAATGGCTCGGTCAACGAGAGGATCTAACTCGAATGATTTCTCTGCATCGATCGGATTGAGTTTTTCCCCATTCTTTAGGAAAATTATGTCGTCACACCGGCCCTCATATCGCGACAGCCCTGGATTTGAAGAGTGTGGTCGAAACTGGTCACCCGTATGATACTCTGTCAGATGTGGATATGTGTGAAAGACTGCGCGGTATTGACGCGAGGGGGGCCGTGGAATGACTAGCTCAAACAGGCCATCACCAGCGACTTCCAAGCGGGTTTCGAAGAAGGGGTTGAACTCCATGTACTTCCAATCACTGGGGTGCTCGCAAAGCAAAGTCGGCGTATACTTAGTCTCAGTGCTGCCCACCAAGGTCTTGAAGTTGCGGTCTTTCACTTCCGTCCACAATCACCGAGCATTGCGTGACTTGCAGCAGATGCTGGGACGCCGGTAGGGAGTTGCATGTCGATAGGAGCAACACCTACAGTTGCATTAATTTTGACTATTATACTAGGCGACTGGGAACTCACCGAGCTTCCTAGTTTATACAAGCTAGCATGAAAGCTATATATCGCACGTCGTTTGTTCCTATATAGGCCAATACACGATGTTGGCTCTTTGGATTATCAGCCAGCTTGCTGGCCATCCACCAGGCTAGGCGGTTGGTTGCATAGGAAAGTTGCTTGAAGGTAATGTTTCGCCAACCTTCGTCGTTATCCTGTGAGACGAGATGAACGCAGTATAACAAATCCGGTTGCTCTTTTGCCAGCCGATCCACGAGCTGCGGCAAAAGTAGTCTTGGGTGTGCCGACAACCGCATGTTATAAACCAAAGACTTATTGTTTTGCGATTTATAGAAGGATCTCTGCTCGAATAAAGCACTTTATGTTGGCTTATGGGCAGCGGACAGCCCTTAAATACCTTAATCTTTCCTTGGCACACATGCATACACATGCGCACGCGCACAAGAAATTGTAGCCATGCATTCTTCAGTCGATGATTTCATCATATCATCGACTTATTATTGCTGTTATGAGCCTTCTGCATGACAGAAATCCGAGTGCGTACGGGCCCCTTGCTTGGAAGGTTAATGTCGGTTGACTTGGTCATTGCCCTAAGCAGATATCCTATCGATTCAACTGAATATAGGTATATGCTCGGTGGGTAA